GATAAGGGTAGAAAGCCTATAATCTTTAATGTTAGAGATAAAGTTTTACTAAATAGTAAAAATATTCGTAGTATTAGGCCGAAGAAGAAGCTTAACTACACGATAATAGGTCTATTTAAGGTTACTTGTGTAATTAATGACTAGGCGTATAAGTTAAAACTCCCTCCCACGTTAAAGATACATAATATATTCTATATCACGCTTCTCGAGCTATTCCATACCTTATCGTTACCGGATCGTTCCGAATAGACGTTATATAAAGTAGTTACGTAAGGAGGTGCGGATATCTATAAAGTTAAGTAGATACTAGGCTAATAACGTGCCGAAGATGGCACGTGGCTATATAAAATTCGTTAGAAAGGGTATAATCCTAACGAAGATACTTGGGAACCCGTAATATATATTAGTAAAGCAGCGATATTAGCGTATAAGTAGTAATTAGTAAAGGAAGCCGCGGAATCGTAGAGAATTATGCTAAAGTACGGCGATTCGACATTTTTTAGTATAGTTCGGCGCCGAGGACGGCCGCCTAAAAGGAAGAAGGTAAAAGAGACATAGATCTTTAAAACATTCTAAGGAATTAAGGAACTTCCTTAGAAAGTTCGAACTTAGAACTTTAAAAAATTAACTAAAAAAGAGACTTAGAAAAATAATTTACTAAGAGAAATGGACATCGAAAATCGGTGCCGATCGGTATAGATCGGTATAGATTACTAAAGAGATTAAAGAAGTTATTATTAAAGAAAGATGAAATTAAGGAAGCTAAAAGAAAATACGAAGATCTATATAGATCTATATAAACTCGCACTAATCTATCTAGAAGAAGTAAGATCGCTTTAAAATTAAAACCGAAAAAACCAAAACGCCAGATAAAAGAGACATATTAGTACCGATTAGTATAGATCTAAACCGATTAAGTCGGAGTAGGAGTAGAAGTACTAATTACCGCGATGGTTACATCTAATTCCTTCTACTAGTTCTTATTTAGTATAGTATAGAGCTTTATAACATAAGTCTCTAGCCTTTCGTTCCGACGCTATAAATTCTATATAGCGCGCCTTATAGCTATGAACTCCTCTATAGAAACCTATAGAGCGGCGGAACCCGGGACGGAGAGGGACGGACCGGCGTGGGCACGCTAAGAATTATATAAATCAGCGAAAAGATTTAACGATCGGTATAGAACCACATACCATTAGTATAGAAACTTCTAGATTAGAGCTATCTTCCCTAAATTTACGGCTCTTTAGCACGCGCGAGGAAGGAACCTTAGCCTTTTTACTAGAACCTTTTCTAGGAATTTTAATATCGCCGGTGTATAGAAAGAAGTCCGAAGTGGCAGAGATTTTAGCACTATTATAGAGATTAATATATATTAGTAAGAATCTATAACGATTTAAGAAAAACGATGTTACCTAGCAATCGCGGTAATAATAGCTATAAGAGATTCCGATAAACCCTTACGGATCTTATTAGAATCGTACTCCTAGGCGTAACCCTTACCTTAGGTATATAGCTCGTAGAAAGCCTTCTCTAAGGCGTTGCGATCGGTAGTACCACGCTCCTTATCGGTAGGGGTTACTAGAGGCCTAGTAGTAATCTATACCGATATAAGTAAATCTGCGTAAAGTTCTTCGAACTTGCTTAAATATCTATAAGTAATAACGCTTCTTGGTTATGTAAGTGCCGTATATTATAGATTTAGTACCGCCGTGAGCAATGTACGACGGAAAGCGATAACTATAATAATATATGGCTAGATTATTAGAGCCCGGCCTAGGTCGGGGTAGATTAATAGCTTTCGACATGTCAGTAACGTATACGAGATAGGGATTATTCGAAGGCGCCTATTTCCGCGCCGATTGCTTTAGAGCGTCGAGATTTCGGGAAACCATATTACGATTATTATTAATTTATATAGATTATTACGAATTGTGTTATTACTAGCTAAGGACGGCACGAAAATTAGTAAATTATGTAAATCGCACTAAATAGTAGTAAATCTATATAAATCTATATCTATAAGGATCGGGTGATATACCTAATAATCTAAAAAACTCTATAAAGAGTTAAGAAGTTTTTTGAAGAAAGGAATATTTCTAAGAAAAGATTTTAATATAGGTAGCACCCGGGCTTACCTAATCATATCACGTGATACGCTAGGCCTAATTAGGTAATCTCACCTATATAAGAAGTTAAGATGGATAAAATCTAGTTTGTTAGGAAAACGCTTATATGAATCTTAGATCGGCGAATATCGGCAAGTATCTAAGACGAAGCGTGGAGAACGACTAAGGTCTTACGAGACTTAGGATAGGGATATAGGGATAGGTAACGATCTAGGTCGCTAAGGGTAGCTTCCTAGAGGGAAGGGATAATTATTAGGACTTAGCCTTAGGTAGGACTCGACCTATACGTACCTTAGCTAATAGGGTTAGGAGGTAACGTGAAGGGCGGTAAACAGTCACGTGCTAGATAGATCGGCGTCCCTTTATGTATATACTCTCGGATTCCTACCGAAAGGGTTCGGTAGTAATTCGTTCTGTGACAGAATACACCCCATTGTTCTATCTGGCTACACTACTATCCAATAATCCTATTCTTACAGATAGTTAGTTTTTTATATTATATACCGGGTAGTTAGGCGCGATGTGTCCTAGCTACTAGCACTTATAGTATATAACTAACTTAGTATCTATATTAGTATTCGGTAGTTTCCCTAAGCGGTACTCGGGTGCTATATAGCCTATCCTACTATAGGTATAGTAGGTAACTTTAGGTCGTTTATATAAGTCGTTTCTCGCGTCTCGATATATTAACTAGTAGAAAGATCCGTAGTACGGGCCTCGTCTTCTTAAGTTTATAGAGTAGTAGCGCCTATAAGGTATTCCGCGCGATCTATTACTAAACCGGTCCTCTTTAGATAATTTCGTATCGGATTAGATTAATAGGGATAGTCGTGCGTCTATACGACGTTAGTTATTTATTATATACTAATATCGTTCTACGAGATTCGCGAGTGCCTAAAGGTTAGTAGAGATAGATATTATAAGGTTAATACGTTCCTTTACACTCGGGTTAAGGGACCTTTTAAAGTCGTTATATTATTAAACTATATAATCTTCCTTAGCTTCTCTCTAAAGAGGTCGGAGGTATTTAAGGAGTTATAACGGGGATTATCTCTCTCGCTATTAAGTCTTAAAGATATGGCTCTAAGCCTATTCGCGTCGCTCGGCTCTATTACTAAAGTATTAAAGAAGGAATTTAGTAAACGTGTCCTAGTTATACATATTCTTAGGGTATTTAATTCGATATACTATCTAACGTTTAGATAGCGTTAGATCTAGGTAGTTCTATATAAACCTAATCTTATTACTATCGTTCGTGAATAGGTAGAAGAATCGGCTATACTAGTAAGCCTATTTATAAAAGCTTCTTCTAGTTTTACCGTTAAAGTAAGGTAGTTTCTTAGGCTAAGGTAACTAGAATAGTAATAGACTTAGTTAGACTATTTCGGCTTAAGTTAGTCTATATTAGTATAGGTTAGTTACTACTAGTACTAAAGCGCGTAGTACGGCTTCGAGTCTAGCGGTTTATCCTTATACTTTATCAAGTTCGCGAAGTTACTACTTAAGCTAAGCCTAATACTACCTCTCCGTATATAGCTTAGTATATATATTATTATAAGGCGTGGTTAACGTTAGTTAGTTCTAACGAATTAATTTATTAACGTTAATAGGGTCTAGTCTTATAGTAAGAATGGGTCTAGTATAGTATAAACTAGACCGCGATGGAGTATAATAGACTTCTTCCTTATTATCTAGGTAATCTTCTATGGTTATATGGAATGCCGTACTAGTTATTAGTACGATAGTCTATAGAGTATACTTATTAGTAGAGGTAGTCGTAGAGAGACTATTCTCTTCGTTTAGATTTAGAGAGAGTCTCTTATATAAGGTAGTGCCACGGGTATTATAGCGCGTAGTAGGAGCTATCTCTATAAGCTACCGTTATACTATATAGAGAGAAATTAAAATATAAAGAGTAAAGACGTAGGATAGTAGTCTAATAGTTTATAGAGAGATATAGGAATGTATTTATAGAGTAATCTTACTCTTATATAAGGTTAATTCCTAATAAGTAGGAATCGGTTTATACGGTCTACTTATATAGTAACCTCGCTTAACTTAGCTAACTTAACCTAGCTCTAGCCACTACGTGGCTACATGGATTAGAATAATCTATATAGGTCTATTATGGTTCCCGTCCTAACATAATAATAGTATATATAATACTACTAGTACTTCGCTCTATTATTTATCTATTAGAGATAATACCCGTATTACTAGATCTAGCTAAAGCTATTAGCCCGCTTAAGTATCTCTATAGGCTTAATAAAGGATAAGAGATATTACTAATTAATGCCTTTATATATAGACTTATTATTAGGGTTAATAATAGAGTTATAATCTAGATCTTCTACGCTATCTATATTACCTAATTCTATCCTAGAGGGCTCTCGAACTAGATAACTATATAGATTAGTAGATATAGACTTATATAGAATAGGGCTAATACTAGAGAGAGATAGTATCGTCGAGTTATAGGTAGTAGTATCTTAAGTTAGTATTAGGTTCTAAGATATATCTTAAGGCTTCTTTATATATATATTACGCTACGAACACTCGGTCTAGCTATACTACTTTTTAAATATATCTTAAGAGTACTCCTTAGGGGTATAAATAGACCGCTAGAATACTATATTAAGGTTATTAACGCGTAGTTATTAACGTAATAGTATTTAATATATATAGTAAATAAGGGAAGTTAGCCTACGGCCTAACTCTAGTACTTATAAAATTAGAATAATCTTAATACTATAGTCTATATATATATATACTTTAGTTTAGTTTAATTATTTATAGTTTAATACTATCTTAAATTAAAGTTAAACTAAAGCGTTAGTTCTTAGTAAGAGGCCTTAACTGAACTAAACTAACCAGTTCTTGAGGCGGTCGAATTGAAGTTGAACTGATTGATAGGAAGTCTGGGTGTGAGACGAGTTGGCGAGGGAATATGGTCATTTTGGATGTCGGTGTGCTTGGCGGTGATATAATTTATGGAATTTAGTGTGTTTATGAGTATGGTATTGTGGATATGGATTGATATGAAAATTTTTGCAGAGGGAGGGTATGAGTTGAAATTCCTGGCAGGAAAAGATTCTTTTTTGGTGTAGGTTAGGTCTGTGGAGGGTAATGGTTCTTCGCATGGGCGTATAACGATATTCTATGTGTGAATATGATGCTGGGCAGAAAGGTCTTGTAGAAGAAAAGATGCATGAGGTATGGGGCTAAGTCTAAGAGCACAGAGCGTTAGTAGTGGGTGGTAACATATGCAACCTATCGAATCTTCTCACTAGATATCATACAGAATATAATACAACCCCCTCACAGATCCGCATCGCACATCTAATCCCACCACACCAAACTCCTAATCTCCATCGACTCGCGCAACTCACGCACATCCCTCGTGCGCGGGTCGACAAACGACGAATGCGCAACCCCACCCGCCACCGACCCATCATCCAGCGACTCCCAGATCTTAAACACCCAGACCTCATCCTCCGTCATCTCGTCGGCAAAATACCAACGGTGCGCCTCGTTGTAGCGCACGTGGAGCGCACTCAGACTCGGGCGCGACGCGCCGTATTTTGCGCCGCTCCAGGTGGGCAGACGGGCTGTGAGCTCGACCTTGTCTGTCTCGGCGACGCTGCGGGCGTCGCACATGGCGAGCGGGTCGCGGGGGATCTTCTTGAGGGGCCGCCATACGTTTATTAGGGCCCAGCGGCCGCTTTTGACTTTGGTGACGAGGTCGGCGGGGAGATTGTCTTCGAGGAGGGCGTTGGCGCCGATGGCGGATTGGTCAATGTGGACGACGCGTGCTGGGGTCGCGGTGGTGGTGCGTTCTTCGTCGCTGGTGGAGGCGTCGGCTTGGGCTTGGATTTTCTCGGGGGAGCCGTTGCGGGTGACGTGGGAGAAGACAAGAGCGTTGTTTGCACCGGTACTGGTGGGGTGTAAGTCGGTGCGGGAGAAGTTGAGATTAGGAAGAGGGAAAGGAATGGGGAATTACCATTTCTTGAGCACTTCTTCGATTTCTGGGTAGATGTGCTTCTTGACGATGTCTTTGTCGGGCTCGTTGACCAGGTCCATGTGTTTGCTTGGGTGGTGACAGAGCTCGAAGCCGTGGGTATCGAGTTTGAACTCGCTTTCATGGCCGCGAATGTCGTGTGCGGTCGCGTTTTGGGAGTCGACCTTGCGGCGGAAGGGTTGGACAGTGCCGAGGATCAGGTCATAGCCAGCGTCTTCATTGAAGTAATTGAAAGTAGTATCCACTTGGGCAACCATTTTGAATGTGTAGTATAATCCAAATAGAGTGAGAAGGAGAGTTGGGTGTTGATGAGACAGTTTAGATGATTAGAATCGAGAGGTGCTGGGTGCATGTTTTCAGCGTTATATGGGAAGTTCTGGAGTCGCGTCTATAGATACTGACGTAGTGTGGAGGATGCAGCTCTTTACCACGAGAAGCTGATGTCCGAAACGTTCAGCATAATCTGTGCTTTGTCCACGGATACATGAGGCTCTTCGGTCTCAAAGAGATAAACATAGCGTTATGATCTCCGAGTCGGAGACACTAGGCGTCCACGGACGGAGGGAACGTCACACAATTATCTGACTGACCTGGAAGGAGTGTCTAAGGGGCAAGATGGATCCGAATCATCGAAGACCGGGTCAAGAGCATGGCAGACTGAGAGTGTGTTCAAAAGCTACCAACAATAGCAACACTCATTTACGTACACAGCCTCAGCTAATGTGGAGTCGGAATGAACAATGGCAAGCGACTACATCTACAGATGGCTCAGATGCCCACTGTGATACGGACACATCTACTGAGCATCAGATATGCAGTCAGCTATTCCAGTCACCGAAGGATATTACTTATGGTGCGACAACAAACGTAGGTCATCAGTTGGCAAGCTCATAGGGAAAGAATGACGTACTGGTCGACCGCTCATTGTACCGTTCAGGAGCCGTGCATTCGTTTCAGAAATGAGCTCAGGATTGTTAGATCAGAGACCTCTATGCCTCAAAAGTTCATGGATGACGAAAAAGAGATCTTAATCAGCCGCGAGGCCCTGCTCTTACACCCGAGGATCGCGCAGAGTGAGCAGCATGCGACAGATATGAGTGAGTTGTTCCAAATGAAGAAGTTGCGGCTTATCTACACGATGTAACGACTTTCTCAAGTCTATGAGTGCCGCTCCATTATGAGGGTTTCTTCCGGGACGAGGTCAAGTGCAGCGGAAGAGCGGCTGCGAGCGGGGATTTGTGTGGGACGCATATTAGAGGCGAAGCATCAGACATGCATACGTTGTGTTACACCTATAATATCAGAGATTTCGATGTGCGGTGCAAGTTCCAAGCCAAGCGTATGGTTCTATGTGTTAAATGTTTGATTTCCTGAGACCCATGGATATTTCCTAGCTGGAGGTGGCATTCCTGAGGGCTATTTGTGAGTGTGTATTGCGTAACGATCGGTAGGTGTCCGTAGTGAGCTTGTGTGTGTGCGCGGTGTTATGATTCCATTTCGAGATTCATATCTCGCGGGCCCTCCGTGATAGGCAAGTCTCACCACGTTACTCAATCCTCATTTGTATTATGATCCGAGCCAATGAACATAACAAGCCACGAGATTCATATTATATTCCATCAAGGGTAAGCGACCGACGAAGGAGGAGGGAGTGGATGTGGCACAGCCTGACAGCGTCGCATAGCGGAGGCAAAGTACTACTACCTGCAAAGTACGCGCAGTTACTACTGGCATGAGTTGTGCTTGATTCGACATGTTCATCCTGTTAAGTGGAGTCGCTCATCTGCAAGGCTGAGCTCCAAGGATTGACCGACGCGTAAGTGTGAACCATCGATCCTAGCTCTTTGTCCCTGTTCTTTTTCTTTTTCTTTTCCAAACGGGTTGCGGAAGAAGATAATCATCTCGCATAACGCAGCGATTGGTCAGTCAACCTCATTGTGTCTTACATGAACAACATGACTCCTGTATTTTTACAGAGAAAGTGCGCGATGTCTTCACAGAGCCGTTTGAGAACATTAAAGGCTGAGTGACGACTGAGTATACACGTCTCAATAGTGTTCAGTATTGTATCTGGCTCACTTCTTGCCCGTGCCGAACAAGTTTGATTAGTTCTTATTCATCGTTTCGAGCAAATCGATGACAGAGTTACACGATGCGGAGATTTCGTAAAGGCGATGACTAAGGTAGAGGTATATATGATCATAGATGTGAATATTTCGGCATTGCGGATCCGGTTAATGCCAACTGCAGCTTAAATTTGATTGAAACACCACAACATGGCCGATTGCAGACGGAGTCGGAAGTCAACAACAATGGGAAGTGGAGGCTGAAGTGCATACAGTCTTGATCTGCACTGAGCCAGGGAAAGCTGATCATGCCACACACGAGCATTGTCTATTGCCTTCTTTCGGGTTACGAAGTGGCTCCAAACTCAGACAGCTAATGGAAAGAAGACATTATACCCATGCGCGTTTAGAGGAGTTCCCATTCATCAAACGACTCCATACATACCACTGTGTTGCTTTACTCTATGTGCTCGAAGGACATGATGTTCCAATAGCTCCTGCCCCGCCGAAGACACAACGAGCCAGATTTGATGGAAATCGATTTCCGCCGATCTGACGTTTTTGTACCTTGTCGGAGGGTGATAGTGCGACAAGGGAGTGATCCTTTGTTGGCTGGCACCCTTAAGGGTACGTGTACGAAGCGGGAAGCCATCAGCAAGGGTTACGAAAGCTTGGAGTGAAGATGGCTTATTGGCAAAGCTTGTCCAGACTTTCTTCGAAGACGCGTATGCTAGCTAAAAAAAAGCTGCGTAAGATTAACCACGATTCTGTTTGTTCGTCAAACGCTGCTTGGTGGCGAGTTGATCTGACAAGGTCGAAGTTATGTATTAGTACTGTGATCGCTCGATTTCGTAGACCAACACTGCAAATCCTTGGTAAGCCGTAGTTGAATCCTTCATGCAAGGCAGCCCGCGTGAAACTAACCCGGCTAAGCTTGCTTTTACAACCTCACAGGCATTGATATGAGTCTCGAGACCTACATTTGGAGACTAGCAGCTTCATATGTTACTCACAGGCTCCAGCTTAATCATTAGCTTCTGGCCTCGAGGACGCGCAGTATATGCATCTTCTTGTTCAATGCCAGTATCGTCAATGATATGAGTCCTGTAGCTAGTATAAATCGCCGCGATGATGAATTTCATTTCTGTTAAGATTAGCTCTGTTACTGGCTCTGAGTGTCGATGCTCACGATAGATAGCCAGGTTACTACCAACACACATCCTCCCCCCGCTGCCAAAAGCCCAGAACCATCGGTCCATTTCCTTCCTCGCTTCGCCCTCAGTAGTCAACCATCGCTCAGGAGAGAACTTAGAAGGGTCAGGGAACACATCAGGATTAGAGTGCAGTGTTAGCGCATTTGCACTGACACGAACACGTCCTGGGATGAAGTACGTTCTGCCTGACTGAGGGCTGGTGGAACCTGTCTGAACATCAGGGCCTATGAAAGCGCCTCCGACTGGCGTCTCACGTGGTTGAGGCCCAGGGATTGCTGAGTGAAGACGTAATACCTCCTGAATGATGGCTTGGAGTAGAGGCAGCGAGTCCACTGATTTCGCGTCTGGGATGTCCATACTTCCCGGTTTTGACGCAGAAAGAATCGGTGATAACGTCAAAAGCTCTTTACGCAGTCTCCCTTGTAGGTGTTGATTATGTGGTCGTGACAGCTCCCACACCAAGTAGGTCAAGGTGATCGCCGACGTGTCGAAACCCGCAGCGAAATGGTCCAGTAGCTCAGAAGCGATCATCAGCCGCTGTTCATGAGATGATCGATTTGATCCAGTTTTCGCTGCCTCTCTCTCGAGCCCTAAGCGTAGTTGCTGGTAGACGATCGGGGTGTTCTCAGGATCTTGTTGAACACCACTATCCAGAAGCTTCCTTGCACCATCAACCATAATCATGGTCCACTCTTCAATCTCGCCGTTTGCTTTTGCGACCAGATCTGGCACAAAATACTTTCGCAGCCCGAATCGGTCCATAAGTCTCAAGAAGCCTGGTGTCTCGAATGGCCAGAAGCTATAGCCATGACGCGAGTTATAGTTATGCATGAAGTGTCCGCATACTATAGGATTCTCGGTGAAGTTTGCGGATACCGATAATCCAAAGATATAGGATGTAACAATGTCCATTGTCATGCCGCATAACACAAGATACATGTCACATACGCCATGCGTATGCCGGTAGCCACCAGACATACTCCCACTACATATACCATCAAGCATTGGTAATATGCGCTTATGAAAGATGATGGAACTCCGGGCTGCCAGCTCCCTCGATGACTGGATGTTTGATTTCGAATAGATGTTGGAGATCATACGTTTCCGCTGAGAGTGCAATTTCCCCGATGATGTTGCGAACATGTTCATGACACTATGGGTTATTAAGTTCAACTAGCCATCCAACAAGGGCCGAGCCAACATACTTGAAATTCGTAAAGTTCCCATACCATCCGTCCTTCCCTGTCGGCTTCTCCATGCCTCCTCCATACACCGTCGAAAGTCCACCCTTAACGCAATTCACACTGACTTCATTTGGCCCCAGCAATACCACCGGCCCAAGCCGGTCATGCACTGCCTTAATGGTCGCATTTTCCACAACTCGGAAACGCTTCCAGAGTATCCAAGCAGAGGAGAATTGAGCCAGCGGGTGAGCTGCAGGCACGCGTCGCAGCGGTGATATAAATGCCGGTACTATGAAAAACAGCGGCACAAGGACAAGGGCAAAAATAAAAAGTAGATAGGAATTCAAGGAAGCCATGGTGAAGTATAATTTGCGTCCAAATATTGTGTATGTTTGGTGAATGTAGCTGCTATCGCTAAAGCGGGGCATGTTTAGTCGCCTCTGATAAGGCGGCCACTTCGGTAGGCTTATCTAGCCAATCAGAACGCATCTCCATACCATATCGGGTAATTATCCGAGTATATCCAACGTAGGAGGTCGTCGCGCTGAAAAGGTTACAGACGGATCGCTGGAACAGGCTTGACAGCTCATAAGAACCGATATATTCTCTACTTAAGATGTCAGGTGTCAGGCTTGTAGACAAGGAAACTTCTTTGCTATCCATTAGATAGCGATTTAAAAGACTCTATAGCGTAGAGAAACTAGAATATATTTACCTTTCTATAGTATTAATGATAGCTAGAAGATTGTATAGGTCTTATATAGTGTATAATATAGTAATAATATCATATACACTCTATACAAGAACTGTAGAATCTCGGGCTTCGTATAATGACTCTCTATCTTGTATACTAGAGTATTAGTCTAACATTTAATCTTATATCTAATTGAATATCATATGTAGTATATAGATATTAATTACTGTGTATTAGCTATAGAAAGGATATATATCTTCTATGATGATATTAGTCCATCACGCTATAATGTATGTAGTACTCTATAACATCTAGTATATTATAGTCGAGGTTTCATGAGTTGGCTATGATAAACACACACGTGCTATATCAAGGTATACGTCTATGACCTGAGCGTATATCTAATTCTCTACTATGTCCCGCGGAATAGGTTGTATGGAAATGTGTTTACTATTAAAGGAGACATGGCTCCACAGTTAAAGAAATACAGTATGGTCTCCTCTATACTGGTCGCACAACCGCTCAAGCTGTCTACTAGTACATTTTGATCCCCACTCACCTCCATTACTTATTGATATGATATAGTACACACGCGAGCTGAGCAACTACACGTTGCCCTCCCACCCACTTCCATCTCCACCAACCTTCTTCCTTCCTTCTCCTCCAGCCACCTACTCCTCCATGGCCTCTCCATCCCCCCTCTCCTCCCCACCCGGAGCTCCATCCTCCCCGCCCTCTTCTCTCTCTCCGTTCCACCCCTCCTCCTCTTCACCCGCACGAACTTCCATCATCCCACCCTCTCGCTCCCTCCGCTGCTGTTCCAGCCGAAGCTCCAAGGCATACGCACGGTGCTCAGAGGCACAGGCGCGCGCATCCTCGATGCACTCGAGAATGCCCAGATCTGCCGTGTGCGTCCACGCCATCCCAACGCGGTTGACGTCTGCGTGCGGCGGAAGCGGGTATGCCTCTAGCCGCAGTCCATGAAGGCGAGCCGTGATCTCACGTTCGTTGGCGTGCGGTGCGGAGGCAAGGGGCTCAGGGGCTGGTTGAAGGCGTGGAGGCGGGTCGGAGTTGGCGGTCCTGCTGGATTCACCGTTGTTGCGGAGTGAGGCGGTGTTGGCGAGATTGTCCTGCGTGGTGGAGTTTTGCAGCATTTGGTGGAGGCGGTTTGGTCGTGCTGAGCGCGTTTGAGGGCGCTGGGTGGGTTGGTGTGGTGGAGGCAAGGCTGGTTGTACGAGTCCTGAGGTCTGAGGTGCGGTCGTGTTGTGTTGGCTGTATGAGAATTGGGGAGGCTGCTCCGCCAGAACCGCGGTACGAGCTGGCTGTGCTATCTCTTTCGTCGTTCCTCGAGGCTTTGATAGGGCTCTGGCCCTCTTGCGCTGAGTATCGGTGTCAGTGCTGGTGTCCTCGGCGTCAGCCATCCTTCTTTTTCCCCTTGCTTTCTCGGAGAGCTGTAGTCGTAGCAGCGGCAAAGGATGAGCTGTGTTTGTAGGGTCTGGGATGATTGGGAGAGAACGCCGACCATACATGCTTCTCAATGCCTTTCGGACCTTGTAGTCCGGTCTCTCAGTCTGACGTCCTGAGCGGCGCGTAGTGGTAGGAGAGGAGTCGTCGACCTCGTGCATGATGATTGGCTGCTGTTGAGATATGGGTTCGGTTCTGACGACTCTGACTTTTCCAGAAGCATCGATTTCGAATCGTACCTGTAGTTTTGTTATACGTTTCTCACTTTGTGAGACCTCTCCCTCGACAGTTTCAGTGCTCATATCTCCACCGTTGGGGTGGACTTCTCCAGAGCGATTATTGATGAGCTTCTTGCGTTGCATTTTCTCCAGACAGTTGGCCAGCGCTATTTTGTTCGATGCCTTATCAACGTCTCTAGCTGTGAGGTATAAGTAATGGCGGCCCTCGCTCGTACCCGATTGTCTTGCCATAATCTCGCGGGTCAGTGCCTCCAGAGCACCTGCACGATTGTTCTTGGTGACTATAGCGAGACGTTCCATGGACTTTAATAAACCCAGGGGCCAATAGATGGGTGGCAGTGGTTCTGAATCCAGACCTTGTTGATCCAAGGTTACCTCCTGCAGGATACCGTCCGCGCCAGGAATACCACGAGGTGCGTACTTGAAGTCTCTTGGTAGTATCTCACTTTCTTTCGTTATGCCCCAAAACCATTGGATCTGATTGATAAATTCGACTGTCTTTGCAGTCTGCTGATTCCTGGACCTCTGTGAGATACCTATTTAGCGGGAACTGTCTAGTCGTTGTAGTGTCCGGATACTTACTCTTGTGGGATATGTAGAAGTTGTATTGCTTGCAGGCCTGGCTCCCACCTCTCCATCTCCGTCTTCTGCTTCTTTTTCTCTTCCAGAGTCGGAATTCAAGTATACGATTGCATCATCTACGTCTTTCTTCGTGAAAGACGCGATATAATTGTCATCGCCATCACCACGACGCCGCTGCATTCTCTGATACTCTAAGGCTCGCCTGGCTTGCTTGGGCCTACCTTTCGTGATCTGGGATAGTTCCAGCATGCTCTCAAGCAACTCAACATCCCAGTCCTCTAGTCTCACGGCCGCCCAGCCAGCAGGGTCATCCCCAGGGGCAAGAGGTATTGGCGTGAAGCCATCTTTTTCGTAACCTTGCACCCGAGGTAGCAAAGGAGTACTCCCTCCGGTAGACTCTGATACACCTAATGGAGAGCCCCAATTTGCATGGCATGCTTTTGCTAGCTCCTGGTTTCTCTTAAGTTGCATTTGTGTTAGCCTCTGCGGTGCAATATATCTTAGTACTAGCGAATTCTGTTAGGATATGACGCGTGCTTACTCTTCTCGGGGGCTCTAGAAGTGGCACTTCGTCGGATGAAATGTTAGACTGAGTAGAATCTTCCATTATAAGTGAGTAAAAGGAGGCAATCTTGACAGAGAGAATGGGGATAATAATCGGAAAGATGTTGTATAGAAGGTGCTTCAGGTTGCGTAGCTTGCTATGATATTGGTTAGCAGCGCAAATTTTGCTTAGACAAGCTTGTATTTACTTGACGCGAAAACCTTTCGCCGGGACCGTGTGCTTTCACAATGTGTAGTTTCACCGTAAATGTACCTCTGAAGCTAGCCCTCGGGTACATAGTGTTACCAAAGCTTCCTTCTTCACTTCTTGGAGGACAAGTGGTTTTGATTGTAATACTTGCATATAATGAGGTAAGGGAGCCCCCGATATTCATTAGAATTAACGTGAATAGAGTGCCTTTAATGAAACCAGGACTATAACCTAGAAGAATCTTTCAATCTGGGGCTCTCTAACAGAAGATTCCTTTCTATAGCGAGTTTTGGTTTATATAGTATTAGTCTTAACCCAATGTAGCCATAAGATACAACTATTACTAAACTCATGACTTAAGTATATAGTATATATCTACAAAGTTTTCTACACACGTCTCGATTTCCAGCTAGTATTGAACCTATTGACACTAGTATAACCACTCGTTCAGGTACATCATATACTCATCGCAATGTCCTGGGAGTCGGAAAACTACGAAAAACACTACTGGATACTACTTTTCGGCTTGTTGAACCTCAATAGAGCTTGTTCATCGTTCGCTTGTGAATGGAATAAGAAGCGCTTAACACCTAATAAACTACTTAATTGTGGGCGGTGTCATGATATTAAATATTTCGTGTCTGTGTCAAATCACGTTTTTGAAAGGTTTATGTCTGATATCACAGGTCTAAACTTCGGGAAAATCTGTAAATGCACAGCTTTGAATAGGATGTATCGCTCTATCGTACTCAATAGACTTCAATCATTAAGACTACCTATACAATGAAATACATGGCTCCTAGAGCAGATCTTTATTCATGTGAAAGGTCGTTTCAAGTAAAGATAATACACGCGATGAACAACAGCATAAAGTGTATCAATATAAAAATCAAAAGAGATCTCTCAGATCATGAAACTCCTACATATGAGGAGCATATCGATTTATATAAGACTTGTATTCGCTAGTACCGATAGTAGGAGTTCCTAGCTCTAGACCTACTGTATGCCTTAATAGAAAGAATACTCTTATAGTTCAAGATTCTACCTAATCGTTGGAGTTCCAAGAGAACAGAACTCGTAGAAAGACTGCTATCCAAATCTCAAGTAGCCTCGTTGATATAGTGGTTTCTAAGTACTATGGTATTGCCTACATCTCTTGTGGGTGACTCAGGCTCCCTATTTATTATGATTTAGCTCTGTAGATGGATTTCTAGAGCTAGAAAATAGCCTAAGCATCCATAACGTATCCTAGACACGTAGGGATGCCTCTTCGTGTAGGCTTAAATACTTATATCGTTACAACATGGTTACATTCTCTCTTATAATAAAGTAGATCAGAAAAAGAGTAATCCATTACCCACACGAATCATCTGGGGGTAGTGATTAGCGGAAACCGTGTAATGACAAACTTGTTAGTATTTTTAAACACTTTCAGAGGACGTGGATCGATTAATGTAGACGCAAGCGTAATCGAAACGGCGAACTTCAAAGAGGGTCATACATGGTACGGTCTAATGTCACGACTTATTATCATATGTATCTGTGCACGCACGTTGGACACTGTGTATTATGTATACAATGCGATGTGTCCTAATCATACCAGAAACGTATTCTGTCCTCTTGGTCAACTTATTCGCCCTGTGCCTCCCTTTGCTCGGCCTCATAAATCGACAGTCCCAAGAACTGTCGATTGAGATCGGCATCAATGCGATCTACAAATGTTGAAGCCAGGGTATACCTCATCCGCATCTCCGTCAGGCTCATTCCGCCGTGGTGCGCAGCTGCGTACGCCCGCTGCGTCTCGTTGATGTCCACAGTATCTGACTGCCACCGGACAAGCTCATGGTTTGGGGCGAGGTCATTGGAGGGGAAGTCGGAATCTGCCACTACGGTCTTCCAGGACTCTGCTAGCGACTGCTCGTCACAGGGCCCCTGTGACCGAGTGTGTAGTGCTCCTACCACCCTTGTCTTCCTCGCTGGGCCCTCCGAGTCTAAGATGGGTACGTCCTTAGGCATGGAACGCTTCCTCTTGGGTCGCCTTGACCCAACCGGCTTGGGAGGCTGGTATGAGCTGTCTGGCGAGTCATCAGAGTGGATGACTGTCGTAGACTCTTTTTCTGGACTTTTATCAGCATCACCAATGTCATTATGCGCTGCTGGAGCGTGCTTACGTGTCTCGCTGATCCATCTGTCTGTTCTTTCTTCCTTAGTGCTTGATTGTAGGGCGTCGGGCGTCTGTCTCTTGATCCCCGCGCTCGATACTTGGGGAGTCTTGTGTCCACCTTTTGGGACCCCGGTGGCAACCACGACGTTTCTTCTCGTCGATCCGACTTGACTGGGATCATGAAGGGGCGCCATTGACTTGGCAGATGTGTGTATTGGTACCAGTCTGTCAAACGGCACTGGTTCTGCTGCCGTAGGTATCCCGACTAGAAAACGTTAATGCTTTTCCTGGTAGGATCCGGGTAACTTACGATGCTTCAACGGGATGGAATCACTGTTGGAAACAGATCCAATAGTCTTACGCTTGTGTGTAGCATCTGCCGTATGATCTTGAGAGCTTAGTCCTCCGAAAACAGGTGTCGCTGTACTATCAGCATCTACAGAGCTAAACACTTTCTCCTTGCCCTGCCCAGTTTCGACTGGCAGCGGAAGAGATCTAACATCTTGATTCAAAATAGCTCTGCTCTGATTACTTTTCTCTATGCCATATGTCAGTGTTATGCTATATATACGAGGTTAGTAGAGCATGTGTAACGTACCCTTTGCGTCGCTAAGAGCATGAGCGACATCCTCAATTATAAGGCCTCGATTCTCATCATCCCTGGGGTTGTCTTTGTCAGGATGTCTCAAAGCCCAGTGTTTGAGCAGCATCTTCCTTGCATCTACAGTTCTTCCTGTAGTGAGCTTTGCAAGCTCACACAATAGCTCTAGTAAGGCTAGATCTAGCTTGTCTTCCTGTACGTTCATGTAGATATCTCGGTTTGGGTTAGTGTTACGGGTCCTTAGTCGCCGAGGTGTCATTTGAGGACTCAAGAACTCGGTGATCTTATCGATCTTCCAAGCCTTTGTGATCATTTCAATGAGGTCCTGTCGACGCTGCTGTTCGATATCCATCTTATGCCGACGTTGGAACTCTTCCTGTTGCTACGAAGAATAAGATATGAAGCACTTGAAGTAGGAAGATACAGTCTTACCATGGTAGGTATACGCTCAGAATAATGCGTAAAATCCCTTTCCACACGTTCTAATACCAATCTATCCGCTAAGGCAGCTCCGTTACTGCTCCACGTGGGTATGTTGTCGGTACCGTGATCTGTACAGTCGATAAGTAAACTCAACTTTCTAGTGCAAAGTTCTTAGATACTTACACATCCTATACAAAGGTGTTTAGAGTGTAATGCATACAAAGCTAGAATGTAACGGGCGAAGTTGAGCTGGGACGTACTACAGTATTTATATAGATAGATCTGGCTGAGTATGTAGAAGGCTACCAAGTTTTACAAGAAATATTCCTCGGGCCGAAGGTGGGATTAGATCTCGCTAATATTGTGAATAAAGGGGCGCGGATGTGCGGTCCATGGTTCATCCGGTACGGTTTCACAGTTGCAGAGAAGTCACCCATGACACATAGTGCAATGCTACTTAGGGATGTCCAAAATGGACAACCAGATACCACGAGGAGAGTGCCGGTATATCTCTTATGTTTCTGTATGGAACCACTTAGTTTCGACCGACCTTGGCTTATGGTAATACGATTTTCAGATGCAAAGCGTTCTGTAAAATGTACAAAATTCTCCTTCCTTTATGTCTAGGGCTACAACAAACAGCTTCTATATGGATTCAAAAGCTATGACTATTAGTATGGATATAACGGCATCGCCGCCGCGCGTTTTCAGGGGTGAAAATTGAAGATAAATCCCAGAGACGTACACCATGAAACACTTTGAGACCGATATAGATACGAGTAAGAGATGCACATAACACGCACCGTTGAGGTTGAACGATCATTCGATTCAACGCCGTAATTCATTGTAGGTGTTTTGACTTGAACAGAGATGGACGTGCAAGAAAGACAGAATGCTATAAAACACTCTTAACATGTTCTTTCTATTTATTCACTGCAAACAAGTCCGAGTGAATAAGAGTAATACTCTACCACGTAGTGACTTCCTACACAGTCAGCGTGATAGAAACAGCAGAGTGTACGAATGGACAACGTCCTTTCCAGCGCTTCAAGTAACAACAGCTGTGGTTCCCTCCGAGTTGTAAGCAAATCTGCCAGCACTAGACACTGCGTAAGTGGTAAATTATTAGATGGATCGCGCTCTTAGAGCACCTTCGACTAGAAAGTGCTACAAGATATTGAGCTAGAAAGAACTTCTCTCTGGTCGGGCACAAGCTAGGGGCAGCGCCTTGGTCAAATTGAAAGCTATATCAAAGCCGTCCATGTGGCAAGAATGGAAGTCAGTCATTATAGTCAAACGACTCTTAGCTCGAGACATGGTTGCAGACCTGGGCATTGTGAAAGCAGTCCTATGTCAGCTGCGTACTAATAAGATGACCCAAGCTACACCACACCTCACGAAGGTGTCCTGATAGTTCTACGCTTACATGCAATATCTTAAGCCCCAGATCGCCTCCTTGTAGGCCTAACTTCTCTCATTGATCAAGCTGTTCCATGCTCGAGTTGTTCTATACTGTATAAGAGGCGGCAGATAGTAGCATCCTGACTTCTTGCCTATGTGTTTGTTGTTCTTTCTTGAGTAGCTGCTCGGCCGTCGGCTATCTTTGGGACTATATTGCTTTTTTCAGAGGGGAGTTCTATCGATTATATGCTTCGTAGCGGTCGGGCGACAGACACAAGGCCGGGCGTCTGATTCTCGTATGGCGACCGGGTCGTTCGATCTTGTTAAGCTAGCAAGCATCGTCGGTGCGGGAATCTTTGATAAGATGCAGGGGATCATCTATGGCTTAGTTGGAGGACAAAATGAGTATATAGTAGCCAATCATAACATAAGAACGTGTAAACTCACAAGCGGATATATATGCGATGACCCATTCGTAAGCTGATCCCTCCGTTATCAGTCACTCTACCTTGTATCGGTGTGTATAGTTTTCCTGTTCTAGTTGCCTTTGGCGAGTGGATTCCGATCTAGTCATTCATCTAGCATTGTGCCGTGGTCATATCGGATTGACGTGCACCCCCGTCTATGACTAGCGGATGAGTGTTTTTTTCGCATTTAAGGTATCTCATAGATTGCGGACCGTACTCATGGTCATAAGCAGATAGTGAAGTCCCGTCTCTGGTCTAAATTAGATTCGTAATGAGATCAACCGCGATAGTATGCACCACCATATGCATTCAATGAGATCGTGCAGGTGCGACTCACTGACATAGAGGTCGAAACACAACTTTTAGATAGATCACAGCGCTTGAATCTTTCCGCGTGATAGATCATACCCTCTGTGTACGCCATTGTGAAGGTTGTACTATGAATAGAGAGAAAGACATGTCAGTGAATGTTCGAAACACAGACATCGAATTGCATAGATGACACATTAGGATAGAATTTCAGTCACCGGGCACGACTTTACCGTCTAACTTCTGATTCACGATATACTGGACCTCCTTGTATAACACTTGCTCCGGATGTTTGAGCTTTGTGGTGATTGACGAAGGAGCCCTGCGCTGTTATGATTGACTGACAGTATCAGGGGCCCTGAAAGCAAATATGATACAAGGATCGATCTACGAACCGTTAGTGTATATCATCGCGTTTTGAGGTGTTAATTGTACGTTTATCGGCACATTAGTTGCTACTTAATAGTTCATCCACTGTGCACTCGTATTGGACAAGCTGACCAAAACTTTATATATTGATTACAGTATTCGGACATAATATCCAAATAGTTAAGCCCAGGTAAACATACGGCGAACACCGGCCAGAACTAACTTATACCAAGCTATCCAACACTACGCAGCGTGGCCCAATCTTTGTCTTCCCCTTATCAAACAGTGAAATCCGCCCAAGTCTACCAGGTTCTCTTTTAACAAAGCCATCAACCCCCTTCACAGAGCTGTATATCCTGTCAGGAACCAGCTGAGCACCTGCTGGGATAATAGCAACCCGGAAGCGTTTCGTGCCGGTCGGCGATGAAAGGTCACATGAGGCACCGTTCCGCGCTAAGCTGTGTATATAAATAAGGGACTCTAGTAACTCTTCTCGTACCAGAACACACCTTACTGTTCCATCTGGCCACTACAACTGTCAATGACCACGGGGCTTCCACATCCCTCATGTGCCCAAGGCCTCATAAGCACTGATACCCATCCCCAACACACCTCGCTGCCCAGCTGCATCATCATCGTTCACTATTTAGCCCGCCACTGCTGCTGCGGATCATCACCATCGCCGTCATCGCTGCCACCATTAAGATTCTGACCATGTCAGAGCACGAACCACCGAGGAACACAGCATCCTGGCAAAGATTGAATAAGCTGAAACTACAGTTCCATTGCTATCTCTTGTGTGATCATCGACACAGCCCAAGAGGCATGGGTGTGTCTGGAAAGCAGACATGAACCGCGGCACTCTTGTAGGGTTGCGAAGTATGGTGTGCTTTGTGGAGGTGTGAGTGGGTAAGAAGTGGATCATATATATACATACACATATTCGTAGCAGGCCCAAAAGCGACTATGCCAGGTAGATCCATTCAGTGACGATTGGTGTCATGAGTGTGGGTGTAACGGCACTGTGTGATTTCAATCATGCCATGGGTGACTACACTCTGTATAGTATCCATGTATCTCACAATGTGACTCATGTATATACACTTTCAATGTAACTAGTTTCATTCATAGACGCTAGTGGTGCCATTAACTATCACGACGGGTAAGTTTCATAGACGCCGAGCCATACGCCGAGTCATACGCAACCTGTGCCATACACTAGTGAAGTAAACAATGAACGTAGATGTACAAGCGAGGCGGAGCAGATTCCGCGAGGATGGAATTGTCCTATGAAATCCACGTACATGGTGCTTCAGCACTAGTGAAGTACCAGCCTACCAGGCGTGAACATGGAGACCAGAAAGGGGAACGTGTCCAAGGATGCTACACTCTAACACTTATACAAGGAGTCGTTCGATAGAAGACCAATCGTCACGACGTGACGTATATGTCTACAATAACATATAGTTCCGAGCGTCACGACAAGGGTATAGAGTAGCAATATCGATATCATTGTTAGCATCTCATTAGCAGCGGCATCCAATAACCACTGTGCAGGCCTTAAAGAAGTCCCGAAGCGAAGCCCGCGGAACACAAACAAACATAGAAAGCCTCCAAATGCCATATTAAGAACACGTATGACTGACTCCCTACATTGTGAAAAGCCATGGAGAGATAATCGCCTTTTTCAGGGGCTAGACGTGTTTCTAATTCGCGTGGAGCCAACGCCTGAGAAACAGGGAAACACAGGTTCCATACACACCTACCGCGCAATAGATATAGACTAACACGCACAAGGCTCGTTGTTCCTAGTCGTGAAGTTCTGGATATTACCAAGTCCAGCTTCCATGGTACCCCTGAGAGGTATCCAGACACTGTGAGCGTTTACCACAAGGTTAGCGCCCTACCTCTGGATGTTCCTCTTAGCCGGGTCGTTATAAGAACGGACGTTAATATAGTTTTGTAATTCCTCGTAAAGGTTCGCGTCTGTTACCCAATTGGGACTGCCGCTGCCTACTTATAAGCTGCCTACACCCACCCACTACGCTACAGCACTACATCCAACAGAGAGAAAAGCCTTTGTAAAATCATCCTTGAAGCTATATATTGTGCGACAAAATCGTCTCAGCATACTCGTATTTCTCTTCTATAACTCAGATCTTCGAACTGAACCCCACACACGCACCTCCCATATTTACAATGGTACATCCCTCACACCCGTTCTCCCAAAACCCACAGTCTCAAAACTTCAAACTAACTCACGTCTCCGAAAAACACAGCCTCCACCAGCCGCATTCCCCCTCGGCGAACCCTCACACGCCATCAAAAAGCAATACCTCGACACCATCTTCAACCGACCCATGCAAGACGTCATCCCCGCCGAACTCCACATCCGCAAAGCAACCCACAACCGCCTCCCACGGGCCAGCAACAACGTCCCAGACGTCCTGCTCCCCTACGAGAACTGGTCCCGCACGGTCATCGACCGGCTGTTCCAGCTGACCACGTTCTTCACGTCCGAACGGGACTTTGTCGAGGCGATTAGGATTGCCGTTGATAGTAGGCCCGAGGGCATGGTGAGGAGGGACGTGTACGGCTTCACGGCGTTTGATCTGGGCGTGATGCTTGGCCGTTTGAGGAGTGCGGAGCAGGGGCCGGAGCTGGAGGAAGGAGAAGATGAAGAAGACGGTGATGATGAAGATCCTGGAGAAGAAGGAGAGTACCAGGGCGTGGTACTGCGCGGGATAGAAGATCCTGCTAACGATCCTGCCGTTCCGCGCCCAAAGTCGCGCTCAGGCAGCGACCGCCCAGTAGCACTCGACGCTGCTGACAGAGGTAAGGACACCGCATCCCCTCCATACCAAACAGGACACTAACACTCCACCCCACAGAGCACGGCATCATGCGGCACGCAGCCAGCGAACCAGCTGACGGTGGCGTAGCCGTCAGACACAACACGCAACAGATGCCGATGCTGAGACAGCGCAACTACGACGAGATGCAGCGCCGGGAGCGGCAGCTGCGGAGAAGGTATTTCCGGGCTGTGGCGAAGCGGTGGCATGCGGAGGCGGAGATTCATGCGTTGGATCTGGCGGACTACTACTCCGACCAGGCGGAGAAAGAAGAAGAGGGGGAGCGGGAGCAGAATGGTGAGGAGGGAGAGGGGGGTGTATCATAGATTGTGTGTAGCAATATTTGACTGTGGCCTTGTGGTGGGTCGGATGTGTGTTTCGACATGTACTGGTTCATGGTATTGCTAATCCTTGTAGACAGTACGGATTTGGTATCCAGTGGAGCGTTTCAGAATCGAGCGTGAATTCTAATGTAATTATTTTTCTAGCATTCGACCAGTCACGAAGTCCATGAAGGAAGGGACTACACTTGGATATTACTTCAGCTTATCTACGAGGTGTATATATGTCGTTCCAGAACCGATCTTATGAATTGAAACCGTACGATATCAAGGTTTCGGCGAGCTTTAGGAGGAGAAATCACCCATATATTGTAATCTTTTGATATTCTCTTATTCCCGAAAAGAAGAAAATCCTGTATCTACTATAAGGTATCTAAGTTTCCCTATACTAAACTCAACTAGATTCATCTATATATCATAAGATATCGAAGTTCCTTCGAGCTCCAGAAGAAGAAATTCATGTACATATAATAACCTCTGTATATTTCGCTATGTTGTAAAAGAAGAAAATTATACAACTATGATAAGATACCTACGTTTCCTTCTATATTATGCTTCTATATATTTATCTATAACTTATCATATATAGGAGTTTTATCATGCTATAGAGAATGAAATGTATATATCTAATCGAAGAAATGAAAGTTATACTATACTCTAGAGTAAGGTATTAATCTATATATTATAAGATTTCCGAGTTTCGTTATACTAAAGAAGAAGAAATTCCTCTATATGTTATAATATATTAAAATTCTATCCGCCTATAAGATAGTAAATTAATCTCTCTATTATAGAAGATCTAACTTTTACTATACTCTATAGTTATAAATTCATCTATAAACTCTATTATATCCAAGTTTCGCTATACTCTAAAGTAAGGAATCTATCTACAACTTCTAAAATATATATATACTCCCTTAGTCTATATGAAAGAATAACATTCAATATAACCTCTAAGATATCTATATTCAAATAACCTCTATAGCTGTCACGGAAGTGACACATGATATGGAGATAGCAGGAAGGATAGTATGGAGATAGCAGGAAGGAACCAGGGACACCGGATTCCACATAGATAGCTGGAATCCGTAGGTAGTTACATCAATCAATCAATACTTCACAAGAGAGATGACAACTTCATTATCCATAACATCTTGGTAGCTGAAAGCATACCACCAGCTAGTCATCTTCGAAAGAAAGACAAGCACTAGTTAAACATAAAGACACCAACGTCCGAACGTACCAGTTCTCCGAAACCGAATCCCAAGACGTCAATACCCGACTCAGTGAACAAAAGACGCTTCCGTAAACATTCAGCCAAAGAGTTCATGAATACGGTGAGACAAACGGAAAGGATAAAAGAATACCAGACAAGGTAACGTTTCGTCACCGTCACCATCGTTAAGACACGTAAGGGTATCGAATTGCAAAGAAGTCCAAAGGAAGGAGCCACGGAATCGGGAAACAAAGAAAATTTGCCACCAGAGGAAAACAGGAATGAGTATCCGCTCCAGGAGCCTTCACCTCATCCCAACCACACCAAATTCCGCGAGACTAGTCCTAGAGGATTGCATGAACGTCGCATAACCAACAGTGTCCAAGAAGGAGTTGTGCATCAAAGGATCGGGCTCTTTACGATTCATGTCCATAACAATAGCTATAAATTTATCCATATAGTATACTATATCGTAGTTTCACCGTGCTTAGCTCTGAAAGGCATAGCTACATAGCATAGAACACCTACCTTCCGCTCTATTATACACTACCAAATTCATGCACACCCTCTAGAGAACCTAGACTCTATATCTACCTACATGGGCTTTCTCTGAAACGACCGTAAGGTCGTTTTTGGAGCAGCGGAGGTTCTCGCAGGCATGTGGCGCGCCTGATCTGTGGCAAAATCACTGTCGATTTCCTCTTCGTCTGACGAGATGACGACTCGTTCTTTGGCTAGTCCAGGTCGAATCACATTGAGCTCCTGCTTTATGGTCGGTTTCTTCAAGATAGGATCGGTCGTGATGACTTTATCCAGGCCCTGTGCCCTTCTTGCGGTGTGGACCTTTTGTCGAAAGTTCTGGAACGACGCAATATGGGCGTCTAGGTCACTTGTGACTTCCAAGGAGTCTTCCGTTGCTGAGATGGTGTACTCGAAGGTTGGCCGCTTATGCTTACTCTCGACCAAGTTCACGCTACATTACAAAGTCCATAAACCCAGTATATTCTACCACATTCCCCTCTTCTACCCTCTATAATACCGATATACACACTCCGAATTGCTCTGGTATTACATCCGTCCAGCCTGCTGAACTCATCTACACGGCACGGGGTACCTAAGTTCTACCATATTACACCCCAAGCAAACCACATACCCATCCTACCTTTCCGCCGTTACACCTCGTTCGACACTACCATCCCCTATGAACCTCCTAACATAGAAATACACCGCCGATGATAGAACTCCGGCCCTAACTTACTCTATCTATATCTTCTATCTACACATACATCTACTAACCTTCAACCTTACTAGGCGCTAAGAAGTCATTCAAACACAACGGCAAGGCCAAGGTCAAGCTCAAGCTCAAGAAGCAAAAAAAACAATAGCCAATACCCCCACAAGCGCCATCAAAGACCAAAAAGGAGACGTTCAAGAAAAGCCCGCCAATCCCTACTTACTACAGAGACGCACCCGTAAACATACACTAAAAGCAACGAAATCCCCTAAAAACAGTATCATCAACGATAAGAAATCCGCATATGGATTCTATACCCGAAATGAAAGTACCCATCGTCATCCACTCATCTATCCATCCATTCATCATTCATCAATTAGTACGACCTTCGCGGAAGCCCCCCGATCCATCGAAGAGGACAAACGGGTACCTATAGATCCCATCCTAATGCCATGCCATGCCATCCTCATCCCATCCCCAATTGTCAACGCCAAAAATAAATAACAACATCCCTCCTCTCCATCCTCCCTAAAAGCTCCCCAGCCGATTCTGAAAACCCCAGGTAGAAAAGAGAGAGAGAGAGAGAGAGAGAGAGAGAGAGAGAGAGAGAGAGAGAGAGAGAGAGCGCGCGTATCACTGAAGCTTAGCACATGCATCCATGGATATAAGGTCAGGGGCGCAACGCAGAGGACGAACGATACATGGCAACGAAATGAAGTAGGTAAAAGCGCTTTTATTATTCATGTTCCGAAAAAAAGGCTGGCTGTATACATGAATACATACAAGATCTATGCCTCCCGTCCGCTTTAATGTTTGACCTGACTGCTGACTGATTACTAAGCCCGTCGATGAATGCTGCTATAATGATAATGATGACGACGGTGATGATGATGATGATAATAATAAAAATGATGCGCTAACAGGCCTTGGTAATAATGATAGTGATAGATAAATAAAAAGTGCTATGAAAGTATACCAAAGACTCTCTCCCACCCAATGCGAAAATGCAACATGCGATGCCTCATGTCTGAATAAAAATGTATGTGCTGCCCTTATCTCACAAAAACCTCCCGGATGAAATATCAACAGACTGAACCACATTCACTGTAGCTCGCCGAAGAATTGGCTTGCGCTGATAATGTCCGCGTCGCCATCTGCAAAGTCCCAGCCGACAATTGTGGGATCTTGCGAGCAGCAGATGATCCGTCTAGCGTCGAATTGCAACTTGAAGACGCGTGAATTGGTGCCCTGTTGGACGCCAAGCGGTCCCAGCGGATGATGATGGTGGTGGTGGTGATTATGACCGTGGCCGTGGGCATGATTGTGGTTATGATGATGGTGATGCGGTTGGGCTTGAGGCGCTGGTGCATTGGCGGGTGCATTATTACTAGCTGCAGCACTCGCAGTCCCAGGAGCATTGTGAGACTGGTTTTGGGTTGCCTGAGCCTGAGTCTGAGATTGACTATGGGAGTGTTGAGCTTGGCTTGACGGTTGGCCACTTGATTGACCTTGACCAGGCGCATGCTGTGTAGAACTCTGGTGAGCCGTGGGGCGATTAGTGGCATTATTGGGCGCCGCGTTGGTGGCGGCGAGTCCATGCGGAGCATTTTGATTGTTGCTCGCGGCAGCTTGAGCAGCCTGAGCAGCTTGTGCATTGTTTGCTTGTTGATGAAGTGCTTGCGCTTGCTGAGCGAGCATTTGCGCGTGAGCAACTTGAGCGTGAGCTTGAGCGGCGAGGGCTTGGAAGTTGGCTTGCACTGCAACAAGCTGGTTGACAGCATTGTGTGCATTGCCCGCGTTTTGTGCACCGCCTTGTTGCTGCTGCTGCTGCTGATTCTGTTGCCCAGTCTGTCCATGCGGGTGGTTATGCGCTTGTTGATGTTGTTGAGTTGGTCTGTTCCGCGGTCGATCTCCAGCGGATCTGACGGCCTCGTTCTGGAGTAGAATCTTGCTCACCACCCAATTGCCGCTCTCTGCATCTTTCTTCCAGACTATCACACTCTCATCGTAAGATCCAGAAACGATTCTAGCCCATCGACTACCGCCTCCACCCGGCGGCAGCTTGGCTCCGTACGCAAAGATATCTTTGGGATCTTTCGATCCTGCATTGCGCATACGACGACGATCGCGGGACAGACTATCTTCTCCAAGCATTCCACGGTCTCGAGCTTCGAAAAATTCCCGGTCTACCTTTCTTGCTTCTGCCTCGAGTTCTTCTTCATTTCCCGGAAAATCGCCAAACGATGCCTGGACTGTGCGAACGAGGTTTTTGTGACCATTCAAGCAAGCCACTTCAGCGCCTGTACTTTGATCAAAGATACGGACAGACTCGTCCGACGATCCACTGACTATGCGACGTCCGTCGAATTGTACGCATGCTATGCCCTTGGTATGACCTTGAAAGGTTTTTAAGCATTTGCCAGTCCTCACATCCCAAACTTTGACAGATCGGTCGCCGGAAGCTGACACTATTTGCTTGTCGTATATCTGGATCGCATTGACGGCTGCAGTGTGTCCTTGTAAGGTCATTATCAAGCTATACTCCGGCAGAGGTTCAATATGATTGCGCTGCAAGTCTGGCACTTGGTCCATACTGATGATATGCTGTGGGAAATGAGCAGACGCCGCCGTGGTTACTATTGGATAGCAGGGATCCGTAGGAAGGAGCTGCTTGCGGTTCCAGACCTTGATCGATTTATCCTTTGAACAACTTATAAGGTAATTCTCATCGAATCGGAGGTTGAGAACAGATTCGGAATGGGCGCGTGAGAGCTTCTTGAGGAGCTTTCCTGTAGAAAACCGCCAGACGATGATGTGGCAGTCGCTTCCTCCGGAAATGACCACATCTTCTTGTGGACTGTCGTCGAACTGCAAGCATAGCACAGAGGCACTATGCCCTAAAAGTGGCGGTCGTGTAAGGCGTTGTGTTTCCATGTTCCAAATCCGCACAGATTTGTCTCTGCTACCGCTGACCAGATGCTTGCCGGAATACTGGATCGTGTAGACGCATTCAGTATGTGCCTCTTGCGGATAATCAGGGTTCGGAAATTGGAAATTCTTAAATCGACCTGCATTCCAATTGTCTTCGAGTCGTCTCTTCTGTTTGTAGAGATAATGCCAGTTGATCCTTGGATTGTCACTGGAATCATCTAGTAGTAACGAGGGCTTCACAGGTGGCTCCAGAGGCGTCGAAGCAGCCGGCATAGGAATATGGTCGCTCTCGAACGAGACGTCCTGCATGCGGTCAGGACTGTTGTTGAGGCTCTCATCGGCTTCTACCTTGCCATGCTGTTCGGCCCAGCCCATTGTAATGTCAGGTTCTTCCACCGTCATTGGTGTTGGGCCGTCGCGGGATTTGCCGCTGTCGTACGCACGTTTCTTGCTTCTGAACCTCTCGGTTCCTCTGTCTGCGAATCTGACGCGGCTCTTCCGATCTCGCAGCCCGGAGCGACGTAGCCGTTCCTCATCCTCGAATGCTCGCATTTTTGCTGGATCGGCAGTCCATCCTTCCAACCTGAATAGCAATCTCCACAATTGACTGTCCAGGGCACGACCTCGCCACGACTTGGAGAGCGCAGAGGTCTTCAACAGGGTGTCTGGAGTAAGGTAGGAGAATATGATGGAGGTGACTTCGGGGGGAAGATGCAGGACAGGATCAAGATGTAGGAGCGGATTGAGTCGGTCCACAATCGAAGCAATCGAAGAGGTTCGTAGAGTTCGTAGAATCATATACGTGAATTCTATGCGCGTCAGCGTTGCACATGAGCATGTGTGCGGAGGTCAAGGAACGAGCGTACCACTCCGGTCAGCCTCATTCATGCTAAGAAGCCAATCTGGAAGAACTTGGCCGTCAGCCTCTGTCATTTCCTCCAGTCTTGAGTCGGAACGCATAAGAATGTCGTTCTCGCTCTGGCTGCGTGTATCCTCTGAATATCCTTCGTCGACTTTGAAGGAAGCACACCTCATCGATGCTAAGAACGAAGGTGCGCCGACGAAAGTCCCACTGTTGGCGCGACGAATGGGTTGAGCCATGGTGGTGTGTCGAATACCAGTGGAATAGTTTGTTTGCTTGCTTGTAAAGCAACGATGGAAGCGTCACAAGACTTGACAGTCTGGCCAGTATGGCTGGTGGGTGGATCAGTATCGGACGAAAGCTGGAGAGAGCGGAGAAATCGGCTTGTATGATGGTCGCGCTTGATATGTACGACGTAGCACACAGTCGATGGGTACGCCGGGTAATGCTAAGTGCCCAGTCCGCTCAGTCGTCTGTGAAGTCGTGAGGGGTCCGGGAGGATGGGTATAGAGGCTCACCGCCGCCTGAACCGTCACGATCGCCCCCAACGACGCAATACAAACAAGACGTTGGGTCGACTATGGGTGGGCTGTCGGCTGTAGGCTATCGGGTGGCGGATGACGAGGCTTCGGAGAGATTATGGGAAGCAAACAACGCAACGAGAGAGGAAGGCTAAAAGGACAATACAGAACGCAGCGTGAAAAAGGGCGAGGAAGTCAGCGTGTTGTTGTTGTTGTTGTTGTTGTTGTTGTTGTGGGTGTAATCCATTAGTGATGATACGAGATATATACCTCCACTACACGAGTTGGACAGTGTGGGCAGTCAGTCATCATCCATCGTGACCACAGAAACGCAGCCCTCAGGGTGCCAGGATGCCTAAGGCTGTCAGGCCATCAGGTAGCGAGGCACCAAGACATCAAGACACCAAGGCATCAAGGCCATCAGGCACCACAACCCTGAATGCGGCGTCGGCGGCAATCATATATAACTTTCTGGCGCGAATCCCACAAGTTACAAGTTACAGCACACAGTCTCCGCTGTTTCTAAAGCATCTAAAGCAGTTCTAGGTTCGGAGACCAGCCAATCACCGTCGTGCTGTCGACTGGGGTGAAACACCCAATTAGAGACAAGTCTGTCGTCTGTCTGCCCCCCAACACTCTGTTCAGCCAGGGCCCTCCTCTAACAGTGATTCATTAATTAGGGATTAATTAGCCAGCTTTTAGCCAGCAGCCAGTAGCTAGTAGACAGCCTACAGTATTAGCAGCCCACAGCCCACAGCCCGCCGCCCGCAGCCAAAACCGCCGCCTCTCCACTTGCTGCACCCACAGCCCAAGAAGAAGCGACTGACCCGGCTCGTCTCCCTTCCTGCAGCCCCGTTTCGACCTACAGACTACAGTACAGTACATTACATATCACACACCTCTCTCTCTCTGCCCTACCTTACCCTATTCCATCATCTTACTGATACACACACACTCTCTCTCCCCCTTCCACTACTCTTCTACACTTCTATACCGCTCCTCCACTGCGTTGCGTACCATTGTCCGCCGGACATCTCCCCCAAAGTCGCCGCGTCTTGCCTGCCACCCTGGCTCCATCGACCCCTTCAGTCCTCACCCCTCTTTTAGCTCTCCAGGGTCACCTCTCAATCCATCTCCGAGGCTCATCTCCCCTACGACCTGGCCTGCGACGCCGATAAGAGTTCGTGAGAGCATATTTGCTCGTCACGCGCAGGTCTGCGAGCGCTGGCCTTGTCAATCTCCCTCCTGCTATGCTGAGTACTCCTATGCTGGGCATGGAGGTGGCGACATATGGGCCTTTGTCTCGAACACACACCGCTCCTCCATCTGTTCATTCGCGCCTGAATTCTGCTGGCAGCGCTCCTCCGTCCATCATGCAGAATCAGTCTCACGTTAGCCAAACCTCCTTCAACTCGCACTCCTCCATCCAGTCCACCTCGACCACTCGCTCTAGAGACACCGCCGCTTCTGCCACCACTCTCGTCTCCCCCGCCTCCTCATCTGCCACCTTGGTGAACAATGGCGGTCCTGTCGAGGCTGCCAATAATGTTCTCAACAAAAGGGGGGACAAGGAGCTATCGCTCTTCCAGATGTGTCTGACCCAGAGGCAGCGGCTCGCAACTGTTCCTGGGATCGAGGAGATCCTCTTGGCCGAAGAAAGCAGCGCTGACGATGACACTGACCCTGCGACGCTGTTATGGAGGACGTACAGAAAGGGCTATCCGCTGATGGAAATATACAACGCCATGAACCCCGCTGTGCGCCTCGAGATAGATCCTGTCAAAGTCCCAAACCCGGCGAGAAGACCACACGCCGCGACCTCCAAATTCGTGACTGCCTGTATCACAGAGTTAAAGTTTGGCTTGGAAGACCGGTTCATAATCGCAGATCTATATGGTGACGATACCACAGGCTTCGTCAAGGTTGTAAGAGTTGTCAACAAGGTCTTGGACGTCCTTGAGCAAAAGGGTATAATATTGCCACCTGAAGCGATAGGAGACGATGGAAATGCGCCGTTGACGGCGAAGCGCACACAGAGAGAGCACATTATTGACGAGCTGGTCAAGACTGAGCGCACGTATGTGCAACATCTGGAACTACTTCAGGCTTTCAGAACACTGGTCGAAGAACGTGGTGTGATTACCGGCGATGCTATTCACGACATATTCTTAAACCTGAATGCACTTCTTGATTTTCAGCGCCGATTTCTGATCCGTGTGGAGCAGACCAATGCCATGCCTCCAGCCGATCAGAACTGGGGCAGATTGTTCGTACTGTACAAGGACGCATTTCGAGTGTATGAGCCTTATATCGCCAACCAGAAAAGATGCGAAGAAGTCGCGATGAAGGAATATGACAAACTGCGAGAGGCTGGAGGTCCACCAGAGCTGCGACAGATTGCCGAATCCCCCACAAATCTAACAGCTTTTCTGCTCAAGCCATTCCAGAGACTGTCAAAGTACCCTCTGCTCCTCCGAGAACTCCGTAACAAGGGCGATATGGACGACGCAAGGAAAGCAGAAATCACTAATGGTATCGAAGCTGCCGAGACTGTACTGCAGGCCACCAACGAGGCCATAGACTACGAGGAGCGCAAGGAAGCCGTGGAAGAGCTGAAGAGACTGGTCGAGGACTGGAAAGGCCACAAGATCGAAGTCTTTGGCGAGCTCTTGCTCCATGGCACTCACACTGTATTGAAAGGAGACAGTATCAATTCGAAAGACGGCGAACGAGAGGTAAGTAGTAGCCGCAGGAAACCATATTCTTCGCTCAACGTGGACCTGACCCTCGCGCAGTATCGAGTCTATCTTTTCGAACTAATCCTGCTCTGCTGTAAGGAGATAAAGCCGAAGCAGCAAAAGAATATCATGAACAACCGCAGCACGATAGACCGGAAAGGGAAAGGGAAGCTTCAGTTGAAGGGCCGCATTTTCATGCAAAACGTAACGGAGACGATATCGATTGGGAAGCCAGGTAAGTCCTAACGTTTTACAAGTCGACTCAATCGATTAACAATTTTCTCAGGCTCGTACACTTGTCAGATTTTTTGGAAAGGCGATCCTGGCATTGAAAACTTTGTTGTCAGATTCTCGACCGAGGAGCAGATGAAGAAATGGGCAGCCCAGGTCGACAAACAGAGAAGGCTCTGGCGTGATTATGCGCGGAATAGCAATCCTCGGGCAGTGCCAGCAGCGATATCAGCGACAGAATTCACATACATGAGAGATCATCAGATGGAAAACCCCTACCAACAGAACGACGATGATGATGACGACGAAGACGAAGAACCAGAAAGCTCTTTCCCACAGTCAGAATACTCGATGAGTCGCAACGGGTCCAGCACCAGTCTTCGTTCTCGATCTACGACTGGCGAAAGTGGACCTCCTATGGGATCTGCGGACCCCCGACTTCCCCCAGCGAGGTTCCCGAATCCGATCCCCACTCAGCAGCCGTCTCTGACACTGCGGACGCAACAACTCCAGAATGCGGCAGCATCAGCAGCCGCCGCAGCAGTGGCACAGGACTCGTACTTTTCACCAGTCGCAGAGACGCCTGCGTCATCACGCACCAGTTCGTCCTCTGCAGGAATGTTCCCGTTTCCTCGTCAGGGGACACCTGGAGGTGGTTACTATACAGAGCACAATCGATACACTGCCCCAGCGCCGGGTGGCATGGCTCGAGAAGCACGCAGTAACATGCAGAATAGACCTTCACTGCCAGTCACACAATCACAGCAGGCGAGGTTCCGATCAGCTAGTAGCCCCGACATCCAGAATGCTGCTCGACGCCCCATTGAGCAAGCACCACCGGTACCACCGTTTCCCACACACGAGCACTATCAACGTCAACTCATGATCAACCGGAGCCAAAGCAATTCACCGAACCAGCCTACCAGTCATCCTTCGAATCCTGCCAGGACACAATCGCCTGGTATGACAACAGCGCGCGCTGGTCCTGGGATGCCCTTTGGACGAGGACCAGGTATGGGGCCGGGGACGACGGGCTTCTCTCACGGATCAACTCCACCACCACCGATGCCGACACCGACGCCTCAGCCCTTGGATGACGCCCCCATCTCTCTCAAGGTCAAGGTTCACTGTCCCGGTGGCACGAGCCTGACACTGGTTGCATTTACCAACATCACTTTCCAATCACTAAAAGACCGTATCGATGCGAAGCTCCAGAGATCTACCAAACTATCTCTTACGTCTGGCGACGTCACGCTCAAGTTCCTGGACGATGGCGATTACGTCAGCATACACTGTGACGAGGACGTACAGACAGCATTTGAGACGTGGCGGGAGCAGCATCAGCAGGCACAAATAATGGCAGGGCAGTCACCCGAGATTGACCTTTTCTGCCAATAATGACCTTACGGAGCGCATGACAATGTCCCTTTTGACCGATGGCGATCTTGCTCACGTGTAAAAGCCTGGCAAGGCCTTGCCTTGCTATTCAGGCCCACCGCCCGGGTGACCACATCACGGCACCACGGCACCACGACGGCAGGGACCGCTAGATGCCGACAGCCTCGCTCGCGCCGTTTCCACGACAGTTCGATATATATTTTATCATCTACGGCACCACACCAACTTTGTCGAATGAAAACAAAAAAAGCATGCTCGGATACCTAAGAAGAAGAAAAGAATCATTGTGACGGCGATATCAGCTACGATGTTTTCATATTGAGTATATCAATGTAGCGTAAATTTCCTCCCACTGCACGCACGTAACACTTCTAGATGAAGTCTTGTCGGTGCTATATAGCGCTCGGCAAACAGAGAGCGAGAGAGACAGAGAGAGTGAGACACAGAGAGAGAGAGAGGACGAGCAGTAGCTTATAGCGGGCTGTTATGAGGTTGACGAAATACCCCCTCCCCCTCCTCGCTGAACAATCATATACACATTGGCGTAGCAAGGAGTAAAGCATGTCTTGGGGACCATGGGTTGTTTCGAGGGGGGGCGACACAGTCTTGATGGGTCGTCCGCCTGCCCGCGCCCGGTGGTTGTTGTTTTTATTTTATTTTATTCGGCGTAGCAAAGGAGCATTTTGTTCGGACGATCAACAAACAAACAATCAATCAATCAGTACGTACTTTCTACAGAGAGATGATGTGAGAAATACATGTTGTTGTTGTTGTTCTTGTATGTTGACGGTAGGCTTTGTCTGGACTAGCCTGGACTTGTCTAGTCTGGTCTGGTCTGGTCTGGAAAGCTTGACTCGGAGCTTTGTTTCATGCTCGGAGAGCCTGTGTGCTTCACACTCACTTGCTGGATATATATCACACGTGGTACGACTTCTAGCGTTTTAGCTACTGCTGTTGAAGCTGGCTAGTAGAGCGCACGCAGTATTACGGGTGCTAGAAATGTGATCTGTGAGATTGAATGCCCTTGTAGTGTATTGCTGGAGGCAGTAGTTGGTAGTGTCAGTAGTGAGGTCAGTAGTGAGTCAGTAGTCGGGTAAGCAAGCAAGTAAGTAATTCTCCTATCATCGACCCGGCCGGAAGTATGCCCATGCTCTCTGTATGCAGTGCCATGCCATGCGGTGTTATGCGATGCTATGTCATGTCATGCAATGTACATATATACACATACATATATCCCGATTTCCCCGATTGGTAGCGTGGTATAGTGTAGCGTATCGATGGATAGAGGTGGATGGATGGAGAGATAGAGATAGAGGGGGGGAGGAGGAGGCTGAGACCAAGCATTCGATCCTAAACGGTTTTGCACGACCTCAACTAACGTCATCTTATGTATTGACGTCTCACCGCTTATCTGCTGTATAGATATATATGTGTTTGTGTGTTTTGTGTAGGGTTTCTGTGCGGGTCATGTAGTCCCTTGAATACGACTACTACTACTACTAACTAGTCTGCCCGGCTCTGCTCTGCTCCGCAGGCAACGAGAAAGAAATATGGGGTCTGACGTCGACGAGGACAATTCGGGAGAAAAGAGGAGTGGTGGAGTGAGTGGAGTGTAATGTATGTATGCATGCATGTCTAGATGTCCGACTGGCTGTGGCTCTTGGGCGGTGGTGTCTGGAACTCTGGGGAATGGATGGATTGGATCAAGCTGAGTACTGTATGTACTTCATCCCCACCGCCCGTCCATCACAGTCACAGTCACGTCTGATAATTAGAGGCCAACAAGGTACCTTCGACTGATGATCTGTAAGTGGTCGAGATGTCGGTGATGGAGTGAATTTGAAGAGTCTAGCGCTGACTTACTACTGCAGTGTGCTCTCTGCCCGGTACAGGTACTAATACTGGCATTCCGATATCTCGCGAGCTGCTTGCTTGCTGGCTGCTGAGGTGTGAATCTTGTCCCCCTCCGCCGCAGACCTCGGCCGCACACTACTACTACTGCTACGACTACGACTACTACTAATTGTGCCCGCTACCACGAATCTATAATATTTTTCAATTCTCTCACGCGCACTACCTATACGTCCTGATATCCTGCTTCGTTTACCTACCTACCTACCTACCATTCACACATCTCGACTGCGCAGACGTCCTCCTCCACACACCGCCTCCGCCAAAGTCTAACTGACGACCGAAACACCACCACCACCACCACCACCACCATGAATTGCCCCTCGCGCGTAGACCCAGACCCGCACGAGGGCTGGAACCAGAACCCGTCTGCCTTCGCCGCCGACCTCACCACCCGGGAAGACTTCAACGGCCGCGCCAACCAGCGCACTCTCCGCCGCGACGACGACGACGCCAACGCCAACGCCGGGCCGTCGTCCGACAACCGAGATACAAGTCACATAATCGAACAAGGCAGCGCAGGACCGAGTGCGGGACTCAGCATGCGGCGGTCCGTTGGTCGGGCCGTCGGGGGAGAGGGGGGGAAGGATGTCAGTAGCGTCGTCGACATCCAGCGGGTGGCGAGCGCCTCGAGTGTAGGAGGAGGAAGAGAGGCGGCGCGCAGACGTCGAGCGAGTATGGCCGCCAGTCGGGGCTTCTTGCTCAAGCGTGGAGCTGGAAATGCATTCACGCGTGCAAAGGCGGTTCTGGCAAAGTATGCGAACTTTGTGGGGCCGGGGTTTATGGTTGCTGTGGCGTATATTGATCCTGGTATGTCGAGTCGAGTCGAGTCGTGTGGACTGCCGGCCAGGAGTGAAAATGTTCTGAATGCTGATATATGTTGTTGTTGTAGGCAACTATGCGACGGACGTGGCTGCGGGTGCAACGTATCGCTACAGACTGCTGTTCATCATCCTGATGTCCAACATCTTCGCCATCTTCCTGCAGTCGCTGTGCATCAAGCTGGGCACCGTCACGGGCATGAATCTCGCTGAAAACTGCAAGGCTCATCTGCCCCGATGGCTCAACTACGTGCTCTACTTCTTCGCCGAGTCTGCCATCATCGCCACCGACATCGCGGAGGTATGCATGCTCCTTTCCCCAAGCCCCCCAATCCAAAGCAAGCAAGTATGCTGATTTCCCCCTGAACCAGGTCATCGGCTTCGCCATCGCGCTCAACGTGCTCATCAAGGTGCCGCTCGTGGCCGGCTGTGCAATCTCCATCATCGACGTCATGATCATCCTCTTCTTCTACCGCCCGTCCGGCTCCATGCGCGGCCTGCGCTACTTTGAGGGCTTCGTGGCGCTGCTCGTGCTGGGCGTCGTCGTCTGCTTCATCATCCAGCTGTCCTACATCAAGAACACGTCTGTCGGCGACGTGTTTCGCGGATACCTGCCCTCGTCCGCGATTGTGCAGTCCAAGGGGTACGTCGTCTCGAACTTCTTTTGCAGCAGCAACAGTTCTAACCACAATGCAGCAGCCTCTACCAATCCTGCGGCATCCTCGGCGCAACGGTGATGCCACACTCACTCTATCTCGGCTCCGGCATCGTCCAGCCACGCCTCCGCGAATTCGACCTAGCCGCCGGACTCATCCCCCCAAACACAACCCTCCACGACGACGACACCGCCTCCACAACCTCCTCCACCCTCCCCCCCGAAAAATACCGCCCCTCCCTCTCCGCAATCCAATCCTGCATGAAATACTCCATCGCCGAACTCGCAATCTCCCTCTTCACCTTCGCCCTCTTCGTCAACTCCGCCATCCTCATCGTCGCCGGCTCCTCCCTCTACAACCCCTCCTCCAATCCCTCCTCCCCCTCCGACGCCGAATCCGCAGACCTCTTCGCCATCCACGCCCTCCTCTCCTCCTCCCTCGCCCCCGCCGCAGGCACTATCTTCATGCTCGCCCTCCTCCTCAGCGGCACCTCCGCCGGCATCGTCTGCACTATCGCCGGGCAGATGGTCAGCGAGGGCCAGTTGAACTGGCATGTCAAGCCCTGGCTCCGCCGCCTGATTACGCGCTCGATTAGCATTGTGCCGAGTATTGTTATTGCTGGGGCGGTGGGCAGGGACGGGTTGTCGAGGGCGTTGGAGGCGTCGCAGGTGGCGCTTTCGGTTATACTGCCGGTGGTTAGTGCGCCGTTGATTTGGTTTACGTGTTGTGCGGGGGTTATGCGGGTTGGGGTTCGGGGTGGTGGTGGTGGTGAGGGTGTGGATGGGGTTGGAGAGGGAGAGGGGGATGGAGAGGTGGTGCAGATGCGGAATGGGTGGGTTACGGCGGGGTGTGCGTTGGTGATTTGGGGTGTGGTTGTGGTTATGAATGTTGCGCTTTTGGTGCTTGCGGGGTTGGGCGTTGCGTAGGTTGATGAGTGGTGGGTTGGTGGATGGGTGGACTTGTGGATGGACTTGTGGAAGGACTGGGGAATGAATTACGAAAAAGGGGAGCAGGAGTTGCGTCGAGAGAAGATGGGAGTGGGCGTAGCTAGGCTGGCTGGTAACGCAGTGATGAATGCTTTTATTGCTTTACTTTGCTTTCCATTTCTTTTCCTTTTCCTTCCTTTTAACTTAAACTTAAACCTCCAACCCACCATGCCCTCCCAAAATCCCTAATACCATCCTCAGTAATCCCCCCCCTCCCCATCCCCAAGCACCCCCTCCCTCGCCTCCACCCACTCCACAAGATCCCCAATCGTAACCACCCGAATCCCAAACCTCCTTCCAAACGCCAAACACTCATCCCTTCTCATCATCCCACCGCCTTCCCTCTCCGCCACCCCCTCCACCACCCCTCCGTCCGTAACCAACTCCCCGATAACCCCGACAGCGGGCTCAATACCGGCCAGACGACAGAACTCAACCGTTGCCTCGGTGTGGCCGCGGCGAGTGCGAACGCCGCCGTCGCGGGCGCGCAGCGGGATGATGTGGCCTGGGCGGCGGAGGTGGGATGGTTTAGCGAGGGGGTGGGCAAGGGTGCGGGAAGTGAGGGCGCGGTCGTGGGCGGATATGCCTGTTGTTACTATGCCTGATTCCTCGTTGTTACTCTCCTTGTTGGCTTCCCCTTTCCCTTTCCCTCTGCCTTCTCCGTCCTCCGCAGCACCATCCCCACCACCGACCCCGGCACCAACAGCATCAACACTAACCGTATACGCCGTGCGATGCACATCCTGCGACTCCTCCGCCGGGACCATAAGCGGGAGGTCCAACGCGTCAGCACGCGAAGTGGGCATGGGCGCGCAGAGATAGCCTGATGTGTGGGCGATGAGGAAGGCGGCTTTGCGGGTTGTGAGGTGGGCGGCGGCGATGATGAGGTCGCCTTCGTTTTCGCGCGAGGGGGCGTCGAGGACGATTATGAAGGATCCTGCGGCTGGGTTGGGGGTGTTAGTTTGGGGTGGTGGTTTGAAGGGGGGAAGGGAGGGAGGGGGAGAGGGGTACCGAATGCGGCGATTGCGTCGGGGATGGAGTCGAATTTTGGGGGGGAGGTGGTTGTGGTTGTGGTGGGTGGGTGAGTGCCGTTTGGCTGTGTTGGGGGGTCTTGTTGCGGCATCGTTGCTGGGTGGAGGGATGTGCTTTGTGGTGTGGTATGTAGATGTGTGTATATGTATACACGTCCCTCGTCTTGTCTCGTCTACTCGTCCCTCGTCTCTCGCGAATGCTGTCGAATGCCGTATGCCGTATGCCGTACGCTATACGTGTATCCCAAGCCTCTTACACCCCACCGTCGTGGTCGTCTTCAACCCTGTTCTTCCTCGTGCGCGTATATGTATGTATATGTGTATGTATGCCGCTTCGTCTTATCCGCAATTCACAGCCTATTTCTCAGCAGCCCTTTATAAGCAGAACTTCCAGCCGAACGGACCGTCGGCGACCTATGCCAGCCACAGTAGCTCGGCTCGGTCAACGCTGAGTAATGCGGGTTTCGGGGGGAGTGCTCGATCACAGTACACCTAGGCGAGCGCAGCACATCAATGAGATCAATGCTTGCTTATGGAGGCAGGAGGTCGGTGGTGGAGAGGTTGACGAGGGTATTGTGCATTATGTTGCCTGTGGGAGTCCTGTAGGTAGTCGTACTTATGGCATTGAAAGATCGAGTGGCATGACATGGAGGAGATGGGTGATGATCCGAGGTGGCTGATGTAGCGGTGCCGATCCCGGCGCGAACCGAAAAACCCGGATCGTGCGTGCAGGTGTCGGGCGGACGGTTCTGGGCTCCCCCGCCTCCACGTGTCTTGCACGTGAAAGGATGGATCATAGTCTCAGTCTCTAATCATTACCATGTACATGGTTCTTTGTTTATTCATGTATCTATCAAGCACTTGGAAGCAGTCTATACAACAAATCTTGATGATAATACAAATGAAAAACACCATTACTACCCTCTATCAATACCCGGGTATCTATCCGTACACGGACATGTGTTCATCGCTCTATCAAACACACCGAAGCAGTCTATACAATGCATCTTGATATCAGTAACAAATGAAAACAACGCCATTACTACACCTCTGTAAAGAATGCTGGGGTATCCGCCTGCCCGCGTTCAACGCCGCCTCAGATGAATGCAGGACTAAGCACCGCCTGTCCGAAATAGTTCTCGTCGCCATGCTTCCCCTTGATAATGCTAACCTCGCTGCTCTGCTTCTTCAGTCGGGGCGAGCGTCCCCTCGACACCGACTGGCCGTTTGACTGGGTACGTGAACGTGAGCCCGAGCCCGAAGCGGCCTTCGCCTTATTCGGCCCAAGCGCTTTCAACATACGCTCTACGTCGTCTGTAATCCGAGACTTATTCGCCATATCCGCCTGTCCATACATGCTTCTCAGCGTCGCCATCGCGGCCATGAACCGCCCGCTCACGTCGTCGCCCTCTGCGTCAACTGTGCTTTCCGACACCCTCCTCTGCTCTGGTGTCGATTCGTAGTCCCCCTCTTGACTATTCGCGTCGTCCTTCGCGAATAGCTCGCGCAGACGCCGACTCGTGCGCGAGCGCAGGGCATATGTGTAAGCATCTGGAGTCCCTGTCAGTAACGAGTCGAACGAATCACATCTCTGTAGACGTGGCTTCCTACGAAACTCGCCCGGCTTGGGACGAGCCTGCTCGTCGACGCTAGGCGTCGCGGGTGCTTTGTATATTATACGGCCGGGTGTAAGACGTGTGCGTGGGTAGGTTTCGCGCAGGTATTGTGAGGGCGTGGCGGGCGAGGAGATGGAGCCGTGACTCGAGGAGCCTGCGGTTGGGGCGGTGGAGCGTGTGGATATGCGACGCAATGTGTGAGCTGCCGTATGATTGACGGATGGCGAAGATTCCAAGGCGCCATTCACAGCAAGTCGGTGCAGCCATGTCTTGAGATTGTCGACACCTTCTCTACGAAAGTCTGTCGATGCCGATCTTGGGAGTGATGGTACTTGTTGAGCAGGAGACTGAGACCCTGAACTGCTTCGGTGGTGCTCTGACGCCCTGGTGCGTCTTGTGCGTCTCAAGACCGTGCCATTGGTATCTGCCGCCAATTCCTGTGGACTTTGTAGTATCTGCGGTGAGTTTGAGCCATTCAATACCACGCCTTCCAACAAGTTCGAATCTATGCGAATGCAAGGCGAGGCAACCGAAGGAAAGGAAGACGAGTCTGTTGTAGGCGACGTAAATGTCGAGTATAGTGGTTGTATGACTTGCGCTATCGCTGGTGATAGGTCGAGAGATACGAGCGTGGTGCTATCCGAGAGCGTTCCTCTTGCCTCAAGCGATTGCGACGGGAGCTCACTCTCGTCTTTGGAGGAGCGTGGTTGTAGTATGTTACCTGAATCAGTGCCAGAATCCACGCGCGGCATTCGCGTCTTCCGCGGCCGGATAGTCGAAGCACAGGCTGTCGGGACGCTGATTTCACGTGGCAGGTCCTCAGTTACACGCTCCATGCTTGCATCCTCAGGCATAGAAGCAGCTTGATCTTCCTGGGAGTCAACAACCGCGGAGGCCGTCGGGCCCGAGACCAGACGCTTGGGTTGGCTCATACTCGTTGGCGTCAGATATCGACGGAGAGAAGAAATCCACCCATGGGTATCTGTCGCCTGGTCGCGTTGCCTAGGCATCATCGAAGGATCAATCGCAAACACACTCTTCACGTGTGGTCGAGTCAGCCCAGTAGACAGCATGTTTGTGAGGGCAAGACGGAGCGATGCGGTAAGTAGACGGTTTCTCTGTTCTCGACGGCCTATCTCCATGTTCTGGAGGTGTTACCGGGCGGTGAAGAGGGATGGTGTTTTGTTGCCAGTGTTGAGCACGATCTTGCTTAGCATGATGCAATTCGTGTGACGGTGCGAGTGTCTGTGTTCGAGGAAAAGGTCTGTGTCAGTCCAGGATGTGCATTTGTGTGTCAATGGTTGTGTCTTCTGTTGTTTATGGATATATCATGTGTTTGGGCAGGAGCGGTGGCCATATACTCGCACCAACAAGATATCTGTCGTTGCGTGTCAGTCTCAGATGAGGCATTACAGTATTATTTTCGTCTCCCCAAGCGTGAGGATTACGTCGGTGCGGTGGATCGCGCAATCAGTGATGAAAAGTCGAATTACCTCTACGGTTATTGGGTACCAAGCTTCCACTAAGCAAGAGGAGCACGTGCAAAAGACCATGAACGGATAGTCTTGTCTGGTCTCGTCTCTAGTCGCAGGGACGAATAAACTTTTGTATCCAAGTGCGTTAAAATGAAATTTAATCGTCACGCCATGAAACGTCAATGCCGCATGGTAGACTCTGTGCGGACATCGTCGATCGAATGCTCTCATAGATTGGCCCAATGTCTCGCAAGCACCTCACGGACAGGCGGAAGAGGACCGGAGGTTATTTTGTCATGTCGGAGAATTGCATCGATATTAATTCAATAGCGATACTCTAGGGTCAATGCTGCTGCTGCTGCTGCTGCTGCTCATCATCTAATACAACGCCAGGGCTCGTGTGCTGCTCCTCTATGCTGCTCCGCTCCATGCTTGACTCAACTCCACTCCGCTCCCACTCCAAAACAAACAAAACGCTAAACGTTGCACATTGTGGTAGTTTTGCTCACTGCGGGGTGTCGAGCACACGAAGCTCAGCCTCTGCAATGTCGTAGATGGCGCCATGCACGGTGAGTCCTCGCTCTTTCATGGCTGTTTGAACGGTCGGGTTGGCAAGCAGAACCTCAATTCCCCTGTGAACATTGAGCTCAGCTAGACGCACCGCCCGGTCGTCGGGGTTCTCAATCTTGTCAAGCTCAGCCTGGTGCTTCCTGCGTATCTCGCGGATGGGCGTGAGCCAGGTGTTGAGTGTGTCGCCCAAGTCGTCGTCGCCAAGGCTAGCAACAGCTCCACCGCACTTTGTGTGTCCGCAGAGCATAATCTTCTTGACCTTGAGAAAGGCGACGGAATACTCGATGACGCTGGCGGAGTTGACGTCATTCTCATGAAGGCAGTTGGCAATGTTGCGGTGCACGAAGATATCGCCAGGTTCGCTGCCGCAGATGGTGGTCTCGGGGACTCGCGAGTCAGCGCATCCGATCCAGAGCATTTCAGGGTGCTGGCCGGCGATGAGCTCCTTCAAGAGATCTGGCTTTTCATTTTTGAAGCGTTGGGCAAACGACCTGTTGCCATTGATGGCTCGTTCGATTGAGTCTGAGGAGTTGGAGGAGCAATTAGCTGTTTGGTGCCATTGCCATTGTCTTTGCGATGATATGGGGAAACGCAGGGATCGAGGTGAGATGACGGAGCAGCGCAGAGGAGCAGTGCGGCTCCCGAGGCCGAGCGCAAGTGATGACATTCGACGGGGTAGAAGGGCCATGACGGCCACAGCAGCGACTCTACGGCGCAGACTCGCTACCGGGACAAAGTGAAGCAATTTAGGGTGGAGAGAGAGCAAAAGAGAAAAGGAGAAATCTCACCGGTAAAAGACATGTTGTCAGTGGTGCAGGCAGATGTGGTGTCGGTGAAAATAACAAAAGGTGGTGCTAGCTCTGTAGGTGGTGGTGGCTTCGGGACGTGCAGACTGGCCGTCTTAAGAACGCCGCTTGACTCTTCTTGTTCGCGTCTCTGACGTTTTTGCTCTTTGGATTGTCTGATAAGAGTGGACAGATGGGGCCGCCGGCCGCAGTAGGGGATCATGTATCTATATATGTATGTGTATGGTCGTCGTAGTAGTAATAATGTGGATTCCGCGTGCGCGGGTCTTAGGACTCTTGGGGGAGGTTTGCGTTGCGGGACTGAAACCGAAACCCCGCCCAGTGTGCCCTGCGTACTACATATTCATATTGACTATAATGGACCTTCTTCTTCTTGTTACTACTACTATTATTTTAATGTCATGGTCGTCCTGTCGTCTTCTTGTGCTGTGATGAGTAGTGACTCCCCCGTACAAATTCCCTCAAGAGTGCCGTCGCGTCGGATCGCGCCTTTCTCTGACACACTGCCCAGCCCTCAGCTCACTCAACAACACCAATGACACTACACTGTCGATAGCAGCTAGATTGCACGGATATCTGCTCCGGCACTGCTAGGAACTGACTGCTAAGAACCGCCAATTCTTGTCCCAGTCTCGGCTCTGTGGTCAGCAGCGCTCGGCCATCAGTCATCAGTCATCGCCCATCAGCCGATTGTCACCGAGCTGGCGATTCCTTCAGTATCAGTCACTAGAGCACAGAGTAATTATACATACACAGAACAACCCTGACCATGCAGACAACGTTCGCCGCTCTAGGAAGCCCGTCCCGCTTTGTGTGTGGAGATGTCCTACGCACGGCGCAGTTGTCGAAACCTGCTCCCTGTTGAGGTCTTGGCCTTCTTCTCTCTGTCCACAGGTGTGTATATACGCTCAACACTCGACTGGTGGCACTGTGTCTCTTGTCGTGAAACAATTAAACATTGCTGTGCCTCGTCTTGTTACTGTGAACGATCCGTTCTGCATTGTTGTGTATCCATGTATCTATGCAGAAGACGAAGAGCGTACTGACGGCTTATCGCAACCCGGAGCCTAGATGTTAAGGCCAGCCGTCTCTGCATGGCATGTCCAGTCACGCCAAAAAATTATACCTGGCGCTGCACCACATTTCCGTCGTAGTGGATAGCTCCATCATAAAGAAGGACAAAGTGAAGCTGCATGATCTTATAAAAATCTTGGTGCAAGTTTTGAAACTCGTCTAAAAAGACACCGGTATGCCCACCCAGACGCCACAGGCCCCTGCTGTCTAATATGTACAGTGGAAGTGAATAATAAAGTCTGTGTCCTGTTCCTGCTGACACTACGAGACTATGAATGCCCAGTCTTGCAAACAAACATCATAGTCCGCTCGCTAGAGTATCGTCATTACTTCGTACGTCGTTCTGGGCCGCCGATCCACTGGTCGCTCAATCGCACACCTAATCAATCGGCCTTCCTGGATGGACCAGTGTTACAAGCTACACTTCTGTCGACATCCTCGCCTGTAGATGGTTCGTCCCGCGACTCTGCTGTCGGCGTGAGGCTCTTTTCCCACTCTCGCATGAGGTGCGAAGCTGTTCTCTTCAGATTTGTCGGCGACAGCTTGTCTAGTGTCGGCCATGTTATCGAGTCGTTACGGCCATGGACTGGCGTTTGGACGGTGGTCACGTCGCCAGTTGAGCTGTTGACATCAGTAACACTCTTTCATGAGAACATGGAGCTGATCGAACCTTGTGCTAGTCCGAGGCGTGCTGCGAGCTGACCGTGGTGTGCTGCGGCCCTCGGACCCCGAGTCATTGCTGCTGAGCCGCCCAATGTGTTTCTCATTCGGAGTCTCCCATGAGTCCCAGCTCTCGCCCTGGTCGTCTACTGCCTGGTGCACCGACTTCTGAGGTGTCCTGATCATGTGTTTTGCCGCGTTGTTCTTCTTCAACCCAGAGGTTTTGGGTTCGTCAAGACCGTGCTCTTTCCAAAATGACCCTCCAATGTCGATCAGCGCGTCACTGCTGGTCTTCTGGGGTGCCCAACTCTGTGGTCTGATTGTAGCGCCATTCTTTGGGCCGTTCATGTTCCCTTTGTTGGACTGACGATTGTTCCTGGACGTTTGGGTGCTCTGCTTTGTTCGAGACTGAGGAGTGTTGGCTGCTTCCTCGCCAACAGTGGCTTGACGAAGATCGTCAATAAAGGTCCAGAGGCCGTCTTTGAAGTCGGTGGCCATTTTCTTCCCTTGCCGCAGAATTGCTTCTCCCTGGGCGTTCGCCGCATCGAACCCGTCATCCGACACTTTCTGCTGTTTCGGCACATCCGAGACAGTTAAAGACCTTGTGAGCGGCTGAACGAGGGAATCTGAAGTCTCTTGCTTGTCGTCAAGAAGGTCAGACGGCTGTCGAAAGGATGGTGTGAAGCTGGTATCTGGCGACAACAATGACAGTTGTCGGGTATGTCTTGATCCACTAAAGACAGTTCTCGTCGGCTGTTTCGGAGCACTCAATAGAGTCCGACGTCTTTCCAAATCTTTCTGCATCCACGACTGCCCATCGGAGTCGTCGACTGGACTGGGCACAGTCGATAGTAATGTATTGAGTGGTAGTAAAGACTGCGTTCGTGTGCGGACTTCAGTTCGCTTTCGGTGCACTTCATGCAGCGCCCATTGTTTCTTAAGCGATCCTAACTGACTCTCTGCCTTGTGCAACTCTTCTCTCAGTTCGAGAACGCGTCGTTCCTGTGCAGCCAGGGAGGTAAGAAAATTGCCAGATGTCGGCGATGGCAAGGGTTCGGGTATTTCTGGAGAGGGCAGGACAGGTGTAGCTGTAGACATCCATGATTGCGGCCTGGGTCGCGAATCAGGCGGCTGGATGGGAAAATTTAGTGAGAGCCGCTTCGACTGCCGGTCTGTCGTGGGCCCATGTTGTTCGTATATCGTCGAAGATCGATTTGAATGGGAAGGTAGAGAAGGTGATACGGTGTCAGAGGTTGCTGGGCTGTGTAGTGGATGTGTTCTGTCGGTCGCGGTGGCAGAGTTTGTTTTGGAAGCCCCTGATGTTGAAGGTGCGAGTTGAGGCGGGTCGATTGGAGCGATTGTGTGACGTCTACCGGACTTTGCGCGCGCATAAGAGTCGGACTCCATGGTATCTATGTCTCCTAGAAATAGCTTCTTCACAACATGCCGATTGTACAGTAAGGGAGCGTAGGAATGGAGATAGGAAAACAGTCGGTGGAGGAACGCTAACGAAGATTCGGAGGCTGAAAACTCCCAGCGAATCGTCAGCAAGAAGACGGCTAGGGTCAAGGTGCGCCACGCGGGAAGAACAAAACAGAATCTCAAGGGCAGCGACTTAGGCCCTAGAAGTCCAAACCCCATAACAAAGTGGAAGTCATTGATACTCAATGAGTTTTTTGTGGTGTTGCAGCGAGCGTGGAGGACAAAGACAGACGGCGAGATGATCCTCCACCGTCCTCGTTACCACGGTGCCGCCATGGCGTACTTGAGTAGACTGGATCCACGGCGGGGAGAGACGCTATGACAGTCACCAGTCTGCCCTGGAATCTCCTTTTTCCAAAACGCGTTTGGCTTCCATTGCGATGGTCGGCAAAAGGTCCAGTGATGCGCGTATTACTATTATGGTACACAGGATGCTACTGGTGGATGAGCCGTGGTGCTTGGCTGTGGCATCATCACATGTGCCCCTCGAATAGCCGTGGCATGGAACATCAAGGTGTCAATAAGAAAAAGCACGACAACACAGTTACGCGGCAAGGCCATATATTATGGCGTTGCAGGGACAGGTCTGCCAGATCGGCATGGCCGAGCAGAATATCAGGTTTGCCAGTGTTATGACGCAAGCATGCCAAAACTATGTTGTGTTTATGTCCAGAAATAGGACTACGAGTCGTATAAGCATATGATCAGGCAGTCAAAGCTCTGGTGGCATGGCCAACTCCAGCCCAACAGCAACGACTTTGGCTTTCGATGGGGGAGTATGGAGCCGGCTGGAGGCAGGGAAGGATGGAGATACGTACGGATATTTATATACATCACGGCATATCGTGAGGCTCCACGAGAAGGAGGATTCTAGGTCCATAGCGAGCCGCGAGCCCTCTCCGCGTCGGATCAATCCTTTCAGACAACCGGGCCGTTTCCTCGGTATCGAGAATCCAAAGACCCTGAATATTCCGATTAACGGACTAGGCACGGTATGTGGCTGTCCCAATAGGGAAAAGTGTAAACAGTTTCAAGTGAAGGCTAAAGCAGGATGCCTGACAGAGTAACGAATCACAACGAATGAATCAACACTGTGGGCTTGTCATTAGCGGCTATTGCAGGTACCCGTCAGATAGGGGTCTGCATCCCGTCCTCATCATCAGGTTCTGGTAGGCTGCAGTGTATGCCAGATATAAACGCTTGCCGCTTCTCACGTACCGAAGTATGGGCGTCATACTTTATGGAGAATATCTGTATATCTGTACATAACAAAGTCGCGAAATTCACCCATTTGATCATGTAAAGAGAGATCAGGACGTTTCGGAACTCCACAGCCCCTTTGTCCGAAATTGTGGGATGTGCATGGCGGGCATCGATGCGCACGTTCCTTTTGCCGGTTGCTATAGCGATTACACTGGAGCTGCGGCTTGGACACAACACTGCGACAATCCTTGAGTAAAAGGTCTATGACGGCCAGCATCAGCCTTTTGCGCATTCATCCCCGAGTATCCTTAACGATTTTAATCTATACAGATTTATTTCTGTGAGCCTCTCTTTATTGCTGCGCATGGTGGTGCTTTCACAACTTCTCGGTGCGCCCTAGTCTGACTACAGCTCGCCGCAATCGGCTTTCTCCATAATGGCGGACAACTATCAAGTACTCGAGGAGCTCGGCAGTATGCGGACCAGATATATCCTGCAAGTATGATCTATGCTGACACTCTGTTTAGATGGTAGTTTCGGCGTCGTTTACAAAGCAATCGAGAAGTCTACCGGCGAGCTGGTAGCAATCAAACACGTATGTTCACTAAGTTCGGTTGCTACTTCGCTTCAAGACTGACGTAGTCTACAGATTGACTTGGAAGGGAGCGGTGATGACCTTGCTGAGATCCAACAAGAGATCTCTGTGCTGAGCACATGCAAAAGTCCATACGTTACCCAGTACAAGGCGAGCTTTGTAAAAGGAGTGAAGCTATGGATTGTGATGGAATACCTGGGAGGAGGCTCCTGCCTGGATCTCGTAAGTCGAGTGATGCCTCCATCAAAGCGCCTCTCTGACCCATTCATTATAGCTGAAACCCGGCTCCTTTTCTGAAGCACATATCGCCATCATCTGCCGCGAACTCCTATTAGGCCTCGACTACCTCCACCATACTGGCAAGATCCATAGGGATATAAAAGCAGCCAACACCCTGCTGTCACAGGATGGGAGAGTCAAGATTGCTGATTTCGGAGTTGCTGCGCAGCTTACCAACATCAAGTCTCAACGCATGACGTTTGTAGGTACGCCGTTCTGGATGGCACCAGAGGTTATTCAGGAAAATGGCTACGACTTCAAGGCAGACATATGGTCGCTCGGTATAACAGCAATGGAAATGGCAAACGGAGCACCGCCGAATGCTGAGACCCACCCCATGAAGGTACTATTCTTAATACCCAAGGCACCAGCACCACGGTTGGAGGGAAGTAAGTGGAGCAAGGATTTCAAAGATTTCATCGCATCATGCCTGATCAAAGACCCCGACCGGCGAGCAACAGCAAAGGAGTTGCTACGACACCGCTTCATTCAGCGCGCTGGACGCACAGAAACATTACGAGAGCTCATCCTACGCAAGGAGCAATTCGACACGTCCGAGGACGAACATGAGACTCATCGACGATACTACGAAGAGACAATGCAAAACATATCACCCCGGGAAGACCAAGACGAGTGGGTGTTTGACACACTCAAACCATCCACTGTCAAGATGCCTGTCAATAAACACACCACAAAACGCCGGAAACTCGCACGCATTCCATCTGGAGGAAATGACATTTCCGAAGCACTGTTGGAACGGCTCAACATCAACGAGACGCCACTAGGAACTTTGTCCGCGTCCCCCGCAGTCCGCAAAGTCCGCAAAGTGTCGACCGCCTCCCGCCGTTCGTCATTTGCAACCGCCATACGGCAACCGTCAGGCTCGACGCCAACAGCACGTCGCGTGAGTGACAACAGGAGAGCCAGTGGCCAGAAGCAACCCCTGGGGCTGGACATGTCCTTTGGCAACAGTCCATCCACAGTCCGGCAATTTCGCCGAGTCTCAGGAGAGAAGGAACATGGTCAGCCCGGGCCTCTGTCTCGATCGAACAGCGTCATACATGTCGGTGACGGAAATACCCCGATCCACGAAGACGCAGGAGTCCAAGACGAGAATGCACCTCTAATGCCGGTTGATGCGCACCCCCCACCGGCAACTAAAGAAGCTCTCCTCGGGCGCCGCGCATTCTCCAAGATAATCGATCCTGCATTGCAGGAGACATACGCACAGACAGGAAGCCAAACGAAACGAGAAGCTCTGAGCAAAGTGGCCAATGCATGGAGTGCCTTGGACCGCGTCGACCCCGAAGGAGAATATCTCCTTCTGAAAATGATGCTCGAGCGCGTCTCTGGCGACGCCCGCCTAGCCACCGCCCTCGGCATCCAATTCACCCACCAGTCCCCCGTGAAGAACACCCCAGCACCCGCCGTCCGCGAGGTCAGCAGCATACCCCCAAGCACGCCCAGCCGCCGCGACAGCGGCGCCCCAGACACACCCACCAAAACCAAGCTCGTCCTCGCGCAAAACAACCCTCATCTCAAGAGCCACCATCGCCGCCGCCAGAGCGCGTTTGTCGGCGGGGCTGTCGATCGTGATCTTGCGGCTGCTGCGCACTACGCCGGCTTCGACGAGAAGAAGCTGCCCGGGCATGTCCAGCCGGGGATGGAGCATGCTGGGCTGTTGGCGGATGTGCTGTATGGGCGGTGGATGGAGGGGCTGAAGTCGAGGTGGCCGTTGTCGTGAGGATAGGTCCTTTGAAAGCATGAAAAAAGTTGTTTTTGGGGGTCTTTTGAAGAGGCCTTGCATTTTTTAGGGGCTTGCTTTGCTTTGCTTGCTTCCTTGTTCGCTCTTATACACCACACACGCACACCATCACCCCCCGTCGCCTGAAACTCCACTCCACTCCACTCCTCACGAATAATTAGTCCCCATGACGACGCAGCGAAGCATTGTTTTGAGTAAGCGAGGGTTCTTTAGATTGGGGTTTTGTTTTGAAGCGGATCGGATTGGAGTTTTTTTTTGTGTGTTACTACATACAGTTACCTGCCTGCTAGGTGGTTATTGTATTTTAATGCACACTTATTTGAGCGTGTCGTCCCGCGGCCCCCTTTTTTCTGCGTGATTTATAGCACATTTTGGGGGTTTTTTGGCGTTTCTTTTGCTTATGCATACGCAGATATATATACGCTTTGTTGATGGGTTTTGTTCTGATTTGGGGGGGATGAGTGTGTGTGTGTGAGGGGTTGAGGTTGAGATTGAGATTGAGAGTCTTGGGAGGAGGAGAGAGAAGGGAGAGAGAGAGGGAGGAGGGAGATTGAGGCATGGCACGGCATGGCATTGCATCCATATAGAAAGCAAAGTAATAGACAGTAGCAGTGTAGTGTAATCGTATTGGTATATGTTTGTCGTCAAATGCCGGAGTAGATGTGTTCAGCACACGATGTGTGTGGGTGTGTGGATGTGTGGATATGTGGATATGTAAATGTGTGGATATGTGGATGTGTAAATGTGTGGATATGTGGATGTGTAAATGTGTGAATGTGTAGCCAGCTCTGTCTTGACTTTTTGTTGATGGATGCTGTTGTGGATTATTAGATGGTTGGTAAGTTGGTTGCTCGGTGTGTGTCGTATCTTCATGACTTCATGGGCCTTGTATATCCCTCTCCTTTCCTCGTCCTGCCTTCTCCTGTGCCTTGACTCATTTCTCCCTCTCATCACCCTCCTCCTCCTCCTCCTCCTCGTCGCCATATCCCCTCCCATTCCCTTCTCACCACCCCCCAAGCACCCTCAACCAAACCACCATCCAACCCATCATCATCCCCACCACCCCAACACCCCCCATCAACCCCGCATTCCCAACACTCCTCCCTCCCGCACCCACCACCAAAATCGTCCCACACGCCCCAGCCCTCTCAGTAGGCAATCCCTCCGCCTGCCTAACCGTCAAAGTACTACAATACCCTCCCTGCACAACCACACCCCCAACGCCATCATACACGCCCGCGACCGTCGTGCGCGGCGCCTGCGCAACAGCAACCTGCACCGTCACCGTCGTCACGAGCGCCACGTCCAGCGTGCCCGTGCATGTTGCGCCGTCGGGACAGCAGCCCACTAGCCCTGCGGCGGAGGCTGGGGCGACGCATGTGTAGCCTGTTGGACAGCACCAGGAGAGGAGGTTTGAGCATGGCTGGGGGGCGGTGGCGGGGCAGATGTTGGTGTTTGCGGGCGGGTTTGTGAGGGGGTTGTTTGTGTTTGGGGTGGTGGTTGTGGTGATGGGTTGGCCGGAGGGGTCGACGATGTAGATTGCGCCGGAGAAGGGGGCGTTGTTGATTAGGGTTTGGGGGAGAGGGAGGGGGTGTGGATTGGGGTAGGGGAGGGCTTTGGCGGTTGTGTGGGGGGTGAGGGTGAGGATGAGGAGGGTGAGGAGAGTGGGTTGGAGTTGCATGGTGGTGGTTTTGGTGCGTTGCGGTTCCGGTCGGAGTGGTTGTAGAGTGTGAAGATGGATTCGTTGTTTCCAGTATGGCTTGTTACTGGTTTGGAGACATGGACGGGCGGATGGTCGGACGGTCGGTGGAGGATGAAGGTTGGAAGTCGATATGTATGGACGTAGTGTATAGCGATGCGATGCGATGAAGATGCGTGAGGGAGACAAAAGCTCTCAGGGCGACAGAGAACCGCAGACGTCAAACCTTGTACCCCAGCCTCTCTTGAGTGCTAGCTGCGTGAAAGAAGCAAACAAAAGCAGCCTCAAAAAACCGAACCTCGATAGAGGATTTGTAGGGAGAGAAATAGAGACAGAGAGAGGAGGAAAAGAGGCTTCACAGTCGTCGCATGGCGCAGATCTCGGGTTGTATCTGGCCTTGCTCTGCCTGTCCACCCACCTTTTATGTCTTTACAGCCCTTTCATCCCGGACACTTTTTACTACTACGCCTGCCCAGCCAGCTTGGCCAAATCCTCCGGTCAAGGTCAAGAGGGCGCCGCGTGACAAGCAGGTGTGTGTGTATGTCATGAGCGTTGAAAGCTGAGCGAGCGAGGATGCAGGCGGCGGCACGTACTGCGGAAGACGCGGATCCATGGACAAACCACATGGACGACGACCACATGGATGATACGTAGCTCTCAGGCCTTTTGCGACCTGACCGCTATGCACTCGGGCATCGACGGCCACGCCATCGCATAATCAGACAAACACACATGGCACGCATCATACGACAGCGGCGTAGGCTTTGAGGTTAAGAAAGTTTGCTTTTTGTCGGCACCCAACTAACCTATGTAATAACCAAGATGGAAGTTGGCAATACTGCGAGCTGTGGACTGGGGATGCTTGCGGAGGAGGGGCCGGAGAATGCGGACGAGCTGGGAGGGAGTCCGATATACGCGGTTTGCGCAAGACGGTGAGTACGAGTGTGTGTGGTTATGGCTGGGTATTCGCTTGATAGTCGGTTTGTCTGGTTGTGAAGTTGGACAAGATAGTGGTTTGATCGAGATCAAGATCAACTCTGCAGCTGCACCTGATGGAGCTGCATGACCCCAGACGCACGCGAAAGCACTGTCATAGATCCCGGTGGGTGTTGAGCCTCATGCGATAGGAATGTATATATATATATGTATGGCGATTTGAACGTGTGTGCGATCTCACGCGTGGTGTTTGAGAGGCACTTTTCCTTCATTTTGAAGGTAAGACGTGTGGAACTGTCCTGTCGTGTTAATCGTGCAGTCGCTTGGCGCTAATGCCGCGCTTTTGAGAATATAGTATGATACGTATATATTTTGACTAAGACCACACTTCTTTCGTATCAGGCAAGATGGCCGAGTGGTTAAGGCGTGCGACTCAAGATACGTCTTAGGCTTCCCAGAAGTCTTTAGTATTCGCATAGAGAAATCTGCGTGGGTTCAAGTCCCACTCTTGTCATTATATTTTCTTTTTCAGACATTGTCATATTTTATTTTTGGTGCTGCTACACACTTGAGCTCGAGTATAATCGTCCAAGACGCCCTCTCTTTTATCAGTATGTTACTCTCTACTGCACTATTTTTCAGCAAGCAACGGCAGGTAATACTCGACGCCAGAAGACTGAGAAAGCGGGGAACGGGTTGATTCAGGCAGCAAGGCCAGCAAGGCGCCAACGGTCTACCCCTCCGGCCATGCCACGAACAGCTTAAGGCATCTGCACGCCGCCACACTACTCTCCACTTACGACCAACCAGCCTCCTTCCAGCCCCTCCATTTCCTAAACATCCCCATCCAATCGACTTCTGCAAGATATAAAATGCGTTTCGGATTCAGCACCCCTGCAGTTGTCCGCTGGCCTGGCCTGGCGGACTTCCAGCACTCTTCGATGGAGGAGTTGAGTCTACTACTCTCTCTTCTTCGTTATGTTATGGCGCGCTTCATTGTCTACTACAACACTAACGACTCAATTCCCACCCACCAGGCAGCCGTGATAGAACACATAGGAAAGGACGCGCCCACCTGTCCGCGCCAACGCGTTCGACATATCCACTTGGACACTCGACATTCACACTCTGCTTGACCGACTCGACTGGCTGCGCATCTTGCAGATATATTCCATAATCTCCGGTCTTTCTTGTCCTCCTCGATCTACCTCTGGTCCTCCACTCCGCCTGTGGCCCTCCTTCCCTCCCACACGCACACATACATCCACACAAGTCACAATGAGCGAATCTCGAGACATGTACGACAGCGACATCGCGAGCCAATATGACGAGCGCACAACATTCCCAGACCTGAACAGTCCTCTCTCCGACTTCACACCAACGCGCCATCAATCTCCCTATGGAGAGCATTTGTCGTACTCGGGCTATCCGTTCGAGCCTTCGGAAACAGATCCTGATGCGTACTCGGTCGCTAGCGACTCTGCGGTCAGCGAGTCTATTGGAGGCGCATCGTTGGAAAGCACCTGGGGCCCTCTAGCTCGACACTGGTATAATCGCAATGCCGGGCTGGTCCGTCGTAGCGAGTCTCCCACAATGTCGCGTTCCATGTCACCTTCAAGGAGATCGCTACACCCAACACAAATATTACTACCGCTTTCTCGAGACCAGACTCCTCGCTCCAGTCCGGACCGTGATGACATTCCGAACGTGGGAGAGCTGAGCGTCGTAGAGGAGGAGCATGAAGGGGCAGAGGACGGGAACGATGATGGTGACGACGATGATGATAAAAAGGAGGAGGAAATTCCAGCCGTCCAGCATACGTCCGCAGGGTATTCATGTGAGTGGGCGTCTATGCCATGATGACCTTCATACTGACAGTCGCTAGTTATCCGGTTCACGATGCGCGGGGAAATACATTCTTCGATCGAGCATATCGAAAATAGCCTGTTGTGGCTCAAGTCAAGATACGATGCGGTTACCGAAGCCAAGCTGTCCAAGGCGTCCACGATACTTGTTATACTGCTAGGTTACATCGCTTTCAAGCTTCTGCTCGCCACAGCCGAGCAACCAGCCTCGCCCGATCTTGTGATGGTTGCGCAACTAAGCAAATCGTATGAGCCTTTACTCTACTACACTGAGGATGGATTCAGACAGGTCGATACCCTGCAGGAGACTAGCATCGCCGTTTGGGACCTGGGAGAAACCATCCGGCAAAGTAACATGACATCAGGTCCGATCATCTTCCGCGAGCTGGACGATCTCAGCGGCACTCTGATGGAGCTATCGCAGAATCTGAATGTGTTCTTGGGACAGGTCACTAGTGACGTGGACAGGTACGTAGATGTCTTTTTTCCTTGAAATAACACGTGACTGACCTTATACAGCATACTCTCGACCATGGACTGGGCGAAGCGGGAGCTCGCAAAGGCGTTGACACGGCCGACTACCATCTTTGATAGTGTCCACGGCATCTTTAGCCGTATCAAGCTTCTAGAGAGGGGTGGACAATCGACCAAGATTGGCGAAGTTGTGACTGAGCTCTTTGGGCAAACGACGCACCAAAGGACCATGGTCAGCTTGCACCGAACCTTCAACGAGTTCCTGAATACGATGGAGAGAAGTATCAATGACGAGCTTACTCATTGCAACAACATCATCCGGCTCTTTAACGATGTCGACGGGCAATTTATGAACCTGCAGCGTACGGTGATTCGTGAGAAGGACCAGCAAGAGCGCGAGGAAGGCGACATCCTGGGCAGTATGTGGCATCGCCTGCTCGGAAGCAACTCGGCGATTGCCAAGTTCGAGAAGAACAGAAAGCTGCTATCGAGCATCAAAGATCGCACAGTCAGGGACAAGCACATGCTCGTCAGCCACCACGGACGCCTCCTTACGCTGAAGGCGAATCTGGAGGGCTTGCGACGACGTCTATTCAGTCCGCTTGTCAGAGGCAATGCCAGCAGTTCGTTGAGCGCCGCAGAACAGATCGAGGGCCTGAATGAAATCTATGAATACGTCGACAAGATTCGCGACAATCACAAGGTTCGAATGCGCGATGAACGACGACTTTCCGGTCACAAGGAGTCCCAGAAGGTCATTGAAGGCTCGTCATGAGAGTGATGCAACACGGTTTTTTGTTAGTCGTTATACGGAGTCTTTCTACGGTATGATGGTTAATGATAGCGGAGTCCCAAATGAGCATTTCTTGGACAGGCGCGTAGACGGCAACAAGCTCGCGCAGTGTGGCGCGATAAGGAGTACTCGATTGACACCCTGCAAAGCATTTATTTTTTCTTCTTGAGGGCAGCTGTCTTTGGTATCTGTATTGGTTCGGCATTCATTCCAGGGCTGTTTGTTCAGCGAGGTTTTTCTCGCGACCGGATGACGACGGGAATGTATGTAAGAAGCCATCCATCTACCTTGAGCTACGTAGAACTAACTATTAGTGAGTGAGTGAGGTGATATTTACCTCGCCACCTTCTTTTCTCTCTTTCTCTATTACAAGAGCACACACGCAATTACTTGAACTGCGCCTTATTCCCAAGCATCTTGGGAGCGAAAGAAGGGTATTCTGCCCTGCCAAGCGTGTGCTTGGGATGTTCAGCCACACACGCCTACGTGATGCATTGATGAGGTTAGCTTGGGTAGTTAATTAGTAGCGGTCTTCTTGGCTCTGGCGGGCCAGTTCTTTTCCGCTCGCTTTTGGTAGTGGTAATTAATTAGTATAATTAGCCAGAATGTATGATGATCTTGGATGAATAGACCTAGACTTGTTCTATGATGACTCTCTTTCTTTTATAGCGCGCTATATGTCTACTACATATATATATGATGAGACTGTAGTCGATACCATCATCTACCGTCCAAGTTGCCGATGCGAGCTGTGTCGTTGTTAGTAAGCGTTAGGTGCAGGGCTCGCAACACTTCCAGTTAATGAAGAAGAAGAGAGCGAGAGTGACGCAGTCTCGCATGACATGGATGGCGTCGAAGGAGCTGTTTTGCATAGCCCAAATGCCAAGAGTCAGTACTGCACGCTGATTGGCCGGAGCTGGCATCACCGCCCAACACCACCCGTTCTGACCTCACCACCGCCAACCAGCGACTTTTGAAGCTTCAGGTTAGCAGCGTGCGACTCTTTTTGCGGCGTCTCTCTCTACTATTACCTGCATCATTCGTCGGGGCTTTTGCTTGGTACATATTCTGTCTAATTCATTCATTCATTCCTGATTCTTTGCATTCCGTTGAACATCACCCCCCCCCCTTCGCTGTGCATCAAAGCCGCTAATTACCACGTATCTTAACTAACCTGAACCCTTCTTTGTGCCCTTCCTTCATCAACCCCAAGACATCCTCCTCCCAAAGCCAAGACCCGGCCTGCACCATCATCTTCATCGGCCCTGTCCACGGTCCAAGGTACCTCCTGTTCAACATACCGTCTTTCTGCTCCTCTTATTTGTGCTTGAGCGCCGCCAGTCTTCCTCCATCTCGACTCTTTCGTCGCTCTCTCTCACAGCCAGCTATGCGTACGTCTTACCCTGTCCTTCAACCTCCCACCACCTCCAATTCGTGGTACTCTATCCATACTATCACTCTGCCAACCACTCTCACCACCCACACATTAATTCTTGTATATCCCTCATTGTTCTTTTAACGTTGTGTCTCCCTCTCTCGTAGTACGCTGCCTCATACCACCTCCCTCTTCCGCGAACCGCGCGATCCATCTTGCACCACACTTCACCACCCACGAAGAAAGCCAAGACTAATATTGCGCGCCTATCCGGCGCTGTCTAGATATCTACAAGAAAAAATCCAACAAGATTTCCCGTCGCAAGGATACAATTGACGAATCTCAGCGGCAAAGGAACATGCCTGGAAGACCGAATGGCCCGAATGGCCATGTCGATGGAGCATCCGGCGAGAGGGATCCCTTGCTACCAGGAGGCGGAAACCATTCCCATACCGATGACGGCGACAGGTGGCACCTCAAAGACGATCGCGCCTGGGTCAAGTGGCCAATGTTAATCCTCTATACCACCTGGAAGACTTTGGCAAGCAACTACGTCAACGTGCTACTGGTATTCGTGCCTCTGGGTATCATCTCTGGCGAGCTTGGTTGGAGCTCCACTGCTGTCTTCATTCTCAACTTCTTGGCCATCATCCCGTTGGCATCGCTGTTGGCCTTTGCGACGGAAGAGATATCTGTGCATGTTGGTCAAACACTTGGTGGTCTGTTGAATGCGACGTTTGGCAATGCCGTAGAGCTGATTGTAAGAGATGCGCCAATCATACTCAGGCATATAACTAATGCGTCTATCTAGGTCTCCATTGTTGCGCTGAGGAAGAATGAGGTCAGAATCGTCCAGTCTAGTATGCTCGGCAGCATCCTCTCCAACATCCTCCTCGTGCTTGGGTGCTGTTTTATTGCTGGTGGCATCGCCAAGCCAGAGCAGAAGTTCAACTCGACCGTCGCATCGACCATGTCGTCGCTTATGGCTGTCGCCTCGGCTTCGCTGATCATCCCTGCCACCTTGTACGCCGCGCTACGTGACTCCAAGGAGAGCTCCAACGACAATATCCTCCTTTTGTCTCACGGCACCTCCATCATCCTCCTCATTCTCTACGTTCTCTACCTGTACTTCCAATTGAAGAGTCACGCGCACTTGTTTGACGAGGAACAAGCGTCTGACGAGAATGGAAACGAGGAACATGCAGAAGCTCAAGTCCTAGGGCCCATTCCGGCTGGTATCGCTCTTGCGGTCATCACGATCATCACAGCAGTGTGTGCTGAATATCTCGTCGGAAGCATTGAAGGCATTGTCGCGACAGGGAAAGTGTCCAAGACCTTTATCGGTCTTGTGCTGCTGCCCATTGTTGGAAATGCAGCCGAGCACGTCACGGCCGTCGTGGTTGCGTACAAGAGCAAGATGGACTTGGCCGTGGGTGTTGCCATTGGTAGCTCCATGCAGATTGCGCTTTTCGTCACGCCATTCATGGTCATTCTCGGATGGATCATGGACATCAACATGACCCTCCACTTCCAGCTCTTCGAGACGGTCGTCTTCTTCCTCAGTGTCTTGGTCGTCAACTACCTGATTCAGGACGGCAAGAGCAACTACTTGGAGGGCGCCATGTGTCTCGGCACCTACATCATCATTGCCCTCGCCTTCTACGTCTACCCGGACGACGCTTCATCCGACCCCACCAGCCTCACTGGCGGTCACTAGAAGACCTTCTACCAACCACGTATTCCGGGAGCCGTGCGCTGGCTCGATATCTTATTGGATTGTACCAATCTGACGGCAGTAGTCACATCCAAAACCTGCGAGAACAAATACGCATAATTCGACGCCCGGCAGATGAGCATTGACTGCTCAGGCCGAGTCTTATATCCCACACCCCAGTCCAATTATTAAGGGACTCGGTTATTTTCGCTTCTACAGTTGTGTTACAGAAGATCTTTTCACATGCCCGTGGGGCATTCACGATCGCTGGTTTCGTCATGTCAAAACGGCAAAGGTGGGCGTTCAGGCTGCGTCGCCAGGACCACTCACTCACTGTTCTTTTGTCTTTTCGTGCTTGGGCGAAGCCGTTGTAGCTTCGAAAGGCGGTATCTCTTTGCGTTATTTCCCTCTGGGTTTGAAAGTACTGCACGGGCCATATCAGGTTGTGCGGTCAGGATGGTATGATGGAAGACTGAAGGCAGTTTGTTGTACATATCATGGTTTGTTTGCTTCTTCTTCCAAGTCGCGAAGAAACGTAACCGCCTGGGCGAGAAGAGGATGTCGTGGTTGAATGGAACAAAGTAAAAGGAAATATATTCTTGGGTATTCTAGCACTGCAGACCTGACGCGTGATTACAGACCTGACGCGTGATCACAAGCAAATAAAAGCAGATGGTATATGTCTTATGAGTTACTTTTGACTTTATACTCATGCTTTTGGAAGAGTAATTTAGAGCTGGGTTGTGTACACGTGATTGCGCGTTTGATCCGCGGGTCGGCGCGCGCATCCACGGATTCCGTATCGATTGCGAATTGGACTCCAACATCCATCTACCACCTCGCGCACAACAACCCACAACCAATCGCCACATACTGGTGACCACCCACCACAAACATGTCCGATCCTAGCGGCCCCGAAAGATCCCCCGACCCGCTCCGCTTCACGATCCTCGCCGGCAGCGCATCCACCTCCGGTCCGCGCCTCGGACTCCTCACTCACGATGCCCGAAACACACTCGAGACCCCGCACTACATCGCGGATACCTCACGAGGCGTCATACCACACATCACACAAGACACGTTCCGCAGGCACACAGATGTCAAGGGCGTGTACGTCGCGCTGGAAGACTGTACGCCGCCGCCAGCATAACTCAATCACCACTAATTACCACTAACACCCCTCCTAGTCGTCGAAAAAGCACCCCTCAAAACACCCCCGATATACCTCCAACCCACGACCACATCCCCCTCCTCCACCCTCCGCACCTTCACCGCCCTCCCAGACACCACCCTCTCCATCCTCGCCCCCCGCCGCCTCTCCCCCATCCCCTCCCCAAACCCAAACTCATCCTCCTCCCTCGCAATCTGCACCTCCGTAGGCTTCTCCGCCCTGTCCATAGCCACATACATCTCCGCCGCCGCCCCATCCCTCAACCCAGACATCCTCGTCGCCCCCGCCGATATCCCCCACGGCAACCCCGCGCCCAGCCTCAAGCGCCGCGTCAAAATGCTCGATCGCACCGCTTCATGGCTGACGGATCTGCAACGCGCGAAGGGGAGAGTAGGGGGCGACTATGCTGTTTTCGCGGCTGTGTTGCCGCTGCCCGTCGAGGCGCAGCGCTGGTATTTGGATTCTTTGCTCGACGCCGTCACTGACGACGGACACGGTGATGGAGAAGGGCACGCCCTCCCCGCCGGTCTCGCCATCTACGACCCCTCCGCCATCCCCGCTCTTCCGCAACCCCTCACGCACCTCCCCCGCCTCTGCCTCGCCCCCGCACACTCCCCATCCCAACTCCTCCACTCCATCGCCCTCGGCGCAGACCTCACTCTCGCCCCCTTTCTCAGCACCGCCACGGACGCCGGCATCGCGCTGACTTTCACCTTTCCTGCGCCTCGGGGGGCCTCGCCAGAATCAAAATCAGATTCAGAATCAGATTCACAACAACAACAAGCAGAGAAACACCCCCTCGGCACATCCCTCTGGAACCCCACCGCACACGCCCTCTCCACCGCCCCGCTGCAGGCCGGTTGCGCGTGTTATACCTGTGCGCGCCATCATCGCGCATATGTGCATCATTTGCTTGCTGCCGGGGAGATGTTGGCTTGGACGCTGGTGCAGGTGCATAATTTGGCTTGTTTGGAGGGGTTTTTTCGCGGGGTGAGGGGGGTTTTGGGGGGGGAGGGAGAGGGGGGGATTGTGGATGGTGGGGAGGGAGAGGGGGGTATGGAGGGAAGGGTTAAGGGGAGGTTTGAGGAGGAGAGGGCGAGGTTCGAGGACTGGTATGAGGTGGAGATGCCGGTTAGTGAGGGGGTGAGGCCGCGCGGGAGGGGGTATATGGGGTTGGGTCTGGGGAGTGCGGATGGTGGGGGGAGGGGGAGGGGGAAGGGGAAATTGAATGGGGGTGGGAAGTGGAAGGGGGGAGGCTTGGGGATGGGGATGGGAATGGGAAAGGGGGGAATGCGGAGGTTGTAGAGATGCGTTGAGATGCTTGCTTGCTTGCTTGCTTGCCTACTTGCCTACTTCCTACATGCATGCATGCGTATACCAGAACCAGGCCATCTCATCCATCCAGCCATCCAGCCAGCCAGTCAGCCACGCAGGCCTGAATTCCTCATCTCCCTCCCTACCCATCCATATCTACCCATCGACCTATCTAGTCTTGACCTTTTTCGTCTGCGGTGCCTGCACTTCAGCACCACCACCTCCATCACCACCACCACCATCACCACCACCAACACCACCTGCACCACCACCACCAGCCCCAACAGGCCACCGCCTCGCACACCGCGCCTCGTCCGCAGCCGTCCACTCGCGCGGCAGGACCGCGAAGAGAAGGTATGAAGTGTGCGTCTTGAGCTCTGTCTCCGTGCGGTGGACGAGGCGGCCTTCTTTCCATAGTTTGCGGTCGGTGGTGGTGGTGTTGCCTGTGATATCTGCTGCTGCTGCGTCGTCGTCGTTGGGGCTAGCTTCATCTTCGTGGTTGTCGACGTCACGCGTGCCTTTCTTCTTCTCTCCCTTTCCATTTTCCTTCCCATTCCCACCCTCCTTCATCTTCTTCCCCTCCCCATTCTTCCCCTTCCCAGTCCCCTTCCCAGCAGCCCCCTTCCCCCCCGCCGCCCGATGCGCCTGATGCCGCGCCTCAAGCACCCGCATCCGGCCGAGCGCCTCATGCACAGTCGCGGGACTGGCATTACTCCCACGCAGGCCCTCCTCAGCGAGGCCGACGCGCTCGCGGCGGACGTCGATGCGGCGATGGGCGAGTTCGAGCATGTCGATGTCTGTCCAGCCGTGGGCGCGCAGGGCGGCGGCGGTTTTGGTGACTTGTTCGATGCAGGGGGAGAAGGTGCAGATGCGGGTTGTTGAGAGGGGGTTTAGGGGGGAGGGGGTGCTGGATGTGGAGGTGCGGGTGAGGTGTTTGAGGGCGAGCCAGGGGGCGGGGAGGTCGAGGAAGATTGCGTCGGCTTTGGGGGTGGTTGTTGTGGTTGTGTTGTTGTCGGGTGGGGGGAGGCAGAAGCCGTCTTGGTAGACGTCGCGGTGTGTGACGCGGATTATGGAGTCGAGGCCGTGGTCTTTGATTTCTTCGCGGAGTTTGGTTGCGCGTGGTTCGTGGTACTCAAAGCTGTATACTTTGCCTGGTTTCTTCTTCTTCGTTGGCGGTTTCGTCGTGCTGTCCTTCGCGCCCTGTGTTGTGTCTTCGCTCGGCTCTTGTGATTCCCATGGATAGCCATTGAAGACTGCGCGCGCTGCGGCGTGGGAGAACGACCCGCTGCCCGCACCGGCCTCGATCAGCGTATCGCCAGGTCGCACGCGCAGTCGTTGTAGTACGTAGCTGTAGTCTGGCGTGTACACTACCTGTGTGCGATGCGGTAGGCTCAGCGTCCATGCTTCGGGCGTTGGAGGCAGTAGGTGCGCGAACCCCGTACTCGCTACCACGGCCGCCTTTACATCCTCCCCGTCTGCGTCCTGTGTGCTCTCTCTTCCAGCCCCAGCACCAGCACCGCGCTTACGCTTCTTCCCGTGGTTGCTGTTGTTGCAGCTGCTCTTGTCTCTGTTGCCGCGGCTGCCCGTGTCGACTTTCGACGCGCGCACCTGTGTGCCCCATGGGATATGCAGCAGCGTGGAGTGTGGAAATGAGCCGAAGCGTGTGTTCGTCACGATGCCCTCGGCGTAGTCGCTTGTGGCGGACGGCGTGGATGTGCTCAGGATCGTGGGCACGAGGAGGTCGCGTTTGAGGTGGATTATGCCGAGGGTCGAGGGCGTGGACGAGGGGCCTGGGTCGAGGAAGGGTGAGGGCTCGTGAGGCGGCATTGTGGGTGTTTGGGTTGGTGATGTGGTGGTGGTGTTGGTGGTTGAGAGGTTGTGTTCTGGTAGAGGAAAAATATCGAGAGGAGCTGTATGGGATGGGGAGCTCGTGGAGGGTCTGTGCGTAGGGCTGGGAGTAGCGGGGGATAAATCCGCACTGCATGTGTTCGTGTGTATAGTATTGAGAGTGAGTGAATTCTGGTCTGTTTGTTCTCTGACGCTGTATATCTACTCCCTATTTGCGACCTTGTTCTGTTGTCCCCAAGTGTCGTCCGTCCTGAAGCCTGCTGATGCGCTTTCTCTCATTCACTCTCCGCGCTGCAGCTTTCCGACCGACTCATTCTCCAGTTGACTCATTCGCCAGGCCCGCTCTGATAAAACGTCGAATCTTCCCCAGTCTGCCTTTCCACACTCCTCTCCCTCCGATCCGCACCATGGCGACCACTCGTCAGCAGCCCGTGTGGCAAGACCCAAAGACGCAGTCCAAAGCAGAGACGCTGCCGGCGCTCAAAGTGTACAATTCCCTGACGCGCAGCAAGACGCCCTTCACGCCTCTCGATCCCGCAGGCAAGGCCGTGACATGGTATGCTTGCGGGCCGACGGTATACGATGACGCCCATCTAGGACATGCACGCAACTATGTCTCTACCGATATCATTCGGCGGATCATGCGGGACTACTTCAAATTCGACATGAAGTTCGTCATGAACATTACAGACGTGGATGATAAGATTATTCTCAGGGGCCGGCAGCAGCACTTGTTTGGGGAGTTTGTGGAAAAGCACAAGGAGATTGACGAGGAGGTGCTCGACACCACGACAAAGGCGTACGCCGCATATATCAAGAAGAACTTGAAGGAGCTGCCGGAGGGAGTCGACCCGCAACACTTCCCTGCAGAGTCGATGCGTGTATATCAGAAAGTGCTGTTTGGTGGTGCTCTGGAAGGAGATGGGCCGGCTGGGGACAAGGAGGCGAAGGTCAAGATGCACATCAAGACTGCTACATCGGCGGCAGAGGTGTTGAGCAGCGCATCGGACACGTCAAAGAAGATTAAGCCGGCAGAGTTCTATGCCAGGGCGGAGGATGTGCTACTGCCATATCTAGATAGTCTGTACGGCGCCGCGCTCGACACAAGCGACCACAGCATCTTCACGAAGCTAACGAAGAAGTTCGAGGACCGCTTCATGGAAGACGTTCGGGCATTGAACTGCCTGGATCCAGATGTGCTCACACGCGTGACCGAATACGGTCCTCAGATAGTAGATTTCGTGCAGAAGATTGAGAAGAACAGCTTCGGCTATGCGACCTCAGACGGCTCGGTGTACTTTGACATTGACGCCTTCGAGAAGGCCGGAAATAACTACTCTCGCCTGGAACCGTGGAATCGCGGAAACCAGGAACTACAGGCGGACGGCGAAGGTTCTCTGACGAACAAGACATCGGAGAAGCGATCAGATGCCGATTTCGCGCTTTGGAAGTCCTCGAAGCCGGGCGAGCCGTACTGGCCTAGTCCATGGGGTCAAGGGCGGCCCGGGTGGCATATTGAGTGCTCAGCTATGGCGTCGGATGTACTAGGCCCGAAGATTGACATTCACAGTGGCGGTATCGACCTCGCCTTCCCTCACCACGACAATGAGCTCGCTCAGAGCGAGGCGTTCTGGGCGAATCAAGAAACTGGACATGGGCATGATCATGGTGATGGTACGCATCAATGGGTCAATTACTTTCTGCATATGGGCCATCTGTCCATCTCTGGCTCGAAGATGAGCAAGAGTCTGAAGAACTTTACGACAATCCGAGAGGCGCTGCAGCGAGGCGAGTGGACGCCTCGCGGCCTACGGATTGTCTTTCTACTAGGTAATTCCAACTTATCACGTTGTTACTGTTTGCAAGGCTGACTCACTTAGGCGGCTGGCACGACGGTGTTGAGATTACCCCTGAGCTCGTCAAGGCTGGCGAGTCGTGGGAGGACAAGGTGCAGAACTTCTTCTTGAAAGCACAAGACCTCCAAAGAAACCCCAAGACGAGCACGCCGAACGCGGACGCCGACTCTGCGCTCGCTGAGGCCTTGAGCTCAGCGCAGTCGGCACTGGATGTTGCGCTTTGCGATTCTTTCGATACCCCAGCTGCCATGCGCACCATCTCTCAGCTCATCACACAGTACAATGCCAGAGAGAAAGAGATGCTGTCGCCAGAGACTGTGCTGAGTGCAGCTCGATGGATCACCAACATAGTGACCGTGTTTGGTCTTAACGGATCTGCTCGTGTGGATGCTGCCAACGCCATTGGCTGGGCAGGTGCTGACATTCCAGACGTCGCCAAGCAGTTCATCTACCCAGCCGCCAAACTCCGCGACGAGATTAGACGGCGAGCAATTGCTGGTCAGATCTCGAGCGAGGAAGTAGAGAGGCTTGCGTCAGAGGACGTTGCGGCGAAACATCAGGAGATGAACGCAGTCCCGTATGCAGAAGTTCTTAGCCAGTTCCAAGAAGACGTCAGGGCCCTTGGCTCCAAAAGCGCTCCGTCTAAGGACTATCTCGCGCTTTGCGACAAGCTCCGAGACGTTCAACTCTGGGATCTTGGCATATACCTCGAAGATCGTGAGGGAGGGCAGCCTGCAATGGTTCGCCCTGTAGACCAGCAACTGGTCGCCGAGCGAGCTGACAAGGAAGCGCGCGAGCAGGCGAAGAAGGACGCCAAGGCCAAGCGCGAGAAGGAGGAGGCAGAGAAGGCAGCTAAGAAGCTGGAGCAAGCAAAGCTGAGCCATCTGGACATGTACAAAACAAAAGAATACTCAGCATGGGACGACGAGGGCCTGCCCACAAAAGACGCCAAGGGCGATGAGATCCCGAAGAATAAGACAAAGAAGCTGAAGAAGGAGTGGGAGAAGCAGAAGAAACTGCATGAAGAGTGGAAGGCCAGGTCTACTTCATGAGATTGATCTCATATCTAGTCGAAAAAGTGCTTTGGTAGCGGATGCATTGACGGAGTTTGACATGATACCAAAGGTGTATGTGGTGACAGGTTCGTATATCATCACTAAGCGAGTCACCCAATCTGTACAAGACCTCTTACTGCCGTACCAGTGATGTAGTGGTGCATTGTGTTGTTCCATGTTTTGTCACCGCAACTGCCCGGCGTCACGTGGAACTGCGCTCTGAACTCGCGCTCTGAATCACTTTCCATATATATAAACACCCGTTTTCACTCGCCCTGGTGAATGACCGACCCCTATCGATCACGTTTCTCTCCTCCTTCCGGTACAATGTCACTTGAGACTCCCAAAACGTATCACTCCATTCGACTGGAGTCGCGGCCGCCTGGTTGGAAACACGGCAGCCACTTCGATCCTCCTCTCTCTCACCTGCCTTCCACCTACACTGCGCCCAACACTATTCAAATGCCATCCAAGGCCACTGCTGACATGTATCCTCTTGACTCTACGTTCGACTTGACGTCTGTCGATCAGATCGCAACTCTGAAGGTCTCTCAAGAAGATTGGGACAAATCCATCCTCAGCATCCCCCCTGCGGAGCCAAGATATCTCTCCAGAGTCCCAATCATGCAGTCGACCTCCATTGACGGCCTCGAACACTTCCCTCCGAACCTCGCCGCCCATCTCCTATGTTTCCGCGCTGACCCCAAGAACCACGCCCTCGAAGCAACAGACTTCTACTTCCAAACCACAATATCCTCCGACCTCACCTCCAACACCGTACGCCCAATGGGATTCCAAATGAGCCTCAAAGCTCTGCGCTCCCAGTTCTGGGCCGACCACCGCCCAATCCCGCTCTCCAAGAAAGACTCGTGGACCAACCAAGACTCCGACATCGCCGCGGGCACCTCCATGTACGTCGAATGGTGCGCTTACACCAAACACATTACCTGCATTCAGCGCGAATGGTGCCTCGATCCCACGCCCATCACGCAAGAAAACTACGCCTGGGTACAGCTGGCCCTTTGGCTCCAGAAGGGCTGGCATCGGATCGTGTACACCCTCAGCGACGAGGCGAAGCAGCTCATTGCCCAGCACGTATACGCTCGGAAACATGGCGGTGTGCTGAAGCCCGAGGAGGGCAACTTGTTGGAGTTTATGAACGCAGGTGTTTTCGGCCCGTCGATGGCGTCGGATAAGCAGGCTGTCGCTGCGAGCAGCTCGAAGGATTTCGCAGACCAGGTCGCCAAACGCACGCCCGTCACGCTCGATCCGACGAAGATGCAGCTGCATCAGCATCAGCATCAGCATCAGCATCAGCACAAGACCCAGACCCAGCACGGAAAATCCAACATAGCCCTGAACAGAGCCCGAGCACAATCCGCAGCAGACATGCACAAGCTCTGGGCCTCCCGAGGCATCGTCCCCCTCCAGCCATCCCAGCCCCTCCATCCATACATCCAACTCATCCAAAACACCGCGTCTCAAAACAAGAAAGAGGAGGCAATCACACAAGCAGCAAGGCCATCGCAACCCCCGATCCCTCCCCCCGACGCCATGGACATATGCCCCCTCCCTTCCTCGAGCGTCGGTGGATCCGCAGATAAGGAGAATGAGGGCCCGTTCCGGAAGGGCGCGAACGCGGGTGAGACGCTGATGGATTCGCCGCTGCGCCTTTATCCGGCGCCGCCGCCGCTGCCGCCGCGATGAGGGGTTTGGGGGGGCTAAGGGGTGGTCATATGCTGATTACTGGGAATGTGCATCAGTGGTGGGTATTTGCTGATTACTGGGAATTTAAATGCATGCTGTGTATGTTGTATTGTAATATGAGATGGTACGATACGATAGAGAGTGTTGTAATACCAGCACATTTCGCACATGGAATGTGAGCTTCGAAACGCGCTTTTGAGACTCTGATGTGATGGTATGCTGTGTGGAGGTGTGGACTTCGTATCTTTGTCGACGCTTTCTGAGACGTGTGCTTCTGGTTCTCTTGCTGGGTCTGCATTAAAGGGGCATCCATGGCGTGCTACTCATGCTGTCGACTTATCGTCATGCCAGTCACATGGAGCGCGCAAGACGTATGGTCATGCAGTCATATGAAGCACTGCAACGGGATCTGGCAGTGTGTGAATAGAGGGGAGTATGATGAATTCGGATGTTAGAGGGATGATGTATGTGTGTGGGAGATTTGTAGACTGGAACGGCAGGAGGGAAATTGGCAGGGTAATGAAGGGTCGACTGGGACACGTTGAATGTAAGTCAAGGCTCATACTTATATGAATCATAGTAATAAGATTCAATAGTATATAAAGTAGAGTATACTGAGTTTGGATATCAAGGGAGAAAATGTAATAGGAGTTTACGGACTAGAACGGTGGTAGGAAGGTTAGAAGAGGGATTACTTCAAAGTAAAATAGGGGTCAGTTGGAACTGGTTAAAAGGCAGTTCGAGGCTTATAAATTCATATATGTTTGAGTGTTTGGCATAGTATGTGATCCCATATCTTGCTAGCTGTACATGGAAACACAATGGAACGGTCTGCCTGAGTGAAGACTAGGAGAGGATATCGAGAAGGATTGGGATGGGGTTCTTGCAATACCGAAGCTAAGGCAGTAAAGTGCAAGGACAGATGGATGTGAGATATCTAGTGAGATTGAGCGATGTCGCAATGAAGAAGCAGACCCGGGCGATGTGAAAATGTAGTTGCGGTGTGAGTCAGAAACCATGTACCTTACTAAAAATGCGGACAAGAAGACAAAAGAAGTGAGTCCGCTCAAGGCTTGCATTCCTTCAAGAACGCCACAGCGTTGTCCAGATCGCTGCTAGCAACACCGAGCACATCCCGAACGGCCTGTCGGAGCTTGATCGTTTCAGGGTCGTTGTCGTCGTCCTTTTCGAATATGAATTGCAAATCCTGGTATATATCAGCATATAAAGACTCTATCTTGGTCTTCATCGTCTCCTCGGCTGTTTGCACAGCTGCCTGGAGTGCGGGCTGTAGTCTTTTGGTGCATATGTGGTGGTAGAGTGTATTGTGCGAGCAGATCCTGCTTGTGAGAATCTCACAACGGACTTGGTGCTTGTTCTTTGCCTTCACCTCCTTTACGACTACTTTTGCACCCTTTGGAGACTTCTTGACCCCTGGAGTTGCATAGGCGTTTTGGCATTCCTCATAGATCGGGTTGATGAATTCCGTGAAGTAGGAGTCCGCACTGGAGAGGAAGGTTCTCTGCTCAATTGTCTCCAGGGAGTGGCGCAGCACGTTGAGTGTGCTATCAATCATGTTGTGGATACCTGCTTCTCGCTGCTCGGTGTTGTACAGGAAACGCGCGAGAGATTCTTTCATGACGGTGGACGGGTGATTTCGGATTTGCTGGATCATTCCATCATATCCGATGAGGATCTGTGAGAGCGTGGAGCCAAGGAAGTCCGAGCCGTCAAGGCAAGCCGATTCCAAAGTATCAAACTGTGTCTCCAGTACCTTCTTGATGGGTTCCTGGAGGTAGACATTCCAGTCCTTCTGATCGCCATCGAGCTTCCAAGCTCCCCAGTGGCGACACCAGGCTGCATGGGTGGGCGCCTTCAATTTAGCCCACGTATCCAAGAGAGCTTGCGCACACGCCCGCATAGCGCTGTCTTCAGTCTTCATCACTTTACATAGGCCCGAGACCTCATTCTCTCGTAGCAACTTGAACCGGTCATGGAGCTCTGCCAACGACTTTTCTTTGCTTTCTTTGACGAGAACTTCCAGTCTCTCTTGCTTCTTGATCTTCGAAAGGGACGATGAGAGCTCGCATGTCCTTATCAAATTGCCCAACACAAAGCATTGATGATTTAGTGCCTCAAATTTGCCAGCAGACGCGATCCCGTACAGGAATTTGCGAAGAGCTGGCACGCCGGTTCCTGTTGGAGTTAATTTGACGGGCGAATTGCGTTCCCATAATGCCTTCAGGTATTCCGCGTATATGCGATTAGAAACCGGAAATACCAAAAGATCCTGCCCATTTGCCAATCTTGCATACTTTGCAATCAGCTCTGATACCACCCTGTCGTTTCGGATCGTGATCTGATACTCCTCTTTACTACATGAATGATAAGTACTCTATCCGAGATGCTGGTCATTGGCACACACACCTCAATTTGGCCTTCGCTATTTGTGATCTGATTTGTCAGTGAAATTCTCACCTAGCCCAGGAAATGATTCACTTACTGGACTTTCTTGAGTCGATCTTTGTGTAGTTTGAGTTCCCGCCGGTGAAGCTTGCCTGGCTGTAAAGATGTGAGCATCTCTGTATGCTTGTCTGTTAGATACTGAATCTGGATGTCGGCTAGCTTTAGCTCAACCACTTGGTCGTCATTCAGCTTCATATCGAATGCGAAGTTTGTTCCTGCGCAGAAATCATCCGTGGCAGTGGGAACACACATCACACCCCTTTTCGTTCGCGACAAATGGTGATGTGCTGTAATGAGATATCTCTGAACTTCCTCATCATCCACAATGCGGTCTATTTTGCCAACGACTATAAGTTTGTCGCATTTGCCCAGGTACGCTTTTGTTGCATTCGTCCGCGTCATGTTGATATCAGATAGACCTGAAGGATTTCCGTTAGTAGTCGACTACGTCTTGCGCATCCCGTTGACCTGGCGTACCTGGGAGGTCGACAATGATCATACCCTCTTGTAGAATCTTTGAATCAAATGATACCCTGTACAGTTAGCCCAGACTACGACACGGACTACAGGAGCTTTCTATGTACCTTACTACGTGAACGAACGGCCAGTACTTCCCAGCCTGGTCTTTGCACTCACATGAACGGCCGTAAGCAATCAAAGACTGGAGTTGATTGGCCAGGTTTTCAGAATCGGATGCATAGAGACTCCTGGGATTTTTGTCTGACATCAACTGCTGGTAAATAGAAGATACCCATTCCGTGATGATTTTCCGCAGCGCTTGGTCGTCGCCAGACTTTTGTGACTTGAGAAACACCTTGGCGGATTTTTCCGTAGCGAATTCCGCGTGATGACCAAACACTGTAAGCAGAGAGTTCAATGCGGTGCTACCCAGCTTGTCCTTTTCAAATCCCTGATCATCACCGCCTTTGTCTTGATCTGAGGCCTTATTCTCCTTCGAATCGAGGTACTGGTACGCGTTCCGCGCCCATCCTTTGACCATCTTGGTGCCCTCAGACTTTGTGAGGTATTCAACCTCCGCTTGAAATGCCTGCACTTGATTGTGGCGCAATGGATGATACTCGATGGGGAATGGGGTGCATGCTCCACCACTCGACCCCTGGACAATGTTAGCTGGATAATCATGGCTTTTAACATACACGCACTATCATAGCGACTTCTTTCCCTAGAATCGAGTTGATAAGCGACGATTTACCTATGACGAGTCAGCAAGAGGATGCACGAGAGAGTGAAGTCCTGAGTACCAGCGCCACTGCGACCAAGCAAGCCAATACGTCGGCTACTGGGAAAGATGATCTTTGAGTCATCCAAGACTCTCTTCGTGAGCAATGAGCCTTCCTCGCCGTCAGGGCTACTGCTCTTGATGGCATTCAGGAAGTGTTCCGGTACTTTGTTCAGACTTTCCATCGCTTTTGCAAAGCTTGGATGGTAGTTTGGCGCCTGCGGGAGTTCTACTCTGTCTGGTACGTAACTTGCATTGCACTCATCGTCAGAGTCGTCTGATTCGAGATCTCCGTCGTTGTTCCCTGTACTTTCAATGTCTATCTGGCACCCTACAGAACTTAGCACTTGCTTGAAGAACCTCCACTGTTAAATACCTTTCCGCTTCAGGCTGTTGTTCTGATCAGGGTTCATTGTGGTTGATTCTGGGTACATGGGTCTCGAATGGCCTAGCAAGGATTGTTCGCTCGTCATCCGGGGCCGTGTGTCCAGCATAGTCTGATCTAACAACACAGAGTCGAATCTCTCCACATCGACAGGCCGAGTGGTTGAAGTCGCTTGAACTAGCTCACACTGACTGTCAATCATGCTGATAAGCGATGCTGAGACGTTATCGTTCCAAGGGCAACTATTGAGGGAGTAAAGAGTCTTAGTTCATAGTAGAGATTGAAGTAGGTTTACCGATGAGCGGTGAGATGAGGTCGAGACGACCATATTCGAAAGGCCAAGTGCGTCCTGTGTAAACACTGTCATTCACTCCGCAACCAGCTATACTTAAAGTAGATTAGCTCAATATCACCAGTGTAAATGAAAGGGCGTCACCAAAAAGTAGTCGTTTGTCAAAATATGCGTACAGGTAAGAGCGTTGGCTGCACTCCGAGCCGCAGGGGAACATCCTCTACCTGTGTTATGATATTGATGGCCTGGGATTCTTGTAGCTTTTCGCAGAAGAGAAGAGTAGATAGCTTATGCATGGATCCTCTGAAAGTTCGATTGTTCTGGGATTACTCCACACGAATGGAAGCCTCAGAAAGTTCTAATAAGCTCTGGCATCTGTTTGCATTATCTCTCCACTCATCAAGTCTGCGAACGTTTTAGTGATACGTAGACACAGTCATGTTACCTACCATCATGGTTTTACTCCAGGCATCAAATAATTATCCAACATTCTGCCAAAAAGAGTAGATTTTTGCGCTCAGTGTGCAAGATTTTACCATTGCTCGTGATCTGTCTACCTACGAAGTGTAAACTGTTCCAGATCTCGCAATCTCGCGAAAGACTTCTTACCACACGTGGCGCGATATTCAGATGAGTACTACTATTTTCATGTGGATTCGGCATGTTGACTATATGGACCCGTTTTCAACTTACACCCTTTCTAAAAGAAGTCACGCATGCCAGCAGGAGAATAAAATGCATCCCAATTGAAAACTCCACGAATGTAAACTTCATGTCCCTCGCATCTGATCCAGGCGGATACTGATTGCAATCTTCAGACTCTATTACCCGCTCCTCGCACTTTGCCTAAATACAGTCTCTCGCAGGGAATTTTATAGCTTCCTTGTTCTGCATCCATCTTGGACTGGACTAAAAAGCTCACTTGACCTTGCGGCATTCTTCAAGATAGCCTTTGACCGGCGAAATGAACTCCTCTCTTGCTTTGGGCACCAGTTCACGAAGCTTCCTCTGAAGCTCTTTGGAGGCTGGGGATTCCTCAACATCAGTAGCGCAAATTGAACTAAAGTCGTGCTGGATACTGGCAAAGATTGTTTCAATATCCTTCTGGAGAGCTACTCTCCGCGTTTCGACCACAGCTTCACAATGGACCATAGTCTGGTCTTTCACAAACATGAAGATTCCATCAGGCTGGCATATGTCATTGCTCAAGACGTCGCATCGTTTCCTGTGTATAGTAACACCCTTTTCGCAATCTCTAAAGCCAATCGCGGCGGCACGCTCGTATACCTTCTTCATTGCTGTTGCGAGATAAGATGCGTCGGAGCTGTCTTGAAGCGCATCGATCTTGACAGTGCCGAGAGACTTCCTCATAGCCCTGATTGCATACATGCAACGCACCTGAAGTTCAGTCTGGCGTCGTCTCAGATTTCCAAAGAAAGCCTGAACTGGTGTAAGTGTCGACGCTTGATCCTCGTTTATGGTACAGCGCATCTTCTCTAGGACTGTCTCCAGTGTGCTGTCAAGAGTCGCAAGTAGTCCTTCGCATGCATTGATCAAGCTGTTGAATGGTACCTCTGCATCATCCGAAACTACCATCAAAAGCTCCTTGTTGAGGTCCTTTGGGCCCAGCTTCTTCGTTTTGTGAATCCCATATTTTCGGCACAAGGCGCGGTGAGAAGCTGCACCAAAACTCTCCCACCTGCCACATTTCACCGCAGCTCGCTTTATCCACGGCTGTTCAAAGTTTGTCAACTTGGAGACCAGAGCGCATACCTCTCTCTGGTTGAAGTCGCTAAAAATAGTATCTACCTCGATAAGAGCCGCCTGTTGGGACTGAAGAATCAATCTTTCGAGATGCTCCTTTCTCTGGATTTTGGTGATCGTGGAGGCCATCTCTACTGTACAGAATAGCGTGCACAGGGTCACTTGGCAATGGTGTTCCAGCGCAGCTAACTTTCGTGTCGCTGGAAGGTTGTATATATACTCAACCATCCTTGGAATATTCGTGTTCTCCACTGTCAGAATCGCGGGCTCATCGCGAGGAATACCGATCAAGTGAGCTGTGTATAATTTGTTGCTCACACAGAAGACTGGTAGGGGATATTCATCTTTGGTAAGCTCAAGATACTTCTTCTTTAAACCTGTAGAAACCTTTCTGTTTCGAATGAGGATACGTTCCTGGGTTTGTCGAGCTTTGTACATCTTGCTCTTTACTGTCAGCTTCTCCCTTTTCCTGGAGAGCGAATTCACCAAGTCTCGATCTCCACGACTAGCGCGTATGTTCTTACCAATCTCTTTCAACTTAGCCGTGGTTGACATCTCCTGACGCTTTAGATATTCTGCTTGCTCCTCCTCTTGTGGAGACATTGGGATATTTTGCTTTGCTCCTATGTCATCGGAGCGAGTGCACACCATGATAACACTTTTTCCACGTCTCCTCCTATGAGCGTCAATAAGGTTGGAGTGGGTGGCCGTGTCGGTCTCGGCTCTCTTGATATCGGCAACTATAATCAAGTAGTCACAGCTTTTCAGGTAAGCTTGTGTGGTCTTAACACGGGTCCGATTTATATCGGAAATACCTGGGAATGATTAGAGAACATTTGTGGTCAATCTGATTGCGAGATACCTGGAAGGTCGGCAATTGTGACTCCAGCTGCTAGGAGTGGAGATCGTACGCCTATCCTGCAACGAATGTCAGCAACTGAAGGAGCAAGGATATTATGTGGCATACTTGACAAGTCGGACCATTGACCATGGTGAGCATTTGAGTTGACTTCCCACAAGATAGTCTGTGACTGTCTTCGTGTAAGGTAAGATATTTTCTGACAACGCATCCAGATTCGATGCCTCGATTATCAAAGGCTCTCCATCACAACCCAATTTCGCGATGACTTGATCCGTCCACTTGATCATCTGAGATAGAACTTGGCCATAATCTGTTGGGTCTACTGTACTCAGGTAGTCTTTCATCGACTCCTCATCAGCGAATTCATCCTTGTCCTGGAAAAGGGCAAGGAACACTTCTTTTGCTGTACGAGCTTCAACCTCTTCAGATTCACCTCGCTCGTCGTCGATGGCTTCCTTTTTGCACCTGTAAAACTGATAATAGCTATCAATATGGCTTTTCAGGTCAGATTCCCGCATCTTCCTTCCTTTCCAGTAGATTTCTGCAGCGAATGGAGCCTTTTGCTTTGGTGGGACTGGGACAAATTCTTGTACCACGTATGTGCAAGCTTCTCCGTCATCGGCCTGAAAGTTGTGTTAGTACCATGTAGCGAGAGGTAGCAGTTCAATAAACCTGTGGTGTCAAGCTGACGCAGCCTAGCAGTGAGTTTATGAGAGAGGATTTTCCTGCCCCTGTATAAGCAATTCATCTTGACAATCGAATTATGTGACTTGCCCACACCACTGTCTCCGACAATGCCTATCTTGACAGCTTCACCATACCTCACATCCTCGCAGGCACTGATTTCCCTCATAAGTAGTCTCGTCTCATCGTCTTCACAGCCACTGCTTTGGATTAATTCCTTGAAGGGAGCCACGATATCCACTGCCAACTGCTCCGCTAATTTGAATGCCGGGTGCAGTGTGGGAATTCTGGGTAGTTCTTGGCTTTCTGGGTTGTAAGTGATGGCTTCATCCCCGTCATCATAATCGCTGTCGTTGTCGCTCTCATCTTCGCTTCCACTGACCGCACTATCTGAGTCCATGGAAGGAACTTCGTGTGATTAGTGAATGTCGGATCGACGTTGTAGATCAACGTACCTTTACGTTTCCTGCCTTGCGAATTCACCGTAGTTTTGCGCGAGGGGATGATAGGCGAATAGTGACTTGCGATTGGGGCTGCAGTATGGGCCGGTTCAGTCGACTCCAGATTGTCAGGACGAACCGAATTGATACCAGGCTCGATCTTCACCTCGGTATCGAAGACTGAAGCTTGTTGTGCCACAAGGCCATTTGAGTGGTTAGTAGCTGAAATGTCAATATCTTCACGCTCCGCCATTGTGATGAAGCCGGAGCTCCACACTGGTGATTTTGCAATAGTATTCTGGTAGAGAATGAGTGGGTATGTAGAAGATAAGGGGGGAAACTGAGGCGGAGAATGAGTAATTGTGTGTAGAAGACAAGTGGAGAAACTGAGGCGGAGAATGAGTAATTGTATGTGGAATAATATAAGTAGGAAAGCTGAGGTGGAGAAGAAGTAGGGCCACAGTCAGCGAAGTCTATCGGCGGCAATTGTGTTCTGTTTGTCAGTACAGTCCGTAAATACAGACCACTTCACTTGAGCTCAACAATCTTTGGTCACATAGGGAAGAGCCTACAAACCCGTAAAAAGTTCACACTGGTCGATTCATGAGTCGCTGAAGTCGGTATACGATCAACATGGATTGATGATTATCTGTAGTCTCATTCAACGGCGTGCTCACTCCGAGACTGTCTAGGCGTGCGATATGAGAAGATAACCACTGTTTGGCGGCTCAACTACAGAGATTCAACCTTCAATGAGCATACAAGTTGGGTGACACCAAGCGATGGCTCATATCCTGGTTACAGTCTCAATGTTCAACGAAAAGTTCAGAGGCCGAAGCTTTCGTGGTCAGTAACAGAAGGTGATAGCTTCCGAAGGGATCTAGGCGTCATGAAACTTGAACACAAACCAGTGAAACCACTGGCTACCATTGGTAATCTGTTTCAGTATTGAGCGAGATCTTGGATAATAGCGCCCCTAGCATCACGAAGTTCAGCTCCAGAGATGACTGAATGCATGCCCATGCAGAGAAGAGGACGAAGTGTACAGCACGGGGATATTAAAGACAAGCAACGCAGGAGTTGTCTCATTTTACAAGGTACAGGACTGTCCAATAAGATCAGTCTTGGTGTATTGCTTTGCAAGTAATACTAAGTAAGAGGGCCCGTGAATCCGACTTTACAAGCTTGCCTTCGACATATTAGACGCAGTATTTGAATAACAAGTACCGCTAGGCAAAGGTCCTAAACCGAATGTTCCGACACTCACGAACTTCCTCGAGATCCAAGTCAAAAATTCTGAAAGAATCTGTTCCTAGAAATTGCCACGCCAATTGCGCCTCTTCCTTCACAGTGTTCATGGACCGCTCACCCTCATCGGGGCTCCCAGTGACCGTAGTGTCGTCCGAGCCCAAATATCCTGACAAAGTCGTCTAGACTGACGGCGCCCATCCCATTCTCACGCTCAAAGGCATACCGAGAAGCAGCCTCGAAGACCCAATGGCAGTTCATCTGATCAACAATCATGCGCTCCTCGAATCGTCCATTGGGAACGACGATCTCGGCATACACACGTCCATGAAGCGGCAAGTGCGGAGGTTCGACTGGGTTTGCCGTGGCGTTGGGGAGAGGTGCAGGGTGACCTCTGCCTCCATGATGTTCTCCGCGTTGGCTCTGTGTAGCCCGGTGGTCACGGGGATTTGGGCGTCTGCGGCTGATAGATGTCAAATCGGAAAATGGGCTTCCGTTGCGGTTTGTATTGTTTGCCCCATTCGACAAGCGTGCAGGGCTAGGGCCAGCTTGATCCATCGGTGGACCCCAAGTGTTCGCTTCTAGCGGCGGTGTTGCCTGCATTGCTGCCGGTGAGCCTGCCCCTGGTGAGTTGGGGTCATGCGGGAAGTCTACATCTGTCGGATCTTGAAGATTGCTCCTCCATCTGGAGATCTGGTGGTTGTTGTGGCGCATGTACTCCGCAGTGGGCATTGTGTCGGGTGGCAGGCTGCCTTCTTCTACATCCTCGTCGGCAGCAGGCGCATATTGATTGGGAAGGCCAGCTTCCGCAATCTGCGCCCCGACCTCCACACTGGCGAAGTCGACGAACAAGCCATTCGCCTTCTCAAAATCAACCTGATTCGTCCTCTGCAGCGCGTTCCCCTTCTTACGCTTTGGTGGCGCCTGCGCCACGATTTCATCATCGTCATCGTCATCGACGGAGTCAGACATCAGCTTGCGTTTCGAACCTGCGTGGACGGTGTTGCGGTCGAGTGGATTTGGATGACCGACACCATCAGCACCACGGTCGGAGCCGTGGCTCGAACTTGGCCCTTGGTCCTCGGGCTCAGGTAGAGCATGATTCTCGTGACCCAGTCGAGTGTTGAAATGCGTTGGGCTTGTCCTTGGGCTGACCGGTGGAGATTCAATTGTCTTGCGGCTAGACGGAGCGAAGGAAAAGCCACCATATGGGCTGGTATGGTCCCTGAACAAAGGAAGATTCGCTGGATTGAAGAGTCCAACGTCGCATGACAAATCGGATTGTTCGACCCCGTATTGGATGCGCGGAGGGTAGGACTCTGTGGCAGAACCCCTGGGGAAAGGTGTGCCTGAGCCACGACGAAAGTCGGGCTTCCCCTGTAGCCCACGGTCATACGATCGAGACTCGGAGGTAGAGATATTGTGCAGTTGGTCAAGTCCTTGTGGAGGTACGAAAAAGGAAGAAGAGTGCTGTTGAGACATGATGAAGAGTTGAGATCTTGCGTTGTAGAGAATGTTTGTTTCTTAAACCGTGGAGAGGACGCGATCGCCAGCGATGTGCCCGTTCAATTCTGAGAATAAAGAGTCCAGGTGGTTAGAGATAGGAACTTATATCAAAGAATTGCTGCTCGTAGCAAAGAATTATTGGCTGTAGAAAGGTTGGAAATCCGATCCATCAGTCTAGGGTTGCCCGCACTTGTTTTATAAGGAGGATAAGGACATAGAATAGCGGTCCCCGATTGCTGCAAATTTTCTTTCATCAATAGAGCAGCCATGCCCCGTCAATGGAACTCTGGGCTTCGTAGCCTATTATCTGTTCCTATTGTCTGCGTTGTCAAGTGGTGCGTGCGATTAGTGAATTCAGTTCCTCGCCGCCAAGACTTATTGTCAAACCCTCATGCCTGCACTGTGCTGTTCACTGTGCAGAAACTGAATGGGATTCTTTCTCCTTGTAATAAGGCAGACAATAGGAATACTTTGATCTTCATAATAGATCCATCATCCACACCTCTCGCTGCTCTATCACAATCATCAAAATATAATCAAGTGGTCCCGCTTTGGATGACGGTAACCAGTTGTTTGACAATTCGATCGAAGATTGGGAACAGCGAGCATCGTTGATACTTTTCAACGAGGAGATGATACTGTACCTCGTTGTCGTGTGCGGTGCCGACATCTTGTCCTTCGACTGTCGTCCCTTCTGGATAGACTGGCACAATACCCTCTTCGATGAGCATGACAAAAGCAGGGTCTATAGGTACGCTTGCCAGGAAGGGAACTTCAAACTCATGGGCCATGACTTCACCTCCTCCTTTGCTGAAGACATGTGTGCACTCCATGCAATTGGGGCACACAAAACCGGCCATGTTCTCTACAACACCAAGAACGTTGATATTGAGTTTGCGGCAGAAATTAAGCTCTTTCTTGACATCAGATATGCTAACTGCCTGTGGTGTAGTGACAACAACAGCGCCTGGAAGTTGACTAGGTGTAGCGGATTTGAGTAGCGTTTCAAGCAGCGAAATATGCTCGTCAGAGGTTCCTGGTGGTGTATCTATGAGAAGATATTCGAGACCTGGAGGCCACAGAACTGACTCCAGGAACTGACGTATCATAGCAGTCTTCTTTGGTCCACGCCAGATTACGGCGTCATTGCGATTGGAAAGAATGAATCCCAAGGACATGCATGATAAAGCACCGCGCTTTGGGTCCGCATCTGAATCCGAAGCTTCATGAATAGGTACGGGTATCCACCCGCCTGGCGCCTGCTTAACTTTCAGAGTCTCGACACCAAAGAAGCGTGGGATAGAAGGGCCTGTGAGATCAATGTCAAGAACACCAACTGAATGGCCTTGCGATGATAGCGTTAGGGCGAGTTGTGTGGTGATGCTCGATTTGCCAACGCCGCCCTTGCCCGAAAGCACAAGGACAATCTTCTTGACGTTTTCAAGGGGCATAACGAGCTTTGGGCAAATACAGAGACAACCTGGAGTAAACCCAAAGTCCTGATAAGAAGGTCTGGATAATTGTTTCGAAACCGCCCAGGCGAACTTTCGAAGTGTGGCGGATTTGAAATCGGACATCCATAGATCCGAGTTTAGCCCGAGATCAATGCGCCACATTTCTTCTTGGTGTGGCTGTCGCACTTATATTTCGTGTCACCTCCTATTCAATTGTGTATTATGCAATACATGTTCTCTTCTTACTTGATCAGTCTTTGCCCTCCACGATCATCGGCCTGTTTATTGATCAACGTACGTTGTTGGCAGATATGCTTATCTGCGGCAGGCAGCATAGAATCTAAGCAATGTAGTCATCCCATTCTATTAGACGAACGTTTCGTATCTACATTTGCGAGATATGTGAATTATGGGCCTTACAAGCCTTGAACGCATCTACAGTCCCAAAGGCCGTAGCCGAAATCTCTACTCAAGGCTTGCCTCGAACTGCTTCACCCACACGATATCACCTTCGCTTGGGTCCATGACGCACGCGAAGTGAGTCGAGTCGTTCGTAGTGGGATAAGTCTGGACCCATCGAATAAGTTGGCCCATATCTACAGCGAAGTTATCTTCTGTGGCCGTCCTGTTCCTTCGTCGGCAAGACTTTAGAGCCTTTCTCCATTTATCAGTAATACAAGCTTTACGATCTCGTGAATCATCGATTAGATCTTGCAGCCCTGGGGCCACATTTAGTTTGGTGTTTTTCAATACAGGTATGGACTTATTTGACTCATCCGTCGCATCATGATTGGTCGCAGTTATGAACGACGTCGACGTATATACTTGAGCGTTGCGGTGATCTTTTTCCATCACAGTCGTATCAGAACCTGAGCACATTATGATGTACGCAGCAGTTGTTGGGGCATTCGGAAGTTCGTCTCTGATCTCGGACAGCGTCGCTTGCGTAGGAACGGTCCTTTCTCCAGAAGATTCGATGTGAAGCTTCTCCGGTACGATGTAGGTTCGTAGTCGTGATGCAATAGACGGCCGCAGACCGAGCAGAACCAAAACTTGATTAGTGTAGAAGCTAATGTTGGCCTTTAGAGTCTTGTCGTCGTGATATGGGCGGAAGTTTAGAGATACACTTAGAGATTTTCTAGACATCATTAGAGACTGCAACAAGTACTGAACTGTATCTCAAGCTCACCGAATGCCTGTTATAACACCAACAAACCCGACATATGTGATACTTCTAGCTACTACTTGACCACCGGGCCGTTCCACAAACTCGAGCTGGACGATGACTTCGCGCAAAGCATCCATACCCCAGTCCAAAGTTCTGAAGTGTAGCATCTTCGTATGCTTGACATCGGACTGGCCTCCACTTCCTTCGTCCCAGACTCTCATGCCACCACTTGTACATCCCATAAAGAGATCAAGTAGAGTGTTGAACGCTACTCAAAGATACATATCCACGCCGGTTATTTTTGAAATCCCTCGTATCTCTTCTGTCTGCTCTTTGCTATGCAGTCTGCGTAGGACTAGCCGTGACAACCAAGTCACCAAGAGTAGAGGAACAGGTGTCGCAGCGACAAGATCCTCGAAAAGTGCAGGAAGACCTTGAATCTTCTGTTTATAATCTGTCGCAAGTTGCATATATCTTTCAGACGGAGGGAGGGAGAGATCGATCGTGTATACCGGAGGTTTCGTCGCGCTAGCCACTGATTTTATATACGTGCCCTCGGCGGGGACTGTATGATCTATGAGATGCATCTGTCTCTCTTTGCGGCGGCGGGCGCTATCGTCGGCGACATCTGGACAACCGGCGATTTCAACAGAATCGCAACAAATTGTGGAAGCCATTGAAGCGCAATATTATCCCAAGTCAAGCCGAGTCTGTCTGTACCTTCTTATACTCGTAGGTCCGTGAGAGGCAGTCATATTGCTAAATTGATCCTATCATTGTTGCCTGGAGGGCTGTGCTAGCGCCACGATCACGCTAAATTGCGTTAAAATCATGGTGGCAGAGAGTCGACTGTGGCTGGAACATCAATGGACTGTTACAATATCGTATTGCGGTATCTGACTTGTATGTTGGTAAATACTTGCGTGAGTGCGAAGAGGAGAAACGAAACGAACGGTGGTAGATGTATGTGCATGACTCATGCGCCGACAAGCTTATCTCGGCGATCCTTCGGTGATAGGGCAACAACAAGCGCCGAAAAGTCTCGAAACACCGTTCTACCTCTGCAACTTCAACCTGTATTACTCACACGTCGCCATGGCCTTTCCTGGGATGGGCATGCCTGGAGGGCAGCAATCAAATCAAGGTGTATCAGACCAGGAACAGATGATGATAAAATATGTTCGCGATGCCCCAACATTTCAAAGACGATGCGTGGGATCATATGGCTAATACTCCCTAGATGACGGCTGGGATGGAATCGTGCCCATTCAAGGCCGTCTTGTCAGGTGTGATGGGTTTCGGTCTCGGTGGAGCGTTCGGCCTGTTCATGTCTTCTGTGCGTCTACCACGCTTGCCTTTGATCCCCGAGAGGAAGCTGCTAACTTTCACAACCTAGATGCGATACGATACTCCAATGTCGTCCCCACAATCCGCGGCTATGGCAGAGCTACCACTCCGACAACAGCTGAGGCAGGGCGCAAAAGAGATGGGTAGAGCATCGTGGTCGTCGGCCAAGAATTTTGGGATGATTGGTGGCATTTACTCCGGCACCGAGTGCGCCATCGAGAAAGTTCGCGCGAAAAACGATCTATGGAACGGCATAAGTGCTGGATGTCTGACGGGCGGTGCACTGGCTATGAAGGCGGGTCCCCAAGCTACGGCGCTGGGCTGCGCTGGCTTTGCTGCATTCAGTGCGGCGATTGATGCTTACATGCGTGGACCAGACGCAGAAACGAGTAGACCGATTGATTGATTGAATGAATGCGGTGAAAGGACATAGTGTCTTGTATATACGGTTCAGTACATCAAGACAGATGTATCTGGAGAGGGCATCAAGCATAGACGGCGTTACGGAACAGGGTCCTCGATTAAGGGCGGCATCAGAGCTCTGGAGTCTGTCTACAATATTTTACGTGTATAATAGCATCTCATCTTTGAATAAACTACGTTTCGATGCGAGCAGAACACTAAAGACATTGGTGTTCCGATCGCGACTGGTATGCAGTTGCCTGAACTGGCTGCTACGCAGGCAAACCTGATGGTATTAGCTTTCATATATTGTGTCCATATTACTATTGGGCAGCAGGTCTTCCTCTGGGCGCTCCTCTCCCTCTGTGTCCACCCCTGCCACGGCCACGACCACCAGGCGCATTCAAGCTGTTAGGTGGTGGAACCTTATTGTACGCTCGGGGTTGGAAGTTCGGATTGTTCGTCACCACACCTTCCGTGACGTTGTCCATATCGACCACCCTGTATCCACCGCGATTGCCGGCCCGTCCACGACCACCTCGAGCCCGCCCCTGGTTCCCACCGCGGTTCTGTGGAGGTCCACGGAATGGTAGCTCGGTTTGAATTTGCCCAGTCTGGCCACGCCCGGCGGGGCCTCCTCCACGGGCTGAACCATTTGTAACATGACCATTCGCATGACCGACTACGCCGCTGCGATAGTCAGTAATTGCTGGAGGCGCGGGCGCAGGCCTGAGCTGTCCACGACCTCCTGGACCCAATGGCATGCCATAACCCTGAGGCTGGGCCGGTGGTTGAGGTTTGCGAGCTGATCCAGCTTGAGTTCCTAGAACGAATTGCTTATCAGTGAGGTTGAGAACCCCATTTGCAGGCACCGTAGCTCCTCTGAATGGAGAGCATCGCTGGTCGAGAGTTGTTCCACTCATGAAAGTAGTATCAAATACAACGTCGAGGTAGTCGATACGAGCGACTTTCGTAATGCCTATGACAGTACCACGCTGTCCTATGGGAACTCTGCCTGTCTCTAAGAGATAGACAACTCGATCACCCAAAGTGAAATGTTGAACCCCCAGTTGAGCCTCGGCATCGGAGGGCTTGATGAGAGCACTCCTTGGTACAGCAGTCAATTTCTTCGGAACCGGCTGTGGCAAAGCTGGAATGATGCCGTCCGCCGCCTGCTCAATGAGCTTGACTGCATCCGAGTCCAGCTGTTGTGCGTCTAAGGGCACCTTTTCGAAGCCCTTGGCATTCTGTTCTTTCAGCCAGGTCCCGATCTCTTTCATCTTTTTGAAAGCTTCTCCTTCTGGGTAGAAGTCTGTATCTTTGTAAACATCTCCCTTCGGCTTCGCCATCAGACCAGCAATAAATTCTGGGAACTTGATCATATATTGCTGGATCAACTCGATGGCTTTATTGCTGAATTCCCAGCCATGTTCGCTGCGCCGTGAATAGCCCAATACTTTGAGCTTCTTTGCTTCGAATTTGAGGTTTAAGCCCAGATTCAACCGTACACCACCAGATTCAACGGAAAGCGCTGAAGTGAGTCTGCTCAACACAAGAGGGCTCAAGTGCAATGATCTGGCTACGGCAAATGAAGGGGTATAGGGTACCGTTCGCTCAACCCGAGATACCACATCTCGACCGAATTCAGGCTCGCGTGTTCCGGGTACAAGGACCCAAATGCTAGCCCGTTCGTTTTCATGCCCAATGACTTGGAGAGGTTTACCATAGGCAAGCTCGCCCAAGAAAAATGCTTTTGAACCTTCTGGGTATTCTTCTGCGATAGGTAAGGCTTTTCTCTCAACGAAGCGTTGATCAACACTTATGACCTCGTCGACAATTGTTTGTGTTGCATAGTCTGTTTCAACACCGAGGACTTCACCGTACTCCTTGACGGTCGCACCTGTCTCGGTTTTCCTGAGCCCTCTCAGCATGTCAACGTGAACAAGAGACTCGACAGATCCTATAATCACACCAAAACGCTTGCTGTAAACACTCTCAATGCGATCAGCCTTCTTTTTCCAATTCGAAATATCGTGTTGGGCGTGTGGTGTCTGTACAACTTGTGCAAGACCATCTTCAGACAAAGTGTAATCGAATAACTCATCCGAGACTTTGACGACTTTCCCTTCTTGAAGGAAGGGGTAGCCAACATGCACTGCCTTACCTAGCCGGGCTTGTGCAATCTTCACATTTGCCGCGGCATCGGTTCCTAACAAAGTAACAACCTGACTTTCGTTCCGACTCTCTTGTTGAAATACGGTCACTCCATGGAAACCTAGCTGGCCGTTAAAATCAAGTACTTTCAGACTTGGAAACCCAGCTAAAGCTGCAGCACCAAGTTTTACGTTGTCCATCAGTCCAACATAGACTTCAAGGCCATCCATGGTAGGTAACTCAAAAATATTTTCTACACAACGGCAATGTAGTAGGTCCGGGAATACTCCAGGGAGAGAGGAAGGATACACGTAATCCAGATCTGCGTCGTATGTGAACTTAAGCGAGACTCCAAATTCATTCCGACTGCGTTCGGCATCAGTCAGCAAATGGTCTTTGGTGCCCATAGCACTGAGCAGGCGAGTCTCGTCAATGAATGGAATCTTCACTACAGCCTCCCACTCCATCTTCTTTCCGTCCATATCGAGCTCAAAGTCTCGCGGGTAGAAATCAATGATTGGTGACTCTTTCGAGGTCATCAAATCATGGTAAACTTCCGGCACGATCTTCTTACTTCTGTCCGGCAAGACCCCCATAAGTTGCTGGTACGGTCTGAAAGGCTGTCCAAGCTTGAAGTTCATATCAGCATCAAGACCTTCCTTAACATCAGAAATCATAGGCGCGTAGTGGAAGCCATAGAACCAGGGCCATGAGGCGACACCACGGTAATAGTAATATAGGACCCATTGGAGACCCTGGACGTAATTTTCCGTGAGCTTCCTCAGCTCTTCCTTGTTGTCACGACTCCACCCAAACTTCGACTGATAGTGCGCGTCTTTCCATTTGTCAAACTTTTGCTCATACTGCTTTTGCATGACCTGTTGTGCTTCATCACCGGTGAGGTCCTCTATCTTAGCTTTATCATAGCGCTTGAGAACCCGGGCGAGGGCGTACTGCGCTTCTTCATCATCAATTTCATCATCATCGTCATCGTCGAGATCTTCGGAAACAAGTCTTGGAGGATATGATAACTGTAGATGGCGTTCACCTTCGGTATTTTCAACCGTTTTCCATTGGAGATTCAGGCTCTCTGCAAGCTCTTCCACAAATTTGCGATCTCTCGCAGGAAGAGATGTCGCGAGATCCAACGGGGGTGATAGAGATTTTGAGTCGTTATTCATCAAGTAGTCTTTGACGGCCTCATAGATCTTCTTTTGGGGCGTAGATATCACTAGTTGACCTCTTCTCTTCGTTCGATCCATCACATCTTCCTTGCCCTGTTTGCCTCTGAGCCACTGGGCATCCGAGTTCTCGGACTCAAAAAATCTGTACTCAACATGGGACAATTCGTCTAATAAGATTCGCAACCTCTCTAGGTGAATGACGCCACCTTCGTTGATGTACCCACCAGCCTTGGGTAAGACTGTCTTGTAAACCCCAAACATTAGCGCTAGAGCACCCTCGTTTATGTGAAGATGCGGAAGATTTGGCAGAAAGTCGTTTCCAACAAAGAATGCCATAAGAATGAAATCATCAATGACCCGCTCCATATCGAATGGAAAGCTCAAAGCGCCAGGCTCTCCGAGCTCCTGGAATTCCAGTTCCAGATATTCGCGCACCATGCATAGGTGCATCAAGAAAAAGTTTTGGTGTTCCAACTCCTTCGACTTGACTTTTGACTGGCGTCCGAAGGTGACCTCCTCGCGTAGTAAGCAGAAATGAGGGTCATGACTGAGAAGACCCAACATGATCAAATCGGCGTCCAAACCATAAAGACAATGCCTACGATTGGGGTCGTATGCGGGTTGGGATTTCGCCTGCCGTATGTACTCCATGATCTTATGTTCCCCTTCTCCAGGAACCTCGTGTCCAGACAGCACTATTTCTACACCGCGCCAATCAACATCCTCAGACACTTTCTTCGCAATGAAGTACTTGAGTTGCTGTGTAAGCTTTGCCATGAACTCTGTGCCAGGAGTGATGCAATTGCTATCGAAAGCATCTTCACTAGGCATTTCCACGCCTTCCTGAATGGCCTTCTCACGGGCCTTCTCTACCTCTAGGGCGGTTCGGAATCTTCGGGCGCGTTGCTGGTTCATCTTTGCGCGTGGCGCGACGCCATCGATGGCCATGAAGAAGAGCTGTTTCGGTTTGATCTTCCCGAACAAATGTTCGATATAGTTGAAAATGGCTATGAACATCTTGTCTTCCGTCATTCTAAAAGTAGGGGAATCGGAGTCTTTGTGAGTACAGTTATGGATGATACCATTCATGTCAAGCTATATTTCGTTAGATCGCTTTCATATATGGGTCCCTCTTCAATCGCAAGACGTACGTATAAACAGTCAAACTCTGGTATGCGATTCTCAGCTATGAGCTGTGAGATCGCCGGATATCTCTCCGACATCCATCGAAAAAACTTTGGTACACCCATTGCGATCTAATAGCGTCGATTGTGCCTCAAAAATATACGGCGACGACGTTGTTCCAAGATAAAAGTAGGTGAGAGTAGAACGAGACGCAGCCGAGTCGCTAGGGTATAGGAATGGAGGTGGACTCGAGGTAGGTATGCGCCTAAGCGCGAGAGGAAACGAGGGTTCGTTGGTGAGCGTGTGGTAACGTGGAAGGTTTGTGACTGTTATTCAGGCCGTTGTCTATGATCGTTAGTCTGACCGGAGGGTCCATGTCTGGCCGCACAAAAGTTTCGCCGCACCCGAACTCCCCACCATAAAAGTGGCGCCTGAGGTCAGAGACCCTTGGCATTGCTGTTGGGCATAAAGTGGCTTTAGAGTGTAGTACTCTAGCCATAAGATTGAAATTCGGTTATCTATGATAGACAAAGTTTCATACTCAGGGAAAAAGGAGTAGAATCAGTTTTATATGTGCAGAGCCGCAACGTAATTATAAAAGCACCGTCTAGCCCGAGCTGCCCTGCCCCACCCACACTCCAAGATCGCCGAGCCCTGCAGCTGTTTCACGCTCGCGTCCGAGCCCGCCTCGCGTCGCTTGTTGGCAGGGTGGCTTCCGTCAATTGCTCTCACTCCACCTTCAACGTTACTTGGCGCAATTCGTTCTGCACCGCTGCTGTCTTGCGCATAGTCGCATGATTTTCTCAAGTAGCAAGTCACTGTCATACGCTCTACCCTCGATACCCATCTAGCAACAATGGCATCGCCCGGCGGTATATATCTCAATGTCCTTAGCCAGAACTTCATGGGCTGACAAGTTACATCATAGACCGGACAAACGCTCGGCAAGCGAACGAGGACGTGGAAACTCTAGAGCAAAGGCGCATCAATGAGGAATACAAAATATGGAAGAAGAATTCGGTCTTCCTCTACGACATGATGTTCAGGTGCGAGGTCAACGGACTACTATAGGTTCAGAAACTGACAATTTGCAGTCGAGCACTTGAATGGCCAAGCCTATCGATACAGTGGTTACCAGATGTCAAGAGGTAGGTTTTGGGAACCGCTATGCGCTTAGCAACCATCTGATCTGGAACAGGGTTGAAGGGACGAATATGAGCCAGCACCGACTGCTATTTGGCACTCATACCTCTGACCAAGCCCAAAATCACCTGCAGATCGCAAATGTGGAAATTCCTGACCTTGTCGAACCTGATACATCCGAGTTCGACGAATCTCGAGGCGAAATAGGCGGCCATGGCAATGCAAAGAGACCGTTTACGTTCCAAGTCATCCAGAAGATCAACCACCCCGGCGAAGTGAACAAAGCACGCTACGAACCCACGAACCCTAACATCATTGCGTCTTTCACCGTGGATGGCGACATTCTTGTATTCGACAGGACGAAACATAGTTCCTACCCGAAGAACGATGAGACGATTCAAGCAGAACTCAAGCTCGAGGGACATACATCCGAGGGCTACGGACTGAGCTGGAACCCGTCTGCTGAATATACACTTGCTACCGGCGGACACGATGGAACGGTCAAGACGTGGGATGTCAAGGCCGGCTTTGAGGGAGGAGCTAAAACCATCAAACCTCTGCAAACCTTCACCCATCATGCGTCCACAGTCAACGACGTGCAGTATCACCCGGTTCAACGCAATTGGTTGGCAACTGTATCTGATGACTTGAACTTCTCAATCGTGGACGCCAATTCTGGCAAGGTAATCACGACAAAGAAAGCCCATGATGAAGCAGTAAATTGTGTGGCATGGCATCCGCACTTCGAGACGATTTTCGCAACTGGCTCGGCTGACAAGACCATTGCCATGTGGGATCTGCGCAACACCAAGAACAAATTACACCTACTTCAGGCCCATCAGGATGACGTTGTCGGCCTTGAATGGCATCCAGATAACGACGCAGTCATTGCCAGTTCGGGCTACGACCGCCGTCTTCTGTTCTGGGACATCAGCAAGATCGGTGAAGAGCAAACACCTGATGAGGCTGAAGACGGTCCACCAGAGCTGTAAGTCTTAAAGCAAGATTTCTTCAAGGTTCTGCTTACTAATATGGTCCTAGACTCTTCATGCACGGAGGCTTTACAAACCGCATTACAGACTTTAATTTCAACAAGAACCAACCATGGCTGATCTGCGCTGCTGCCGAGGATAATCAAATGCAGATGTTCCGCCCGGCGAGGTCACTAGTCAATTCGACAGGGTCAAGGGACGTTACTCATGAAGATATTTCAGATTGAACGAGGATGTTCAACTTGTGGCAAAATCTAGGTACAAGGTACTAGCTAGGATTCTAAGATTGTAGGATGGTGGGGGAATACCCGTGGTAGTCAACATATGAGGTTTTAAGGGGTGCATGATAGCTCACAAGTAGGACAGAGTGGCGATTGGATGTAACACAAAAAGACATCTCGACAGGGATGTTGTATGCTTCCACATGAGTCAGTCGGACGCATAGTACATAATACCCGCCCAATAAAAAAAATCGAAGAATGTACTTTTTATAAACCATTCCATGCATTGTATGATCCACCATGACACCTTACATGAGTCAAAATTCACACAAGTACATGATGCCTCTTCACCTCCGCCCCCTATCCTCGTCGGGCCGATACATGAAATACTGCACGAAAACCCCAGCATCCAGCCCCAACGTGCCCAAACTCCCGATTATCCAACTCGCATTAATCGCAATATACCGCCAATACAGACGCGCCTGCTCGCCCTCGACACACCGCCCGACCCCGGCCCGCTCACACACGGGCGCATACGCAAAGATACTCAACACATACGTCAGATTGCCAAGACATGCAAACAGGAAGAACAGGAGACTGATGCCCTCGGTGCTCTTGCGGCGGTAGTTGAGCAGCAACTGCGGCACGCGCGAGGCGAGATAGAGCACGGCGCATACGTACCCGAGGGCCTGGCCGAGCGGGTTGAAGCGTAGGGGCTCCGGATGCGCGGGCGCGTCGGGGTAGCGCCGGTGGCGGTTCGAGAGCCACCAGCCGAGCACGCCGGCGCAGACTACGAGGAGGATGGCGAGGGTGTTGAGGAGGATTGATTTGGAGACTGAGGAGCGGCGCGAGGGCAGGGCGGAGGGCGAGCGGGTGCGGGTGCGGTCGACGTGTGGGTTTGCTGGGGACAGGTGGGTTGGGTCTGTTGTTGTGGCGAGAAGGCGGTCGGTGAAGGAGGTGGATGAGGAGCGGCGGGCGTAGTCTGATATTGAGTGGCCGTTGGGTGAGCCGTTGCCGTTGAGGGGAGGGAGGAGGGAGGAGGATTCGGTTGCGGTGGCTGGCTCAGGGTCGCTGGGACAGACGGGCTTTATGACTTTGTCTTTGAGGGTGAAGCCCTTGTAGAAGAAGCATTGGAGGAGGAGGACAATGTCTGCGAGGGTGTAGTAGATGGCCAGGATGATCTGGGAGCGTCAATTAGCATCGGCTACGTGCTTATGTAGTGGAATCTGACATACCATGGTAGGCAGAACGCCTTGCAAGACTGCACCAAGAATGTTGAAGATGTCGCCGGCCAGCCAGACTACGATGAAGACCACGGATAAGCCATCTGCGGAGCTTCGTCGAAAGTTCTCAATGATCTGAGGAGAGAATACAACGACCCAACAGGCGATTGATATTGAGCCGCATATCCCGCTAACAGCCTCGACATCGAGGTTGAGACCTGCCGAGGGAGGGTACATGGCGTTCGGAGCAAACACAGCAGCTGAGATTGAACGCGATTATCGAGGTTGTAGAAGTCAATGCAATATGTGAGTCGCGTATTGGAGTCATAGATAGTGGATGCGAAAACTCGGAATTTCACATGACGCAACGGCTCTGCATAGATGTCCGTGCACAGAATCTGGGGTAAACGCCGATCTTTCAGGAACGTCTAGTCTGCACAACGTGGCGAGCTGCACGAGGTTCCACTACCTCTCGTTCAGCAAGAGGTTTTACGGATAGATGGGAAAAGACAGTCATAGTCCGTCTATGATGCATATCTGCATGGGTTCGGATTATTCGCACTATCTTACTTTTGCCATGCAGCGTATCTACCTAAATGCTCATCATATCGCTAATTGAATGAACTCATGCACCAATCTAAAGATTATTGTCTGTCTTGAACTTATCCCATGCCTCATTCAATGTGCTGAAGACAGACGCGCTAATCATCTTCTGCTCGGTTGTTGCTGTTTGGGATACCTGTAAAATGAGGTCAGAGAAATCCCACGAGTAAAAACCAAACAACACTTACCTTGTCTGGGTGGACCTTTGCGATAGCTTTCATGTAGACAATCTTCACCTTATTAGGCATAACCAACTCGTTCATTCCAACCTTTTTCCAGCCTGCCTCGGGCCATAAAACGTTATCCAAGCTGCCAAGTAGCGCACGCAGGTTATCGGCTTTCGTTCCCTTCCATGCCATCAACCTGGCATCTACCTGATCAGACAGCCTGAACTTCTCGTCATCAGCTTTATCCGCAGCAGCATTCGCTTCTCGGAGTCTTTTGACAGACGCTGCCTCCGAGCCATCCGATAAAGCGCCACCAAAGTCTGCCATCGCCGAAGTAAATGGTGCTGGTCTTGGTTTTGTCTTCGGTGCTGCTGATTTCGTGGCAGGCTTGGGCGCAATAGCCTTCTCGCAACGATTTCTCCCCTGCATTGACACGGAACCTCCAACACCAGCTTCTACAGCCTCCCGCCAGACCTTCAATGCGTCGTGCCACTTCTCCATGTTCTCTAATGCCTCTGCTTTCCGCATAAGGGCCTTACCAAAGAAATCCCTCATGTCTTTGTCCGGTTCTGTGCCGCCCATGGAGATTTTCTCACCGTGACCCTTGGACGGACCAATGATCATGAGGACACCATCGGCGTCCGCTACAGCAGATTTTGGATCGCCATTCTTGAGTGATGTAAGTGCCCGGTTCGATAGAATGACTATGATGATAGGATGTGTCGATGGGATTTGAGTTAGAGCCGAGGAGTATGAAGAGTGTGCAGCGGAGTAATCTCCGCGTTTGAATTGCTCGGTACCTTTCTGCCGGTGCGCAGCTGATGTGGACAAAGCTGTAGGAGAAACATTCGGGATATTACGTGTAGGTACTTTGGGACGTACTTCGATTGGCGCTGAGTTACGCGGCGCCGAGGTAGGATTTTGGGAATTGGGTCTTTGAGCGAAAGGGTTATTCGAGTTCAGAGGGGTCGACACCGCAGCCCTGCTTTCGCTACTCGAGACCTTTTGGGGTTCAGCAGGCGGAGGACCTGCCTTCTTTCGCCGCGCTGGGCTTACGTATGCTTGCGCGGACTGATCTTCCACGTCCTGGCGACTCAATTTTGCTATAGGTCTTTTCTCGGGTTCCGGTCTTCTCACATTATCAGACGCCCATGCTGGTGCTTCTCGAGAAGGCAGCTCGGATAGCCGTCCTCTGAGGCTTGCATCCATGGGACTAGGGCCTCTCTCTGGAGCTTTGTTCCGCCTTGGAGGACCGTGGCTGGCCTCTAGGGCCATGGCTTCGTTGGTGACTCTAGTATCCGTCTGCAAAATATCGTTTCTATCTGACCCTCCGCCATTACGTTGCCGTGAAGTACTCCGCTCTTCCTCATGCTGTGCTGCTTGCGCTTGAGCTTTCATTGCATCCCGCATCCATTTTGGCTGGCTTGGGTCTCCATCTTGATTAAAGTCTGCCACAGCTCTTTGCACCTTCTTTTGGCTTGTCTTCCACAATGAATTTGCCGACTTGAACAACGAACTCCCAATATCTTGCGCGTACTGAGCTACATCCTTCTCCGCAGTCGAAGTCCTGTTGTCACCCCTCGCCGGCCTTGATGATGGACGACTGGTGTTTTCTTGAGCCCAAGCAGGGGAGGCTCTCCGATCAGAACGATCTCTACTGTCTGGACGCGACCGACCGCTGCCTTGAGATCTTTCTGTCGCTTCTTGATGGGCCTGATTCAACAAAATGCTCACGGCTTGTTGTACATTTGTTCCGGACTGAGTCTGCGCAAGCGCACGGGCAGCTCTATCAGCTGGAAAGCCCATGTCGACTATTTCGGCAACTGCTTTGTCCCGTGGTGATGATACGTTTTCATTAGGAGATAGCTCACGAGTTACATGGGCAGGTTTAGTTTTTTCGTTTGCATTTCTAGGAAGTTCAGATACTGGCTTTCCCAGCATTCCCAATATATCATCGTCCTGCTCGGGATGCGTCGGGTTCGCGGCGACAGGCTGGACTTTGTTTTGTGGCAGGGAACCAAGACCAAAAGGATCGTCGTCGTCGTCATTCTCGAAAGGCGTGTGGTCTTGCGCAGGAGGGGGGAAGTGGCTCGATGAGTCCACTTTCGCGTCAGAACTGAAAGCAGCAAGAATATCCTGCTCCGACTCGCTTTGGGGAGTTGAAACCGTTTGTTGTAGGGGTGAGTGCACTCTGTTTATTGACGGTACAGGAAAAGACGAAGGAGCCTTGCCTTTGTCTGTCTGGCCCAGATTATCCCAGAAGTGCGCGTCTTGGTTTGTATGGTTCAAACCTGCTTGTCTTGCCTTCTCTTCTAACAGTTGCCGCTGTCGCTCTTGTAACGATAGGGCTGCTGGTGGTTTTGGAGAAGAAGCTGAGGTCACCAAGCTCGCGAAGCTATCGTTGGCAGGTGTAGACGGTTTCGATCCAATCTTTGGCTTCTGGGCAGGAAGAGATGAGAATGCGCCGCTGTTCTGCGACGATAGTGGGGTCGAGCGGCCGGAGTTCGCAGGGCTGAGTGCCATATTCATGGGCCGGTTCATGGTCGGAAAGTTCGCCTTGATATTGCTGGGTTGGCCATTAGAGCCGGAGCTCCAATTGAGGCCTGAGAGATCATCCATATCGACAGCGACACACACACACACTTGGCGGGGTAAGGCGTGAACGCATCAGCGTCGAAGTCAGCGATCTCAGAGTTATCTGCCTATACAGACTAGACGCGTCGTAGCATGATTCTTGATTGTGTATAGCGTTACGTGAGGTCTGAAGACTAAACCAGTTATACTGAAGCACAAGATCACTGTTGAGCTGTATTAACGTACTCGTGCCTTATTGCCTGGAAGCCTGATATGGAATGCGCGGCGCTGCTCCGTATGCCCCGATCGCCCCGAATGAGTTTACAGAGGTGGATGGATGCATCTTGCACTTGGACGCCTCCATTTTCACAAAGAACCCTCAAAGAACAACGATTGAGCCATAGCCGCAACCCTACTACACGAATACAGTAGCCTGCCGAGCGCCCGGGCAGAGAACTCCTCCACAGGATCAACTATGGTCACCGGGTGCAAAGAGGGTTGTTCATCAGCGAGGACTGCCGCTGACGTTCGCAGCGTCCAAGGAAACCGGAACATAGATAAGCATGGCTGCAGAGTCCCTGCTTGCAGTCTCGAGCTACCACAACTATAATTGTTGTTGGTTATTTTCCGTGCATGGTTACCAGCAACCCGATAAGCGACGAGCGACAGGAGCAGCACACATCATCGCCTCGAAATTCTCGAAGACAGCTCACGGCTTGTGTCGTGCATAGACATAGTACAGATCCAGGGTAGTTGGTGAACGGAACCCTGCTACGGCCAACGGGTCCACGCCTTTGCAGGGACGAGGGGAGGACACTGGCATCCTTGATGGCCCCGACCCCTGGACGCACCCCTTTGTGCCGCTACCCGCCACAGCTGAACAGTCTGAGACATCCTAGACAGCGAGATCAACAGGATGCTGCCGGGGAACAGCTGCGATAGGCGAGCGGAGTGGGATCTGGACGAAGGGCAATATTACAGTGTTAGCACAGCACATAGAAGGAGGCAGAACAACGTTTGGCTAGAGCGAGGCCATCTCGCCGCTTGAGCTCGATCGCGTTGGACCTTGTACGCCACGCGACCGAGGGAGAACAGGCCGGTAGTCAGTCTTCAGGTCTCGCCAGGTGCACTTTGCGATGGGACGCTAACGTGACTCGCATGGAGAAATTATAGTCTGGTTGAACTTTGCCTGAGTCTGTGGCTGCCACATGTTGCCTGGGTGTGCTGCTATTTCGTTTGATTCTGCCGTGTGCCTGCGGTGCGAGGCAAAAAGCAGGCCAAGACTACGGAAGGGGGACCTAGGGCTGGCCCCAAATCTCGGGCCTTTCGTTCCTCCAGCTTTCCATCCAGAGCCCTAGCTTCTACCCCAATCCACACCGTTCACCAATTTATCCATCCAAGCATCCCAACTCCCGGGTTCCCCCTTCTTCTCCTTCTCTCTCTTCCCTCCTCTTTCGTTCTCGTTATTCACTCGTCCATCTCCCTGCTACGTAATCCTACGTGGTGCGGTGCGCTTGGTCTTGCAGCTCTCTGCCTGGATTCACTTGCTGAGCCCCGCCAGTATACAAACACAATTGCCTCTAGGTGGAAGTGCCGCTGTCGACTTGGCCTGCACCCACACACACACACGTCCCTTGTATCTGGCCGCAAGCACGTTGCCTACCACAGCTTTACGCTCGTTATCTTCAAAGACTTCCAGCTCAGACATCAATTGACCCACTCGTGTTTGCCCGAGCGCTCTAAACCAGACGGAGAGCCCCGACAACTCTAGACATGGGGCTGTTTGGTCGAAAAGGCAACAAGCCGTCACTCTCAGGAGCCAGCACGCACTCTACAGTCTCCAATGGCTCTTCAAGGTCGCCAGCCATGTCTATGTCACAGAGCGCTCACTCGCGTACCTCCAACCCTCTCCCTGATATCACCCTTCCCAAAGCTCCAGACCCGAATCTAGATCCTGTGGGGTATCTTCGCAGCATATATGCCGTCAGAGATCGTTCGAAGCTGGTGTTGGAGAAGGCCAAGAAGAATCAATTGAAGCATTTTGTTGTGGATCTGGACAAGTTTGCCGACACTGCTGGCTATGTAGTGTCGATCATCAAGGTCGGTCATTTCATACTTTTTCTGGCTTCAACAACTAATGTGTCTTGTCCACAGCGTGACTTCGCCCCTGATTACTCCACCATTCCCCCTCATGGCCGCTGGCAACACTTTGAAGTCGGTGGTCGTCCACGTGTTGACCAGCTCTTGGCCTCCTGGTCAACACAAATTAACGCACAGGAGCGTACGCGTCGGTTGATTGACCTCTTCCTCGTCTCCGTACTCCTTGATGCAGGCGCAGGGACGAAATGGCAATATCGAAGCAAAGAGAGTGGAAAAATTTATCGTCGGAGTGAAGGCCTCGCTATTGCAAGCTTGGAGATGTTCAAAGCTGGTCTGTTCAGCAGCAATGTCGCCGTTCCGCATCAGGTTGACAGCAGGGGACTGCGTAGGCTTGATGTGACCGCTGTGGCACGGGGCCTACAGGTCACCGACCAGAATCCTATCAATGGCCTAGAAGGACGTACCGAACTTCTCAATAGACTCGCAGATGCTCTTCAGAAACAGGAGGTATTTGGGGTTGAGGCTCGTCCAGGAAACATGCTGGGTAATTTCATGGCTAATATCATTCTCACGGGCACGCTAACCACAACCAGATTATCTTCTTTCCCATCCATCGACGCAAGCATCTTCGGTCCCAATCATCCCAGTCCCAACCTTATGGACAGTTCTAATGGACAGCCTTGGACCAATATGGCCGGCAACGCGAACTCGCATCAATGGAGTGTCGATCGGCGATGCCTGGCCATGCTCTCAGATGCCATCACACCCTGACCGCCCGTGGGAGAACATTCTGCCATTTCACAAACTTACCCAGTGGCTTGCCTATTCTCTCATGGTTCCCATGTCGAAGCTGCTCAATGTACGATTCGCAGGGGTTGAACTGATGACGGGTCTACCCGAATACCGAAACGGTGGCTTACTCATCGACACGGGTCTCCTCACACTGAAAGACGAGGACACGAAGCGAGGTCTCGAGAACTTTGCAAAGAATGCGCAATTGAAGGGCCAGCCGAGCATGGAAGTAGTACCACTTTTCCCTGTAGATGACGACGTCATTATTGAATGGCGAGCTGTTACAGTGGGATTCTTGGATGAATTACTGGTGGAGGTCAATGCACTGCTTAGTCTGCGCGGAGCCGACGCACTGTCTCTCGCACAGATGCTTGAAGCCGGCACTTGGAAGGTGAGTCTGTTTCAGGCTTTTCCCCTGGATTCATGTCACTAACTCATAATAGGGTGGCCGTGAGCTTGCGGAAGTATCGCGACCCAATACGAAGGAGCCCCCCATCATGATCGTTTCTGACGGCACAGTTTTCTGAGATACCCCAAAGCATGATCACAAAGCATCAATCATCATATCCCTGGCAAGAACGCGTCGTAGAGAGATCGAAGCTCGTAGCTTTGTAAGGTTCCTATTTGTCTAGATACTTGCTAGACTCGTACTCGCATTCGCTGTCTTCTGCATTATATTATACGGACGGTATCGCCACACGCCTCGGGGCAAGTCTATTGAGAGTAAGCATTGTTATCGTTATCATATCAAATCACATGGTCGGCTTCACCGATGCACCCTTTATCGCATTAATTAATGGTTTACTTCCACCATGCCAGTCCATCGTAATGCAATTTCACTGTGGCGGTTGCGCGGCTGCTCTCATGGCACATGTCGCAAAGCGTGAATTGCCTGCTTGACCAGGCGGCCCGACGAGACGAGGCTACGAGCACAGGAAAAAGGTTAAGTTTTCAGTCTGGATCGGACGGACGTGAGACTCCGCCTGAGGCTTATACGAGTCAGGCCCGCCGCCAATGGCTGTACCCGATTGGGGCCATGGGCATGGCACGATCCGTTTCATTCTCTCTTGGCAGAGAAACAAACTGGGGGTGTAAGCTTGAGGCATATTGTCACTATCTAATAGTGCTGTCGTCGAAATGATAGGTGTTCATCTTATGTGCCAGGAAGGGTCTTGTCATGACGGTTTTCCTTTTTTATGGAGAGGGCAAACTTAAGTTGTCTTACTAAGTAAGGTACACTCTCCCCGTCAGATTATGCAAGGCGCCATCCGATGCCTTGCAGAGGAGATGGTCTTAGTAAGTGTCACCGATCTGACTAGCCTTGTATAGTCAGGCAATAGTAACCATTAGGTCGGTACTAGAATAGACCGACCAACCTTATAGATGAAGGATGGAAGATTGCCATGTCTTTTCTTCCTGGCAAGGCTATCAAGTCTTTATGTTTGCACTCTCTCTACAGAATAAATCTCCTACATTTCTATGTTCTTATCTCTCTCTACTATATTTATACTCATGATATATATATATATATATAAAACTAGTATTATTTCGAGCTATAGCTCTCTCTTCTATCTTTATACCTAGTAATAACTAACTATATGTATAAAATAGAGCTAATGAAAGATAATGATAAAAGATAATACATCAGTGGGTTCAAAAGTCACCGATCATCGGCAACTACCAAAACCATGCTAGCATTCCTATACTTAAATCCACTAGTAATCTATAGATTAATCTCTTAAATATTATCTTTGTTTTAATGTTGCGATCTGCGCGCAGAGACACATCGGCGTTCAGTCACTTTTTGAACCCGCTGTTGGTATAAGAAGTACCAGGGCTATGGTATTGTCTATGACTGATAAGACCTAGATGCTGTCTTAAAAATTGTAAGAACTGGACACCTGAACGCGCACTCGTGGCGCCTTGGCAGGAAGTCTCAATCCACTGAGATCACACTTACGCAATTAGGTCGCACATACTGCCTAATTACCCCGCGAAGTGGTAAGACTTCTTGAGCCAGAGGCAACTTCCTACCAAACACGCATCCACTCAGGACAATGTCTTCGCCAACATTGACAAGGCCCGTGGAAGTCAGGCTGTGTTACGAGGCCGCTTGTCGAGGAGATATCGATGGTGTTAAAGAACAAGTCCAGCGTCTACTACACACGCCTGGGTGGCCGAAATCTGGGGGAAATATGCCTCGTCCCGGCTGGTTGTTCGACTCGCTACTTGTCGCCATGGCAAAGCAGAACATAGAACTCATTCAATACCTGCTTGATGAGAAGATTTCGGAACTTTCAAGTTTTCTGTTTGTAGCCGCTGTACGTTCCCGAAAATACAAGGTTCTGAATCTCTTCCTTGGGCTTGGGTGGGATATAAACACGCCGAGAGGCCGGGGTGAGGCTTCGGCGTTGAGGTTACTTTTCCACGCTTATAACTATGATCTTTACTTACGGTCCCCCAGCATTCCCATAAGTCAGGGTGATTGGGAAATGGTTCGGTGGCTTCTTGACCATGGTGCCGATCCTAACAGCCGCTGCGACTATGACTTGACACCTATGTCCGATGCTATTTTGAGAGCTCCACTGGAACTTATCGACTATCTGTTCTCTCGTGGGGCAAACCAGAACTTTGGACAACTCCTGCATTGGGCCGTTATCAGGGATAAACCTGACGCTCTAGAGGTGGTTCGTCGACTCGTAGAGCTAGGAGTACCAATCAACGAGGTGAAGTATGCGAATGACCCCAAAGGATTTCGGGCGCGTATAGGGTTTGGCCTCGGTACACCACTCCATCGGGCTGCAGAGTTTGGAAAGGTGGACATCGTTAAGTATCTGTTAGAGGTGGGTGCTGACCCTTTGAAACTGGACACGAAGAGTAAAACACCACGATATTGGGCTGAGATGGATAACTTAAATGACGTTGCCCTCATTCTTGAGGAAGCAGAGGAGTGCCAGCTTTATGGCACAGAAAACCGGAAGAAAATGTGAGATATATGTGTATCTTGCCTGACACATGATCATGTTCGTTTCACATTGACTGATGACAATTTTTTCATTGTTTGAATGTCTAGTAGGTTGTCCTAGGCAGCACTGTGCATTCCATACGGTGCAAAGTGCGGCAAGTTACACAGGACAGGATAGCAGCGGAACATTCCCATCAGATCAGCATCAAGGAAGGTCCGATGGTTGCCTTATGCGTTGTACATTCCAGCATTACCAGCGTGATATCCAAAAGGCGCAGACCACGACAAGGGTCTGATGGTTCAATCAAGTCTACAAGCCTCTCGACATAAAAGCTTTGCACTTCCCACAGCGTCAACCTGAGCCTGAAATAGTTTCAAGAAATTCTCTCAAGATCTTTACCCACAAGCAGCAACTTCTTCTATCGAAATGGACACCCCTCCCGAAATGAGCAGATTTCGTACGGTGGTATCGATAGAACTGGCAAAAGCAGTCACCATGAACGACTTTGGCCTCGTAATTTTCTCCAAGATACCTGGAATTGGGACAGATAATCTCGGTTCATGCTCCGTTATTGTCATTGTCTCTTCGAAAGGCGCAATGCTAGGGCACGTAGCACCTCGGCCAGATGACAGCAGTGAAGACGACCCATACGCTGGAAACAACCATGTGGAATCATTTATGGATCGCATGTTGTCCAAATACAAAAAACATCGAAAGGCTCTGGGAGACTCTAGCTCTCTGGTTATTTGCGCTATCTACAAGTCTAGCGTGGCACTCCTCGAACAGCAACAGATCATGGAAAGAAAGCTAAGTGATAAAGGTCTTTCCGTGGACCTAACAGAGACTTACAATGTACCAACGGGCAATGACCACGATGATCGAGGATCTGTCTTCGTCGATGCAACAAGTGGTGAGATTAAAGTGTACGTGGAGGGCAGAGTTGTTCGCACTATAACTGCCAACCCGCCACTGCCTAATCTGAACCCTCCCACGGCCACCACATCACCATTATACGCTTCCTCGAGGTCGACCACGTCGCCATCCTATTCGCATGTCTCTCCAACGGCTATCACATCACCATTATACGCTTCCTCGAGGTCGACCACGTCGCCATCCTATTCGCATGTCTCTCCAACGGCTATCACATCACCAGTGCATCAGAGTATGTATTCGGCGTCGATCACGTCGCCAGTGTACCCAACTGCGTTCCAGACGTCTATCACGTCGCCAACGTATCAGACTCCGTATCAGACGTCTACCAATTCTCCAGCGTATCAGACTTCGTATCAGACTTCGTATCAGACTCCGTATCAGACGTCTACCAATTCTCCAGCGTATCAGACTTCGTATCAGACTTCGTATCAGACGTCTACCAGGCCATCGCAGTATTCAACTGCTTTTTCAGCGTCTAACATGTCGCCATCTGCCACAGCAAGGGTCTCAGGAACTGGTCCTGCGGATTCGGACTGGGATGGGCAATACTATGTATCGAGGCGCAATAATGCTTATGTATGGATCAATAGGGATTGGGTTCTTAGGCCATGAATGGCAGGCCCAAAGAGCTGCAGGGGATATGAAGCCGCGGAACGGGCAGTGCCCAGTTGTACAGATAGTACAAGGCAATTTCATAATACCGGTGCATCTACAATGACTACAGTCCATACTACCAGTAGCCCAGAGGTGTAAATTGCCCGCCACGTTGCCACCGTGACATACCCCGGTGCTTCGATCACCTGGAATGCTACAAGGTAGTCTACAAGGCTCAGCCCGGAGGCGTTCTGGGAAATAGAAAAACTAGGCGTCCAACGAATAGGTAAGTAAGCTACGTATGTAACAACGTCGTTTTAATGAAGGGATAACAAGTAAGTAAAAATGTATCTAGAATGTTGATCGCAGACTTATTAGTATAGTAATATATGACTAGAAAGACTATAGAAAACTCTGAACAGCTCTACTATGAAAAAAGCCCGTAAGAATTTCAAGAATGTACATCATATCTAGATGAAAGAAATGAGCATAATACGTATGTGTGTGTATGATATGTTATATGGCTTATCTGATTATGTTATTATATTGCTTGGTACCTCGCTTGGAGGCACGAGCTATATATCGAAGCAAAGTGGCGAAGTCAGATCTACTCGCCCTACGCCCTGTACTACACAACCATATTCTTGGAAGCGACAACACCTTAGCGATGTCTTGATCCCTGAAATGCATGAAAATTCGACTGGCACATTAAAGCCTGCACGTCAAGCAACAGAAAAATGTGCCCCCCTGTAAAGCGCGAAGCGCCATTCAATCAACCAGATATACACTACTCCGACGAGCGATCTTTGGATGATCCCCAGTATACACCACAAGATCATAGTAAGGACTCGCACGTCTCTTTGTAGTCTGTTCTAACAGCACGCCACAGCATCACCGGCCTGGCCCGCAGAAGCCCGCTATCGACCTGTTCACCCTAAGAAGCCTCAGGCATGTCTTCCAGCCTCGCCCTCGGTTGAACCAATTTGGGCTGAGTTTAGACAGAGAGTCGACCACTCCATGGTCTTAACCACAGAAACGAGGTCTCAAGCGGAAGGGTGCAAAAGCTGCGTTCGACAGTCTGATGACGCAGTTGGTGAAAACTTAGCCGAGCAGCTGCACGCTCGTGAGATTTCTGAGATTTCTCAAGCCTCTGAGGCATATGACCCAACCCGTCATCTCTCCAATTCAGAGATCGTTAAAGCCTGCCGAAGGCCTCCTCACGACCATTCCCTAGGAATTCCAAGTCGCGTAGTACGCATCCTTTCCAACGCCATAGTCAAACTCATCGTCAGCCAGGCTGAGGCAGACAATCAACGCTTCATATTCAACAAGGTCAACCCTGAAGTTTGTCGAGTACCGCGTGTCTATCGATATTTCAAGCACGATGGAAAGGGTTACCTGGTAATGGAGTACATTGAGGGTGTTTGCATTCCTGCAAACGCCATGACCCCGAAGCAGTACGCCATTCTCGCAAGAGCGCTCGCTCATCTGTATTCTTTCAAACGCACAACGCCGGGCAACCTCGCGGGCGAGGGGAAATGTTTCGATTGCCCTCTGCCTGAGACTGGCGTTGATTTTATGGGAGACGTCAACCAAATGAATGCCTGGTTCCAATCTCGCCTCCTTGAGTGGGATACCACCTATCGATTCAATTTTGACCCCGGTCAGTTTGTGATTTGCCACCGTGACATCGCACCGCGCAACATACTCTGGCAGCAAGATGAGTCGATCTGCCTTCTTGATTGGGAGACGGCCGGGTTTTTTCCCGTATCTTTCGACCTCTGTTCACAGCGCAAGGGCATCCCGCAGGATTTTGCATTCAATCAGGCTGTCGAGCGACTTATTGCGACTATGTCCTCGGTGACCGTTGATATGGAAGAGGTCCGACACCTTGAACAGGCATGGCGATGCAGTGAGAAATACGCATTGTAAGTCGACATTTTGTTCTGTGTGTATTAATCTTAATTCTCGACCCTGACGCGGAATCTTCTCGTAGTGCGCCTCCTTGTCAAGCCTTTGATCTCCGTCTAATAGCCAGCAATCCCCCGCCGGACATTGATTTCACGGTAAGTAATCCTTATTGCCCCGTGTCCTGTGCTCAGACATTGGAGGCTATGCAGGCTATGCCTAAAAGAAGTGGCAAGAAAACAATTATATCACGGACGCTCCGTCCATCTTTGCCCTAGACCTGCTCTACTTCTCTCACGCCCATACACACAACACAATTGAACCACGGCGAGGCACATATACATCTCTGCGTCTTCGCCAGGATCTCTCCTTCCCAAGTGGTCCATAGGTGGGCAACCTGATCCACTGGTGTCTGTCGGATCGATCAGCAGAAACACTACCACCACGTGTCGCCCTGCTGGAAAGCTATTCCAAGCTGTAGTAATCCCGAAACACGCGCTTTCCGTACGTCAAACAAGACTCTAGACCTACAAAGGAATTGATTTCGTCAAACCTCTCCTGTCTGGTCTTTAGTCTCGACCTCCATATCAGAAGAGTCAGGACAGGGACGCAGCCCACACTCAATATACTCGTGGAAAGAGCTGCGATGGACGTCATGGCCACCCACAAAAATTGGTAAACTTGACTTCGGTTGTCATCGTCGACTGTTGTGGTTGTTGCGAGCCGTGGAATGGATAAAGTGACAATGATAGGGCTACTGGATTTCTCTCCAGAGAAGAGAGAAGAGAGAAGAGAGCAGAGAGAAGAGAGGACATGTACCTAGAGATATGTCTACTAGATAAGTAAGCTCATGTTTAGTTTATATTAAGCTACTACCACTACTCCTTTCCTTTCTCTTACTACCATCTACTATCTCTTCAATTTCCTCTAAAGAATCTAGTCTCTCTCTCTCTCCCTCTCTCTCTCTCTCTCTCTCTCTCTCTTACTCTTTCTATCCACCCATCCATCCACCCACCCACCCGTCCATCCATCCATGCTCTATCCTTCTAACATAAACCCCCCCTTCCCAACACTCCCCCTCCCCCTCCCCCAAAATACCCATCCCTCTCTTCCCAATCATCTCCTTAAAACCCCGTAGCCCGGCTAATGCCCCCTTTCTCAACCACAGCCCAAGCCTAGCAGTCCGCCATCCATGACTAGCCTTCTATCGAGGAGCCTAGCTATCTAGTTAGCTAGCAAGTATGTAGATTTCAGTGACTCAGTGGTTGGGACGGGAGTTGAGAGAGCAACAGCCCCCTTTTCCCCATCTCTATCTCATTTTTCTTCTAGGGACGTGCTGGGGCTGGCTGGCTCTGAGTCCGGGTCTGAGTCTGAATCTGGATCTGAATCTAATCCTGACTCTGAGGCCGTGTCTGAGTCTGGGTCTAAGTCTGAATCTAAGTCTGAATCTAACGCTGACTCTGAGTTCGTGTCTGAGTCGAACTCTAACACTGGCTCTGGCTCTGACTGCGTAATTCGGGGTGAGGGGGTAAGGGGGGATGATATTCGTGGCTGTGGAGACGGCAGGGGAATTGGTAATTGGTGATAACGTGGTACGGTATAGCGTGGAGTCACATAGCATAGCGCAACATAGCCTCACACGACGACATGTACAAACAAACCCAACACTCAAAACTCACCTCATCCCCCATCTCCCCCATCTCCCCCATCTCCCTTCCACTCCCTTCCATCCCCTCCAAGCCTCCACTCCCTTCCATCCCATCCCATCCCATCCCTTCCATCCCAGCAACATCCCAGCAACATTCCATCCCATCCCATCCCACCCCAGCAACATCCCAACAAAGCTCTTTCCTCCTCCTACTCCCCACCAAAACCAAGAGTCTGACCAGAGAGAAACAGGTCGATAGATAAGTTGATAGAATGGTATTTCACCGACGCACGGCGGTCGCAACCTCTCTACTCGTAATTGACTGACTGGCTGGCTGACTGATTGACTGACTGACTGACTGACTGACTGACTGACTGGCTGACTGACTGACTGGCTGACTGGCTGACTGGCTGACTGACTGACTGACTGACTGATTGACTGATTGACTAACGGAAACGGACGGAGTGGTGAGGTCAGCTTCGGGGCTTTGGTTTCGGTTTCGGGGGAGGAAGGAAGGATGCTGTGCCAGATAAGGTATGCATATAATGCGGATAATGCAGAGACATGGAAGGCTTTTGTATTGTTCAAGAGTGTGAGATTCGGGTATCCATTGGGATTTGATATGGATGGGACTGTGGTGATGGAGCGTGATGCTTTGAGATGGTTGGTGGACTTGCGTTGCGAAGGGTGTATGGTTAGTATGTACCACGGCAGGGTCTTGTGTATTTTCTTCTTCTTCTTCTTCTTATTCTTTTTCCTTCTTGTTTCTACTCTACTCTACTCTACGCTGGTCGACTGTATGGTTAGTATGTACCACGGCAGGGTCTTGTGTATTTTCTTCTTCTTCTTCTTCTTATTCTTTTTCCTTCTTGTTTCTACTCTACTCTACTCTACGCTGGTCGACTCTACTCTACGCTGGTCGACTCGACTCTACTCTACTCTACTCTACTCCAGCCATGGCATGCATGCGTTTCCGGTCCTACACAAACGTAAACACAAGACGATGGAACGAGTTAGTAATCACGACTCCACGACCCATAAGGTACCAACAGCCTTACACAAATGCACACACGAACGCACGCATACACGTCTTGTGCTACGCAGAAACAGCTGCAGGGTCCCGTCTCCGCAGTCCAGTCCAGTCCACTCCAGTCCAGTCATGGCGACCGAACTGGCTATTTGGAAGCAAACTACAGTATGTAATTATGAGAAACCGGTAATTATGAGCGACGGGAGCAGCTGCAGCTGCAGCTGCAAGGATCAAACCGAGAATACTGCAAGCCGACAGTGCATACGGCGACCATTTTATGCAATGCTCTGCTCTGCTCTGCTCTACTCTGCCTCGCGTCCTGCTGCATAGAATGTTCTTGCGCTGTGCAAGAACAAGACAAGGGGCTTTGCCGCTGCCCTTTTTTTTTGCGGGGGAAGATTTGCGGGATTGCGGGATTTTGGCGGACATTGTGATAGGAGGGAGGGCTGGGAATCATGTCCGAGGATAGGGGCAATAACATAGTCTACGGTGACTTTGATCGTATAGATGTCTGTCTGTCAATAGTAGCATGCAAGACACGATGGTGCAATTGACAGTCGACTCGAGCTCGACGCGGTAAAGAATGCCCAGACAAAGACGAATAGCTTCTACGATGGAACAGGAATGTCAGCAGAGATGGGACAATGTACGAGATAATCTTAGTCACAATGTCCCCGTGTTTCAAGATTGCACAACGGCATCTACCGCCGTGTACAGGTGGGTAATCTGCCTTGGCGATGTGATGGATATAGAGACTGCTCCAGATTCAGACATTCCCTCATGCTACGCGGCCACATCAACGAGGATGGTCGGTCTCGGATGGAATGCCGCTTGGAACGTCTGGATGCCGGCAGCTCTGCACCTCACGCAGCGGTAATTTCCGCCTGGGACAGCCTCCTGACGATCTCGACCGGAGTGGCAATACCATCAAATGTGAGGCTGTCGAGCGGCATGAGATCAGAACAGGCCCACATGGCAATGGGCCTCCTCGTCTGTGTATCTAATGCGAAGGAGCTTCATCGTTGGTGATTTTCAGAATGTATGTCACCAAAGTCTCACATCGTCGTGACACCGGTGCCACCAAGTGTGGATGCACCAGAGTGGCAACGATGGCGATTTGGGCTTGGCAAATGGGATGTCTAGATCAACACTGCAGCATCAAGCATCCACAGCAAGGAAGATCATCGGTCCTTGAGGCTCAACGTTTCCTTGGTGCTAATGGCGTAAGAAGTCCGTAGAGCCTAGTCTCCCGAGACCCGAATCCACGTGGAATCTGGTTAATCATTGCCCGAGTTGAACAGGGCGGATGTGCGTATGAAACTGCAGCAGGGAAAGAGCCGGGCGAAATGATGCGGGTGCTTAAAAAAAGCAATCGGAAAAAAGGAGTCTGGAGGGATCACGAAGTTGAGACAGCCGGGTTGTGTGAGGCGTCCAAGGGACATGGAATGGCAGTGCCGTTGAAACTTGGAGGTCAGCAGTAGGATGGAAAGGAAAGCCGTAATGGGTCGGGTGATTTTGGGGGGGGGGAAGAGGTATCGAGCAAGACCGGAGAGGACACGGTTGGGTGAAGGATTTGAGCGGTGCCCAGAAGCAATAATTGTGCATCATATTACCTGCAGCAGTGCTCAGTCGAGAGGAACACGCAATCCGTGGCTATTTCTTGCTTCTAGGCTTGGCGCACGTGTAGGCATGAGGTTGGGATCGGCGGTGTTGCAGTGGAGCAGATGAGGAGCAAAATGATGGCAAAGGCGGGACTTGCCCAGTTAGGGAAAGAAGGATGCGAGGGCAGTCAGTCCCACGTGGGAGGCGCAGGAGATCTTCAAGGCCATGTCGCAGAGTCGCAGAAGCCGGCCAGGATCAGCCAGTTAGAAGACTGCCAGGGTAGTCGGGCAGTTGGGACGATGGATGAAGCTGCAGTGAGACATGATAGTTCGTGGTGTCTTGCGGCTGCACGACATCTGGCTGTCTTTTTGAGACATGAGACGACCGTTTGACCAGGACGTCCAGGACGCCAGACGAGAGAGAGGGAAAAAAGGCTAGGAAGTTTGCCGCCAGCCATCAACGCAGCGTCTAAATGTGGATACTGTATATGGATGTGAGAATCAGACGTGGATGTGCGATATGCAAGCGAGCAGGCGGCTGACGAGCTGCGATGCGTAATTACAGCGCGGTGTGGTCTGTCCAGCGTCCAGTGTTCCAGCGTCCAGTGTCCAGCATCCAACATCGTACGTTCAGCGTCCTACATCGTACGTCCACCGGTCCACTTTGTGATACAGATTAAGACGCACGATCAGCCAAGCAATTGGATATGGCAGAGATAAGACGTGCGTAGAGGTAGAAGGAGATCAGGAGCAAGGTTGAGGACGAGGATGAGGAGGAGAAGGTTAAGGTAGAGAGAGAGGTTACAGTGGGAGGTGGAGATAGGATTATTGGAATATTGGCATCGCACACCCGTTGCAGGGAAATGGTGCGATTTGCTTTTTAGTCGACACGATGCACTAGGCTCGATCTGGCAAGCGAGCGGTAAGAGAGGGTGGAAGAATGGAGAGTCGCTGATTGGCTGAGGTCGCAGACATGGCGTGGCAGAAACACGAGTTCGGACTAGTCTCGGGCTGTCGGGCTAGATGAAGGACTATTTCGGCAGATCAGAGAGGATAATGCCGCCTCTGACCGCCCATCCCGATTTGGTCTAGCCTAGAGAGCAAACCAGTATCGTACGAGTTTGGAGGTCATACCTCGGTCAGCTATTTTAATAATAATTGTAATGGGCAAGAACGTTGCACCCATACAATTGCCGCATTGGGCCCGGGCTTCAGGTTGCTCGATTTGTTTTGTTTGTATCCTGAGGCCACCACACCCCCCCTTGGCCAGACCATGACGACTTCACACCACCCAATCTTCCATCTGTCTTCAAGACTGACAGCAGCGGTGTCCCTGTCGCTGTTGTCAAGTGTCGCTGCTGCCGGTAATGATGTGTGCAGGCGGTGGAGGTGGAGTGGGCGTTGGCGTTGGCCTGCTTTCTTTTTTCTCTGCCGAGATGCAAGTCTTCCAGATGTCCGTCACGCGCCGCATGGGGAAATGCTCGTGTGTCTGACAGCGGAAATTGAGCGGCAGTGATCGCTATCGCGCCGAGACGTCAGAGATGGACGCTTGAGCCGGGCCACAGCTGGATGAACGTGTGACTGTGTGACAAGCGGCTGAGAACAGACAGAGGGGATCAATTTCCGTCCAAGCACGCTGGCACTGGCCTCTGCACGGCGCCTGCGACAACGGCGACGGTGACGGTAAAAGTCTGGAGTATTGATACATAGACGCCGAGCCTGCATGGAGCAGATGTGTCATCGAGGCCGGTCTGTGGACTGATTGTATGCTGTAATTACAGTACAATAATATACCATGTATATCCTCTTTGAGGGTGGGAAACGGGCAGGCTTAGACGAGGAATGACCTTGTCCCTGTCTGTCGAGCGAGGTGTTTTGCCCTAGTAAGTGGCAGCAGCAGTAGTCGTAGTAGTAGTAGTCCGTGGCCCCTAGTCGCCCTTGTCGTCGCCCTTGTCATACAGCAGCACTTGGATTCCATCTGTTGCATAGTAGATATTAGTAGCTACCAAGTACAGCAAAGCTTGGGCAGTGGAGCTGGGCTGGCGGATGATTGACGGTGCGGTGCCGAAACTACAGTACAGGGCTTCTTGGCCGCATTTAGAGGCGGGGCGGGACCACTACCACAATCCGATGGCAACTCCGACCCTCCCTCCAGGCTGTCTGCCCTGTCCTGTCTGCCCTGCCTTGCCTGCCCTGCCCCTACCCATGACGACGGCGACGGGGATCCGACGCAGAGCCATTGATGCACGGCACGCTCCCTCTTTCTCTCTCTTTCTCTCACTCTCACTGCCGCCCGATTGGGTGATGGTGATCGATAGGACGAGAACGAACAGAGAGCCGCACTCTTGCTCTTGACTGCCATATTTGAGTACAACTCTTGTGTCGTCGACCGGGCAAATGAGTGCTGATCGAAAACTCTCGGGCAAAGCCAGGGCAGGCAGGCGGACAGGCAGGCAGACAGGCAGAGAGACAGACAGACAGGTAAGCCTGGCATGGAGACAAATTTAGCCATGTTGGCTTCAGTCTCGGGACAGACTAGGCTGAAAGGACAAGCAGCAGCCTTCCCCACAGCACGACGGCCTGGCCCGAGATCTCTTTTGTGTACAGTAGGTTTCAGGACGCGCTTAGGACGCCGTCGACTTTCGATCTGGACGTCCGAGGAGGAGGAGGAGGAGGAGGAGGAGGATTGGGGGGTGCTGGTGGTCTGGTGGTCTGGTGGTCTCTTTAGTGCTGCTACCAGGTAGTTGTTAGTGTTGGCTGCTGGGTGCGTGGTCACCGATGGAGGGCGATATGGGCGGCGCCGCGGGGACCAGGGCAGTCAGGCAGGGCGCAGAGCACAGGACGCAGCACACACAGGACACAGGGCACAGAGCCACTCTATCTTAGGGATGACAGGGAGCATATTGCGATGCGATCTTGCAGCAGAGTGACAGGGCCCATTTTACTGGCGACCTGTACCTGTGTCTCTCTGTGTCTTGGTGTATCTTTGTGTGCGTATGTATGTGTGTGTGTGTGTGTGTGTGTGTCTCTGTGCCGGTGTCTGGCAGTCTGCGCTTATGCTCTTGCGTCTGCGTCTGCGTCTGCGTCTACGTCTGTGCCTGATGCTGTGAGTAGAGCGGGATAGGGTCTGTAGGTAATTAATCAGAAGGTGAAGAAGTAGAGTGGCAGTCAATTACTAGGTAAATAGGTAGGTAGGTAGGTAGGTAGAGTGTGATCCATCCATCGGTACTCGCTGCCGACCTCTGCACCGGCGCACCATCCCAACTAACAGCCATTCATTATAGATGGATAGTAATTATGGCACAAGACGGACTGCATCTCCGTTTCGATGGTGCCGGACTACAACGGCAGATCCCCAGGTAGAATTCCAATGACCAGGACAAGCATCGAGGCCTCTCTCTCTACCCTGGCACAGCTGGCTGGCAACCTTGTCCCTAGCCATCCATCCATTCTCTTCCCTGCTTGACCGATCTGTCTATTGGATCTGGCATAGCTCCGTCTTCAGATCCCGCGACGAACGAACTTTGAATAACATGACTCTGCAAAAAAAAAAAGAAGAAGACCAGCACCGCATCACCCACCGACAAGCACCGACGCCCATCTGCATCTGCATCTGATCGACCGGGGCAGCCTCCTGTGACGGCAAGTGTGCTCCGAGATGCCGTAGTACATCCTGTATGTACATGCAAGCCTCTCTACTCTCCTCTTGACATGACACCGAAGCCGTGCAGACAAGACGGCGGGATCTACTGTCTGTGTCAACGCATGGCATTTACGGCCGATTCAGGTCCAGTCCTTGCACCGACACTATAGCAACTGCGATTAATCACTGGGCTGGCAGATACAGTAGTCCAACATTATTCTAATCGTGTACGTCGTAGTCGTCTGGCCATTGTTAACCTACCCGAGTACCTAGGTCCTAATTACTCCAACATACAGTATATACCTACCTGTACGTGTAAAATGATGCTGCATCACGCTCTGCTTGGGCGCATGGAGCGCCTCTCAAACCTGCTCAGTCCGTGGAGACCTGCAGCAATTTGTGAGTCGCCGTAATAAATGCAGAAGCATTCATTCCACTGGCCACGAAGCCCTGTGCGTGCATCATCGGTGACGGTGTATAAATAACCTCAGGCATACCTCAAACGAGGAGGAAGCCTTAGGACAGCTCCTGGGCCAAGACGACCAAGAATACTAGTATGATGTATAGGATACTATATACCATGTATACTGTGTATAATATAGTTTCAGAACGTGCGTCTCTGATTCCAGATTCCAGATACCGGCAAGGGAACTGTGAAGTTTAGTTGGCCTCACGGAAGCTTGAAATGTGTCCGTGTCCCGTCTGCGTAGGTAGTAGTAGTAGGGCCCCCCCTCCCCCTCCCCCCCCAAAATCTGTCACGACCCCTGTCATACTATGTCTTCCCTTATGAACATTCGCTCTAATACTTGTCGAATCTCTTGTCTAAATCGAGCCTTATAAGAGAGAGAGAGACAGAGGAGGGGGGGGGGAGGGGGGTTGTACATCATCATTATCATCATCATCATGCTGATGGATAGGTATCATGGTAGTTGTCTACGGGTCCCATCTGACGTTTTGTTGCTGGCTTCTTCTTCTTCTTCCTCTACTTCTCTTGTTCTTTATTAAAGAAACCATCTACGTACCTGAGCACGCGCTTCCACTTACTTGCACTCCGCTGCAACGACAAAGAAGAGTGTGTGAGAGTGAGAGAGACGCTTGGACTCGGATCTAATTAGTCCATATCCTATTCTGTTTATCCTCTCCATCTGCACACACACACGCACTCGTCTCTTCTGTTCCCCGACCCCGATAAAGTATCTCTGTCTCTACGCAACCCTATCCACTCTTCTTCTTCTTCTCTTTCCCCCCTCCCTCCTCCTCTTCCTCTTCTTATTCTTCCTCCTCTGCTCGCCTCAACCACACTCGATATATACACAAAGGTTGCAAACGTCCACACGGCCACCACCATCCTTGTGGCGCCGCCAACCCGCATCGACTCGTGTCTCTTCCTCCAGGCTCGCACTACTGCATCTCCCACTTTGCCGGAAACCAAACATAGATAGGATCTCTTCTTGGCCGACGTCCCGACCAACTCTATTCATCTGTCCCTGTCCAGTCCGCGAACCCCCCCGGTCCTGTTACCATCGATCGCTACACACAAGAAACGTCCAGGGCGTCAATCCTTCCTGTCATTCTTCGCAACGTTGTCGTTGTCGTTCTTGTCGTTGTCGTCGCTCCTTTCACCACCCTGTCAGGTTTCAGCGTTTCAGCGTTTCATCTGATCCACACACACACCATCTGCAAGTAATCGACAATTTCGACTGGACCGCTTGTGAGTTGCAGCCCCCCGGCGGACCACGTTTTGTCACCATCCATCATCAGCCCTGCATACATCTATTTTCGTCGCGCCTGATCGTCATCCCGCCAACGCTCCATCCTGCGACTCTCTTCTCTTTCCAATTCTCTCGACACGACGGCTTGGTCTACTCCCTGCTCCTTGCTCCCTGCTCCTCTACTCTCCGGCTTGGAGACAACTGCAAGTGAGAGAGTGCACGGCCTACTTACCACGATTCTACTACTACTACTACTACTACTACTACTACTACTACTACTACTACTACTACTACTCTCTTCCTACTACCACTCATCCACTACTACTACTCACCACCACCACCACCACCACCAACTCACTCATACTACTCTGGATTGCTGCTGGTGCCCGTGCTGCATCAAAACTATCCGGCATCCCACTCCTGCTGCACTGCTTTTCTGTCCTCCGATGCTGTCCAGCTAATAACTAGTCGTCCATTTCCGATTTCCTTTACTGTCGCCGTTGCCACCGGCCAACTTTTACATACACCATGTCTCTTGCTGGCCCTCAGCCTCGACCGATGCATCCTGGAATTTCTTCGTGGCCTGGTCAGCACGCCGTCTCTTCGCATCCTCGACTTCCAGGCCTACCGTCGCCATCAGAATCCCAATACGAAATGCCACACTGGAATCCCACTCAGCGTGCAACTCCCACCGACCCAGCCGCACCTGCAAAGGACACAAAGCTCCAATTACCTGGCATTTCTCAAATACTTACACCACCCATATCTGAAGCGCAACGTCCGCTATCTCATCACGTACCAGCTCCAGCTCCAGCTCCGGCGCCAGCTTCTTCGTTCCACGACTCTGCCACCTCCGTTCACAACTCACCACCACGACATCTATCATCCTCAACACTCAGCAGGCAGCAATCGTTGGACGGCCGTGGAACTCCATATCTTGGGAGGCGATCAGATCCAGACATACCAATACCACATGACACTTACTTTCCTCACCAGGCTCATCTATCTCATGCCCCTCAGCTGCATCACCAGTCGCCGCGCGCCACTTCCGTTGCTCCACATCCCATTCACGATACATCCGAAAGCGTGCATGCCGGTGTAAAGCGACGGGCTGAAAGTGTACCGCGTGCACCGGATTTTGCTCCGAGGGTCGTCTGTAAAGTGTATGATGAGCATGGCAATGAGCATTGGAAGTACGACAATGGTAACACCGTTCCTGCTGAAATCGATGGAGAGGCAGTCAATCCTTGCTGGGGTATCACAAAGGCCGGTAAACCACGGAAACGACTCGCCCAAGCCTGTCTTACTTGTCGAGAAAAGAAGATCAAGTGTGATCCTGGCTTCCCCAAATGTGCCCAGTGCACCAAGTCTCAACGAACGTGTAAAGGGTAAGCCGGTTCCTCGCCTAGCAGACATCTGTACGTCTACATGGCATGCTAACTTTGCATCAGAGGAGCAACCGAGCAGCAGTCGTCTCGTTCTCAGTCTCATCGTTCAGAAACTAGTTCTCCCCTTCACAGAGCCGCCGGAACTGCACACAGCAGCCCTGGGACGTATCCATCCGTTGTAAGCACAAACGCTGCTCCCCCAGAGTGGTCGAGACCGACGAAGATGCGACGCACAAGCGATCACGATTTGGCGCCGAGACAGCCGCAAGGTGCCTCGCCTCCACGCCACGAAATACGATGGAACCAAAGTGCTGGTAACGTTGGTTACCACACAGGCACTGATCCTGAGCTCAAGCACGTTCCGACCAACAACTCACTCCATTCAGCGAGACATGTCATGTCGGAGAACGAAAAAGCAGATCGCTGGCTGACGGATCCCTACGAAATCAGTCCAGCCGTAACTCTCGAACTACTTGACCACTACTTTACGCACTTCAACTCCGCAACATACTGCCTCTTTCCGAGAGATACAATCGTACATTGGGTTCAACATAACCGCTCGAAGACTCCACAAGATCGTATGGTGTTGTACAGCATGCTCGCCATCGGATCCTTGTTCTCTCACATCCCAGACCGACATGCTTACGGCAAGGAGTTGCACGAAATCGCCGAGTATGCGCTAAAAACGCTGTTCAGTGAGCTGACGTTGCAGATATGCCATGCCAGGCTTCTGGTGGGCATGTATTGCTTTGCACGTGGTGAAACAACTGCGTCATGGAATCACTGCAGACTGGCGCTGGGATGCATTAGCGCACTAGGGTTCAACTCGGAGAAGGTGATCTGCTACATTGCAGACCCCAGCGACCATGTTTACGGGCTGGACCGGGAGAAGCTGCTTGAATGCCGCAGGCGAACGTTCTGGTCTGGCTTTTTGATGGACCGCTACAACGGCTTCTGCGGTGGCACTAAATGCAACATCAACCTCGAGGACACCTTCGTTCGTCTACCATGTACAGAGCAGGAATACAACATGAAGCGCACACAGGATCCTCCAATCTTCGACTACGATCTCATCGGCACTCCTACCGAGCTTCCACTGAGCACAATGGCCTATCTCGTCCAGGTATCGGCCATTTGGGGTCAAGTCTTCTCAATGACAGACCGAGCCTTGAATAAGACTGTCAATGCTGCGTACCTTGACTACTACGAGCACCACTACAACAGCATGTACCACAAACTTCAGGCATGGCACGCTCAATTACCGCACGATTTACGTTACAGTCCCGACGCCTTGACGAGTAGTATCCACCGAGACTGCGCGGGATCATTCCTGTCGTTACACAGCTTGTACAACACTGCTTTTATTAGGTTGAATCGACACGTCAGAGTCGGTGCGCTTACGACTCAACTGGAAAGGAATATTCAAGCAAGCCTCGTGCACGCGAAGCAACTCTTCAATATTGCTCACCATCTTCAACACGCAGACTCTCACCGCATTGGCTCTCCTCGTCCAAGTTCGTTCTCTGCAGTTCCTTTTCTCGGCTACAGCTTGCTAGCGGCCGTGGACGTGCTCACCGCTGGCGGGTCCCGTGACACACTCCCGGGCCTCAAGAGGGCTGTCGAGGCCAACCTTGCTTGCATCACGGAGCTGTCTCATGTATGGACCAGCGCCGACTCTCAGCGTGATCTTGTCCTACGACGACTGCGCAAGATAGACGACGTTACGTACGCTGGCTCGCCACGAGCATTGGAGAACGGAGATTGGGCTGTCGACCATGCACTTGATGCAACTTATCGACGGGACGAAGATGCTGTATATTCGATAGGATCGCAGATTGCGGTCGCGATGCGGGACTTTGACATTCGATTCTGAATGGAGGCTTACGCTATCATCGTGCATCTATTTCCAGCTTACAGCAATCTGGATCACACCTCACCACCGTTCTATTGTTTTGCTGATCTGAGACACGTGTCCAAGACGTCCCACACGGCCTTCATCCGGCGATTTCGACGACCTTTACACATCATGTTATCCTCTCCGTTTCATGGACTCATTATATACATACACACATGCTCCCACGCCTCCATGTTTTTTTTTTTCTCTCTGCACGAATTCCCTTGCTTCATCATCCGTCCTTGTCATCCCTCCATCACATTCAGACAGGCGCACAAAAGTCCTTTACACTTGGAGGCTTTCGGGTTTGAATAAGCATACTCAGAATTTTATTCCTAATTAGTCGTCGTCGCCCGCCCAGGTCGTATGCATCGATCATCGACCGGGCGTTTCTGACTTTTAGCATATCACGGCGCTTCTGGTTGTTGTTGTTGTTGTCGTTGTTGTCGTTGTTGTCGTTGTTGTCGTTGTTGTCGTTGTTATTCGCTCTGGAAACAGTCGAAGAAGTTCGGGAGGAGATATGCAGAAAAACGGAGGCCGGAACACGATGCAATGCACGCCCCACATGTACGATATACTTTGATACAATTCTTTCTTATTTCCTCTTTTCCTGCTGCGCTTGTTGTCTGGGGTTTCTGGGGGGGGGGAGCATAAGTCATACGGCATAGGACATGGGGCATATATGGCATATATGGCATACGGCATACGGCATACGGCACAAGGTATATACCACATGGGAAGACTTTTGGGGAGGGGGGCCCAGGGGGAATAGATACATAAATGATGCCTCCGTCTGGTCTGGCTGGGGTATTGGGTGGGAGACGCAGATTGCGCGAAATGAAACATTGTTGTGATTATACTGTGTCGTTCTTTTGATGAAGTGTTGCTGTTGTGGGTGTTTTTGATGATGGGTTGGGTTGGGGTGGGTTAGGTTGGGTTAGGTTGGGTTGGGTTTGGGTATAGATGTGCGCGTGCATGTGTACGTCTGTCTTGTGTGTTCATTCGTTTATGTATACGTATGTTTATGTATTTGTATGCATATTTCTATCGTCAGTGTCGTGTCTGCTATGTATTATATTCGTGGATCTATACATCCATGGTAAGTGTCACATCTAGTATATATTATATTCATGCATCTATACATTGATCCATATATATGATCTCCCGATGCATTCGAAGCAGCGAATGACGACAAGGACAACGGATTGTCCAAGGTTTACCAAGCACCCAGCCACACAGCCCGCCGCCGCCGCCGTCCTCGTCGTCGTCCTCGTCGTCGTCGGATGACGACCTATCCGCTAGATACCCACAGTTCCAACATCTCATCTCATCTCCTTACTACTACCCATCTATACCTTTCACTCTACTTCCTCTCCCCATTCTCCACCTACCTCCCATCTCCTCTCCCCTCACTACCTCCTCATCCCCGCCTCCCCATACCTGCATATACCTCCCATCTCCTCCCCCCTCACTATCTCCTCATCCTCCGCATCCACATACCTCCTGCAAGCCCCAAAGCTCCACCACCTACAGCCCAACAGCCCAACACCCCAAATATCCCCACAGCTAAACCCGGACACCGAAAAGTACGTACATGTATTCCCCCTTCCCACCACCCGTCTCCCACTAAAAACAATCAAAAAAAACGAAAAAAAAAAACGAAAAAAAAGAGAAAAGAGAGGAAACAAAACAACTACTAAAGCGCGAGAACGGGAAAAAGGTGAGATTTATAGCAAGGAAAAAGGGGAATAAAGGGGGGAGGTGTAAATGGTAGGGTGGTAGTGGGGTGGGGATCGGGTGGGAATGGGGTGGAGGGTATGGAGAAATGTAGAGGATAATAGGATTGGAAAGTGGGTATAAGGATAGAATAGAGAAGAGGGTACCTTGGGTCTCTCGGTTCGAGCGAACACATTAACATACGAAGGACTAAAGGGAAGAGGGGGTCGTTGGAGTGTTTGTTGTATGCACATACATACATACATATCTACATGACCAAATACATACGCAAGTATGCTCCTCCGCTATATACATACACACACATATACACACATATACACACACACATACAGTCCTCAACCCATCAATCTCCAATCCCCAAACCTCCCCTCCCTAAAGCACACCTAGCATAACGCATAACGTAACAAGTCATATACCCTCCACCACCCCTACAACCTCCACAACCTCCACAACCTCCACAACCTCTACAACCTCTATAACCTCTATAACCTCTATAACCCCTATACCCTCCACAACCTTCACAACCTTCACAACCTCCACAACCTCCACAACCTCCACAACCTCCACAACCTCCACAACCTCCACAACCCCTATACCCTCCCCAAAGCATACAAACATCCAACCCGCCGAGTTAGTACCTAATAACATAGGACCTGTTAATACTAAACTGCACTGTAAGGGAAAACGGCTCGGCTTGGCCGAGAGGAGGGTTAGGTTCTTTGGAGTAATACGCTTCTGGGTACGCTTTTGGACGTTTAGTAGGGATTATGTCTGGGTGAGGTTTTTGGGGGGGTTTTGTTTAGGGTTGTATTTGGGATGGTAGGTGTTTGGGAGGGTATTTGATTGGGATGGTATCTGCAACCGATGTCTAGATCTATTAATTACCTAGTTTTGGCGATATTTGGTGGTGAAGTATTGTAGTAGTGTATATAGTAGTGCTCAGCGGCGCAGTATAGTATGTATGGATTGCTTGATTAATAGATAGGTTATGGAATTGGTAAGACGGACTATGGTATTGATGCTAGGTTGGGAGATGGTAAATGCATTGGGAAGCTAGGAGCACGGCTAGGTAGTATATAGTAAGATGAAAAGGGGGATTTAGAGGATTATTTTTGTGCAGGATACCCTCTACACTAGAAATTTTATAGAGACTTGATGACTCATGGCACGGAGAGTACTGTCGATGGTGGTGGTGATGTATATCATATACTCTAGATCGTGTATAGTAGTATATAGTAGTAGGTTTGCTTAGCTGTCGTCTAGAATCATCCCTTTTTATCTTTACGTATTATACATACCATACGCACCTTATGCCTTCCAACAAAGGAAGAAAGGAATCGCACCCGTCCTACAATTCCACAATTTCTACATCGTATGCTAAGAAACCTGGCTAGCCCCCAATCTCCCTCTTTTGCGAATAGCCCTACCGAAATCGAGAACAGTCTTTGTCCCCGGGATCCACTGTTTCCCTTGTTCTTCGGTTGCTCGGGGACGTTGCTTGCGGTCCTTGGATGTGTGGTGGTTGGTTGAGTGGGGAGCAGGGCTGGGTATGGTGTGTCTGTAGTCGGATGATGGTATTGTGAGATTGAAGGATGGGAAAGTATAGTCTATAGTATCGTATTGTCTAGTCTACACCTTCTAGTCCATCACGAAGAGCAGTCTAACTAGCTAATTAGACCTGAGAGAGAGGGGTAGATGTCGTAGTATCATGGTATCGTGGAATCATAGATCCATAGATGAGCTCATGGAATCATAGATGGGTATCACGGATTGATGGAGTCGTATATTCGTATACCCGTCTCGCAAGTCCTGCCTGTTTCGGTAATACTCGCCTTGCGCATCCATTCCACGTACTCCACTCTATGCCCTATGCCCTACGGACCCCCTATGCCTTACGTACCCCCTCCCCTACTCCCACTCTACCTTCTACTACCACTGCTCCCCTCCCCCTACTCCCCGGTACGTAGCCCCCTTCCAACCGCCCAGGACAGCATCAAGCCAGAACCCATCTCCCGTCTTCCCGAATGCCATCAGCCCTCAACCTGCATAGCCGAAGAACCCAGCATATCTCTGCCGAATTAGCTTAACAGAAGCGCGAATTCTAGATTGCCATTCCAGAATTATGACTCCATAGCCCTGTCATCTGCACCTAGTTTTCCTGGGACCGGATGGGATAGGTGGGTCGCATACGGGCCCTAGGTTGATAGACAGACAGACAGACAGATAACACAACACACCAGCGTGTCCGTGCACTTCCATTCAGCCTTACAGGCTGTTCTCCTCATCCAACATATATTCACCATTCGTCACAAAGCGCAGCTATGTCTGGATTTACTTCTACATCAACTTCCCCACTTACCCGCACGCAGGTAGCCTTCACCATCATACCAGTCTAATTCATCAAGCGATCAGTCAATCAAGCCGTGTTCCTGCGTCACGTCGCGTTCGTGCTCGCGCTCGCGCCCCAGCCGTCACTCCGATGCCTAGACCCTTCTTCCCCTCCCCGCTCCCACCTATTCCCCACTTATCTCCGATTTATGCCCCACCTGTCCCGCTGTTGGAGTGTATGGAGTAAGTACAACATTCCATCACGCCCGGCGACCGGATGTATAGACGTATCCGGGGTCCGGAGTCCGGAGTTGGAGTTGTGGCGGATGGATGAGCGATAGACGAGCGTCGGATGAGCGGCGGATGAGCAGCGGATAAGGCGGGGATTATGTGGGAGCTTGTCTCGTGCGCCGGTATCTACGACTGTGGTGCGGAGGTCGGGAGTGTGGAGGGGGCCGGGCTTGAGGGGGTGGGAGGTGTATAAGGGGGGTGGGATAAGTTGCGATACTCGATGGGTCTCTGATTGTTGAAAGCTAGAAGGGGGGAGGGGAGAGGTGTTGGTGGGGGGTTTTTCCGATGAGAGATAGGTCTGGGACTGTATGTTATAGTGCCTGGTTGCGGTAGTGGGATCAGGTCAGTGATTGCGATGGTGTGAGAAATGGTGTTGAAGTGTAGCTGTGGATATGCTAGCTTGGGTATCGCCGAGAGAACTCCTTGTGCCTTGTGCCTGAGTGTATGCCTGAACTTGTCCTCTGCCTTTGATCAGACTCCTCCCTGTTTCCGAGAGGATTTATCTTCCTCGCTCGTCATTGTCATTTCATCTATCATCTATGACCTCCCTGGCCCTGGGACTCTCCCGCCCGTACTGCGCCTTCCCATCATCTACGCCGCAACGCCGTCTCTGTCTCCGCTGTCCTCCCCGCCCACACCCTGCGTCCCCGCCTTGGCCTTGCTCGCAATATCCAGCTCGGCAAACTTTGGCCGCGCAAGCATGATGTTCATGCGCGCAGCATTAAACACCTGCTCGCTGGGCGGGATGTCAACAGCCAGGTTCGTATTCTCCGTCAGCCGCGTGATGAAGAACATGAAGCGGCCCGTCTTGATATGCAGCTCTGCGAAATTGGCCGCGTTGGGCGGCAGGCTGGTGTGCTTGGCCATGCTCTGCTTGTGCGTCTTGAGGATGCTCGAGATGCGCTCGAAGCGGTCGGTGTAGGGGTTCGAGAGCTCTGCGCCGCGCGTGACATGCGTGACCATGAGGCAGGTGGTGCGTTCGTAGAGCACCAGTTCGCGGGCGTCGATGACGTCGGCCAGGTCCTTGAGGGCTGACTCGATTTTCTGCGCGTTCGGGATGAGAAAGTAGATGATCTGCGTCCAGGCCTTGTACAGGCTCTGGTCCCAGATGCTGGTCGGGAAGAAGTCGACGCTGTCGCGGAAGCCCTCGGACGAGGCGCGGATGTACTCTGCGCGCTCCTCGAAGAGTTGGGAGCGCAGCCGCAGCTGGACGAGGTCCATTTTGTGGATGAGGATGAACACCTTGGCCGTGGGCGAGCATTCGGTCAGTGCGCGGATGATATTGGAGTAGGAGATAACGTCGGCTTGGAATTCGCGTGACTCAATGTCGAAGACGAATATTAGCACCGCGACGGAACCGAAGACATGTGTGCGTTGGTTGGTGAGGTAGTTCTCGACGAAGCCGTCTTGTCTGTGGTCATGCGTGCGGGTCAGCCCTCAAACTGCTGATTGATATTCGGCCCGTGATGCGCAATGCTGATAACTACTGCAAACATGGCACGGCAGATGATCTGTGATGATTTTGATCTACTGGAGTCTGAATGGGGAACGTACCCTCCGCAATCCCATAGATTTAGCATCAGGTTTCCCATGAACTTTATGTTACTGTGCTCTACATCGATCGTCGCGCCTAGTCTACGCACATCTTTCGCAACGTAATTGCTGAAGACAATGCTACGCATAGAAGACTTTCCAGCCCCGCTCTTTCCCATGAGGAGCACCTTGCGCTGCTTCTGGCGCTTTGCCGGGGTGGAGGAGCTCATCGTGGTGTTACTGGTGTACTACTACTGCTGGTCTCGTGGTTCGATTGTTGGATTGAGATGGAGAGAGAGTCGGGGGGCGAAGGCGGAGGCGGTGTGATTCGAGTCAAGTGAGCTCGAGAAGAACTTATGCGATCGGGATTGACTGTTGTTGTCGTCGACAATGCATCATGATCGCAGGGTATGAAGTAGAGTTTGGTGAGGTTGCTATGTTGAAGCTGTGCAACGTCGAGCGCCAAATGGTGGAGCGGAGGTCCGTCACCGCCTAATCTGCAAGCTCCCTATCATTTGCCAGCCAAGACGTTTCAGAGCACTGGACATCATGCGGGGAGGTCCCCCACCAAAAGCTTGGCTAAAATTTCCTGACAGTGTTTTGGATATCCAAAGTGTGATTCTTCCTCCTCGTTCTTTGCCTTAGATACCCAAGATCATCATGTCAGAGCCAGTAGCAGTCGCTGCCACGCAACCTGCCCTCACCGAAGACGACATTGACGATATCCTCTACCTCGCCCGGACGAACGATGCCGCAGAGCTCTCCACCACTCTCGCCGCGCTCGCAAAAACCCATGCTACGTCTATCGCTTCAGTAGTATCGGCAGCCGTAGACCCAGACAGCAAAAACACACCATTGCACTACGCTGCAGCTAATGGTCATGTCGGCATGTGCCTTGTTCAGACCCTCACAGCAGGCTGGCGATTGCTGACTCTCTTCAGAAACTGTTACTGCTCTCATCACTCCACTGGCATCTTCTCCCGACAAGTCCCCCCTGAACCCCCGCAATTCCTCCCTCAACACGCCGTTACACTGGGCCGCACTGAATGGGCACTTGGCCGCTGTACAATTACTCGTCCAGGCAGGCGCGGATGCGGCGCTGGTAAATGCCGCTGGGCATGACTGTGTATTTGAGGCCGAACTGAACAATAAAGAAGAGGTGGTAGAATGGCTACTCAGAGAGGCAGTTGGGCTAGAGCAAGGATTTGTGGGCAAAGCAGGCGACGATAAGGAGGACGGAGGTGAGGAACAGGAGGTCGAGATGACTGTCAAAGCCGGGAACACGAGCACGGAAGTGGAAGTCAAGATGGAGGGCTTGAATGTCAATGGGACAGATAAAGAGGAGGGTGAACAAGGCTGAACAAACGAGGAAGCTAGGAGACTGACATGAAGCTCACGAGGAACATGCTGCTCTAAGTACTGAGCACGGCCTTCAAATATGCATTTCGTCCGCTGATTTCTCGAGTCCTTGTGCAGAGCTGCGAGGACGTCTTGATAGACCAGCGATCACCATCAGGGCTTGTCCGAAGTACTGCAACCACGAGCCTAACGCTGCCGACAGTTGTATCTAGGTGGTGTGGTTTTGGCGATGGTGTGAAAGGAAGAACGGGCATCGAACTGGCGTGTTTGTAAGACAGAACTGTGAAATGGCAATTTTACCCCCGAGCACGCGTGTCTCCAGACTTCCTCGGCTCCACAAATAACAGCGACAGCAGCTTTACAAGCCCGGGCTGTTGTGGTGTTGCAGGCGGAAACTAGCACTTCATTGACCAAGTCCGTGCTTGACGTCAGAGACCAATGGTGATTGGCTGTATAAGCTTAATTGAGGAAGGTAATTCTGACATTGTCGTTGAATGTCGGTATTAGAACAACAAATGCTGCGATTAGATAATCATTCTAGGGCGTGCATGGCTTTGCTCCAAACATTCTAGTGCGAAGCAGGCAACAATGTCAACGACTTCCTCGACGGTCGCGCGCACCCCAACAACAGCTCCGTGTTCACACTATCTGTCGGTCATGAGACACGGGCAGATTTGTTCCGCAGCCGGGTCTCTATGTTGTCTGCGTCGTCAGCCTCAGCTAAGGCGAATCTCTCGCTGCAAATCCTCCAATCACACGTCCAGTGTACCTGAACACAGCCTCAACCAGCCTCAAAAGGGCATGTGGTTCCTTGAAGGCTTGAAGCTTCACACTACCCCAGGCCAGCGACTCTACTACGTCTAGAGTCATAAGTAGACCGACGCTCGCTTATCCTTCTAGCGTTGCTTCTGGAAGGGCTACGCATGCATCCATAGACCTGTGTCTGTGCACCGGGTCGTAAGGATGAACATATACAGAGGAGTAAGTCGTCTCTTAAAGGGGCGTGTAGGCAATCTATGATCAAGTATCGGCCAAGGACTGACAAAAACACCACATTCCATGTCGATCTCTGGACCCTCTACCTCGATGCTAATATGACAGCCTTGAAACGACTCAAATCGCCACAGCAGCTGTGTATACAGTGCGAAAGACTAATATGGATTGTACTCAAGCGCAATGGCTTTCCCAAGAGCATGGTGACCCTTGGACAGGGCGTTAACCGGGTACCATGGGAGAGATGCGCTGTCTGCAGAACCATTGCACGCGAATGGCAAACTGCTCATATGTTGACACCCGCTAATATGACCATGGAGATCTTGGTGTTTCTTTCACCTACCCGAAAGTCGGTCGTGATCAAGATTCCCAGCTTAAAGAGCGCCTGTGAGTTTGGTTCGATAAAAGCCTCGACTAATCAATGTGAGCTTCTCCCGGTCCTACAGTGACAGGACATGAGTCGACCGATACTCAAGTGGTTTCCCGCTGCAAACTCAAAGCCTATCCAATGCTAATCCGCGCTGATCAGTAAATCTACTCACCGAATACATTCCTTGGAGATCCACCACGTATCTTGACAGTACTATAGCGACGATAAAGATGTGGATGTCGAAATGCGAAGCACATCCTGCTTGCCGCACGTCGATGACACGACTGCCCCGGCGGATACTGGATGTTCAGGCCGACAACAGATCTCGCTTGTGTCTGCTCGTCAATTCGTCTACGAAAGCTCAATACCTTGCCCTGAGCCATCGATGGGGCAGGAATAAGCAAGGATGTACAGTACGAGCAAACTACAAGCACAGACAGAGTCGTGTCGATGCTTCTCAGCTGCCGCATTCTTTCACAGATGCCATTCGAGTCACACGTCTACTTGGCTTCCGCTATCTATGGATAGATTCATTGGTAAGCATCTCCCCTTTCGTATGTTTTTCAGCGGCGTCCGAGGATGAGATATGACGGATGTTTCTTATATCATAGCTCCCTTTCTGTGCTCGTCGTATACTCTTATCCTTCATCCATCGCTCTAGCTTACATGTAATAGTGTATCATCCAGGACGACCTGAAGGACTGGGAAGAAGAAGCCCCTATGATGGGGACGATCTACGAAAATGCATATCTGACCATCTCGGCCTCAGAATCAACCGGCGATCATCATCACTTTCTAGAGCACAGGAGTACCCCCAGCCCGTTCTCAAAAGTCCACCTCGGATCAGCATACCAGTCCTATCCCGGCAAAGAGTTTGTCAAGATCAAGCACCACGAAGAAGTAGACTTGAACACCCTGCCAATCACTTCACGAGCCTGGGTCTTCCAAGAACGCTTCTTCTCCGTACGCACCGTCCATTTCTGCAAGTCCCAAGCACACTGGGAGTGCCAGTGCCGGATCTGGTCCGAGAGCGGACGCCAGAGCGAGTCGAACACAGGCGACAAGCTGCACTCCCTGAAGCAACGCCTATTCACCGCCACCTTCTGGGACTCGCACAACGACTGGCTCTCCCTCGTCGAGCGGTACAGCAGATGCCAAATGACGCTCACGCGCGACAAGCTACCCGCTATATCCGGCATCATGACCCGCATCACAGAGCAACACGACACGCATTTCATCGCAGGCCACATCATGCAGCCCACCGAAACCCTTCTCAAAAGCCTAGCATGGGGCAGCGCTGCCGCCACACCACTCCGCAAGCCCAGCACCCCCCGCTGCTCCTCCTGGTCCTGGGCCGCCCTGGACGGCAACATCTCCTTCTTCATCAAACACCCCTCCTCGCCCGGCCGCACCCTGTCCCATCTCCGCAGAATCTATAAATCGGGCGATATCACCCTCGCCGCTACCACTCACCTCCTCTTCCACGCTCGCACCGCTACTCTCCACGCCCGCCCCATGGACGCCTGGGAACTCCTCCAGCAGTCTCATCTCTGGGGCATATACCCCGGCTGGAGCCCCGAGGCCGACTGCAACGTGCGCTGTCACGGGCTTTTTGACGGTGTTGGGAAGGGCGATATGCTTGGCATGGCGCGTCTGGATGTTGACAGCAGAGAGACGGGCGATTTCGTCTGTCTGAGCCTGTTTGAGCAGCGCAATCCCGCGTGGCCGGACTTTTACAGGTGTTGGGTCTTGGTGTTGGTTCCTGCGAGTGGGCGGAGACTTTCTACGAGTGCTGTTGCTGTGGCGCCGGCTTATAGGAGAGTTGGGATTGGCTGTGTGTTTGACGAGCGTTGTGTGCGTAGGGCTCGGAGGAGGGATGTGCTGTTGGTGTAGATACTTGTGTGTATGTATGTATGTGTGTGTACTCTTTTAATCGTAATAAAGGATCATCAAGATCCCCCCAAGTGCTTCGTCTTCGCGCCAGCTGCTACATGTATCCTCCAACACCCCCAAATGTAATGATAATGAGATTTGTCTGATTAGATGCCAAAAACCTGGGTATTAATTAGAAGCCCCAAATCTCTGATTCTCAATTTCTCAATTCGTAGGCGCGGTAGATGGTGTATAATATAAATAATATAAGAACAACCTACCAGTCCTACCACTGCAACTACTATGTCTACAGCTACAGCTCCATATATACACCCTGTTCTATCGCACCATCCCCCACTAAACAATCCCCTATCACCTCTTCTACCAACTAATCTACTATCCCCCCCTCCACTCCCCTCCTACCAAAGAAAACAATCAAAAAAAAGGCATCTAAACTACAAACAACACCCATCATCCACTACCGCCCCTCATCACATCACATATGCTCACAAAGATACACACTCGCATCGCACCAACAAAACATAACGTAGTATCAGAGAACGTTTAGTTTCCTATTCCTGTTTTAATCTCAGTTTTCATTCTAGTTGTTCCATATATCTATATCTATATCTATATATACATACCTCTACATACCTCTATACATACATACGCACCTCCGTATGCCGCATGAGCTACGTACGATTTCAAAACACCCAACACAACTAAGTAGTCAAAACTACCAAAGAATCGCCGACTATTGCCTCATGTTACCTTTGCTATTTCTATTTCTAAATCTGTTGTGTGAAAGCTTTATATAGCTTCATATAGCTTTATATAGCTCGCGTGGCAACCTGACGTGTTCCGGTTCCTGAACTGGTTAAAATTGTCAAAGTCGCTGGCGAGATACACATCACACATCACACAACAAACATCAACACCACCCATCACACCTCATCAAACGCGACAGACAGCCACAAAAGCACGACACACGCACATCCCAGACTCCCTACACCGACGCAGGCACCCACGCCACAGCCACAGCCACGAAATGCAAGATAATGCCCATACAATAGAATCCTCCGACCCTCCTTCGATAACCCCCCTAAACCTCCTTTAAACCTCCTTTGAACCTCCTTTGATCACCCCCTGGAACACCTTTGACACCTCCTTCACTACTCCTCCGAGAGCCTTTGAGATACCCTTTGCGATACCCTTAGCGATACCTTTTGAGATACCCCTGGCAATGAGATATATATATATATACTGTATTGAGAAAGTATGGAGAGGGATACGGAGCGTTCAGACCGACCAGGACATCACCCATACACACACAACATCGTATAGCCTACCTTATCTACCCTATAATCTCCGTCTTCGTATGTGGTGTGGTATACAAGGGTACAAAGACTCACTACTCGGTTTCAAGAGACGCGAAGACATCCAGCAGAGAGTAAAGTGAATAATAAACTTTTTGTTGGTTTGGTAACCATACCGTATAGAAATCCGACGTGATTGAAACACACACACACACACACACACAGACACACACATCTGGCCAGACAGTCCGAAGTACCACATGGGGTCGGGGTATACAAGCAAGAGAGAGAGAGAAAGAGAGAAAGAAAGAAAGAAAGAAAGAAATAGAGAGAGAGAGAGAGAGATAAGAAACCATACATAAGACAGACAGACATATAGAACCACCCCTCCCACTCCCCCCAAACCACGTCCCCCCAATCATCCATCCCGCACAAGGACCCCCGTATGACGACCGAAGAATATAGCGCTGCTAATAGCCTCCACGCTCTGGTACCACAGATACGCGGACAGAGAGACGGGTGATTGGAAAAAAAGGAAACAGCAGACTTAATGCTGGTGAGCACGACCCTTGCAACATCCTGAATGCCGCCAAAAGAGAGGTTAGCCTAGGCCTTGCGCTTCTTGGGAGGAGGGGGGGAGTTTGAGGTCTTGCCCTTGCCAACAAGCGCGCGGATATCGACCTCCTCGCCCTCGGAATCGTCGTCCATTTCCTCGTCTTCGTCGAGCTCGGAGAGTTCCTCGTCGTCGAACTGGGATTGGGCTGCAATATGTTGTTAGTACGGGCCTTCCAGGTCACTGACCTGTGAGGAGGACGACTTACTGTAGTACTCAATGGCGTTAGGCCAGACGTCCTCGGCAATGATGTTCGCAATCTCCGCCCCAGCACCATGGACTTCGCTCAAGATATCAAGCTCCAGATCCTCGGCATCGACCATCTCTGGCTCCTCCTCTTTCTTGTCGACCTTGGGCTTGTTGCGCTCCTCGCGAGCCTTCTTTGTTGCCTCGGCGCTCTCCTCGGCGCTGATCCAGCGCGAGTCGCTCACGAAGCTGAACCAAGTGAAGAAGCTCAGCGCCTCATCCGTCTCGCTCTGCTCAATCACCTTCAACAGCTTCTTGAACTCTGGAATCTCGCTCTGCTTGGTGCCCTTGGCGGCCCCAGCGCGAGCCTTCCAGAGAGAAATCACAGCAGCGTTCAGTCCGTTTGTGAGGTCCTTGCCCTCTTTCCAGTCGATCTGCACAGGCTCGCTGACCAGGGTAACGTGGTCCTCGCTGCTGCGACGATACCAGAACTTCTTGTTCAACGTCTTGTTCGTGAAGTACTCATTCTCGGAGAAGGTAAAGGTAATGCTGATACTGCGGGGAGAGCCAGCCGGGTCATCAATCTCAAAGCGCGAGACGGACATGTCGGTCAGAGCATCGGCAAAGACCTGGCTGTCGGAGGGCTGGATGAATTGGTCGAGCTCGGGAGGCGCCTGTTCGAGGACCAACGCCCAGAAGGCAGGGATCTTGTCGATGATGGCCTTGCGCTTGATGTAGAGAGGCGCAAAGCGCTTGGTGGTTGCGCGGACTAGGTACAGGTTATAAAGGTTAGAATAAATCCAAAGCGGATGCGCAAAGCCATGTGTGGATATCAGAGCAAGAGTAGTATACGACTACAAAATGGGCTCGAGGAAAACATACTAATGTCGAGCTCGGCTTCCTCAAAGTCGTGCTCGATCGCCGCAAGCTCCTCGTAGCTAACATCAGGAGCTGTCTGCTCGACGTCTTCTTTGGTCATTTTTGCTTGGTGGTGTAGTGTGTTTGCGGATCCCTTTGTTATAGAAATGCGATGTGGCGGAAGAAGAGGCCTCTTCAAGTGTGAGTGGAGTGAGGAAGAAAGAAACAAAACAACAAGGGCAGTGGGATTTATATAAACAGCAGTTCGAACAAAAAAATGTTGGGCAAGAATAAAATGTTAGCAGGGATGTGCGGGACCGACGCCAGAGTGGATACCAGGGCTCTCTAACAATGCTAAGTAAGGCTCGCCGCGGATCCACAGTAAGTGGCCAATTGTGGAAGCCTCGATTCTAAGGCACGAAGTAAAGAGTCAACGTGAAGCCTGCTCAGCCTCGCAGTTTACTTACTACAACACACAAGTGCGACTGTTTCACAGTCATCAGCCGTGAAAAACAATGACTCTATCGCTCCACTAAGAATACATAGATGGTTACAAAAACCCTTAGCCCTCGTCTTTGGGAAGACGTGTATATATTTCCTCTTCAACCTTTGCTCTGCCTTTTCCGGCCTTGATATCACAAAACTCCCCTCCCTACTCAATTCCAGACATATATAAAAAACTCCAAGCTATCAATACAAGAAGAGTCCCCCGCCCGCCATGGGCGGCCAACTATTCTGCTCCGGCCCAAATGCCCTCAACGTTCCCCGGCTCGCGCCAGACTTATATCAAAAGCTCAAAGCCCAATACACAGACCTCCTCCGCCAGTATTACTCCAAAGTCACAACTCCCGTCGAAGCCCCCGGAAAAGCCTCCCATGGCGACATCGACATGATGGTCGCCTCCCCACTCCACGACCTTGCCCCTCCCACCCTCGCCGCCATCCTAGACGCCGCCCGCCACTCCACCAGCGGCCCAACAACCTCCTTCGCCGTCCCCCACCCGGAAGACCCCACAGGCCACGTCCAGCTCGACGTCCACGTGTGCGTGCCCGAGCACCTCGCCTGGGAAGCATTCGAGCACTCGTACGGCGACCTCTGGCAGATCATCGGCGTCTGCATCCGCCCGCTCGGCCTCACGACCACGAACAAGGGCTTCTTCCTGCGCATTCCCGAGCTCGAGCACACGGATCGCAAGGGCAGTCTGATCTTCCTGACCGAGGAGCCGTCGGAGGCGTTGCAGTTTCTTGGGCTTGATGCGGCGGCGTACGAGACGGGGTTTGCGACGGAGGAGGATTTGTTCGCGTGGATTGTCGATGCGGGGTTCTTTGGTGTGGAGGAGTTGAGTACGAGGGACAATGCAAAGGATCGGCAGAGGAGGGCGAAGAGAGAGATGTTTGTGCGGTTTGTGGATGAGTTTGTCGGGGCGAGGATGGGCCAGTTGAGGGTTTCTCCGGGGCCGGAGTGGACGCGGGATGCTGTGCTGGCGAGAGGTCTCGAGCGGTTCGGCAGGCGAGAGGAGTATGATACGAAGATGGCTGGGTTTTTCAAGCACGAGAAGGAAAAGGCGTTCTGGGCAAAGGCGGCTCGTATGGTTCCTGTTGACGAGGGCGAGAAGTTGAATCTCGTTATGAGAGGGCTAAAGCGATGGGTGTCGTTTGAGCAAGACGAGGCCGTCATCAATGCAGAAGCTGACATGAGTGATGACCCGGTATCGAAATGGGCGAATGCGATTGATGACATCGGTGAAGAGAAGTTACTCGCTTGGATAGAAGACAACTGGGAAGAGGTAAGAACAAAGGAGAAGAGTAGAGTAAAGAGAGCCAAGATGGAACGGGCGGAAGTGCGAGGACTCACACGTTCTGGCGAAGTGAAAAGCGAAGATTGACAAAGGAGAACTGTACTCTCATCAGTAATACCGTGAGTAATCAACGCAGTCCTTTTTACCATCACGACCCAAGGACAGATGTTGAAAGACCGAGAATTCTCATATGGTACAGGCAAAAGATACATCCATATACAGAATTTGCGTCGTATTAGTACAAGATGCTCAGTCCGTGGTCCGTCCGCACAGGCGCTCCATGGTCTAGTATGGCAGTCTCCCTACCAGCTACTCTACCTCCTCTTCTTACTCTTCACCTTCCGCGCCCCCGTACCCGTAATTCCCGCCCTCTCATTCTGATATCTCTCCAACACACCCGCCAAAGAACCACGATCATGCTTCTTATTCCTGCAAAAAAGTAAAAAAAAAAAATATTAGCCAAACTCCACGTGCCTGATAACAGACCACATACCTCATGTAGTACAATCTCGCTCTCCTTGCCCGCTTCCTCGCCCTCTCCACAACCTCAATACCCGACACGTTTGGACTGAAGATCTTGAAGCTCATCTCAACACCAATCGCCGTCAGATGGTTCCGCAGCAGTATTGATGTATCAGCACCTATCCTACCCTCCGCCGCGTCTATACCGCGCTTGATGCTTATGCAGACGCCGACGAACGGATCGCCGTTTCGTAGCTTGACGAGCAGGACATCGCCGACATTGGCGTGCTCGGGGTAGGAGCGACTGAAGAGGCGTTCACGCTGACCGAGGGGATCAAGAGCGGCGACTTGCTGCTGGTTCCAGGTAATGGTAGGCGTTGGGCAGCGCAGAGCTTCGGAAACGGGGGGATTGTGGATTTTGATCTTTTTATGCTTTGGTTCTGGGGCAGCTGGTGCTGTGATGAGAGGAGGACGTGTCAGTAATGGGTATATATGCGAAGAGCAGCCTAGTACATAGTTATGGCCATGGAAAACGTACCCTCTTTCTGCCAGAAGCCCTGCTTCGGAGGCATGTTCTTCCCGATCATGAGATCCCATCCATCGATCAGGGCGGGATTCTTTCGTATCCGTTCATGCCTGTATCTCTTCTGAGCTGTACAGTGCCGTAGTGAGGCCTTGAGACCAGCCAAGGGCCGCGTCGATGTGCGAAAGAGGTCCATGGCTGCTCAATTCAAGCTTAACCACGATGTTCACCACGCGCGACCTCGAAACGAAAGTTCGACGCCAAGGAAGTGGATGAATCAGCCGGTTCCTGGATCGGGTGCACTAGCCACAGTTCCTCTGCTCTCACGCCACAAATCTGTTTAGACTGCCACCGGCTTTCGCCCATTGGGCATAGCTTATGATGCACGATATGAAGGTAATAGTCAAACATATTCATCTCCGCGGACAAGTAGAATTCTGCACTTTAGGCAAGTGGTGTGACTAGGATCCGCATCGCCCTGTTTAGCTGAGCTATGTATGGGCGGCGCATGATAAAAGGTCGCTTGTCCACTTCGCTCTAGACATTCAAAAGTTATTCCTCTGTTGTGTCTTCTTGTGCCACAGACCATTTTTGAACGCCAACAATATCGAACAGTATTTGCGATATATTTTATCCAAAGTATACGCTCACTCAAGTTCTCGCTGGACCCTGACCACACCTTCGAAATGCCAGGACGCTGAGTTGAGTGCCCGGGTATCCGCTGTACCCGCAAACCCATCCTCTTTTGCTCGAAACGCCAGTTGGGCATGTTTGAAGTCCCATGCTTAATACACTTCTTCATTGACTCCCAGACGACGCCACCCCTGCTGATGACCTCCCCAAAAGTCTAGGTTTGAGCTAACAGCTGCTCTGAAACTGGAAGATGTCTGGAACAACTTCACTCGCGGGTGTTTTAGGTTCGTCCATCCATGTCAAGCCATTTGCAGCTTCTTCTGTCGGAAAAACTTCCCTGGCGTACTCTTCCAGGTCTCGATAGCCTTCCCACAGTTGCAACGCAAGCTTCGTACAGTCCGGCTCGAGCTCTGGTCCGAAGTATGGTGCTCCCTTCTTACCAAGTGTCTCTTCCAAGGCCTGTAGATGCTCACGATAACCGATGGGTATAGAGACTTCTATGCTGATAGGCCCTCGCACGTATCTCACAGGGCGGCCTACGCCTCGAGCAAACGCTCGACAAACCTGTTTTGGAGTGAGATGCTGGTAAGCAAGAGGTATACTGAATAGAATTAGTATTGAGCCAGTCATAATGGCCTTGCGCATTCGATGCATGCCACAAGTTTCCGATGAATACTTACCGTGCACCGTTGAACTTCCTTGGACCCTGTTTGAAAATCTGGAGAATTGCAGGCCCAATATCATGTTCCGAGTCAAGCCATGGGAGGAGGTGATCTGGATGGAATGGTGCTTGCCATACGAAACTCTCCTCGTCCGGCTGCAGTTCCATACGGAAAAGAGGAAAATTGAGACTGGTGAAGTTGTTGTGGTAGATTCCGCAGTATACGAAGGTTGCCGGTAGACCAATCTGCCGGATATAGTTCTCGATGGTGAACTTGTGCGCCCACAACGGAAGTTCTTTCCAGCCCTGGTTGTAGATTGAATGATCAGGCATACTACTGTAGATATAGTGCTGTACACCAGCCCTTTTTGCGGCATCTGCAAGCGCACGACCGAGAGCAACCTCGTCTCCCCAGTGGGTGGTATTTATAAAGGCAACATGGGCATCCTTGAACAGGTCGGCGACATAGTTCTTGTCCTCGAGAGCGCCTTTGATAAGAGTCACGCCTGGCAGGGCCTTGAGTTCCCTCGCCACGATGCCGTCGTCGGTATGTATATGACCGCGGACAGTCCAGCCTACGGCAGAGGCGACACGGATGAAGCTAGCCGACTGCCGACCCAAGCTGTTGATAGTAACGACATTTTTCGCGGCCATGGGAGAGAAAGCCCCCGAATCGACTGGAAGGGAACCCATTCGGGCTTGAATGCAGGACCGAACGAGACTCTGATAAAAGATGGGAAAGCAAAGAAAAGAGCTACTGCACGAGAGTGGTGGTGATGAGAGCAAATTTTCACTTCTTTTTTTCCACTTTTTGGGAAGACAACAGTCGGATAGTATTGACGGGAGGCGGGAGCCAAAATGGTTCTTTGAGGATTTAGGAACTATGTGGCCAGGAGGTGACGGCGCTATCCGGATTTAGATTGTGGAATGAGAGCTGCGGTTGGGCAAAGTGAGCAAGCGAGAGGAAACGCAGTCCTGGGGGAGCTCTGCGGAATGTGGGGAAGCTGGAAGTGAAGCGCAAAGAAAAGGCTGGAACAGTTCGAGGACACAACAGCAAGACTGCAGTGAAGTAGAGAACGTTAAGGAATGTTGGCGGTCGATGGCTGTGTGTCCTGGATAGAGCTGTTCACTTGTGATGCTGAACCAAGTCGTGAGCAGACGGAACAAAATAGCCGAAACCCAGTCCCTTTAGTCGTTCGTGTATTGGCTTTACCCTGGAACAACAGGTGAATCCTTTTGCCTTGAACGGATGGAAGACAAGGCCTGGTAAAAGGTTCAGGAAGGTCACTAGGAAAACGTTGACGAGTTTGAGCAGAGATGGGTATGCAAGCCTATCAATGGCAGCTGACTGGCGGGAGTGTGGTGGTTGAGCGAGTGGCTCGTAGGGGGGCAAGACGCAGCTTTGACCCAACTGACTGGTACACGGATAAGAGGCGCGATGGGGATTGGAAGGCGCAGGTGTAACGGGTATAAGAGGCCGTCTGTCGGGTGGAGCTCTGGAACGATAGATGGCAAATGTGAGTCTTGTTGGTGCGGTGAGAGGTAAGGAAAAGGAAGGGAACGGTCAAGGTTGGAGGATGCGGCGCTGCGACACAGCTCAGGCGCTTGTGCGATGGCGTGAACAAAGTGTGGTGGTAGGTATTATATGGTTGGAAGTTTGTCCGTGGTGGTTCGTGTATCAAGGTTCTGCAGCAGGTGTAGGGGCAAGCAATGGGATGATGGATGGATGGATGGATGGTAGCTGGGCCTGGCGGGAGCTTATCCGGGGAAATGAGGAAGAAGAGGAGGAGGAGCAGAAGGAGGTTGTGGTCTCTCCAGTGTATCAGGCGGTGGATAGTGAGAAGAAGCTTAATGGCTAATCAACTAGTCCAAGCCAGAGAGCGACAACGGACAGATGAGAAGAATGGGAGACGGGTAATTGGAAGTCAAGGAGAGGAAGAGGGCAAGCCGGCTAGGTGTGTGTGTTCTGGCATCTGGCCATCTGGCATCTGGCAATCTGGTATCTGGTATCTGGTATCTGGTATCTGCATCTTGCGCGTGGCATTGGCATTATCATCATATTATCGAAGATCACCCTGGAGGGCGAGTAGGCGTGGCACGAACACGACGATGATGTGTCGACAAGTTCTTAAAGCGTTTGCGTGCGACTCAACAATGGACCGGGTGAGGTTGACTGGGTGCAAAAGGGCCCAAGACCCAGGACTAAACCAACACGGTCCTCGCGCCTATTAGGTAATAGTGGCCCGACTATGGGGATGAGACGTATGAGTGTAGAGGCAGAGTATTCGCTATTATTCACAGCGTCGCGTGTAGATTGGACAACAGGACTGACTGAATGGATGGATGGATGGATGGCACACAAGATGGCGTGGCGGCACTGCAACTGCAACTGCAACCTGGCTCGCAACCAGCATCTCCGCGGTGCAGAAGTCATCCATTGCAAGGGAACAGGGCTAATTCAATCAATTATATGGATGAGCAGGATCAGTGACGTGACGTGACTTGATGTGACGTGACGCCAGACTCGATCGAAGAACTGTGCCCATTTGATGCTGCAAGTAGGAGGCGGCGGCGGCGTGTACGGAGCAGAAACAACTTCGTTCCAATATCATCACATCATATTATATACTGTATTGTATAATTAATTAAATGAACAACAGACACAGAAGAACAATATACTACTACAGTGTACGTCGACGTCACCGTTCGCCCGCAAAGGGACAAATTGGATGCATGGAATCATGCACAGCGACCTAAAGCATTATTAATTTTGCTGATTTTGCTGCAGGGTCTGCTCAGCTGGTCATGCCTGCTGTGCGGTGCCGTGCTGTACTGTGCCGCAGCCGTGCTGTACTATGCTTGCCCTGCTACACGTAAGCTACCACGGATAGGGCCTGAGTTTGTCATGCAACTAGCAATCACCCTAAACCCGGTCAAGAAATTACTCTTAACCCGGAGTATATAATCTAGAGACTATGTTGCTACTGCTCGCAGGCAAGGTATCACAGTAGTCGGCATGCTGCCATACGTACCAGCATCAACACACATCTAGGAAGAGATAGCTGCAGCAAAACTGCATTGAAGACCTCCCTCTCAGATATATCTTTCCATATATAATTACCCTCTCAGATATATCTTTCCATATATAATTACCCGCTCAACGGTCCGCTTCCATGGCAAGGCCTAAGATATAAATCGGACTGAACCAAGAGCAGATGATCTTAGAGACGAAAGAAGCACAATCTCTTTACAAGTCTTCCTGCTGAATTTGTCACGTACCCCTTCAAGCTTATTCATTCGGACAAGAAACTCGACTATGGACATCTACAACGCCTGTTTTCGCAGCATTGTTCTAACTGCTAAACACTTCCACTTTGACAGCGTCTTCGACTGGACTGTACTAGAATTCCTGGAGGAGCAGGACGCAGAATACACCGGGATCAGAACAAGAGTAGAGCTGATTCCCTCAGCTGGCTTTGTGATAAGGAAGATTTCGGGCCTGACGCAGATATGATTATGGACTCCTGTGGTATCCCAACCGGACAACTTCAGTCTTCTCAGTGTGCTGTGCTTGCGCACCAGGTACTTCCACTCATATTCAGACACGAGCACACCCTCTTCACGTCGATCTTCTTCTCTTCCTCGAGGAGATTGATTGTGCTCCGACACATGGGAGAGAACTACGGCTGGCTGGTCCGAATACACAACCTCACCAGCAACGTCATCAGTAACTGTTCCGACCATTTTGCCGTCACTGCTACTCGACTAATTGAAGGCGATTTGGAAGACCTAGGCGACAACGCGTCCTCGATTGCAGCATACTTGTCGAACTATAGGCTAACGGTGCTCCAGATGATCAACCCTTGAATTCCATCTTCCATCGTAACATCGACAATCGATACTATATCCCTACGCCAATAAAAGCCATGCGAATCTAACTCATACGACACAATATACACAACGTCCTATATCTGCGGCATCTTCAGTATATACAACATTGCCGATTCTTTGCAGGAAATTAACCGCTCTATTTATGTGGTGCCCGAATTACCTCACCTGCAGCTGTCTGTCTAGCTCCGCCCAACTCTTTCAACGTCGCCCTCGCGTCCGCTCGGTACCGCAAGAGGGGGCGTGAGGAAATTTCTCTGCAAATTCCCATAATTACCTGTCGTGCACTGTCCCGGTCTCGGACGGGACCCATCCATCAACGGGGACTCGATCCTTCTGTAATTACCCTACAGTAATTTATTTTCCCGTTGAAACAAAACCATAGAACAGCGAAAAAAGCCCTGCTCTCTCACAGCCACAACCCTGCACAACAAAAGATCTCACTCCTCGCCGACAACGACGCCTGCATCGGCCCACGAGCTGCCAATCCCGTTCTCTGCATGCAGCCGCGCCGCCGGCATCTCGTCAAAGTGCAGATGGGCCCCGGCTTCCTTTAGCACGCGGACGTGCTCTGCCTGGCCTGCATGCGCGGCCAGATACAGCGGCGTATGGCCCTCGCGATTGCGCAGGTGCACCGATGCCCCGGCCTTCAGGAACTCGCGCAGGATCTCGACGTTCGCGCTGGTTGCGGCTAGATGCTGTATTGGCAAAAAAAAAGAGTGCGCGTTAGCTAATGTTACGCTGTGCGTGGTGCTTTTGCGTGCTTTGTGTGTTTAGAAAAAAAAAGAATCTATTTCCATCCTTCCATGCTGCTGGCACGCCTAGCCGTGTGGGATTGCTGACTCGCGCCATTTCGCTCTCGGCGTGCCGTGTTTGCGACTCAGGTATATTGTCAAGGCATGAATACTCGGGCCGTACGTGCGGACGTGCTTCCGTGGGTTGCCGACTTCGGTGTATGATGCTCGTTGTAGCTCCGGTCGACGGGCTGATCGCGGGGTCAATTGCCGGCTTGTTACAAGTCCGCAAGTATCATGGGTTTATCGAACCACTCTTGCGTCAACAAGCCCGCAGATGACCGTTCGCTGTGATCCAGACCCGGGCAATCGGTTCAGTGTGCAACTTACCATAACGGCTCCCCAGCAATTGCAGCATGCTCAAATAAGAGGGGTACTGATTGAAGTGGAGGAACTCACCATGGGCGTATTCCCCGAATAGTCCGCATCATTCAATAGAAACCTTGGCTCGCTCCTGATCACCTCCCTAGTAGCCTCCATGTCACCTCTTTGTATGGCATATCCGAGCGCTGATAGATTGGTGAGCTCGGGCGTGAGACTGCCGCCCTTGGGATGCTGGAAATGAGTGCGGGATACCTCTGTCAGCTCTCCCCGTAGGGAGACCAACATGTCCTTTGCTACCTCTTCGGGCGTCGTATTCTCCTTTGACAGCAAGTAGATCAGCTTTGTCAGCGCTGCCTCGGTGGTCATATCTTGCCCGAAGACGACACCGGCTCGGCCCAAGATCGTTGCAGGCGCGTACAAGGGGCTCACACTGCCGCTGAGACACTGTGTGACATTGACGATGACGATGCCTCGTTTCACCGCCTCGGCCAACACTTTCGTAAACGCGGAGTCGGGTCCGCCGGGTGTGTTTCCTGCTCCGAACGTCTCGAGGACGAGGCCCTTGAGGCCCTCTATTCTCAACACTGCATCGACCATTTCTGGTTTGATGCCGGGGAATATTCTCAAGCAGGCTACATGTGCTGTCATGAGATTGCATTGGATGGTAAAGGACTGCATCCCGGTCGGCCGATATACATGGTTCCACAACACGTTCGTCCGCAGGGACGTGATGGTAGCGAGAGGAGGCATATTCGGGCTTGCGAAAGCTGCGTAATCATCGGCTGACACTTTTGTCGAGCGATTTCCACGGAACAGCTTATAGTTGAAAAAGAGGCAAACTTCCGGTATCATGAAGTGGCCAGCAATGATCAGTGAAGTCAGCAGGTTATCCGTGGCATCATTTTGAAGCTGCATGATCGGTGCCTGTGAGCCCGTCAAAATAACCGGCTTGCCCAGATTCTCAAGCATGAAACTTAGTGCAGAGCACGTGTAGGCCAGTGAATCTGTGCCATGTAGGACGACGAAGCCGTCGAAGAGTTGATAATTCCGGTATATCGCTACCGCGATCTGATCCCATCCTGCCGAGTCAATGGAGCTGCTGTCGAGCAATTGCTCAAACTCCAGAATCGAATAGCGAATACGACGCTCGTATGAGCTGATGGGTGTTCGTAGACTTTGTACGGCCTTACGCGTACCCTTATCGTCAGTGACAATTTCCAGGGGCTCTGGATATGATCCGTCGTTGAACGATGGTCGCGGGGCCAGTCCAGATTGAAGGAAGCCTCGAGCCTGTGTAAACTATGTAAGCCTGATTTCGTAGTCGAAAACAATTTGACTTCTATCTCATACGGGAACCAGACCGTCCTTGGACTTGCGCATCATGATTGTCCCCCCTGTAGCTATGATAAGCACCCTTGATTCGGGACAGAATATATCTGGTGTGAGGTCGTCCATGATGGCTACAGGCCTGCGCTTTTGTAAGAAGCTTTGCTGTTATGGTCAGAACGTATGACACTCTTTCGTGGCACTCGAGGTACGATTGAGGCTTTCTGACACGAATATGACCGCAAATGCGTCAGTGCGTGTGCTAGGTATGTAGAATGACGAGAATTTATGCGTATCTGTCGCGTTGCAAGTAGTAAAGCCAAGTGACAGGGAGGACACCAGCCCGACACGTGAGAGGCAGTTGAACACACGAGAAGATGCTCGAATGGATGGTCTGAAGTCAAAAAAAGTATGCAGAGGTGATAGAAGAGAGAAATTCCTGTTGCGTTCAATTCCCTCGTCCGAGGAGCGGCAGCGTTTCTCGGTGACCCACCCGATTCGCGGGAGGTTGGTCCCACTGTCGCGGAGCTCGTCTCGAACTCTTGAGATCGAGGGCACCAGCAAAACCATGAAACACACTCGGATGCTTGCACGCAGAGTCTTCACAGCAACAACAGCATTCGATTCCATGGAAATATTGCATTAGATGGCCTTTTAATCCAGGCGGTTCGTAGGCATCCATCCTTACTGTTCGTGGCTCGATGCCCCTAACATAATTACCCCATAGGTTGTTTTAGGGTTGAGCGAGGAGTTATATATTCGATACAAGTCGTCCTTCCATGCTTTGTACATTTCTCGGTCCTTTGGAGAAGCTCATTGACCTGCGCCGCATTTGTCTGCGGTATGCAGACGTCGCTTTTGTGCCATGGTCGCACAGACACAAGATTGCAGGCTTCCTCTTTATGTTCGCAAGCTGATGCCGCCCAAGACGCATTATTCTAATCATCGAAGAATGCGGTCTGCAGAGCAAGTTTCGAGGATAGTGTGAGCTGTTGTACAGGATTCGGGTAATTAGCCGAACACGGCATTCCTATATCGTTGACTCTAAGCATGTTAGCTTCTGGTAAGCTGGATACACTGTCTCCATCTGATGATCCACAACCCAATAAGCTTCAAAGAATGGTATGAGCCCTGCTAAGGCTTCTCAAACTTAGCGCTTAGGGCAATTCTGCGAGCGACCTCGATGGCACGAGACCACCAGGAGGTAAGTTAAAAGGCAATTCAGCTGGTGGAGCTTCCTTGGCGTTGACCCTGCCGCCACCAGGAAGTTCAATCCTAGGGGTCAGAATACCAGACCCCATAAGCTCCGACACAAGCAGAATGTCAGTAGCAGGTACAGCAAGCTCTTGAACCATCGATGGCTGACTAGAGGGATGAATGTAAAGTTCCCCTTTACCGGTAAATTCGAGCTGAAGGGACTTCTGCGCACACATTATGGTGGCAGTCACTGATATATCATCATAAAATCTGCGGAGCATGGTACTGGTGAACGAGCTCGACTTGAGAATCAAGGTATCTGGCGGTAAGACCCTTCTCAAGTCAACTTGCTCGGTAATGCGGACCGGAAAATCTTTAAGGTTCGTGTGGAATTTAACATACGGGTCTGTTTCCCGTGTGACAACAGAGTTCGGGTCTTGCCGATTGGTCAAGTCTTGGCTGATTTCCATGTTCTCGCGTATCCGAATAGCAAGGTCAGTGAGCCACACTGGCGGCAGCTCTGAAGTCGTCGATCTTTGGAAGTCATACTCAACTCCTATCAGAAGCGGAAGCGAACTGCCCAGAGTCGCGTGGGAGGGCATTTGGATCGTTATATCCATATGAACGATGGGCGTCTTGGTGAAAGTCAACCGTTTCATAGCCTTCTTCAACGAATCGCTTTCCATATAGGGCTTGTCCAGGTGGTGGCTCTCAATCTCTGCGTGTCTAGTCACATTATACAACCCTGCCTCAGGTAAGGGATACCAGCTGAACGGCGAAACCGTAATCTCAGAAGCCTCCCTACGCAAGCAGTAGCCTTGCCATGAAAATACCTGTGCCTCGACCTCATATACTACTCTTGTAACACCCGACCACTGGCTTGTTTGACCGCAATGTGTTGTTGACGGAGGAAGGCAGTTGCTCGTTGGCGCAAATTTATGACGGCTCGGGAACATGAATTGGAACGGAAGCACGTAGTGTCCAGTCGTGGCATACTGGCCTGGACTCCATGTGCAGATCGTTTTATGCTCCTCGAGGAGCCGAGTAACGCTGTTACCGGGGTATGAGAGCCGTACGCTTGCAGAGTTCAGCTGTCTCTGGAAGAGTCGTATCTCTGAACGGCCACTGAGAACTACGTCGATTCTTGCGGTTTGTTGTGCAATATCTGCATACACATTGAGCTTTCTTCCTGTGCCAATTATTGCACAGCTGTGCGAGCTTACTATGGTTAAGTTCCACTCGACAATTCCCCGCTACAATGTCACCAGGCGAGAAGAAGGTTCGCCCGGCTGGCCTGATAAACTCGAAATGTATCGAGTTCATGACGATGAGTGATAATCCGTAAATCGTAGGCTGCGAAACGCTGCATTATACGGTAAATTTGGGCGGCCTCGCTGTGCCCGTATGAAATAAGTCAACATCATCTATCGAGAAGCAGAGAGCTTCGGACTCCACTCGCAGTCGGTTAGGCCCGGCTTGGCATACGAAATCGGCTTGGCATTTCAAGTCAATACACTCTTAGGATTATGTACGATCGTGAATAGATGAGTTGTATTTACAGTATTCTCTAAGGTAGTGTTACATGCATATGTCTATGGGGTACCCAACATCTATAACCCAACAATTACATCTATCGCGGTGACATTGAAAGGATCGCCTCTTATTATACATAGGATCCAGGTGCCACTTACCATGGCCATTATGCCACTTTTCTCACCACCGAGCCCTTCGAAGATTCGTCCCGGCGAGTGTTGTTCAACTGAGTGCCATTCCTAGGTTGTGAGGTATTTAACATCAATCCGGTCTGGGGACCAGTGTTTGCTCTTTTCCTATCGTCAGTCACAAAACTAGTTTTGACCTCAACATTCTCGTTCGCCAAGATTCTGGATATATCTTTCGCGAGTATGTCGGCGATTGGATAATCAGATAGGTAGATTCTTTTGTTTTCCGGGGTATCGGGGCTCAGATTGTACGCGGATATACGACTCATCTCTCTGAAGCACATCGTCAAAGCCTAAACCTGTCAGTACAGTGTTGCTATCATCGGAGCTGCTGTCCTTACACGATCAACATCCTCTCGAAACCTGCAGATAGTTGAGAATGCTTTACTAACTCTGTCCCCTTCCTCTGTTGTGGGCTTCACGTATATGCCTAGCCACTCACCGATTGTCAGCTTGTTGAAGGCTCTCTTGTTGCGCTGCATCTCGCCCCCGGAGAGTAGAACGTTGAGTGGCGTAACCTCCGTCAATTTGTTGATATGCAGTTGGTCGTTCGAAGATTGGTCCGCTTTGGATATCGACGAGTAGGTGAACATGGTCGATCCCAATTTTACCGTCTCCTGGCCTCTGAGCAAATATGGGTTCAATAGTGACTTCGGATGCACCATCACCTTGTCCGACAACCGATTCTGAAACCAGTTGCCGCGTGTATGCATGGCCAGATTTGGGGTGAATCCGGCTAACGCCACTGTCTTGAGCATAGGAACGATGAGGCTGTTCTCGTTCAACTGCCTTGCCCCAAACCAGTATCTATACCGAGCATATGGAGGCGTCTTCGGAATCAAACCGTGCATTACAAGAACGTCCTCAATCTGCTCGGCAACGCTGTGAATGTGCGTGTAGGCGAGTTTACTCAGGAAATGCTCATGCGCGAATCGACCTCCTCTGTGCTCTCCAGTAATGGCAATAGTACGCCGCAGATGCTTGAACGCACTAACTTCAGCGATATGCTCACTACCTCTACCATCAAACCACTTTCGGTGAGCGACTCCCCATTCGCGCCGAGCCCCGGTAGGCGTCATTAAGAGGGGCCTTGAATTAGACAACGCAGCCAGGATCAAAATCGGATCAAGGCATCGGAATAAGACGGCCCATATGATCATCTTGCCGTAAGCTGGCTCTACGGGAAGATCAGCCAGAAGCTTTCCCAACGACGTAATACTCTCATCGTGGTTCAACGCTCCGAGTTGTATTAGTCGATCGACGGCTATCTCAACATCCGCAGACTTTGGGGGTTGTATCATTCCTTGCAGAAACCCAGCTATAGTCCCAGTGATATCATGGGTCTTTACTCTTAAGCAAACATCTTGAAGATCCGCGCGAAGAATTTGAGGCGTGCTCGTCACCTGCAGACTGTCGAGACGCTCAGTACTGTATAAGCCATAGTAGTTTCCGTTTTGCACACGCCCAGCTCTTCCAGCTCGTTGCTTTGCGTTTGCCTTACTAACCCACACACACTGGAGGGCTCTGATTCGTGACTCGACATCATAATGCATCTCGCGCATCTTTCCTGAGTCTATAACGTGCTGGACATCCGGGATAGTGACAGAGGTTTCGGCGATATTGGTTGCCAGTATAATTTTCCTACATCCATCTGGCACAGGGTCGAAAACCGTGGCTTGATCCGCCAAAGGAGTTTGGGAATTAAGAATAGAGACTTTGAACTTCGCAGTATTCTTGAAATCGAGTCCAAAGATTGGCTTTGCGGTAAGCAGGCGTTCCGTTTCAAGTTGCTCGGCATGCCCAGGCAGGAAAACCAGTACGGCGCCAGTATGAGTGCTCTTGGCTATATGCGCAACGGTAGCAGCAGCGAGGCCTGTAGGTATCAATGCCTCTGCACGATCGACCGACTTATCTTCCGTATCGAGCCTTTGCGACAACTTAGGCATAGCCTGGTTCTTTGCAAATGCGTATTCGCTCTCCAGATACGCTTTGGTAGTTCGTTCATCCAAGAGTCGGTAAAGGTCCGAGCTATAAGTGCTGCCATATTCGGTTTTGAGTAGATTGTGAATTTCATGCAGATATTGGTTTCTCACGGGAAACAAGCGACCAGGGACAACGATGGACGGACATGGGACCATTTCGCCAGCCAAATTTTGCACCTTGAAATAATCTGCAAATAGTTCTGTGTCCATGGTCGCACTCATGAGTATAAGTTTGGGGACAGGCTTTCCCTCTCCCTGTCGTTTCTGGAAGCTCTGTTTTAGTACAACAAGGAGGAAATCCAGGATCATATCTCTTTCGTGGACTTCGTCAAGGACAAGATGGGATATCTTATCGAAAACCGAATCGGGGTCAACCTGGAGCTGTTTGAGCAGCAGGCCAGTTGTGCTAAACAGTATACTTCCGTTTTCCCTTGGGGGCTTCACATTGAAGCGTACTTGATGTCCTATCGTATCTTGATACTTCTCATGGCGCTCCTCAGCAATGCGTTTAGCAACGGATATCGCCGCAATTCTTCGGGGCTGCGTACATATTATGTTACACCGAGTTCCTTGCCCGGATTCTATTGCAGCGTCCAAGATCATTTGAGGCACTTGAGTTGTTTTCCCAGATCCCGTCGCTCCAACGACAATACTATGAGAAAATTCGGATACGATGTCCATTATCTTGGAACGGTGTTGATTGATCGGTAGCGCGTCTCTTTTTGTACGCATCTCGGACGTCGCTTCGATGTTACGATAGTTCTCAAGACGTACTTTCAGGTCATTGTTGCGAACGTCGTCGCTTAGCATCGGACGCGCTGAAGTATGCCATTTGTACTCAGCGCTTTCCAGTCCTGGTGTGCTTGAGGATTGTACATGTGTCTCCTTGAGAAGCCCTGCACTCCTTAGTCTCTCTGATAGCTCCTCCATTGTAGATAGTAGGTCATGGCGTGGCGTAAGTACGATGTCACGGGGTTGGCGCAAAATTACTCCCTTGTTGTTGCGTAAGGTAGACTCAAATAGTTTCCGAAGCCCGTCCTTTTCCTGACACCAAGCGATCGCTCCAGTTAGGAGAGCGGCGTTTCGGGCATCATGCTCTGTGCGCAAAGATACTTTGTTACCAAGTTTGCTTGACTTATTAAGAAAAGCTTCTGCTACCCATGCGTCGTGAGGCTTCCTTGATGAATCAGGAAATTCTTGATAACTCACTCTCCGAACATCAGCAGTCAGCAGGGAGCGAAATTCATTATTAGCGAAAGTCACGAACTGGTCAATGGTAGAAAGATTCAGGGTGTAAGGATCTTCCATTGACGGGGGTTTTTGACCGGTCTGCTGGAAGTATTCCTGGATTTGCTTTCCAAGATGCAGAGCAGCGCCTTGTTCAGCGGCCCACGTAGTTTCACCCAAGCCAATGGCGGTTATACCTTGTTTCGCAAATTCAATTCTCGTTTCCCACAGCTCTTGTATGTGAGCTGCTGTAGCGCGTCTCATCGTGTCCTCACTCGGCTTCTTCGTTACAATGTTTGGCAATGTATCCAGCTGGGCAGCGTATTGATATACGTTTACAAGCGCCGGTTGCATACCGTTCGTATCTTGCATCCTTACGAAAGGTATCTCAGTGAAGTGCGTTAGGAGCCCTCTTTCGTGCAAGAGGCAGAGCAAATGCAGATTCATAGCGCTGCGTGCATCTTGCGTGTTGGGTCCTTCGCCAATGAGATGTAGTTGTTGGTCGTCCCAAGTCTTGATCGTAGCCGTGAGTTTGATTTTGCGCTTTGCATTTCGTTTATTGGTCTCTTTGTTTTGTAGTTCGATTATAAGTTTGTCATGGTAGTATTCTGCTACGAGCTGGTCAAGCGGCTTTGGTAACAATATCTCTTTCAATGTCTTGGGACCCAAATTGGGATATCTTTCAGTAGTTGGGACAGTGAATCTTGCTTTTACAGCATCTCGCGTGTAGGTCGTCGTATCATTCGGACGACCATGTCTTAAATTCGATCGTCTGGGCTTATTTTGCTCTCTTGGATGTTTGGCGTGCCTCCTCGAGCCTTTGGAAGGCCCTTGCAATCCCTTGAAAGGATTCGCATGGACCTTTTGAGATTCCTGCTTCGAAAGCAGGTTCGACCGGAAGGTAACATCGTGTGAGATCGGTTGTGGTTTCGTATGTAATTTCGTACTTATAGGTGCAGTACCGGTCCAATGGACATGGCTAAGGAAGGATACCGGGTGGGATGTCGGCCTCTTATGTGGACAGGTGCTCTAAGATGGACTTTAATCAATACAGTGGTAAGAGAAGGCAGACATTAGTGCTCACCAGAAGCCTCCTCATAGCAGATAATACACCATCAGGTGCTACGTATCATGGAAGCGTGGATTGAGTGGCGCTCGATTAAGTCAGGACAGGCTGGCGGCTTCACTTTTTTACTGAGAAGTCAGAGGAGGCTCGTGCATCACTTGACGCGCTATCACGTGACTAAAGTCTTTACAACTCAACAGACTGTTACATCAGGCAAGACCTTTGATTGCTCTATTAATTATGGATTTCAACTTATGGATCAGCGCGGTGGAGATCACGCTTATACCTTGCTACCGCCCTTTCTTTTGTCTCATTGAAATCGACGTGCGGCCGCGGATATCCTAGCTTTTCAAACTCACTCTTGCTTAGTCTCTCATGTGGAGCGAACACCGCTTTTCCTTCGACATCTCGCAGCTCCTTGACCCATCTTCGGATGTACTCTCCATCTTTGTCGTTGCGCTCTGCTTGGCTAACAGGATTGAAAACAGTATAACTTGGCTCCCATCCCTGCGTGTTGTTACAGACGTCCCAATCCACTAAATGCTCTGCAAAGTAACGTTCTCCACGTCGATAATCGATGAGCAGGTTATTCCTGAGATAGCTAGCGGTGTTCATCCGCAACCTGTTGTGCATCCAGGCTTCTTCCTTCAGATGCCTCATACCAGCGTCAATCAGGGGAACGCCTGTATTTCCTCCGCACCATTTCTCCCATCCTTCTTTGTCGTCCTCCCACTGCACAAAATTGAACTTGAGGTTTTGCGGCAGGTTCATCACAGTGTGAGGTGTAATAACCACAACCTGTCTGTAGAACTCGCGGAACACAATCTCCCGGACCCACGCAGCAAGACCACGGTTGCCACTCGACTCACTGAAATCCGTGCTTCCCCCGTTCTGCTTCCTTGCCATATTTAAAGCCTCGCGAACACTGATTGCCCCAGATGAGAAGTATGGCGATAAGCGACTCGTGGAGTCTTTGGCCGGATTGGAGCGGGTCTCTGCGTATGTCTGTAATTTGTTGGTCACGAAATGTTCGAGTCGCGCCATACCCGCATCATGGCCAGCAGGCCACAGTCTACGAATTCGATCGCGTTCGTCTTTGGAACCAAATTGTTTGTTCTCTGGTAACGATGGAAGCGCTGTGTCAAATAGCGGTCTGTACTTGCTCAGTACAGATTTCTCGTTAGGTTCTGGATCGCTATAGAGGTCCAGAAGATCCGGACTGCTGCTAATTTTTGAGAGCCACGCTTTGTGATATGGGGTGAACACTTTGTGTGGACCGCCACTTCCGTTAAGTATAACGCCAGGTTCTAGTACAGTCTGATCGTGCACGAGTTCGACGGCAATGCCTGCATCCTTCAGCTGAACTGTGATTTTCTTGTCGCGTCGCAACTCGTCAACTTCATATTCCAGATTTGCGTATACGTGGGACACGTCATTGTTCTTGACGAAAGACACAATTTGCTCTGTTTTGTCTCCGCGCTCTGGTGCCTCAATGATGGCTAAAGGAATATGCTTCTCGCTCAGTTGTTCCCTCATGAGCCGGAGGCACTCAATAATGAAATCTGATCGTGCAGGGCTGGTTCCATGCCATTCCAAATCCTTTGGTGAATAAAGATATGCGGTAATCAGTGGAGCTTTGTTCTCCTTCGCAATCTTGGAAGCGGCGTCCAAGGCTCTGTTGTCGTTGATACGCAAGTCTTTGGAGCGAAACCAATGAAGAACTGTCTTCACCTCCGAGACTTTGTGCGCGTCTTCAAGAATTTCTTTCAATTCGTCTAAGGGCGTATGTGCGTCAATCTCCTTCGCACGCTTTGTATGTGGGTGTCGAAGTTCGTCGGTCTGCGATGATGATCGTTCATGTTTTGACATCTTTGATTTAGATTTCCAACCCGTCAGGTTTGTTGTCGAGGATGTGCGTAATGATGCACGATAGCACCTACACGAGCATTGTCTGCTCCTAAAGGGCTGAATGAGCTTTCTACGGAGTAGGGAATGTGTTAGACGGATATGATATAGATGAGTGTAGAACATCAGAAGCTCGACAGTACATAGAATAAAAGCACAAGTATGGAGCCTCGGACACACATATTCAATGAAGCCCACGGTCGATGTTCGCATCACTACATCATCGATCGGTAATTACCCTTTATATGGACCCGATCGGAACCAGAGAACCCTCGCTTATCGAACACCAGCCACTAAAACCCGTTCCGCAGCAGTGTCTCATCCACAGAGTTACTTTAGTGCTGATGAAAGAACTACACATAACATTTACAATAATGTCATCACGTCGTAGGATCATAGATAGTCTGCGACGTGTTTATCATTATGTTAAATAGGCATTCTGGAACGCTCTGCGGGCGTCGAAGTTGGTCACCTCGGGAGTGTTTGCTTCACTATTTCATATTTATGGTTGAAAATGATTTCTGGCTTGGTAGTCAACAGTTTAAGAATTTTAAACTCTTCCTGACAGTCATACATTCTTCTGTGGGATGATTGCAAACTAGCAGGCATACTACTTTTGTCATCGTGGTGAGATTCATAGTCGCGTGTACCTTCAAAAAGTGAAGAGTGACAGCGAAACTTAGACTTCGACAATGGATACATGCTTGCAGGTCAACATGTCCAAGGCGAAGAATACAATTCATGCGCCACACGCCATACATGGCCTAGCGGTAAGCACGGCCACGAATGCATCTGGTTCCTTGGTTGTTGTTGCCCCTCGCAACGCATCAATAGCTACATAGTAATGCCTACCAACTTCGCATTCTCGAGTGTATGCTGACCGTAGAACTCTACCGCAACCCTCTCTACGAATCCCCTACATCACTCCGAGCGAAATATATATATGCTGCTCGCGCATTTGTATATTTGATTGTCGCTGTAAGTCATCGCAGCTGCTTAGTCGACCATCAATTGACCGTCAAGCGAAGATGGCTACGCCTGCTAGCTCACCAGAGAAAAGTGGTCACCGCCGCAACAGGTCGACCACTGTCTTGAAATCGATCATGTCCTCTCGATCACCTCACAAGAGAGCTCCGTCAGACGGTACTGCCCTTTTCAAATCGGCGAAAAGCGAACATACCCATGGAAGCTCAACATCACAACCAATATTGGCTCCTCCATTAAACATTCAACAAGCAGCGAGTGCCAGAGTTTTGGGCGAAATCTCGAACCCAGCTGGCTCGCGTTCCACAAGCAAGCAACAAGCTAGGGCTAGTACGACGCAAGGGAGCCCGAGCAAAAAGGCTCAAGGTTCCATGCGATTACGATCATTTGTAAGAGATAAAGAGCCAAAAGATACACCTCCCCATTTCATCAAGGATGTGTCCAAGCAGCCCAAGAAGACAAAGTCATCAACAGGCATATCAAACATGTTTGGAATCGGAAAATCCCGTGGCGACGTGCACCCGATTCCTATCGAACCCAAGGACAAAGAAAACACTACACCTCCAAATTCGGCAAACGGAATCGCTGAAACCCCAATATGGTCTCAATTTCGCTCGCAGTCGTACCAGACTGCGCCCAATGCCTCTGCCGTTGCACTCAGCGATCGCCACGTCGCCGAGGAAGAAATCGTCAAATATACGCCTACGGATTACTCTCCATCGAAGCAGATAAATTTCCAAGCCTCTGCTCGACCGACTTTACAAAGCAGAAGTACATCTGCTCCGCGACCGAAATCTGAGCACCTACCACATGATTCATCAATGTCTTCACTACTAGACAGCATGCAACGCAAGATAAGCGGCGAGAGAGAACGTATTCCACACGCAAGGGTACCAGTCGAACGCTACAAGCAAGAGCCTATGGGCAAGTTCTCATCTTCTGGATTCGTTGGACCATCTCAGAAAAAGGGCGGTCGAGTAAAGGCTGCAGTTGCTGCATACAACGTAAAATCGCGAGACGTGCAAGGGGAGCCTTCTATGGACCCTGACACCATTGCTATTGAGTTTGAGGCAGTTCTGGTATGGCCAAACGTCGACCAAGAGATATGACTTAATACTAATTACTCCGTTAGGAATCGAGGAATGTACCAGATGTCGTCCGCTCCAGAATGAGAACATTGGCCGACCGTGTAAAGATTGACTTCATCATGAAGCACAAGACAGAAAGCTCAGGACCTACGCGGGCCTCACCTTCTGGATCCGCTGAAATGATGGGATCCTTGCCGAATTGTTCAGATGTTTCCAGCACAGGAAGATCAACTAATAGTCAGAAATTAGATGATGAAAAACATAGAAACGGGTCTGATGTTTCACCCTCCAAAAAGGGGCGCCCCCGAAGCCGGACTTTCACCTTTAATAAAGGAGACTCACCAACCAAGAAACCAAAGTCTGAAGAGACAAATGCAACCAAGTCCGATAAGCCACATACAATAGCTAAATCGCCTTCATCGCGGTCTTTATCATCCGTCACTTCAGTAAAGAGTTCATCCTCTTCGAAATCTACAAAAACAGCTGTCCCAGAAGATTTCGTAAACTATCTACGCAAGACTACAAAACCTCAAGAAGTTGAAGTCGGGAAACTGCACAAGTTACGTCTCTTACTGCGCAATGAAACCGTTGCGTGGGTCGATTCGTTCATCAGCCAGGGTGGTATGGGAGACGTGGTAGGCCTGATCGATCGTATCTTGGAGCTGGAATGGAGGGAAGAGCATGAAGATGCATTGCTCCACGAGACCCTTTTGTGCTTGAAGGGACTGTGCACAACGAGTCTTGCCCTCCATAAACTATGTGAATACGAGTCGAAGCTCTTTCCCACACTTCTGAAGATGCTTTTCGACGAGGAAAGAAAGGGCCCAAGCGAGTTCACAACCCGGGAGATTGTGATCAGAGTGTTATGTGAGTTTCGGAAGCTACGCTTTCTTGCGTTGCATAGATGCTAATATGAAGCAGTCACTCATTTGTGTGCTGCTCGAGGGTCGGACCTCCCAGGACGTGCACGAACCATATTAGGGTATCTTCAAGATCCTGCTCCCCCAGAAGAGGCAAAGCCTCTTGCTTTCATCCTAGAGATGCATCAACCTCGCCCATATCGGATCTGGTGCCGCGAGATCGTGAACGTGACCAAGGAAGTCTTCTGGATTTTTCTCCATCATCTCAACGTGATTCCACTGCCCTCTAACGCCGCCATGGAAGAACCTTCGATACGTTCGGAAGGCTCCTCATCGGCGCCATTATCACGTCCTTATTCGTACCCACTTATGACAAGTGGTCCTAAGCAAGACTATACTATGGTCCACTTTCCACAGCCACGGCCTCCAGTCCCGGCTGCCCCATATATAGGAGGTGTTGAATGGGATGCCACCCAGTACCTTGCTACCCATATGGATCTCTTGAACGGAATTATAGCTTCCATACCGACCGTGACCGAACGAAACAAGCTCAGGGCCGAGCTGAGAGCGTCAGGGTTTGAGAAGGTTATGGGCGGAGCGCTTCGTACTTGCAAAGAAAAGTTTTATGGGCACATACATGATGTTTTGCGGGAATGGATTTTGGCGGCTATAGATGACGGCTGGGACGCCAAAGCAGTGAGAATGGGGGAAACTGGGCAGATCAGCCCCACCAAAAGCGTCAAGGGAGGCAGTCCGATGAAGAAGAAAGAGCCGCCACCCAAGATAGAGACTTTACCACAGCTGGGCTTCGGGGTCGATGAAGATAGGAAGAGAAGAAGCACGAGTGTGGTCGATGAGTGGCTGGGAGTCTGAAGAGAAATCCCAACCACAAGAGGAGGATCGAGAAATGAAATGCACACAAGCACGGCTACGAGAATAAGAGCTGGCGCTGCGAACGGAACATGAACGACACGAATTTACTGCAGCATTACTTACACCTTGTTGAACGAAAACGAAATTGTCTTCTTTACGACTGATGTCATCTCATTGGGCCGGAGTAGTCATCCTTGTGGAGTTCACGGGGGAGTTCTATGTATATGTATATATATCATTGACAAATGGTTGTATAACTTAGCTAGTGATGGCTTCTAGCAAGTTATACTTCTGATATTACCTTTACATGGCATACGTTACACGTGAAACCTATATATGGTGTTTATGACTGCCAAAGTGTCTGTTACATAGAAGTTGATACCTAATATGTGATAAATCAAGAATACCCATGTCCCCACTCTCGTGGTCTAGGGTATTATTCCAAGATTAGTAACATACTTGGAAGGGAGTCTTTTCAGTCTGTGTGTACTAGGAGATCTGCCTTAACGTGGTCAATAAAAGGGTCGCACTCAATATGACCGTTTGTAAATCCTTCGTAGCTTCATACCCAGGCGAATTATGCCACCGAGAGGCAGCCAACAGCACTAAAGACAATATACATCCCAGGCTCCCAGACCGGCCTTATATCGATAGAGACCAGAGCTGGCGCGGACGCAAGGTAACGCGTGAAGGCGATATCAGGCAAGTGAACTCGGATCAACTGTGCTCTGCATGCCTTTGCATTTATCTCCTTATTAAAGGTACCCCTTTTTTAGGGCGCAGTCTTAAGACTTGTCGTCGCCTAACCACGCTGGCGATGGAGTTTATTCACCATATCTTGCAGACTGAAATTTTGTACATACATTGGGGATGTATTATACTGCGCGCAAAAACATCTGTCGAGTATGTAATTGCGCAAAATCAGCATTTAGCTCGGCCGGGCATTTTGGACGTCGGGACAATGCAGGCAATAATGCAGGCGGCCTCGAAAGTCACGTGTGCCGAGTTGCAGCCGAGTCGTCTAGTCCTAAACGCCTTCCCAGTTCTCACTCACCCGACTGCATCTTCCAGCCCCTCTCCCACGCAAGCACCATCTCGTCCCAAGCTCTTCTTTTCTCTCACTATTCTGGCTGCATACCTCCACTGCGCTCATCATTTCTCCAGGCACCTCTTGCCCCTTTGCATCCACACCACAAAAGTTCACTGACCATGTCGTGGTGATATTTAGTCACCTTCCTGCACCTTGTAAGCCCCGAGCGGCGTACCCAGACGCAGGATCTCCCCACTGGGGTCTATAATCAGGGACTACAGCATTCGACTACTTCTATGCGGCTCGGAATACCACGTTAGTGTGTACGAATGATCAGTTGAGTCACAAGAACCGCTTTCACGCGCCTCTCTTGTTTCGACTTCGCGTCGGCTTAAACCGCCCCTTCCGATATGAACATGACCCCAACTGAGAGCGACTTGAGCGGCGACTCCTTCGCGACGACTACGTTTACCTCGGCGGGTGCCTCGCAGTCAACTCACGCTTCTCCAACTTCGCCAACCTTCCTGAAATCTGCGTCCCGTCCACGTACCGCTTCCCGATGTAAAGACATATCGACCGCAGCGTCACTGCAACGTATGGATCCTTTCACAGATACTGTAGGACGCTATGCCTATGCTCCGGCCACCAAAACGACTGTTGTAACGACTACAACCACAACAAGTGTGACACTCCCGCCGTTAATAGTCAAAGCCCCTCGTCAGCTTCAAAATCGAGACCCGAAACTCTATCCCCTGGCAGCGTCATCCACACCAGCATATCTTAAGGATCTCACATTTGACATTGGAGGAATGCCAGCACACTTCAGGGAATCGGATGTACCTGAGCAGACTTTGAAGGAGGTATGAAATTCGACCCCCAATATCAGCCAGTCCTCCTTAACAGGTTATCCGGGTTTGACTCCTTGTATTCGCTGCTGACCATGAACAACAGACAGAAAACCAGATCGCTTTTCTGGAAACAGTAAAAGGCGCCGTCGAGTCTGCCAAACATCCTGAGAACCGCTATGAAACTCCAAATCGACCCCTTCGACGCTCGAACTCACACATGTTCAAAGTTTTGGCAGAGCAGAGACTGCCTGGCTCACTCAGAAGAAAAAGGGCATCTCCGTCACATATACCCTCGATCGCTGAGGCTGCTGAGATTGCGAGCCTGCACCGGCAGCATAGGAAACAGAAAGCACCCGTGCGTGAGGCTGGCACAGCCGGCTATAGCTCACTCAGGAATCACCAAAACCCCCTGGAAGAGAATGTAAATCCTACGACACCGGATACGGACGCTGGCGCTCCTGCTCGTTTTGGTGCACCCCACGCGAATCTGCGGTCGGAACCAGCTCGATCAAGGCTGGCCCACGGTCAACAGAGAGAGTATTTTGATCTGGATCGGCGGTCTACGAGCTCTGATGGGAATGTGTGGGCGGATCAGATCGTTACAAGCTCACGGGTTACGTCAAACGATCCATTGACGCAGACGGGAACGGGGCTTGGACTAGTTGCCTTTGCCCTTGAAGGTTCTGGTGCGGCAGCGACGCCCCCAATCGCGGATGCAGACCTTGAGCTTGCCAGTCAACCTGAAGCAACCGATCACAGCTTCCGTCGTCCGACACGTCCGCCGCCTCTAGATACGTTAGCAACACAAGATGCTAGTCTTCCGAGCCCTAGTTTATCACCTATCACTGCTGCAGCGAACGCGGCATTGCATGGAAACCAAACAGGAACTTCATCAACCACTCTAGATAACGACGACGAGAATGATGTTTCTAGCTTAGATATATCTGACATATTTGAGGAGACTATAGGCGACAAGATTCATCGTAGACAAGTCACCGATGGAATTCTTCCAGATCACCTTGTTGACCCGAATGGGCCGTCATCGGACACGAATCTTCAAGCCCCGACTCTCATGGATATTCCCGCGATGATCGACTCATTCGACGCGATGCCAGATGCGATGAAAACGTACGTCATGTTTCAACTTCTAAGACGCTGCTCGAAGCCTACTTTACACTTTATCGCCGACACAGTCAACCCAGCTTTGAAGTGCGACTTTCTTGGCCTTCTTCCTACAGAATTGAGCCAGCATATTGTAAGATACCTGAACGTGAAAAGTATGTGTCGAGCTTCGCAGGTATCGAAGAAGTGGAGAAGCATTATCAATCAAGATGAGAAAGCTTGGAAGGATCTACTCGAGGCCGATGGTTTTGACCTTCCTGTAGACGAGATTGGTCGCGCAGTCAGAGAAGGTTGGGGGTGGCAATACCCACATTCTGCTGAAAGCTATGAACGCGATTTACGGGAATCGACTGTGCCGTTGGGAGACGGCTCTCCGGTTACTTCATCACCGGGCTCGGCAGTTCTCGGAGAGGTTGAAGTCATAGCTCTTTCCAGACCAAAGAGAAAGGCCACAGCAAAATATGGTACCAAAAAGCGAAGAAAAGTGCTTGTAGCGAACTCAAAGGGTAACGAGCTGTCCAAGCACCCGTCTTGGATGAAATCACTGGACAAGGCCCAAGGACCTATGGCATTTGCAGATGCTGCACTGCTGGCCGTACCGAACCCAAATGTTGGTCTTCCAAGCCTCCGCAACCTTCATCTCTATAAATCGCTTTATCAGCGTCACTACCTCATGCGCAAGAGCTGGATGAAGGAAGACACTCAGCCGCATCACCTCACATTCCGTGCTCATGGGCGCCATGTCGTTACTTGCCTCCAGTTTGACACCGACAAGATTCTTACGGGCAGTGACGACACACACATTAACGTATACAACACAAAAACAGGAGAGCTAAAGGCTCGTTTGCACGGACATGAAGGAGGTGTCTGGGCGCTTCAATATGAAGGCAATATTCTTGTGTCAGGTTCTACGGATAGGTCAGTCCGTGTATGGGATATCGAGAAAGCAAAGTGTCTACAGATCTTCCAAGGTCATACTTCTACCGTCCGATGCCTCCAAATTCTCAAACCTACTAAGATTGGAGAGACTGCCAATAAGGAACCTATAATGATGCCGAAGGAGCCTCTGATCATTACTGGATCGAGAGATTCTACACTACGTATCTGGAGGCTTCCTCAAGTTGGTGATCATCAAGTCCATCAAGTTGCGCAGCAAGCAAATGATTATGAGAATCCGTACTTCATCCGGCAACTTACCGGACATCATCACTCTGTACGTGCGATCGCTGCCCACGCTGATACACTCGTAAGTGGCAGCTACGATGCAACAGTCCGCGTATGGAAAATATCCACTGGCGAGGTTGTCTACCGCCTGTCTGGACATGCGCAGAAAGTGTATAGTGTTGTGCTCGATCACAAAAGGAACCGGTGCATAAGTGGCTCTATGGACAATCTTGTCAAGGTCTGGTCCCTGGACTCTGGCCAATGCTTGTTCAATCTTGAAGGCCACTCCTCGCTTGTGGGCCTCCTAGACCTCAGTCACGATCGTCTTGTATCTGCTGCTGCAGATTCTACGCTTCGTATCTGGGACCCCGAAAACGGCCAATGCAAGTCAACCTTGAGTGCTCACACTGGTGCTATCACATGTTTCCAGCACGATGACCAAAAGGTAATCTCCGGGTCCGACAGAACTTTGAAGATGTGGAACGTCAAGACTGGCGAATGCGTCAAGGATCTCTTGACAGACCTTAGTGGAGTCTGGCAGGTCAAATTCAATGATCGTCGTTGCGTTGCAGCAGTGCAACGCAACACACAGACCTACATTGAGGTAAGTCTGATAGAATCAATCTGCTAGATGAGATACTAATCGTTCCGCTTAGGTCCTGGATTTTGGCGCCTCTCGCGATGGCATACCACCCGATCAACGGGGTCGACGCATCGTCGTCGATAGCAAAGGCCGAGAGATCGAAGATCTTGAGGAATTCACGGACCCATTAGATCCTGCGCAACCATGAGTAACACATTAACATCTACACATTGCGACACCCCTTGCCACTTTTCACCACTGTATACCCATTTTGCATCCACGGCTGACCCCCTGTCTGACCGCGCGGCGTTGCGTTGCTTCTTTTTTTTTGTGTTGTTTTCAAAGAGATTTGATGACGCAAATTTTACTACCTGATATCAACACCATCACCTGGTTGCAGTATTTGTCGGCGCACTTGTATTCATGGGCCGGAGTACTTATGGAAATGGTCACGATCATAACGAAGCGATGGCGTACATCACTGGCGCTGGACATGCCACATGGTTATATGTCTTTTCGAACGTGCAAGGCACGTCTTTGTTCATGGCATACAAGGTACATGTTTTATGCATCATATGTTTACTTCTAACCTCATTGAAACGTGAATATTCATTAAAATGTAGACATATCTACATAACTCCTCATATGCAAACATTCGATATAAGCGTATCAGTGAATGCCGAACCTGCTCACGTAGATGTAATCAATTGATGTGCCACTACTCAACCGATCTAACGCAATGCCAAGACCCCATGCACAACTTTAACAGTCCCGCGGAATTCTTGGCTCTTATCGATAACTGTGAAATGCTTCCTGGGCGACAATTTACACATGTTGCTTATAAGCCTGAGCTTCAAGTGATCTCTCCCGCACTTATACAACGTCAACCCAAGTATGCTTGACCGAGACTTTCACCAGTTGGTCTCTCACTCATGCCATCATACCTATACCACCTAGCCTTGGAGCTATATACTCAGCCTCCAGCTTCCTTCAAGCCGAAAACACTCATCGTGAAACCTCATGAGCAATACCTCCCACCACCCGAAACAGACATATTTCAGACTCCTCTCCCAACTCACAGTAGTTCTACTTGGGGCATACCATCAAGGCCACTCCAGAAGCGCTCCAAGGCTACCTCTACACATCCTGACACCGTCCAGGCACCTGGAATTGCCCCGAGGCCAGCCTACCAACGTAGATTCAGCCATCGCAACGGGTCCTCGCAAGGTGAGCTTGGTAACAGCCCGGTTCCACTCCACCAGACAACGGTACTTGCTGCACGATCGTATTCGCCGACTCATATCGACTGGCGTTTCAATACTGTGTGCATACAAAGCATCGATATGGTACCTATCGATGGGACTGAGGGAGCACGGGCTCAAGTCAAGAATCTTGACGAAATACCTAGCTCAATAGGACTCTCCACGAAGGGTCGCTTCACGCTGGCAGGGCCTCGAAATACCGAGGTCGGCTGGGGTGTCGTGCACCTCTATAGGGATGAGAAAGAGACACCATGGCTTGACGATGACACGTCTAGTAGTGCGGGCTCGGATAATGAAAGGGCAACAGAAGTCAGTGGAGGTGTGTTTAAAGAGGAGGACTGTACAACGTTGTGTATACTGGCCGTGCCATCCTACATGACGCCCTCGGACTTTCTTGGTTTCGCCGGCGAGAGGACCAGGGAGGATGTCAGTCATTTCAGACTGATTAGAACAGGGACGATGAACAAATACATGGTGCTAATGAAGTTTCGAGAAGCAGCGAAGGCAAGGGCTTGGAGAAAAGAATGGAACGGAAAATTGTTCAATAGTATGGAGGTGAGCAATTGACGTCTCCTTTATGTAATATATCTAACAACCATCTAGCCGGAGAACTGTCAGGTCGTCTTCGTTAAATCGATTGAATTTAGGACGCCAGACTCGCACGGCGACCCTTCGAACTTTCCAGCCAATACTAACGATCCTTTCACACCAGCGCCCGGACTGAAGCCTACAGCTCCCTTACCTACAGACACAAGTTCCCTCGCTTCATCGCTCTCGACAAAGCCCCTTGCGCCTCCGACAGCAAACCTTGTAGAACTACCAACTTGCCCCGTATGTCTGGAACGAATGGACGAGACGACCGGCCTCCTGACGATCCTTTGTCAACACGTCTTTCACTGCGCATGTCTAGAAAAATGGCGAGGGACTGGCTGTCCCGTTTGTAGATACACACAGAACGATGTTACGGGGAGCAAAGGGCTCGCATCCGGCGGTGACGCTGCAGAAAACGAATGTACTGTCTGCGGATCCACGTCTAACCTCTGGATCTGTCTAATCTGCGGCAACATTGGCTGCGGCCGCTACGACGAGGCCCACGCGTTTGCCCATTACGAAGCTACATCCCATGCCTATGCCATGGACGTCAACAGCCAACACGTCTGGGACTATCCAGGTGACGGCTACGTACATCGCCTCATTCAGAACAAAGCAGACGGCAAACTCGTCGACCTCCCCGCCGCTTATTCCCGTAATCCTTCGTCTCACCCCGGCATGACGGCATACGGCGAAGATACCATCCCCCGCGAGAAATTCGATAACATGGGTATGGAGTATACCTATCTCCTCACCTCCCAGCTTGAGAGCCAGCGCAGCTACTACGAAGAGCAGCTCGAGCGCGCCGTCGACAAGGCCTCACAGGCCGCGGCCTCTGCCGATGAAGCTGTGCGCACCGCATCCGCGCTCGCCGCCCAGGTCAAACAGCTCCATGACCAACACGTCGCCGCGCAGACGTCCATCGCGAGTCTCGAGAAGGACGTCGCGCGTCAAACTGCACGCGCAGGCGCATCCTCCGACCTAGCGCGGAAATTCACAAAGCAGTACCAGGAAGAAAAGAGCATGAACGAGAGTCTGATGACGCGCATCAAGTTTTTGGAAGTCAAGCAGAAGGAGAAGGACGAGCGGCTGTGCGTGTTGGAAATGGAAAAGGCGGAGCTGGCAGAGCAGAATCGTGACTTGAGCTTCTTTATCAGTGGGGGTGAGAAGTTGAAGGCGTTGCAGGGGGAGGTGGGAGAGGAGGTGCAGCAAGGGTTTGTGGAGGTGCCTAAAGAGGACAAGGGCAGGAGGAAAGGGAAGGGAAAGAAGTGAGTCGCACGGTGGCATGTTGGCTTTAGCGGGTGTTATGTCAATTTCGTGCATGGGCTTTGGCGTTGGATGGGCATTTTCGGACTGGTGATATCCTTGAACTGTATAGATATAGATATACTAAGCGCGCAGCATTACTTTGACCAGAGGACTGACTGACATGCGCGATGTATAGATAGTCGATATGAGAGACGGTCTTTCGACCTAATATATCTTGGAAAATTTAGACACGAGTGTCCAGAGGAATTGGCATTGAATACCGCGACTAAGAGATCGATCACATACCAGAGGTTTCCACTTGAGTGAGTATATGCCGATAATGTCCTCAAAAGTCGTCAGTCGTAAGAAGGCAGTGGGAATTTATTATGCTTTCAATCTACGTGAGAAGTGTTTTAAACGACGTCTAGCTACCTGCTTAGCCATTTCGATACTTTGGAAACGGCAAAACTTGTTCTGTATAGCATTGTTAAAATTTGCAAAAGACATATATGTGCTGCTGGACATGCCGGTAGCAGCAAGAGAATCTACTGCATGCCAAACACACTCGAAAAGCGAAACATCCTGAGAGCATAGCACAGATAGCCGTCTCGTCATGCTAAGTATGCATATAATGAATATGCCAATAGCCAAGCTGTCAGGATTTCTATGACAATGCATGCAAAGATCAAATAGATAATGTAATACGTTCTTTTTCTTTCTTCTTCCACATCTTCTGTCTGTTTGAAGACGTCATCAGGGCCAGAGAATTCAGGGATCATGGCGAGCGGATAGCAATAAGTGGTTTGGAAGGGTAGTCAGAGATGTTGGTGGCTTCATCCGTGACGAAGGGCCTTAAACATCCGTAGGTATATCTTCTGGTGTGTATGTCGACCACGATCAGACACGAAGTCAGTCCTCCTATTCGCAGAGGTATCGTTCTATGGCCGGGTCTCGTGTGGTATGAAAAGCGTGCAGATACGTCATTGTGAATATATCAGGGATGATTGTGGGTTACAATGCATTGTCATTTTACCACTGCTTAAATTGCGTTTTTGGCGAATATCAGAAAATGTTACATTGAATCTTACTGTTCCCAGCCACCCAGCTGTTGTTACGTTATCGGGATTGGGTCATTTGCTTTTGCGTGCGTATTCGTGACACACTCCATGAGGATTGAGGGCGCTCAAATGGATAACCTGGCTGGACATGCCTGACGATTCTAGTCGAGCCTCATTGGGCTGCTGTTGACATGATGAAGTCTAATGTATCATGTTGGCGCGCCAGTTTGGAGACAGTGACAATGAGGACATCGCTATAGGTGACAAGGTCAATAATACTGATATACATTAATGAATAAGAGTGCGTTCATCCAGTGCTAACATAACTGCTCATCGCGTGCTGTTATAGTCCGGTGGGACTTTATTGCATTCGCTATGCCTTCGGTTGAAGAACGCGGGGACTGCACGACACGGAAGGTCGTTAATAGGCTCTGTTGATGTCTTCGATATTGTTGTTTTTTTCGTAACTTGTGTGATAGTTAAGTAGGAGTACGAAAAACGTGTAGACTGGGAGCACTGATCATTGACCCAAGGGAAGTATAGGACAAAGATGCCGATCCGGCTAAAGGTATCCACTACTGGTTTGAGCATAGATGCCACGTCGGGTTGTGAAAGTGAGCTCGCCACGATCCTAACGCTGTGTGTGGTGATACAAGCGGGGGTTGAATATGCAGCACATGTAAGTAGGTCTATCAGGTCATCTTAGCTTCTGATAGGTTCAAATCGACCAGTTCTATGCGTATGATCATCACCTACATGATCTAGGCCATGATTGAACGCTCCTGATTGGATGTAGCATGCAGTGCAATTGTACACACACACGCGGCTGTCAAGCATGTAGCGGAGATGTATCCAAAACATCCGGACAAGGTCCTCTTGTCAATCGATAGCCAGTCCTAGGATGAGCATGTCCGCTTGTAGCCGTAACTGACGGGCGTATAAATCGCTGGCCGACACAGAAGTAATCTAGTCAAGCGGCATGGCCCGTCGTAGAGTTACAAGACATGCCAGCTTCCCCACGCCAAGAGAGGGGATAGTTAGAAAGGAATAAATCTGACCTGAACTGCATGAACGACTTCGCCATACGAGAGATGCCATGTACATCTCAATGCTAGGTGGCCAACTCAGAACGCACGATCCCAGATATACTCAGCTGCAAACTGCCTGGTTCAAGTGCTTAAATCATGCACATCCCGTAGCGCCATATTATAGTGTCTGAGGCTTCTGAGCTCCACACAAGATGGGCGGGGAAATTGACCGGAAGTAGCCGAATAAGTTACTAGCAAGAGAGAACCGTTACCGAGGGCATCTACGTCGATACGAAGACGGGTAGGCGTGATGGTTGTTAGACGGCAGGATGAAGGAAGTATTACTAAAGCAAGAAGCAAAATGGTAGTGCTATGCGTAACGTAGGATCATCATTATGGATCAACCCTAATTGCAAAGCATTGTTGGTACTGGGCCAGTTGTCAGCGGTCTCGGGGCATCAATGACGCAATTGAAGTTTTGAGACGTAGGCTCGCGAGTGGCGCGGAGATGAGCGGACATACGAGGCACCGTATTCTATCGTAGAGAACGATGGCATGAGACGTTGGAGATGGCACGTAGTGATTCATGATTCTGGTCAAACTTGTCTGACGCTGTTGTACGAAAACAGGTACCGTCTCCGGCAATAGACCATGTTCAAGGAGGTTGTGCTGGGTGAGTATGGAGCAGGCCTGTAGAGGTTATCATTAGCGTCTGACGTGAATGTACAAGAAATAGTGATTGTGAATATATCAGCAGACGGACTCTCGATCCATAGCGTCTCGTGCAGCGTGCATGACGCAAAGAGGTAAGCCAAGTGCGATGGTTGACAAGAAGAGGCTGGTGGTAGCTGCAGGTCGACGAAAGCAGACGAGTAGGAAGAAGTAGCAGGTTAATATGCAGAAGTAGCCTGACGTGGGAGGGTTCTGGTGGTGGTGAAGATAATTATACGAAGAAGGATGAGATGAGTGGTGCATGCAAGATAGAAGGCGATGGCCGGGATAGGAAATGCCGCATAACAGATCACGAGTCTCAGGTAATGTTACCCCACGCTAAACATCCTGTCTGGGATTAGCGTTTGCATACCGGTACGTACAGTGCGAGGTGGAGTGTGCATCTACACGGAGAAAACAAATCACCGACATGCAGTTGAGAAGAATCCGAGTGCATTAATGCTATGCAAGTCGGTCGAGAGCTAAGTACCTAAACCAGGCAGGTAATTAAAGGGAAAAAGGGAGAGCGGGGAAAAGGCAAAGCAACGGCAAAGTAAAAAAAAAAAGGCGGCGTCGAACAGGGTCCTCAGGCCGCCGCTTTCTCCCGTGGCGGGACCCGCCAGTGTCAGCTATATACACAGTACTGGAGCTACGCACACGGAGCAGACGCCTCACATGCCTCAGGCGCTTCCGACCCCTCTTTTTTGCACTTTTCACCCTCCATTCACTTGCGCATCTTAGCTGATTTATTAAAGGACAATGCTGAGCAACATGTCGGTACGCTACGAGCGGCACAATTTAGAATTCTATTAGTACTGTGGCATGTGGCCTTCCCTTTTTTTCCCACTCTGTTATAGAAAACTCCCGAGACTGCTAAATGCTGAAAGCTGACTGCAGACTGCATCTCGCATAACAGCATCTACGACGTTGCGTCTCTCTTCTATAACGCTGAGCAACGTGTTCCCTCTCGTATGAGGTCCGGTCGACCCCCCGCAGATCCGATCAGCCACCGGCAGTGTACATAGTACATCAAACCCCCCTCCCAGGGCGAGACAGGACCCCCCACGCATCTCTCTCTATCTGCACGTAGCCGCCAGTAGCGAACAATTCGAATCGTCACACTGCAGCGACAACAGGAACAACAAGGACTACAGACGTTGGCTCGTCTTCCTACGCTTACAAGTCTGCATTTGCCTCTGCATCCGCAGCACCCTATCCGTCACCTGCATTTTTGTCACTCTGCGCCTGCGCCCGGGGGCTTGTATTGTGTACTACATCTTCCTGGCTACCCCGGACTTTGCGAGCCACACGAGCAAGAAGCGGTTACGCCATTCATCCGCCTCGACCTTTGCAACAAGAAGACTCTGTCCCTCTACTTTCCAGACCCTGCATCGAAATATTGGCCGATCATCACCATTCTGCTACCTGATCTCTTGCTTGGCCGCGCTGCAGCCCTGGTGATACGGCCTAGTGTCCCCTGTTCCCCTCCCTCGATACACTTCCAGCAGGTATCCCCTCTGCCAGTCCTCTAGACTCCTTAAATCGCTCTTCATCGTCCGACGCGTCTCACATATTGCCATCTATCTACGATCCACTTTCTCCTCCCCATTGTCCATACTCCCTATCCTGAACGCACACGAAAGTAAAAGGCATGAACTTCAAAAATAACACTGCTCATTGGCCCGTTGGACAGGAACATATCAATCGTTGAATTAAGTGCTGAGTCAACTTGGCTAAAATCATTTTTCCAACGCATTGATTGGCACTGGCTTCTGTTCTGTGTCGAGCCGTTGGTTTCTTTTTCCTGTTTTCTACAGGCAGCGAGCTTCTGGACCAGTACCACACCCTTGTGTTACGTCGAGGCCGCATTTTCCCAGAACTTCAGCCCGCCACTCTACACACATCATCCCTGTCTATATCCAGTACCGCTGAGCTTGTTCCAATATCGACTTTCCCATTGTCTATCCCGAGCGCCAAGGTATGGATTCTTCGTTGACGTTGTTGAGTGCTCACATTCAGCTACTCGTGAGTTTCCCATTCCTCACTCATCATTCATCATTCATCATTCATCATTCATTTGCGGTCGGTGATATGCACACAAGGAACGTACATCGATGTCAATTCGTCAGCTTCACCGTTGCGTGGCTTGCTTTATATAGCTAGTACCACTCCCCAAATACGATTTTGGCACGGTAATCTCAGATACCCTCCTTTTGCTTTTTCCTCAATAGTATCCCCAGGCTAACATGGTTGTTTACACAAAGGACACACAGTTAGCACTAATTCACATCCCACTACCCTTGTACTATACTTTTCTACAGCCCATTCTTGCTCTCCTTCTGCCTGCCAAAAATCGACCCGACTCATCTGGAAGCGATGGCATCTCGAATGCACGACCAAGAACATGGCCTTATGAGCACCCTTTCGTCAATGTCTCAGTCACGCCGGTCGAATGCTCAGTAGTTTGCTCTCGAGTTTCTGCAGAAAAGCTGTTCCTTCCAGTTCTCGAAGCACTTCCAGAAACATCTCGTTCGCAAGTCTCTGTGGGCAATGAGGACTTCATAGTAATGCAAGTTGACGGTGAAGGTCTAGATGCTGGCCAACGAGTACTTGAATTGACAAGTCCACTTGCAATGGCTGGAATGTATGTTCTGAAATATCTGAACAACACGATCCAAGCTAACTTTCCCAGCTCGATATTCTTCATTACCACCTATTTCTCCGACTACATACTCGTGCCCCTCCGATGCCGAGGACAAGTCGTCCATGCCCTGGAAGATCGTGGATTTCAATTCGAGCAGAACACATCCACTTATGTCAATCCGACTCACCAACGCCGAGCATCTACTGACATCCCACCACCTCCAGGGACGCCACCACCTGCGACCGTCCACGAGCTCCAGACCAGAACTTTTGCTACGCTAAAGCGACGTCACATTGTGCCAACGGTTGACTCAGAACTGCGTCTCATTCAGTGCGCAGGCAGCCGAGATAGCTCAATCCACACCAATGGGAATGATTCAAAGTCTTTCTCTCCTCAAGACGATGCTCTGCACCTTGGACTTGTGAAATGCTTCATCACACTACCGCATCCTCCGTTTCTTTCACTTACCTTGACGGATACGGAGCCTGCTTCCGTCTTACTGGAACAATCACTTGTATCCAACTTCACTTCTCGCGATAACGTGCTACTTGGGACGCAGTCAGACTGTCTTATACCGATCACGCTTGATTTGCGAGACCTACCGCTCGAAGCTACTGGTATTGTATGCGGCGTAGCAGGCAGACTGGTGGGTGGAACAGCGCATGGCAGTCTCCAAAGCCCAGTGGAGATGAGCTATCTCAGCACAGCGCGTGCCGGTACTGTCATGGTCAGCGAGGACGAGCTCGACCGAGCACTCGAGGCACTCAAAGGTGGCGAGAACGGGGTCTTGGCGGATTGATAACTCTCAGCCCTGGAGCTGAGCTCTAGCGGATACGGCGCTACCGTTGTCCCAACTTTCTTTGCGAATGGCAGAACAGCGATCGCCTGGCGTTTTTCGCTAATCACTGCTCAGCAGCACAGTGAGACATGCACAGCTTTTTCAGTACTCGCTATGGCAAAACAGTTCACCCAATCAGACCTACCATGTTTGAGGTCTCATCGTCAGATCTCATCATCATCAGCATCATCAGATGCGGCTCGCGTTTATCTGCATCGCAAAAATAGCTGACTCGCATGTCGGTTTGATCATGTGCAGATTCGGTCCAGACCGAAGAATGACAATGCCTTCATGCACGTAATGACCGATTTGGCGACTTGACATCCACACTTCGGCATGAAGACCGACCATCAAGAACCAATTCCGTTCCTGCCTTACCATCACCCACGCACGAACGACCACGACTCGATGGGGTTGGACTTTTTTCCTTACTTTTACGCACCTACCAAAAACAACTTTTGTCTTGCATTTACGACCCTCCTCCAAAAGTTTATTCTCCGCATTGTATGCATGGCATCGGAATCATCTCCACCAACCAACAGATCTCTACTCATTCTTGTATCGCATTCATGTCCAACTCACTCTTTCATCCTCTTCTCAGCATGTCAGACCTCAAGCACCCACCCATACCTGCATTAAAATTTCTCACTCTTTCTCTTCCCAGCTCTTCTTATCTTCCCTTTGTGCATATAAATTCCATGATTCGAAATCGTCGGCGTTCGCCTATGGGGCATACCATGACGATGAGGCATGCAGCATGGGCAGACAGCCGTTCGGGAAAATGAAATGCATACATTGTATGCATATGTAGGTATGCTTGTGGGGGCAGGTAATTACTACTACTGTACCGTACACTTTGTCGAACGTGCATCGATGTTCTTGCATCTACATGACTCGACGACCATCTGCCCCGCCAACTGACGCAATGAATTGATTATGTGCGTTGGATATGTGCATGTGCTGCTGCTGCTACTGTTGCTCCGCTTTCTGGTCCACAATGGCAGATGATACAGAGGAGCAGCGACATGGAATTGACTCGTGTATCGGTGCCATTGATGTGAAGATGCTATCTCAACAGATCGATCTTATCGGACCTGACACTGCACCTGTGGCTGGACCGCGCCATGAGAAAAAGGCGCCCCCACAAATGATCAGCAGCATACGGTACAGTAGCCGCATGACGGAATCTTGGTAATGCAAAGGCGAGAAAACCTCCTGCAGAGCCAAAAAGTAGCGGATGACTATATCAGCCATGGCAGAATCAGCCATGTCCATACGCTCGGTATGATCTCGACTTGGTAATTATGTGGTAGGACGAAGTAAGCTGCCGTGATCATCTCCACATGCGCTGCAGCCGTTCCCGATCGGATGGAACACGGGCGACGACACACAGAGCCTCATATAACCTGCATCATTATCTGATGATCATGATGCTTGATGCTTGATGCTTGACGCTAATTGTATATATAACCAGCTATTCTTTGACAGACCTGCCCTCTCGGAGAATACGCGAGGAAAACGAGGAAAATGTTAGCCTAGGTAGTCTAGCAACAAAGTTCTAGACTTCCCCCCAGAGGTGGAGAGAGCAGGAACAGTCTAGCTTGCTTACATACGAACACCCTACCTAATAAGCTCCTCAGTGTAAGCCATGGAGTCAATTCCTCAAGCCGAAGAGCTCGGTTGAACGCGGTCCAGCCTGTGATCGATTCTTTGCTATCCATCCACATGTGCTGCTGATGCTTAGTCAAGCTCGCACTCTAGTAAGGTGCGCATGATCACTGCTTCAGCCCTATGAGCTGTCAAAATAGCCGCGCCAGCGCTGCAGCCGCGCGACGGCACCACCATCGCAGTATTATCGTGTCGGTGGACGCCGATGTTGTCGCATCACGGCTTGTTTCTGACTGGCTGTAACAAGTTCGAGGCTGTTGACGATTCAATACCAACGCTGACCAGTGAGAAGCCTAAAAGCTGGCGTTCGAACAAGTTGAGGGGGTGGCGATATGATCCCATAGGCTGTTTTCAGGGCGTAGAGCAATATATTTTGACAACATCGTGAGATTTCAGAGGCCATGGGGGGCCGATCATTGGCTTTGTCCGAGTGCGCTAAGAGGATGTCGTAGGATTGTTGCGTTGGGATAGGCCTGCTAATAATACTACTGTGTATACACACGTGGCAGAGCAACGTAGAGGCTGGTTCTCACACCGCTGCTCTCAACGAACGCTCGTGGTCTAGCTAGACACTGGGATTATTGGTTGCTGGTCTTGAGATCAGGTTAGTGATTTGGGTATATCGTGAGACTTCGGTGACTTTAGCGACGTATCATTGGGCCATCGGTGTGCGGATAGATACATTCTGTGGTAAGAGAGATGTACCTGTTGTCTAGATTGACCGATGCTCACTCCGGAGAGTCGAATAGTCGGTAAGACGTGCGTGAGATGACGGCGGATGTCAGCTTGAGGAAGACCAGTATTTCAGTGACAGGCGATAGATTGAACTCCATCCTCATGGCTGTGCTCAGTTGGCTGGACTTTCGCTCCATACGACGACTGTACCTGATCAATTTCAGCAAATTTGTAAGTTAGATTTCGCATGCGATCTCACCGTCGCCACCAGCACTGGCCCACTCTCTTCTGGCATTGCATACTGTGACAGCACTGATTACGTCCTTCTTCTTTGCCTTCTCGCTTGTTGGCATGTTGCCTCCAGACTGGTCAGTATGCTTTAACGCGTGCAATAATTTTCCAGTCAGGAAGTCCCAGGCATCAATATTTCCATCCTCGGAGCCACTCAGAACTACACTGTCATTGAACCCCAGAGTCGAACGGAGACGATATGTCTGATTTCTATACTCTGGAGCCTTGAAGCTCTGGAGAAGCTTCCCGTTGGCTTTGTCCATAAGTCGAATTGTCGAATCGAGAGTACTCACGAGGAGTGACGCACAATCCTTCGTTGGAGTGACGGACGTTATTGAGCCTATTGGGCATGTCAGCGATACTTCGATATACTCGAGAGATAGCATAATCTTACTGCCCATGGCGTCCTGGTATATGCTACCCATTCGAATGTCGTATGTTCGAGTTGATCCGTCTACAGAGCCAGTCATAATCTCCGCACCTCTCACTTTAACGCTTGAAACACTATCACGTGCCTCATCGAGCGTCATGATAGGTTTGTGTGCCTGACTCTTCGTATCCCATAGTTTGACCGTGGAGTCATAACTTGCTGAGTCAAAAGTCAGTCATTGTAGCAATATTAAAGACATGCATCCCGGATATAATATTTCGGCGCGTTTCCTAGACACGTACCACTAGCAACGACACTCGCATCGTCCCCTCCAAATGCTACGCTTTCTACACGCCCAACATGACCCATAAACCTCCTCGTTGTTTGAGCCGTCGCGACATCCCACAGGAACACCGTCTTATCTCCACCGCCACTGACGAGCCTGGCATTGTCCGCTGAGACAGCTATGTCAAGAACCTCGTATCCGTGGGTCTCATATTTCTGAATAAGGCGGCCTGTCGATGGGTTGAATAAGCGAATGATCCTATCGGTGGATCCCGTGAGCAGCTTCCGTATCGTTAATGAGATTCGAAATGCATGACACGGGATGTCAAGGAGCATATGGACATACGTAGGTCGCGGTGCCAGCGCTGTAGGTTAAGGCATGGACTGGACCTGCTTCTCGTTAGCTTGAACCCTGCTCAATGCCAAGTGAATATCGCTGTACCGTTATGTCCGCCTAATCTAGCCAACCGGTGAGTAGGCAGTTGTGCGCCCATTACATAGCACCGATGTTCATGTTGAGGCTGTTAGGAGCTTGGATGGTTGGTTATCAATTGGAAATTCCTAGGCCAGGGTCCAAGCTCAAGTCATGGCTGCAGAGCACATCCACATCAATACGTAGAAACTGTTATTTATGGGTTTTACATAGAAAATTCTGGCCCTGCCACTGCTACGGCACCATTAATCTACTCATGAATAGATATACTGATACTACGTGTATACTAATTTCCATCTCGCGCGCCGCTCGGGAGCCATCACCCGGCTACTTTTGCGTGGTTCCAGCCATAGGTGGCACGCAGATCGTCCAGGTCTGCCATTAAAAACCTAACAAACTCGATAAGAAGGTATCTCGAAGAGAAATATATTATCATGCAATTTAGCGACGACCATGCGAGCGAGCGACGCTTCCTTGGAGGTTCTCCACATCTGCCTCGAGAGCCTTGATGACGGCATGGCTCTGCTCCAAGTCCTTGTTGAGACGATCGCGCTCTGCAATGAGCTTTTGCTCCCATTGTCTGAATCGTTGTTCCTCGACCTTGACCTGCTCAGTGAATCGTTTGCGAAGCGCCTCTTCCTCCTCTTTGAACTTGGGGTTATCGAGCTTTCTGGGACGAGCTTCACCGAACTTTCTGGTTTCCATTTGCATAGCACGGTACGCCTCGTAGTGGTTCTCTTCGGTTGTATGAATAAGGTCGAGCATATGGGTGCGGATCAGGATCGCGCGGAGCTTCTTGAAGTCGCAGTGATCCTCATTCTCAACTTCGGCCACGCCCCAAGCGTATTGGCGGCCCTTCACAGTGCGATTGTCGTTGGTCTGGACATCCTTCTCAGAGCCAATGACCGAGAAAGGCATAGCAGCAATCAAGCTCCTGGCGTGTTGGAGACCCGCTTCATCATCCTCCTCCAACGGCGGCTGGTAGATCTTGATGCCCTGGGCTTCGATGACGGCCTTTATCTACAGCGTTGGTTAGCTCACGGTCCGCATATTATCTTTTTTTCAGGCACTCACTCTGGTCTTGAATTTGGCCAGATCAGCTGGGCTGAGAGTGTCGGCTTTTGCAATAACGGGAATCAAATTGACACGAGTGCAGAGCCGCTTCATGACCTCAATATCGAGTGGTTTAAGGGTATGACCTGTTGGGCGGATGAAATACAGGCAAGTGTGAACGCGCAGGTCAATCTTCTCAGTACGACGAGGTTGCTGCTCTTGGAGCATATAGGATTCATGCTGGTCGTCCAAGAACTCGATAATTGGCTGCCATGAATCGCGGTTGTTGACATAGTCGCCGAATCCAGGCGTGTCGATCACAGTGAGTCGTACTGTAGTCAAAGCGATCAGCGATTGATAACCCTAACCCGAGCGATCAAAATACCTTTGAAAAACTTTTCCTCTAGCTCAGCCTTCGTGATTTCAATCTCAACAGTCTTATCAATCTGCTTGTTGTGGCGGCGCTTGTGGTCGGCGTAATTCTTTATGGTGGTCGAGAAGAGAGTGTTGATAAACGTAGTCTTTCCAAGTCCAGATTCTCCAGCAACCTGCGCGGTGTAAGAAGATTTTTGATGCCGAAGTGAGATGATGACTTACCATGATAGTGAAAGCTGCTCCCCGCTTGGCAACGATCTTGTGGCTATAGAATAGTTAGAGGTCGAAGTCCCGAATCTGTTGCAAAAAGTATAACGGACCGTTGGTTCGGGAGCTACAGACTTGAGTCAGCATGAGTGAACAGACGACTTTAAGATGCTACTTACATTGGCAATGCCAATTGGCGATGCTGACTCGGCCATACTGATGATGTGCTGCGATGTGGGCTTTTCGGGGCAGACGTCCAAGGTGCAGAAGGAGTATTATCTAGTGAGAATACTTCAGTAAAGCCAGATAGTGGACGTTCTTAGTTCCGATATACCTTCCGATCGATAAATTACTCAATTCAGAGTTGAGAAGTGGGACTGAGTACTGACGATGCGGAGTCGCAAAATGTTTGGAGAGAAGGATAGCTGTTCCCCTTAAACACAAAAAGCCGGACCCCCTTTGGCAAGACCCTTGTCGGACGCGAGAGGTTAGTGGAAGTTCAAGGGCCCGTGCGCACAGAATGCCAAGCCAAAAACTTCGACCATTCTCTAGTATAGAACAGATTAAATCGAACCCAGCGCAAGGTTTGCGCCAACTTCCCAATGATGTCGCAACTATAGAGGACGGCTTCGGAGTGAGGTGCAGAATGAAAACAGACTTCCAGGTATGTGTATTTAAACCACATGTAGCGGTCACGACTAATGCGACTTGAAGTTTTCCAACCTGCTTGGCACGGTCTACACCAGAGGGAACCTTCTATTCAGCCCCGATGGCACTTCCTTACTCTCGCCCGTGGGCAATCGTGTGACTGTCTTTGACTTGGTCAAGTATGTTCTAAACATTCCTTGCGGGTGTGCATTCAAACTGCATTGCTGACATGTATTAGCTCGAAATCCCATACTCTACCGTTTGCGCATCGCAAAAATATCTCTCGTCTTGCGCTTCACCCTAGTGGGAATTTACTTCTCACTGTCGATACCGATGGGAAAGTCATTTTGACTCACGTCCTGCGCCGAATCGTCCTCTACCACTTCTCGTTCCGATCGGCCGCAACCGCTTTGTCCTTTTCACCCTGCGGACGATACTTTGCGGTTGCAATAGGCCGGCGTATAGAGTTATGGCATACACCTACAACCCCTGACGCTGGTGATGATGGTGCTCTGGAATTTGCTCCTTTCATTCGCCATCATGTTCATACGCAACACTTTGACGACGTTCGGAGTATCGAGTGGTCATCAGATTCAAGATTTTTTCTCAGTGCCTCTAAAGACTTGACCGCCAGAGTGTGGAGTGTCGATGCGATAGAAGGCTTTGTACCTACAACACTGGCAGGCCATAAGCAAGGTGTCATTGGAGCATGGTTTTCCGAAACGCAGGAAACAATATACACCATTAGCAAGGACGGTGCTCTATTCAGGTGGGAATGGACCGAACGACCTTCGCGAAAGAATGAACTCGAGACGACAGAGAACTGGAACATTGTGGAACGACATTACTTCCAGCAAAACCATGTCGATGTAAAATGCGCGACTTACCACGCGAAGTCAAATCTCCTGGTAGTAGGCTTCTCGAATGGGCTTTTCACGATCCATGAGCTCCCCGACTTCACACAAATACAAAACATGAGCTTGTCACAGAGCGGTATCGACAAAGTAACTATCAATAAGAGTGGCGAATGGCTTGCGTTTGGCGCATCACGTCTAGGACAACTACTAGTTTGGGAATGGCAGTCGGAGTCTTACATCCTAAAACAACAAGGGCATCATGACTCTATGAATTGCATTGTGTACTCTCCGGATGGACAAAGAGTAGTCACAGCTGCGGACGACGGGAAGATCAAAGTGTGGGACGTAAAATCAGGCTTCTGTATCGTCACTTTCACAGAACACACTAGTGGAGTGACGGCCTGCGAATTCGCCAAAAGGGGAAATGTTTTGTTCACAGCTAGTCTAGACGGCTCAATACGAGCATGGGATCTCATAAGATACAGGAATTTCCGGACCTTTACAGCGCCGACACGGCTCTCGTTTTCATCATTGGCCATAGATCCAAGTGGGGAGGTGGTTTGCGCAGGATCGATTGATTCCTTCGACATTCATATCTGGTCTGTACAAACGGGACAGCTTCTGGATCAATTAGCCGGCCACGAGGGACCCGTATCATCACTATCTTTTGCAGCCGACGGCGGCAGCTTGGTCAGTGGGAGCTGGGATCGAACCGTTCGGATTTGGAATGTCTTTGGCCGAACCCAGACCAGTGAGCCATGTCAGCTACAATCAGACGTTCTCTGTGTCGCGTTTAGACCGGACTCTAAGCAGGTGGCCGTATCCTCACTAGATGGGCAAGTGAGTTTCTGGGCCGTTTCCGACGCCGTCCAAGTAGGTGGTGTGGATGCGCGACGGGATGTGTCAGGAGGCCGCAGGATATCGGATCGCAGGACTGCGGCATCCGCCGCTGGAACAAAAAGCTTCCATACCATTACCTATAGTGCTGATGGCTCATGTGTCTTGGCTGGTGGAAACAGCAAGTACATGTGTTTATACGATGTACAATCAGGAGCTCTTGTAAAGAAGTTCACAGTGTCCATAAACCTGTCCATTGATGGCACGCAGGAGTTCTTGAATAGTAGGAACCTCACGGAAGCAGGTCCTAGAGGCTTAATAACCGACAGTGGCGATATCTCTGATGAAGAGGGTCACATGGACAGAACATTACCTGGAGCTACTCGTGGCGAGGCTTCCTCTCGCCGCCAGAGGCCTGAGGTGAAGGTTACGTCCGTGGCGTTCTCTCCCACCGGACGGTCCTTCTGTGCGGCTTCCACAGAAGGCCTCCTCATATACTCACTCGACACCACCGCGCAATTCCTTCCCTTTGATCTAGATGTCTCGATTACTCCGGACAGCACACGTAAAACCCTGCAAGACCGCGATTATCTAAAAGCTCTCATCATGGCTTTCAAGCTTGATGAGCGCACCCTCATCAGATATGTCTATGAGAGAATACCAAGGTCTGACATCGCACTTGTTGTCAAGGAGACTCCCGGAGAGTACATTGCTCCACTCCTCCGCTTCATCGCCCAACAGGCTGATGAGAGCTCTCATCTCGAGTTCAACCTACTATGGATCGAAGCTATCGTCAGCAGTCACGGCAGACATCTGAAAGATCTCTCGGGACAGTTCACAGCGGAACTTAGAAGTGTGCAGAAAGCTGTCGTAAGAATTCAAAACGAGCTGAAACGGCTTGCGGAGGAGAACTCGTATGCTATTGATTACATACTAGCGCAACCAACAAAGAAAGATGCTTTAGTGCGTCGAGAGCTAGATTTGGGTAGTGATGATGATGCTATGGATAGTGTTGAGTTTGACGGCGATAGTAACACTTCTGGCGACTGGGAAGGCTTCGATACTTAGCCCGATTTTAAATCAATAAGACAATGTATCAATATGTGCTCGTACCCATTCGTTCGTATACCCCAATAATTGATCTCGGTGGTCCATGTCAACTACTTGTTCATTAGACTACATACGAGCACATCCAATCATCTTAACAATACAGTACACTCATGAGGCATTTCAGCCTTGTTTTGAGCAGAGCCATGACATTGATCTCCGGCTGCTTCGTGGTCGACCAGTCACTTGGCAAGGAAGATACCCTGTTCTCCCCCTTTCTACAAGACCCATTCCCGCGCAACATTCCATTCAGCCCTCTATCCTTCCCTCATATAGTCTTTTCCAACCTTTCGGGACCTCAATCCATCACCAGCTTCATCATGTGTGTAAGACACGTAACGACCTGCTCTTCAGCCGCTCACCTTGTCAGACTACACTGACTGACATTCTGTTGACTTTCAAGCATGACCAACAATCTCGCAGACGATCTGTACACATGGTAAGCTACTATATATATGACAAACTACTATATATATCTATGGCAAGCTATATGTACTCCCATCCAAGTCCTACGCAGAAGGGCCGGATACATGACGAACCAAGCTCCTAGCGAATACCCAAAATCCCACAACTACACATTCTCCATTGTTCGACCATCCACCACCGTCATACCAGTATCTGAACAATCCTAATATTACACACACCGCACCAACCAACCCACACAACGTTTAAACCCGAGAATCGAACACCAGAAGACTGCTCATTCCAGTCAAAAATCCAATCCAGAGTATCATCTTCCGGACAAGCAAGTCAGACACTTACTCCCAGGGCTCAACGGAGAATATTTAGAGTCTGTGTTCCCCGTGGGATTATGGTTTCTGCCTCTGGTTGATTGGGAGCGTGGTAGGGAAGTGTTTTGCTTTGAGTTGAATTGTTGGACATATGTGAGGGTCTGGTGGGAGGTTGGGATTAGTGGTCTGCGTGGTGATTAGACTCCCTTGGGATCTTTGGGGATCTTCTGGATTGGTCTGAGTGTTGGATATTGCGCAGGGTTACTGTGGGTGCTAGGTAGATACTCCGCAAGAGCGTCGTAGGTGCATGATACTAAAGCTTTGCACGTTGACTTTTGGTTGTATGTTATTCACTTTATACACTGAAATGTAACACGATCTAGCTTCATCAACCAGATTTATTTCAGTAGTATCTTTTACTATTATTATATCACGCGTTGCGGATGCATAGTAAATGCCATTCCCTCCTTCCATCCTCTCTTTCTCCTTATCTTTATGCATAGGTAAGAAGAACTAATCCCAAATCTACAGATAAGCATCCATCTCCTTCCCCTTGATATAAGTCTCACTACACTAACCCACCTAACAGATCAAAAAGACCGAAGTTTTATCCCTGCCAATTCCTCAGAACACCTAGCCACAATGCCAGCTCTAAAAGAATATTGAATGTGAACCAAGCTCCCATACTCTCTTGGTTCCATTACTACAATAAGAAATGCCTTGCTAGCAAACCAAACATCAGTAGTAATACCCAGTCCGAGATTTGCGTCATTATAATATGTCACGTGAGTGGCGCCGGAGCTACCACCCAGCCCCGCCAAGAAATTCTTTTGCCTCGGTGAGCATCCCCAGGGCAGGAGGTTGTCATCCCAATCATCCCCGGTCCACCCTGGGCAAGCCATGATTATAGCAGAGCAGGGGGGCCACGTAAGTGGATTTATTACTCCATCAACTTTTCTGTACAACATACTTTCTCATAATTACTAGAGACCTTTCACGTGTCCCCGCTACGATAAGCAGATCCATGGACGAACTGCTGATCAGGCTGTGGCACGGCTCACTCTGGTCACTCTGGCTCCAGCTGTCGACGTTGATAAGATCAAATCAATCGATCGTTGTTTCGAATTCGTGCTACAGCCTCGGTACGTAGTGCGACGAAGGCTATCAACTGACTCGACAATCACCACTTTTCTGTTACATTCCTGGCTTCCAGCTTGAAGTGTCATGACTATCGGCAATGAAACGCTATCGCTTTATGAGCCACCATGCAAAACGCCGAATTGGCAATATGGTACCGCGCCGATGTTCGAAAATATCACTGCCCTTGCTTGAGTGGAATCGCTCGACTCAAGAAATCAACAAACGTTGGAACGCTCACGAATCATGTATAAAGCCTAGCTGCGATGGAAACCTTATGAGACTGCAAGAACCGATTCATTCACCGCTCCTCCTCGCTAGCACGGCTTCCTACCATATATCACCGGCCTGGGAGACTTTTGTCAGTCGACGTCATGCAAGAAACTCACGAGTCAAAGCACTCACAGGCTGAAATATGCATGGATAGAACGGTTACGAAGATCTGCGCGCACCTGTAACCTTCAGTTAGTAAGTCTGTGATGAGTAGCATGGGATCCAAATCACCTGAGCACAAAGTACATCCACTTCGGGCTTTGTCCAACCCAGGACTCTCGTAAAGATGGCTAATGTGAACCCATCCATGCCTTCGTTCAAATTTACCAAGGACCATTTGCCTAGCTCCTTGAGCTTCGGATCTCTTGGCCAGCAGTTTGTTGGCCAGACATAGCGTTGCTCTTGGATGTCCACGAATCCGATTTCTTGCATCCACCGGCGGTAGTTGGGCGACTGATCAACGGGCCGTCCCATCTTGCGAGCACCCTCCACCATCTTACTGGCCCACAGCTCAAGCTTTGTGCCCGCAAGGGTGTTGTCGTCTGACTTACAAGGCATGTCATAGTCTTGGATCTCTAGCCATCCTCCGGGTTCCAGATTGCTGCTTCCCATTAGCTGCACGTTGAGAGATAAGAGAGGGTGTACAACTCAAATGCCGACTGTATCACCTTCTCCCAGCTCTCGAAGGTACCTGCCATGAGTCGCAAGTGGATATAATCAAACTTGTGACGGAAGAGCCATTCGTCTTCTGCATCGTCAATGATGAACTCCAAATTAGGTGGAACGCTGTCTTCGTCAGCGTCGTGCAGAAGCGTCGAGTAGGCCTTACGTGCAATTGCGGCTGCGTCGGTGAGAGATCTGTCCCTTTGACACTGCAGTCAGGGTACATATCGGCTGGGATAGCTTGTTAGTGCCTTGCCATCTCAGAGTCACAAACCAGGCAAGACTTGCCAAAATCCATGGCCCAGATGCCGGTCCCAGTGCCTACATCCAGGGCGTTTCGGATGTCTGGGGAGAGTGGGGCTTGGTGCAGCTTATCGCTAAAGGTGATGTTGAACATATGATGTTGCAAGTCTGACGTTCCTTGAGAAATAGTCCCTTACAGAAATTGCGAATCTCGTACCTAGTCGATCTGATTCACGCTATAAGAACCCAGTGAGTATGAGTGGACGGGTGGCGTTCAGACTGGTCTTACTTCATCATTTGGGATCCAATATTTGCCGTCTCGATAAGCTGAAAGGCATTAGATTTCACATCCACCACGAGCTGACAGTCACGCGAAATGGAATTCCATGGACGAAATGGGACAGGTGTGGAGAAAGCAAGCCCGAGACACTGACCATGGTAGGTTCTGCCGTGTTCTTTACGGTAATTGTAGATGCTCTCGGCAACCGAGGTGGTGGCACTCTCACTGGAAGAAGCTGAGCGTTGTCCAGAAGCATCAAGATTCCTCCGGAACTGACGTGTCATCACCAAAGGCCGAATCTGTCTCGGTATCATCCTAATGGAACGGTTAACTATGCTGCAGGATCAGCCTGGCGTAGGTGATGCAGGAAAGAGGGAGGGAGAGGACGCGCTCGGGACGTCTTTATGGCGTGCAGGCAGTGGCAGACTTGTATACGTACGTCAACTTCAACGACTGGCTGAGGTGCAGCCATGGTGGCTCGATTGTGGTGGCAGGAAGAGTGATGAAAATGGGAAAGAACGCCACACGCAGATTACTTTGATGGCGCAGAGCCTCAAAGAGCATGAAGAGGTCGGATGGGCTTCTGTGGACAAGGGAGCATATAAAAATGTGTTATCTGCTACAAGAGTTGACGCGTGGAGTCCAGGATGCACAGGTGGTGGGACATGGCGGACAGGAAAGCCGACGATAATGAGGATTGGTCACTCGTGCAAGGTTGCGCGATGGTGAAGGCGAACGAAGGGGAGGACTGGAGGACTGCGAGCTGGTACGTACGGTACGCGCGCATAACGCCTCTGTCGCAAAATCATCTGCAAGCGATGCAGCAGGAGGACATTCTCAAGGGATGGTACAGCAGAAGTTTTCACGTGGCCAGAGCATGGCAGTGGGGATGGATGTGATGCGGCGGCATTATTTATGGAGAACAGCTCCCGGTCACGGTTATGAAGATGGTCACGGTCATGGACACGGTCATGATTCTGGTCATAGTTACCGTCCCTTCTTCCCTTATGAGCCGTGGAGAAGAAAAGGCGCCAGGGTGGACAGGACAGGGTATCTAATTATCACCTGGTGGGGACTGGGATGATGTTCTGGGCAGTCCTGGTAATTACTTTTGTCGGCCTGTCTGCCTGACCGCCCAGTGCCATCATCCCTGGCTGTACCTATTAATTACTACCCAGGTATTTACTACCTTTCTGGAGCCCCCGGGTGAGCGTGTGCTGGACACCTATAATAGCCTAATAGCCACCTAGGAGTACGTACCTGATACCTAATTACTGATAATACCCTACAGTCAACGCTCTCTGTACATCACCACGCCACCACCATCCACTATTCACCATCCACCAAATGATGCCTGCCGACCGTAGCTGCGACCTCTCTCTCTCCGTCTCCCTTCACCTCCACCCAAAGAAGCGTGTCATGTTCTGTGGTCTAATTACATCTGTAGAATAGGGGGAGTGAATGTGGTCAACTCCTTGCCAAGACACACCTGATGTTTACAATGACGATACCCAATTGGTCCGAGTCGCGACTCCATTGACGGCCGGCTCATATCATACCATGGAATCCTTCCAAATGGGTACAGGGAGTATCCCATGCGATAATAGTATTCATGACATAAGACGTCTGTCCAGTGTTGCAGCCTTCACTCCATGAGGCACGCACCTCGATTCTGCACAGGACTCGTCTTTCGGCACGGATCGTAGGTCGTGGTGCCAATTTTCACCACCAGAATTGGCGGCACACACGGCAATTGACCATCCCGGTCCACTGCCAATTCCTTCGTTCGCTGCTTCCAAGGTTGCTCACACAGCGATTTCTGTCTCTTCCTCTTGTTTCTGCTTCTGCTTCCCTTGCTTGCTTGTAATTAGTTGGCGTCCAGCATATCCATCTCGCGGGCTGTTCACGCCCGTTCAAGCTGGAGGTTTCGCAGATAATATTCAAATTCGTCTGCACAATGCCCATCTCGTCCGCACACTGCCATCGTTCACAGGCCACTGCTTTTCATCTTCACCCGATCATACAAAAGCTGTCTTACCCCACCCTCGAACAGCCTCGTCGTACTGCTCTTCGAAGAATATCCAGACTGCTGGGTCCGCCACGTTAAACAAACCCCCAACACTAATTACGGCCTCGAAACGATCACTTGCACATACTAAACCCTAGCTGTTCGTTGCCCACCCACCTCCACGGACACCATAATGGCTCTGCTGCCACCGTCGTTTGTCGCAGCCCTCGTCTCCGGCCTTTTGGTACTGTGGTACGTCTACTCAACACTGAATGCCTACCTTGCCCTCCGTCACTTCAAAGGCCCATGGTCGTCTGGTTTCTCGCGTCTATGGCTGTTGAGAGCCAACCTAGGTGGTCGCATGAACCATGAGTTTCGAGCCGTCAACGACAAATATGGTACGTCGCTCTCCCTTCTCTCGCCAGATTGCTCCATCTGGACGCCAATTTCGATGCGTGAGGCGAATGCTCTTGGGCTATGATACTGACTCGTGCCACAGGCAAGACTGCTCGCGTGGGACCTCAGACACTCCTGACCACCGATGTTGCCCTCATCAAGCGAATGAACGGCACCAGAAGCGATTATCGTCGTTCAGTGTGGTACAATGCACTGCGCCTGCATCCAACTCGAGATAACATCACCTCCCATCGTGACGAGCAGGTCCATTCTCGATTGCGCGCCCAGATGACACAAGGGGTGAGCCCTTCTGCAGCATCCCTGCTTCCGTCATGCTCCACTTTCTGCACGTACAAGGACTGACACCATCCACACAGTACTCTGGCAAGGACGTTCCCGACCTCGAGAAAGATATTGATAGATGCATTGAAGACTTCTTCGCGCTCATCAACCGCACTTATGTCTCCTCTGAGGCCGAATACGTTCCTTTCGACCTTGCGCGTCTGGCAACCTTCTTCTCACTGGATGTCATCTCCACTGTCGCGTTCGGCAAGTCCTTTGGCTTCCTTGACTTGAATGACGATCCGTTCGGCTATCTTCCACAGCTGCAGACTCTACTTCCGGCTATCATATTCTTTGGTGTTTACCCTGAGATCCAGAAGATTATGCGTCTATCATGGATGCAGGCACTGCTACCGAAAGCCACGGATGTTAATGGAGTTGGCAGAGTCATGGGGTAAGTTCTGCCGCATCTTTACCTTTTAGGCGCATTTTCCTTGCCAATAAGCGTTGCCAAGGGTGGGTCGTACGAAAAGAGAGGCAATGTGCAGCAAATGCCACCACTGTTGTATCCTGAGGGCGGGTGACACGAGATTCCTTGCTCTTTCAGCGTGACATCGTACCGAAGCTGACGTGCATGATTCTAGATTCGCCAAAGATGTCGTTGCAGAACGCTTTGGCGAGGAGAAAGTGGTTAGAAGGGACATGCTCGGATCTTTCCTGAAGAATGGTCTCACTCAAGATCAGCTCGAGTCTGAGACCCTCACCCAAGTGTAAGTGGGCTGACTTTTGCGCCCCCTATACAATAGCGCTTATAATTAACACGGGCTTGTATAGTGCGGCTGGATCAGACTCGACAGCCACGGTGATTCGCATGGCAATCTTCCTTATCGCCTCCAACCCCTCCGTCTACAACAAAGTATTGGAAGAGCTGGACGTTGCTGAGGCTGCTGGTAAACTTACTCGACCTGTCATCCGTGATTCCGAATCTAGACTACTTCCCTACTTCCAGGCTTGCGTAAGAGAAACCCTTCGATGTTATCCTCCAGTCACTGGACAGCTCGCTAAGCAGTCTCCGGCCAATGGCGACCACTTTAATGGGATGTACATTCCTCCAAATACTCAGATTGCTTGGAACTCTTGGGGCTTGATGCGCACCAAGGAGATCTTCGGGGACGATGTCGATGTGTTTCGACCAGAGCGCTGGCTTGCTTCAGGCGGCCACACGCCAGAGGAGCTCGCTCATATGGAAGAGACGGTATGGATGGCGTTTGGCTGGGGTCGCTTCGGCTGTCTTGGTCGTCCAGTTGCGCAGATGGAGATCAACAAGACCATTCCAGAGGTAAGAACAGTGCTTGTCACGCGACGAGTTTTCCCTGCTAACGTGCATCTACAGTTGCTCATGGAGTACAACTTTCAGATTGCCGATCCGTCCAATCCATTCTCGGTCAAGTGTGTTGGCTTCTTCATCCACACCGACATGTTCTTTCGAGTCTCGAAACGCATTCGACGTGAGTCTAGGACCGCGACCTGAACGGCTTCGTCATGCTCCTTCGGTGCTGCGAAGTGGAACCTTGCTTTTCAGCACAACCTCGCATTTTGCTCTCTCAGAACCGCATTTTCTGCACGTCGATCACCATTCCGAAAGCCACAGTACTGCCCGGGTATATAGTCAGCCAATTCCCCCCATGATTTACCACTGCAAGGTGTTCCTGAGGTACACCCCGATCGAAGTCGCCAGAACGAATTTACGAGTTCCATTATCCTTGAAACATGGCGTGGTAGATCTTCTTTCCAGTTTGTGTATTATTACTTGCAACAACGTCTATCCGTCCGTCCGTCCGTCTGTCTTTAATGTGTTCTACACAATCCGCAAAACAGCGATCGCGCGGTAACAAGGATGAATGGCGACCACGATGACATTGCCTGCCATAACGGACTAGTCCTTATCTTGCGATGATACCTCGATAGAACAAATTAGCTAGCTATATCAGGTCCTGCACACAGACACTCACAACAAAACATCTCAAATTTCTCTCCATGACAGACAGATTCTATCATGGCATAGCACATTGTCATCATCGTCTTCATCCCCCACGTCGAAAACACCATAAATAATATCAAAAAATGTACCTCGATTCAAGTAGTTCCTCTCCTCTGCCTCAAATCATTATCCCCTCGCCCATGTACGTCGTACTCGAATCCATATTACACATACCCATAAGGAAAGGACACGCCTCCAGAAGAAAGAACAAAGGGCGTATCAGTCGTTGGAGTGTTTCCATGGTTCATGTTCGCTCTACTGTACGGCGTTCAACGAACCTCCCCGCTGCTGCATATGGGTGGACTGGTGGACTGGTGAATTAGGGTCGATGACGTGTATGTGGAGCTCTGCGGCACAGGGCATGCCGCATAAGGCAGAAAGGCAGAAGGTAGTAGATAGGTGGGAAAAGGCAGAAAGTATTCGGCAGAAGGTAAGAAAGTAGAAGGTCAGAAAGCAGAACGCAGAAGAAGGCATAAGTCACAAGGCCAGTCAGTTACCGACAGAACGGCACAAGGCACAAACAAGGCTGAAGAAAGCACCAAGACAAGATGCACAACGCCCCCAACGGCTACAGCACCGACAAAAAGCCATACGGCACAATACATAGGGCTAAAGAAGGCTGAAGAACGCACAAGGCATCAGGAAGTAGGCAAAGCGGAGGGCACGGGACGAGCCCAGGTAAGATAATTAATTAGGCATAAGGGCACAGGCCGTAGAAGGTGAAGCCACGCACTATTCCTAATGGGGATATATATTCACGATACAGGCATCCCTTTTTTTTTGGTCTTTGTTATGAAGAATGTTATGAGAATGTTCTGGGAGGTGTAGAGGGTGGAGGGGCAGGGGGGGGGTAGTATCATGGATGCATGACTGTCCACAACCATCGCTCTCCACTTTCTTTTTTATCACAGAAATTGTTTCTCAGAAATAAGAACAACAACAACAATAATAATAACAAGTACTACGCAGTGCGCGTTGTTTAACCCCCTGTTCCCTCTCTCTAAAAAGCCTTTTTCTTTTTCTTTTTCTTTTCTTCTTTTTTCCTTAATTTCCTTTTCATGTAGTTCGGCCCACTCCACACTCCACCTAGTTACCCATCTCTGGACGGCTGGGGGATTGGGAGAGAGGGATGATGTATGGGGAGGCAGTGCAGAATAGGGCAGGATGATGCGGAGTTTAGGGCAGGTGGGATGACCACCAGGCAGCACAGGTGATTAGTTGGGAAGTAGGCGGGGAGTGGGGGATGCGGCGTGTTGAGAAAGCGGTGGACGACAAACAATGATAGGCAGGTAGGTAGTGAGGCGGAGCAAAACTAGGTCCTGCTCGGTGCAATTTTCCGTGATATCGGGAGTACTTTTAGCAAGCACTTGGGGGAGGGGGACGGGCCGGAGCGGTGAAGAGAAACAAGAGGGCGGCCAAATTTTGTTATTAGGAGGGGCGCAAAGATTGTGTGGTGGGTTAGTCGAAGCGATTTCTTGCATGTGAAATAGCGCATTGCAGAGAGGGGAAGCACCATGTTTTGAGGATGTTATTATATTCACTGAGTCTAAGCTACCCAACAAACCCATCCAATAAAGTCAACGGTAGATGTGCCTAGTTATCCCCAATGCCACCGAATGCTACCCAGAAAGCTGATGCTCGATCGCCGCTGCTCACCAAAGATCCGAGATTCAAAGAAATGCCACCAAGCATTGATACATCAGAGAAAAGAGGACAAGAGGGATGGCTGAAGGCAGAAGTAAATGTGTTGAGGTATGGCGTGAAGTGGTTGATAATATGAAGGTAAGATGAGATGATGCAGTGATCTTCCCCAACACAGTCGAGCGTAGCAAGATATGTGTCATATGTGTGCCATCGATATGTGCAGGCATATATTCTCCTTCTCGTAGCTTTCCACTCCTTCAAAACAATAGACAACAAGAAAAATTTGTGCAGGTAAAGATCGAATATGGTCGGTTGTAGATGGTGATCGTTGTTGCTAATGCATTCGTCAAAGATCATAAGTCTCTATATCCATGCAGGAGAAGAGAATCCAGACCCGGAAGAGAGACCTGAACCGGGTGGAAAGTGAAATGAGTTTTCAAAAGATCAGTCGCTTGCTGCGTTTCAATTCGAACAGATCGTTGTCATCGTAAAGTCGTAAATGGACGTGACGTGTCGTGGATCATGTGTTCCAAAACAATCATGACAGTCGTATCCTCAAACAAATAGCACAATGGCCTGCCATCTACCTGGTAGTGCTTTCGGGCTGCTCTGATACATTGATCAGATGATGATGCCGATAGATGACAGACTGAATATAGCTTGGCGTAGATACGCCGGGGAATCAAATATAAATCAAAACAATGTGTGGAATATCATGGTCGCCTATCACATTTCGTTGACGATCGTATTATGCGTCGTGTCCTAATCGTTCGTTTCCGCATGAGAAGGTGACATTGATATGGTGGGCTCGTTCAGTTTGCACGAATAACCAGCTTCGAGAGAAACTTGTTTGACAGAGAGTCAAAATCCTCGCGGTCGAATTTGCTGTCAGCGCGCGATCTCAAATACGAGTCTGAGAAGTGTTAACATAATCTGAAAGGTATGCCTGGCGACTATACTTACCATATTTGTGTACATGCGCGCGTACTTCAGTCATAGCATCGCACACAGCGGGGTTTGACGCCAGTAGGTGATGGTGCTTGCGCGTATCCCACTCTGAGAAACTCGGAAGCTTCTGGGAAATGGCAGAGAAAAGCCCAACGATGACGCCTACTGGTGTGCTTTCCATATCGTTGCAAAATTTCTCAACAGCCTTCTGATCTGGGATACGATAATGACAGTCGAACTGCATGAGCTCCCAGACGCAAAGAAGAATAGCAGCAAGCATGAAAATGGTCGGCCAATTCTTAAGCTTGTCACCACTGTACACAGACGAGTATAGACTAGACAACTCCTCAAGGACGTCCTTCTGAAGCTCTCGCCACATATCGGCCAGCGCGCATTTGACCTGGAAATTGATCATGACTGGCGCGACCGTCTTGCCGAAGAACTTGCTAGCATTGTCATCAACCTTCCCAACATACTGATCGTCATCGCCCAAGCCCTCAACCATCGTCACGTGTAGAGTGAGATTGTATGCAAGCACAAGTTTCAGAGCTTTACGGATGACTGGAAGTTTCTCGCGAAGGTAAAAGCGATATGCAGTCTTCAGAATCTCCGAGATGAAGTAGGTTCCGTCAAAGTATTCATCGACAAATCTCTCGAATCCTCCGTCAATGTGGCGATCCAGATACTCGGACAACATAGCGTGTGAGATGCCTTCCATGCCAGCTGAAAGTTTGGCAGTCTGACATTCGAAAGTCTTCGGGAATTCATTGATCTGCTCCACCCAATCCACGCCGAAGCATTTGTCATCACGAACGTACACCTCACGAGCGTTGATGGGAAGGTAAAAGCCGTACCCGTGGGTGACATAGATCTGCCGTTCAATTTGGGAGAACCCTTTAATGTTGCCAACAGAGAACCCTAGGCTGACATGACGCTCATAATCCGCTTTCCAGTCCTTCATGAAGTACGCGATATCTTTAATGTCGATACGGGTGCAAGGCACTTGCCAGAGACGGGCATGGGAAGGCTGGCAGCCACCACAAGGGTCACCCTTGTCACATGTTTTCTTAAGGAACTTGCATCGAAGGCAAGCACGTAATTTGCGGATCTCATGTGCTTGTTGACGTTGATCGGGTCGCAAAGGGCCGCGCCTTCTTCCAACCTTTTTCTCGCTGGCATTGGCATCTTTCTTCGTAGAATGCACTGGCTTCTTTTGAATTGTCTTCTGGACCTTATCTCTCGCACCTGTTGGACTTTTCCGTCTTCGTGCCGACGGAGGGGAGCTGACACCGGACGACGTGGGTGAGGTCGACTTTAGTCCGTTATGGCCTTGGGTGCAGGCTTTGGGCTGCGTCACAATTGGTATGGGGCTTGCCGAAGCATTCGTGGGAGAATTGTGGTGAGAATGGGTGTGTGGGTGGTAATGCTGAAGGTCCCCAGATTTCCTATCATGATTCGAGGATGTACTGGAAAGACCATGAGTACCATGTTGAGTGAATTCAATATGGTGCTCTGATTGTGGAGAGCCCATAGGAAACATGACCTCTTCATATCCGCTACCGAAAGAGATGGCAGAGGGTGGAACGTCGGAATGATTAGATTCGTCGGAGCCGGAGCCAGTCCGGATGTGTAGACTCATGGCTGGGTTGTGTATTATCTGGTTTGAGTTGTCCGTGTTGTACGAACCAAATGACCGTCGGTGGGACTGTGGGATATCCACAAAGCTCCAGCCATTTCCATTCTCGTCGCTCGATATGGACCTGATTTCCAACAAGTTCTCTGATGGTGAAGAACCTCCAACACTCGAGCAGGGAACAGCATATTCGTTCGTGCCTAGCTCAGTAGTTCCAGCGTACATGAGTTCATTCTGAAAATCATTCATCTGGAATGCAAAGCTAGTCATCTGTTGCATATCCATCGCAGAAGAAATGGCCATGAAGTTGGAGGAGCCCTCCATCGAAAGCGTCGTATTCATAGTCGCCTGTGACACTGGCATGAAGTCTATGGGTGAGTTGTGAAGAGAAGTGCCGAAGGCGTTAAAGGCTGACGGATCGATAGTTGTATCTTGAAGATAGCCATTCTGCTGACCGGTATGAGGTAACTGGTAGCTGCTCCAGTCGGTCAGTAAGCCAGCTGTCGACGGAGTAATCCCCCCGTGTGAATAGCTAATACGATGTGACTGAAGAGGTGCTGTGCTGGTCGTAGGCTGCGAGGATGTTGCAGAGGACGTGTTCGCTCGCTGAATCTGGTTGTTCTGGTTGTTTGATGACTGTTGGGACATGTTTTGTTCGACAGGAAGCGGCCAGGACTGTGTCGCCAGCGGATGGTAGAGTCGATTGCTCGGGTCGTATGAGGGATCGAAGGCCAGGAAGGCTTCGTCCATGTTGAGGCTGTCCATGTTCATAAGAATGAACGGTCAACAGTCGCCTGGGACTGGTACTGCTGAGAGCGAAAGGTGAGGAATCAGGTAAGGTCTCGGTAGGGAGAGGCTCAGCTGGTGGTGAGTAGGATCGCGAGGTGGTCGAAGCGGACCGTAATCACACCGCCTGGAGGGAGGGGCGGGAGTTTTGGAGATTTACGGCCCTGCTTAAAGGCGCGCGGAAGGACAGAAGAGGCGGTGCTGGCCACAAGCTCCTCTCGCTTGTCTGTATTGCAGATATTTTCCGGATCCTTCAGCGCAGTTGACTGACGGCAGGTAGATGGATCTGGAGAGAGAGAGGATGGAGCAAGCAGAGACAAACGGGGTGTCAGAGAGCACGAGAAGAGGGCATCCTGGAGGGAGAGCCGGCAGGGCTCCTGAGTGGTGGAGCTGGTGAATCGCTCGTGAATCGGCGACGGTTGTGGTGAGAGGAAGAGAAGTTTGGACAGTCTAGTAGAGCAGAGCGAGTGTCTCGGGTCTCGTATGGAGGGAGGGGCAAAGAAGCGGTCTGCTAGACTGCTGCAAGACGATGCATCGTTAAGCCCACCCTAAACCCCAACCACCACCTATGCTCCCAGCCACGTCCAACAACTCCAATCACGATGCACGCCCATCATGTCATGCAGGACTCGTGGACCTCTTCGACCACTTGAAGGAAAGGCGGTGCGACAATGTACCCTCTGAATCCATGCAACCTCTGGCGCTGCCAGCAGACTCCCCCAAGGAATCAAGGAATGCTGATCCACACTGGATGCCATCGCGCCGCATGGTTGCATCGATCAGGCGGGACGAGCCCGCAGTCAAAACGAATGCGAAGTCTTTTCATACTGTGGTATTATGATAACAAACGACTTACACATTGCTCATAAGTAAAGCAGCCCCGCACATGTCCGATAACATCCCTGACGATATCGATAGCTTCATGGAACTATATGTATGCCGCCATTAGCAACCTGCGAGATGTAGGCGATTATCGATACCAGCCTATCATCGTCCAACGGAGAATTTGGGTGCTGGGGCTTTCGGCCATATAAGAGTTTATACCGTTTACAGCCAACTTGTTCCAGACAACCCTTCCCATTGTAGGGATGGCACATGCCCAAAAGCGTATGGATGCCGGCCAGAATGCCGAGTGTTGATGGCTCGATGGCCAATCGACCTCACCACTCTTCGCCCTGACCACCTCTAAGTTAAGTAACCATCCATGTTTTCCCTCAATGCTTGCTTCTCCCCTGCCTGCTGCTTCCGTCTTGCTACAGAACAGACCCAATTCCCGCTGGTACGATTGCAGGCTTCAGGACAATCTTGAGCGAATACCAAACAAACATTCGACTTCATCACGGTGCCAGCACTTAAATTAGACTAATGTACGTTCCAGATCACAAGATCTGGCGGCTATGATCAGTCTACATGTTTCCCAATATGAAGACATGAGACTTTGGGAACCAGGTTGAGCCTGTCGAAGTCTAATTTGATAATCTTATGCACAGTAGTGCAGACTTACCCCAGACCTTGAGACGCTGCTCCACTGGTCAAACTACTATGCACCGAGACCTGGGGTTGTTTTACTGCGACTGGACCTATTAAAACGCAGCTCCTCCACATGCGCAGTTTTGATGTAATATGGGATCAAGGCCAAGATCTCCCACTCAATTTCAGTGCTGAAGCCTACCCCGGACATTTAGTATGCCGACATACTCTCGTAGCTTCAAGTTTCAACGACAAAAGATCTCGACGGCTGATACATAGTGTCACTCTTTAGGACAGCATTCTACACTCTTGTGGCCTAAATGACTTGCTAAGATGGTTTTCTACATGCATCACCTTTATGATCGCATTGCTACAGCCAGCTCGTGTCCAAAGGTCATCGCGGTGTCTAGTATTGCAAAGCGAGCATTATAATCTACGACGTACCAAGTGCTTCTATAGGTTTACTCGCAGAGGCTGATTCTCTGTTTGACAGATAAACACAGCGTCTTGTTATGATTCTTTCCAGTTTATAAAAAATCACGTGATATATATACCCAAAGGTATAATCAGTCCAGCGGAAAATGTTCTCAAGGAAAGTTTATAAGTGGAATGGAACTATTTTCATCATATGGAGGAGGTTCGCTGCGGATGGACAAAATCATTTACAAACCAGTATCCAACTTAGCATGAGCATTAGTCATTCATACAATGTATAGTAGCAAGAGATGTAGGAATTTAGAACGACCTCGTCACCATCAACATCGTGTGATATTGTGCTTGCTCACTAATTATAGTGTTTTCACTTCCATCTATATAGTTCCCATCGTGTGAGCGCCTTGCTGTTCTCGACTTGCTGAGTTAATCTCAATCAGAAGTGGCGGGTGGTGTGTGATAGTGATATAGTTGTCACGCGGCAACACATACCTATACCTATCATCAAAGGTGGCTCAGCCGATTGCGGAGTCTCCTCGACTCTGGAACAAACAAGTTTAACGGCGTCCCTGCTGTAGGGGTTAAACCCACATGCGAGCGCTATTGAAGGGCCCCAAAGTGTTTCTGACTCTATGGAGAAGAGGAGTTGAGGCGATGGTTAATGATGAGCTCAGGGTGCTCAAGCGTGACTTGCACGATAAGGTTACGTAGTGACGGAGGCTGCGCCTGGAGCTGATAGAAGCTGCTAGAGTGGGCTCTCATAGGTGAAAGGCGCACGGACCTGATTACACATCGCTGCGCCCATTGCCGCCTTACGCATACATAAACCCAACCTCTCTCTCTCTCCACCTTCCTTCTTCCTGCCACTGTCCACCCTCAATAAAAGAACACCAAAGAAATACCCCCGAAACAACCTTGCTAACTCAACACAAGAGACACTCACTTATATCGCCGCCATCATGCAGATCTTCGTGAAGACTTGTGAGTCGGGTCACCTTGCCACTTAACCTTGAGCCATTCCCAACTAACATCTCTTGCAGTAACTGGCAAGACTATCACCCTTGAGGTTGAGTCTTCTGATACCATCGACAACGTGAAGTCGAAGATTCAGGACAAAGAAGGCATTCCTCCAGATCAGCAACGTCTCATCTTTGCCGGCAAACAACTAGAAGACGGTCGTACGTTGAGCGACTATAACATCCAGAAGGAGTCGACTCTCCACCTCGTGCTCCGCCTTCGTGGTGGTATGCAGATTTTTGTTAAGACTCGTGAGTACGTTCCGTCACCTTCAGTATCTCTATAGCTAACCCGCTCCAGTCACTGGAAAGACCATTACTCTTGAAGTTGAATCGTCCGACACTATCGATAATGTGAAGTCGAAGATTCAGGACAAAGAAGGCATTCCTCCAGACCAGCAACGTCTCATCTTCGCTGGCAAACAGCTAGAAGATGGCCGTACTCTGAGCGACTACAATATCCAAAAAGAGTCTACCCTTCACTTGGTTTTGCGTCTGCGTGGTGGAATGCAGATTTTCGTTAAGACCCTGACCGGAAAAACCATCACACTCGAAGTTGAATCCAGCGACACGATTGATAATGTCAAATCAAAGATTCAAGACAAGGAAGGTATTCCGCCAGACCAACAGCGTCTTATCTTCGCTGGCAAGCAACTAGAAGATGGCCGCACGTTGTCAGACTACAACATCCAGAAGGAGAGCACTCTGCACCTGGTTCTTCGTCTACGTGGTGGGATGCAAATCTTTGTAAAGACGCTCACTGGAAAGACTATTACTCTCGAGGTTGAATCGTCGGACACTATTGACAACGTGAAATCCAAGATTCAAGACAAGGAGGGTATCCCACCAGACCAACAACGTCTGATTTTCGCCGGAAAGCAGTTGGAAGATGGTAGGACCTTGTCCGACTACAACATTCAGAAAGAGTCGACTTTGCACCTCGTGCTCCGTCTTCGGGGTGGCCAATAGTGGGAGTTGGATTCAATATTCAGTTGGGCGTTGAGACTCCGGGTATCGGGGCAATTCTCGTATCCATACCATATTGTAGTCGTTAGCAATACATGAGTCTCTGGGCGCAAGGACCTAGAAGTTCTCAACATTATCATCGTTTAATATCGCTCTTCTAATCCGTGAGTACATTCTACTATCAAAATCTCCGTACCTGAGTAATTACAAGAGGTGTGATATGCACGTTACGTCACCGTCTGGGTCGATGTCGATATGCCGCCACCCAGACGGCCATTCCTAGGCATTGCGCGTCCATTGTCATTTGCCGGTCCTTAGTCACAGACTACGCCACAACGTCCACGTGTATATCATGCAAGAAGTGTGCGCCGGCCCTGCACACGAACTTGGATGCGAGATACACAGGTACCTGTTTTGGCCGCCTTGGCAGATACAATATGTCACTTAAAATGAAGCATGTAATAATACTCGTTTAGTCTTTTTGATCAACAAAGGAATGTGTCAATGTATGGAAGTACCAACATATGGGTCTAGGCTAGAACAAATGTACCTGCCCGGTTATACCAAGATGCCTGCGGACTACATGTATACCAGGAGAGCGATGAGAAAGATTGTGATTCCCAACTAATCTATCTTCGCGCTCTCTAATCTACGTGTCGAAATGACGTTCGATAATCGGAGATTATTACGCTTGTACTTGCTATGCTTCCGCAAACGCTTCCTCGCGACCATTACGGGAACGGAGGATTTAGTGACCAGATAATTACTGAAAGAGCCGAGGAGAACACTAAATTTATTAGATATCATTCAGGACTTTGCATATATGGATATGCGAGTACATACCCTTTAAGTGCACTACGTCCGCGTGAGCCCAGGATGACCAGCGTTGGTTCCAGATAGTCAATCTAGGTGGTGTCAATAGAGGAAAATATACGGCAAAGAGCGTAGAACTCACAACTTCCGTAAGCATATGCTTAGGACTCTTACAGTGGAAGACTTCAACCACGACCCGGACTTGTAGCTTCGTCTTCCGAAGAAGCTTTACGCACCGGTCGGAGACCTCCATTGTGGCTGTCCATCGCTCCCGTTCTGCTTTCTCCATACTCGCTAGATCTGGCGGTCGATCGACTTCAGCAGACACATATTGAGTGGTTTCGTCTGTAGGACTGTTAGGGGGCGAATTTGAAAGTGTCTTGTTTAAAGAATATGCTTCGTCCGCCGCAGTAACACCGTTGCCCAAAGCAGACTCGGCTCCTGTCCCAATCTCTTCGTCAACAGCATAAACAGCCAAAAGGGTATCACCATCCCGAAGAACTGTTCCTATTGTCCATTCCAATGCGTACGCTGCTTCTTCACTAAGATCAGTCGCGACAAGGTACACTCGCTGCCTCCGAAGTCCTTGTTCGGCCTCGGTTTGAAAACTCATGTATTCGCCGCGAACCACTTGGCGAACGCATCTGTGAGCTTCAGGAGTTGAATGTATTGGTGAGATCGTCATAGCCATTCTTTGTGCTCGCTTTATCTCCGAGATTTCAGCCTCATAATCCGAATTCATTGGTGTCGATACTCCAGAACCGCCTTGATCGAAGCTGGTGTTGGGATGAACCCCAGATTTCTTCATAGTTGTCATCTTATCACCATCTGGACCAGTCACGGTAACAGCCGGTTCTATCAATGAGCGGTATTTGTGGGTAGCTGTTAGCTCCTTCCCTATGCATAATGTTAGATGTCCTAATGATGGTGATCCTCTCGGGAGACTCACGCTCGTCTTCTGCAGCAGCTAGGAGACTCTGTGGAGTTCTAGCGCTCCCATCTTTAGCCTTCGCCTCGTCACCAGGCGCGAGCGAAGTATGCTCCTTGTGCCGTCGCCTGCCTCGTGGCTTTTCCGAACCCCAGTGCTCAGTCCCGGAACTTGCATCAGAATCATTATCATCGCTACTTTCCACAACGTCTTCATCGTCATCACCAAAATAGTCCTTTTCTAATCGTACTCCTTCAGTGCTATCTGCTTGTGACGAGCTCGCCGAAGCTTTTCGATTCGCTAAGCTTGACAAAGTTCCTCCAGAACGTAGCAGCGCCGCATCCGAAAGTTTGCGATACGCATTATCCATGTCAAGCACTTTGCCTGAATCTGATACTAATTTTCTCGAGGAATTTGATAACATAGTTCCACCAGGTGATTGAGATCGACCAGCATGAAAACGTGTCGAAGGCGACTTCGATTGACGTTTGCCGAAGAGCCCTGATGTGGAATGGTGCCGCCCAGTATCTCGCGGCGGTAGACCAGGTGTCAACCCAAGTGGCCTGTCCTTCTTCCTTCCACCTTGACTCACGTACTTCGGTAGAGCGTGCGCCTCAACGCTAGGTAGCGGATCGAATTGGTAGGCTTGCTCCGGGTTGACTGGCTGTCCAGGAGTAGATGAGTGTCCAGAACTCAGCCCTGGGCTTCTCATCCCGGCACTTGAAGCCCCAGCCACCGATACATGCCTTGGCTTCTTCACTGGGACTTCGCCTATATCCAGCATGCTCCGTGTCGGCTTGCTAACGAAAGCTTCGGATTTGTCGCTTGTGGCCCGTATGAATTTACTCGTTGGGACATCACCTGCTTCCGGCATACTTCTTGTAGACGGAGCTTCTCCTACATCTAACATACTTCTGGTAGGTTTCTTTGCCGGGGCCTCAGCTATATCGAGCATACTTCGGGGTGGTAGTCTGCGTACGGCTGATGTGGAACCGACATCTAGCATACTTCTGACGGGCGATTTGGTAGCTGCTGCTGTGGGACTCTCTGAGCGTCTTGGGGAGCTTGTACCGCGAGCTCGCTGAGGCGTCGGAGCAGGACGTCCTTCGAGTAGGGCCATTATCTCGCGCCGCTCCTCATCTAATGCTGACTCCATAGACATGTTGTTTATTTATATGTGCAGCACAACAACGCTATGTTGTTGAATATGAATATGAATATATCTGGATGAATGAATATCGTGAAGGGTCGAGAGATCAACGAGTGACGCAAGTTGTTGCGCCTGGCGTGAAAGTATAACCGATAGACCAGTTCAAAGCTTTGGAATGGCTACTTAGACGGCGCCCCAATTGACAAGACTGTGAGACACCAGATTAGCAATGACTCAGCACCGGCGTCACTTCAGGCAGTAGTCACAGTAGAATTCTTAAGCATCTGCTTTGTAACGATCGATCAAGGAGTCCTTGGGAAGTGGGTCGATGGTCCTGTCGACAAACACGGATATGCTCAGCCACTGTCTGCGAAGAGGACAGCAACGACGTTGTAGAATGCGAAAGTGGGCATTACGAGATGGTAAGCAACACTGCAAAAATAGCTCAGTGGGTGAAGAAGCGGTCCAGGAATGTTATGAACAGTGATTGAGATGAATGCGCCAGAAAGAACTACTAATAAGCGCCGCTTCACTGTTCCAGGAATTGCCAAGCTCTCTTCGACTTGGCAGGTGTTCCCCGCTGTCGTAGATAGTCATCCGGTTCTGAGTAACTTGGAGAGCAACCCGGGGTTCAAGGCTCTACGGACGAAATGATATTCGATTGCTTGCAAGCAGCTTGGACATACAAGATATAAGCATCATAGTGTCTTTGAAAGATCAGCAAAACAAAACGTAGTGACATGAGTGAGGTTTGAACTCACGCGGGTTTCCCCAGTAGAGCTTAAATCTACCGCCTTAGACCACTCGGCCATCATGCCTAGCACATTATCAGAGTTTGGACTAAAGATCTATTATATACTCTACAATAATGCGAGCTTATCAAAGTATCACCTACCTGATGGACGAATCCGTACTAGTGCACGCATCCACTTAGGTCTAGGATCTCTTCTTAAAGTTCACAAGTCTGTGTTGCTGACCAAGCGCTCTATACTCACTCTAACATTTCTTCGACTGTCAAATTCGAAGCCTTTGGCTTAGGTACAATCATGTCGTCTTCCCAAGTTATCAAGCGTGCATCTGCGAGTGGCCCAACGAAAAGGGCCTCCACCGCCGCCTCAGCCCCGAAGCCTCCCCTCTCAAGCTCCTCTCGTGCAATTATCGCTGGCCATGCTTCTCTCAGCGGAATGAATCGTATTTCGTTGGGTCCTTACACCGTGCTACATCCTTATTCGCGCATTTCATCTAACGTTGCACCGGTCACGCTCAATGAGGGATGCGTTATATGGGAGAAGGCCACAATAGGCATTTCAGACAATAGTATCAGGTACAGCGAGGACAAGTCAGAAAAAGAGACGCAAAGGGGTACCACCCTGAACAGACATGTTGTCGTTGAGAGTCTAGCCGTGGTAGAGGCCAAGGAGATCGGTGAGGGCACTATCATCGAGAGTGGTGCCAAGGTAGGCATCGGATGCGTACTTGGCAAGGTATGAATGAACCAGCTGCAATTTAGCAATGCTGACTTGCAATAGTACTGTACTGTTTCTCCTGGTACAATTGTGCCTCCATTCACCGTACTGCCTGATTTTACAGTGGTCTTTGGCTTCGCGCAGACGCGTACGAACACCACACTACAGGACCGAGAAGACATCATGAAGTTGAAGGTGCAAGCACACGAGAAGCTTCTGGAGTCACTCGCGATACTTATACCCAACAACCTGGCGAAGTGGCAATGAAAGGCGAGCATTTGGCGCTAGGAAAATGCATGCATATAACAGTTTCGAGCGTGCCCGAATCACTCCATTCAATACACATTCGACTGACTATTCGACTCGCACATCGATGCCCGCTGCCGGTAGGAAGAGTGTGAATAACGAAAAGAGTGTGATTTTAGAACACCATATCAATTTAGTACTAACAAAAGCCTGATTCGTATTCGCTTAGGTATGGCCCACCTTTACCTTGGGTATGTACGGTTCATCCAAGTATGCAACATCCTCATCCGTGAGCTCTATATTGGAGTTTATCACGGTCTCCTCGATTCTTTCCTTACTGTTCAGACCTATGATAGGGATATCTCCTTTATGGATACTCCAAGCAGTAGCGACGCCAGCCATACTGACACCAAGCTTCTTAGCAATTTCCTCCACACGATCCACGATGAGTTTGTCGACCTCAGACTCTTTCTCTCGAACTAATCTCTTTAGTGCACCATCTGTCCTCTCGCGATGTGTGTCACGGCTGCACCATGGGCGGGTAAGCGCGCCACGTGCGACCGGACTCCACGGAATGAGGCCAACGCCTGTGTATTTGCAATACGGAATCATCTCGCGCTCTTCTTCACGGTAAAGAAGGTTATGGTAATTCTGCATGCTGATAAATTGATGCCATCCGTGCTTCTCGGCAATGTTTTGAAGCATCTGGAACTCCCAAGCATTCATACTGCTTGCGCCAATGTATCGCACCTTGCCGCTGTTTACAACGTCGTTCAATGCGCGCATAATCTCCTCCTTGGGAGTGCCTTGATCGAGTCGGTGGATTTGTAGCACGTCGATGTAGGTTCCCAATCGCTCCACTGAGTCGTCAACGGCATCGAATATGTGTTTTCTTGACAGACCAACGCGATTCACGTAATCGTTGTTGTTGTCTGAAACAACGCCAATCTGAGGCTGAGTACCATCGTCAGCAACACCAAAAAAGCATTTGCTGAGAATAGTGACGCGGTTGCGGGGAATGTTATATTGTTTGAGCGCTTTGGCGATAATGCGCTCAGACTCTCCCATAGAGTAAACATCAGCCTGTCATAGACTCGTTAGCGCCGGGGAACAGCTACTCCAGCTAGGTAGCTCTTCTGCTGCAACTTACGGTGTCCCAGGTGGTAATGCCATTGTCGTAGGCGTGCTTAAGCAAAGGCAGTGCCTTCTCCTCATCGAGCACCCATTCTTGCCATTTTGGTGAGCCATAGCTCATGGCTCCAACAATGACCTTGGAGACTTTTAGGCCGGACTTGCCCAGGCTGCAATTGCTGTTAGCTATAGCGTATCGATCCCGTATCGAGCTGCATTACTAGGTATATCCCATCTTCTGTTTATCGTTGGTAGACATGGTGTATGATCTTGGTCTCAAATGGCGTCGAGGGAGAAATCCGCAATCCAATCCAGAGGGAGTAAATGAAGACAAAATTGCACAGCCAACGAACGTAGCGAACAAGCTGTATTTATGGTGGGACCAGTCGTCCACGGCAATAGGAGGACTATATGCGCTGCCCCCGGTTCTAGTCTTCCTGCACCTCCATTCATTTATAAACCTCATGGGCATCGCTTTCCTAAGTCCGTACTAACGCCGTTAGCGGAGACTCGGTATAGTTGCTTTAAGTCTTTGTCGTCATTGTTGTTACATCATCGACGACATTCTTTCAGCCAATGGAAGATCGTTCGCGAATGGTATACAGCAAAATAGGGCAATACAAATAGAACAGTTCAAGACAATGACTAAAACATGGTTCGCGGAAAGTGAATGGAACGGGCCGAGACAGCTACACAATTGCTGTCGATCGTGCCTATCTATGTTTGACTGGTGTTCGTATGTAACATTCAACCACGAGCTTCGCCTGAGTTCCTCCACTATAAGGCATTGCTGGTGAACATATATTCATTGCCCAGTTTTGAACTTACACACTTACATTAATAATGCACTTTAGGTCCTCGTAGAGTCATGCGGGGCGTTGTAGTGTAGCACTCATCTTAGAGCTCTTTGCCAGCCATCCCCTGAATTGAGTATCAAGCTTTCATGAATCATTATGTATTACGGTTATGGGAAAGCCTCGACACAACAGTAGCAACAATAGCCGGTAGCCCTCCGTTCTATAATCACGATAGTCGGGATGCGTATTCAGTGCATCTGTCCAACGTCACCCGTCCTCAGTCACTCCACCGCCGACGTGGGCCGAAGCAGAGCCACAAACACCTGCATGCGCGAAGGTTTATTCCATGCACTCGATCACTACATTCCGCTCATGCATGCCAGACCCTGGGTCACATAGGTATCACCCTATGACCTAGGTGTGGACCTGATCTAACTGCACCCGGAGCATTGAGCATATGATATACACGTATATGATTATGGGAGCTCCTTTCAGAGTATCTCACCCCTTCCAGCAGAGTGCCTTTGATTTCCACTTATTCATAGCTCGTGTCCGTGCTACAGCTACTATGATATGCACTAGGCGCATGCTTTACACAGCTCCCTTCATTCGGCGCGTAATGAGCGAGTTCTAGTCATCTGCTACTGGGGCGTTGTCTTTTGAAACGTGGCTTGATTGACAGGGTGTTGATTGCGAACGAGATGAATACTAGACGAGTCATTTCGAATCATACATCGGATGGATTGAGACGACGTGCCCATCGACTGCAATTTAAGAAGCTCATGTACTAGCCAGAGTCCAAAGCGACTTGTCCCTCGGCTAGTATTCGTTCTCCAAAATGTGATATCGGAGTCATCGAATCTGCGAGAGTGTTTATATTCCAGTTGAGATGCTTCACACTCAAAGCCTCGCGTTACAAGTATTCTATCAGCCCGCTACTCATACACTATGAGGAGGTGGCCTTGCCTACTTGCGTTTATGAAATTTGAAGCCAACATTTGCACGAGCAGTTGTGGCCATCTTGTGAAATTCCAACCTCTTCTGCCATACCGAGCTTTTGCCTTCTACCACCGCTATCATTTCATCTGCTAACCTCTGTCCAAAGGCATCCTTATTTGCACCATTCCCCTTTTTGCTTGTAGCGGCACTGATGATCCAACCAATGGCAATCCGTCTCCGAACACGCTTCGACAAGGGTATTGGCATTTGCAGGGCTCTGCCTCCACCAGCGAGTCCACGGAGTTGCTTTACCTTCACGAGGGGGGCGACGGCGTCGATAGCAAGAGTCATATAGAGTATCGGATTCAAAGGAAGATGGGAAGGCGGTGGCGTTCCGGGTAGAAGCGGCGTGCTTGGATTGTAGACGGGAGGTGATGAAAGACTGAGACGCTCGAGGACGACATTCACGTGCTAGAAGAGCTATGGTCAGACGCTTCGCCTTGTTTGTGGGATTGTAAGGAGGGTGGTAGAAAACCGATCTATCTTACTCGCTGCGCTTGGCTCTTTTTCCCATCGATCATGATGTGATTCGTGACTTGCTCGACGACATCGTGATAGCGATACTTCATGACCTGCTCTCGCGGAATTGGCATCTGTACTGGCTCAAATTTGAAGCCGGATATGGCTGGTGGGGCGCTGGAAGCCATCAATCCAGCTGGAAAGGTTTGCATAGGCTCGAGCTGCGATTGACGTGCTGATGTAGAGAACGGTCGAGAGCCTGAAGGCTTGTTGGCTTGCTTGATCTCCTGTTGCATAACTTTGGGAAGGTTATCTTGGGTCTTCTGTTCGCCTTTGACAGCCTATTCGAGACAATCAGCATCTAACAGCACACCCAATGTATATAAGACAGCATACTTCCTCCACAGGTGTGCCTTGGCTTAGATCTGGCCCGGTCCCACCGGTCGTTCCAGCGACAGCAGCAGCTTCTTCACTGACATGAGGTAGACTCTCCTCATTCATGCCCTTCTGGCCGGGCTCAGCCTTTGGTAGTTTGGATTCGGCGTAGCTGCGGCATGAGGCCGGTACGGTTTGACGAGAGACGACTTGACTGCCGCGCGATAATGCGCATGAAGGCTTTGAGCGGAGAACGAGAGAGCGAGAGGCCGAGAAGAGATTTATTCGCGGCGTCATGATAATGCTGGGTATAAAAAGCTGATGCTTCTCTCCAAATGCAGACTTGCTGAGGTGAACGTAACGGCAGAATCCGTCCATAGATGTGCCGAGCTTCCACCAAAGTAGCTAACTTATTTTGTCTTGAGTCACTCTTACGGGCCATTAGTAGACACCCTAACGTCATCTCCAAGATCCGATGCTTCAGCGACATAGATCGTAGCTCTCTCATCCCAGATCGACAGCTTTCACACGGTAACGTTCATTGCAGATTGAAGATATACACGCTCGTCCCTGCACTAATCGAACATGACATATTATGCCACTAGCCTATATTTGATCAACATGAATGAACGCCCGACTGCTAGATCAACACTGAGTTCAATCCTCAAGAAATATAGATATTCAATAGACGGCTGAGTCTCGCCTTGTTCATTGTATTTATCTCTAAGCAACAGCTCGAAACATACAACACAACACGGTCTTCTCGTTTTATGCCGAGCGATGTCACTCACCTTGCGATACATTGACCCGAATGCTCTCATATATACGCTCCATTCATCATATGAGAACACACTTTTCTCTCCGTCAAGATCTTCGTCCGTTGGTGAACAACCTATACCGGCAATCAGCTAGACATCTGTGTTCACGTTTAAGCGTTGCTAACATGCTCTATGTGCCTCCTTTTCTGTTCCGAATTTGATACAAGCCAAGCAACAACGGCAAAACTGAGTGCAACACGCAGGGCAACAATAAAAATGGTAACGGGAAATGTGTAGGTTAAACACATGCGTCCCCGTTATTTGCAGAGTCTACAACGATATAAACCCTGTTTCTGCCAATTTTTGGAAGGTTTCCCGTCTTACTTTGCTGAAACAGATTTCTGTGTGGGCCCTTTGAGCCAGCTTCCAGTCAATGTCTTGTGGTGTCAATTTGGCTTCTAGGGGCTGGGTCATTGGTGATACATTTGACTTCGGGCTTGGCTTTGTACGAGTTTTCGGCCTGCGTCGCTTGTTGTCCAGTCTAGATTAGTCGAAAGCTATGAAGCCTTCTTTCAATATTTTAAGTCATCACATCACATATACGGGCCTTTGTCTCGTCCGCACACTTGGCTATCCTTTCAACCCTCTTTGCGCGACTTGACGACCTTCAGTTCCGCTTCGTTGCGAACCCTCTTCATTTGAAGCTCGACTTTCTTATTGATTCTTACGCATTTTTACTCACGCATTTCCCCAAGTCTTGCTGGGGCCTTTAAACCCCTTCCTTCACGTTCATGTATGTCTCCAAGAACTTTATCCTGAGGCTTCTGTCCCGCTTCATGCTATTGTTCTCTTGAAAGACGCTCATAAGCAGCGTATTTGAAATTGCCCTGTGCTTGAATGGTAGCCTGTCGATACATTTCCCCAGCAAAACTTTCCTTCTGTGCTCTGGTACACTTGTCCTATGTCTATGGTTATTTACAGCTATAATTACGGGTGTATATTTCTCCTTTGTCGTGCCTTGATCTTGATGTGGCCAACCTGGTGCGAGTTTTCTCTCGTAATGGTCTCACTCTTTCAATATGTTGGCATAATTCAAGTCATACGGTCCACTATCATTTTCAATCGCCAGCAGATTTCTAGCCTCCTGTACATCGATGCGCTGGTCGACGAAGATCATCGCATCCTCCTTTCTGATCAAAGTATCAGCGTAATGTACGCTTTCGATATGCGCGGTTCATGGTTCGCGTTATCAACTGTCACGTTATGTGGGATAGCAATTACCAGGGACCAATTCCTCGCAGTACGAGACCAATCGTGGACGAACACAGGCAAGAAAGACGGCAAGGAACTTGAAACATGACATTGTGAAGACGGCGAGAGAACGGCAATATGTACTGCTACCTGGACCACCAATAGAAATGCTATAAAGCCGTAAGGTAGTGCACATGCAGTTCGAATTTCATGATGCACTGAGTGCACAACACATGTCTCATTTCATTTCACTTTGATCGTCAAACAGAGACACGCACCTAAGCTTCAGCTGTGTCAGCTGGCCTTGCTTCCCCCAATGTCGTCATTGTTGCATCTGCTCACTGCTCGACTTCTATAACTTTGGCTCCAACTTCAACTTTGCGATCGTGGTCCTCAGAACCTCCGCAACTACAGCATGTGCTTTCCTTGCTGGCCATTTCACAACATTGAACTGGAAGATCCACCACAGCTAAGTAAAGCAATGGCGCAGAATCGCCGTTACTACTATTACCCGGAGCAGTCGCAGGTGAGCAGCTGTTTCTACCCTTGCCGTAACAAACACAGTCACACCGTCCACTCTTCTGCCATTCAGTCCGTCCACCTACTTTCTCACCTTCACCTATATCTACTGTCTCATCTATCCCTTCTCACCCATCGTCTCACCCACTCCGGTCTTTCTCAATCATTGCCCGGCCAAGATGTGGACTCCAACCTACGCCAACTGGCCACAGCAAAACCCGGCTCAATATCAGCCCTTTGACAACCGCCTACATACCTACAACTATGTTACCCGCGGCACCCCCTTTGATGCCCGAAGGAGCCTAAAGAGTGGACACACCAGTGCTGCATGTCCACCCCTCGGGCTTCAGTCATCCTCATACTTCTATCCCACACAATATGCTTACACTTTGCCGCAGTACCACTACGTCCAGGCTCCAATTGCGGCAGCTCAGCCACGATACGTTTACCAACAACCATATCATCGCTATAACTACGCGGGAACAGCCATTCCGACTTCAACCGCCGCTCCCACTCCTAACCCCATTTCTCCGGCAGTAAAGCCCGTGTATGTTAATCACGGACAAGCTACCCATGGCTACAATGTCAATCATGGACACGGAGCGTACGGATATAACCACAAGTACTACGGCCGCACTCAGGAAGAGGTCGAGTACGACAACCGTGTGATTGCTACCCGGAGTGGTGCTTATGAAGCTCATGACCTTCAACCATCTGATCCGAAGCCAGACCAAATGTTTTGGTGCCGTGAGATTGACGGATCCTGGACCCTGAGAACCTTCTTCACAATTTCGGAAGACCTCAAGCCCGGAAAATGGAAGATGGATGCTGCACGCGGAAGTCTTGTCTTCATTCGCGAAGAAAAGAAGAAGAAGTGGTACGTAGCGTTCTGTTGCGACCTGGCAGTGCAATCTAACAAATGGTTATAGATGGTCATAGCGCTCTGCAACTGCTCTATTCCCGAAGAGTCATACGGATGATCTGGCGCTCATGGGTGTTTCTTTTCCTTTCATGAACCTGATTCTTTTATCGTGGGCTTTGATGTCGATGGTTCTGGTGGTCGTACAGCGTCAAGCTTTACAAAAACAGCTGGGGCAAGACGGATACGAAGACCGTTAGCATTATCCTCCTGGCTGTGCTGCTATACCGGCATGTATTGTCGTCACATATCATCGACTCGCTCCTACCATGGAGTTTTGCGAGGCAGGTTTGAAGGTCACTTGGGACGGCGAATGTTCATGGCCCAATATTTAAGTCTCTGCGACCGCATACACGTGGGAGGTTCTACTGCGCCCTTATAAATAAATGCTACATCATTGACATGCTATTTTTATCCCCGCTGGATCAAGGAATGTGCTACGAAAGAATATGTCGGGTGCTTAGAAGCAGGATTTCTGAAGGTCCACAAGTTTCAAAGGCACAAGGATCCCCCACCAATGACGTCTATTTGCCCATGTAGCCGCCCAAATTTCGTAAAATTCCAATGAATAGTATTGCTCGATGCCGTCAATCAACTTCACACTTTTGTTTACCATCTTCTTCCTAGTCGCATGTTTCCCAAGACTTTACAACTACGTGTTGTATCTTCCACTGAGTCCCTTTCTGCCTCATCCCAAGACGTTCACACCTGTGCCGACTTGCGCCTGTATACCACCGACTTCGTTAACTCTTGTGCCTACAACTGTAATCTCTGAACAATCCACCCCTACATCCACAATGTCCTGGTTCCAGAAAACCATTTCGCTCCCGTCGAAAGCGCGCGGCTCGTACCTCATCACCTCCCATATTGAGCAGTCGCTCCCCGAGCTCAAAGACTACAAAGTCGGCATCTTACATCTCTTTGTCCAACATACTAGCTGCGCGCTGAGCCTGAATGAGAACTGGGACGAGGACGTACGCGCCGATATGAGTGATGCGCTAGACAGGATCGTACCAGAGGATAAGAAGCATCAGGGCTTATATAGGCATGATGCCGAGGGAAGTGATGATATGCCGGTGAGCGGGGATGATAAGGGATATTATCTATGAGTGGGTACTGATTTAATTGCAGGCGCATATCAAGTCGGCGCTTGTGGGCGCCAGTGTAACAATTCCAATCAGCAATGGTCGGTTGGCGACGGGGACATGGCAGGGCATTTGGTACTTGGAATTTAGGGCAAGCAGACATTCGAGGAAGGTTGTGGCTACGATCCAGGGAGAGAAAGCGTGATGTGAAAGTGATAGGCCTAGCTGGTTCTAATGGACAGATGGCGACAGCTGCGTATGTGTAGCTGCATGGCATGGAAGGCTTTGATAAGAAGATGATGCAGCGATTCAAGCCGCCTCGTGGCCAGAATAATAGGACACACTGTAAAATATATACATCTGCAAGCTATGTGCGCTTAATTGCTGCACTATCGCTGTCCGAGGACCTCATCCGTGACCCTTTGCTTAGGTGAGACCTCGGCTGCGGTGCCTTGAGGATCTAATGGGTATGGTGTTGATGGTAGAGTTTCGAGGTACGCTCTGTGTTTCTCGTGCGCCTCCGGCTGAGTCAGTATCGTGCATGCGATGAACCGGTAAACTCACATAGGGAAGTCCACAATATGTGCACCAGCAAACTTGTGGTTTGTCCACATTAATGAAAATGCGGGGGTGTCCAAGAGGACCACCACCACCGTCACATGATACGATGCGCTCTTTCGTCCAGCGAACAGGTTGCTTGTGAATAAGTTCAATGGCAGCATAAGGCCGGGGCTGGCGGATGTTTATTAGCCTTCTTCGACTTCTTCGTCGCGAGTCTTATATGGCCACTCCCGCTCTCTGATCACGAACCTGGTCCGACATAATTGTCTGCTCGAATCTCGGTCCACTCATAGCTACTGCCCTTGGCTGTTGACTCGGACTCCAGATTCCCGTGGACCGGTTGGGACTTTGTCGATTTGGGGCTTGCGTAACACGGAGATATTCGCCCTGCTCAGTAGTCTCTTGCAAAGCACCATCGTGACTCCCAATCGGTGAAGTCTTGGTCTCGTTTGTCTTGGACACTGGAGAGACATGTCGCTCTTTGCCCTGGGCCTTAGGGTCGCTGGCGGGGACTGGGTTTTCCGTACTCGGAGTCGAAGAGCTGCTATACGGACGAGCAAGCACAAAGCGGGGGGTGTTCGAAGGCAGACGACGCCCCAGTACAGCACGTAAGGAAGCCATTGGGATGTGGCAATTTTAATTGGCGACGTAAAGCAGTTCGCCGATACAGGCGTAATGGAGTGAGGTTGAAGTAGAAGGATGGAAGCTTATGGGTCTCGCATGAGTCCGGAGATTTCCCGGTTTCCAGTTTCAACTTTTCTTCGACAGGCCATTTGTCACGACAAGACCTCGACCTGCATCTCGATTCTCTAATCTTGCCTTGCACGGCATATTGGCTAGATCGGTCAGAGACACATAAGCTGACTCTCCCTTACACACTCTTCAAGCGATTTCACAACCATGGCGTCTCCCGTCAACCCTGGAAAGACCATGTCGTCAAGACTACTCACCATGAAGGTGCGCTGAATGAAAAAGGGAATAGAAATTTAGTAATCCTATGGGCAGTTTATGCAACGCGCTGCAGCTTCTCCGACATCCTTATCAAATTCCGCCACTACAACTCCAGACTCGCATCGCTCCAAACGCCTACGATATAGCGGGGGGGCTCCTACAGTAACTAATAGCCCCTCTTCTCATTCTGATGCCATAAACGCCGCGCTAGCTATCGAGGAAGAGAAGCGGGCCAAAGCAGCCGAGCTCGAGGCAGAGCGAGCCGGCGAGACCCGATGGGTCTTCAGTTTTCAGGATCCATCTGCCGGAAAAGGCACAGAAACTGACGGGGCGCTTCGCGTCGTCACAGGTGGCTATGCAGACATCGACGATTCAGACGACGAACCCATGGGACGCTTCAGCTTCGGAAAAAGGCAAAGCAAGGCCGACAGCGATACTGAGAAGGAAGAATCAGGCGAAGAGGGCGAAGATGCTATCAAAGAAGAAGATAACAAGGATGACCACGATGATGATTATGATGACGATGACGACACTGGTAATGAAGATGCTGACCCTGCAGCTACTATGATCAAGGAGGAGCGCAAGAAGGCACTTGAAGAAGCGCGACTGAAGCTGAAGCAGAGACGGAAGGACAAAGATAAAAAGATGGCAAGAGCCGGCGCTGATCGACGCAAAAAATCAGTGAAGCTTAATGTCCCAAAACGTGTTCTAGCAAACGGGGATCGACACGAAAAACTAACGGAAGTAAGACGTGATGGTCTGTCCAAGGCTGTGAGAGACATGTCGGATGTGGTCTGCCATAGATGCAAGAAGCCTGGGCATATGAAAGCCGAGTGTCCTCTCTCCAAGAGAATGAACGGCTTTGGCGGCGGCGGGGGCCTAAAATTGGAATACTGAGAACAGCGTCGCTCTCTGGAACATCATTAACAACCACATGGCAAGTATATTCTTGGCTGTCTCCTGACGCTGGGCTCCATTGGCACATAGGAATCATACTTGAATATGGATGACCACAGATCACCGCCGTCAAAATTTGCCAACTTGGCGCACGATCGGGTAGATCGAGCAAAGCGGCAGGTCATCATCGCGAACCACAGAAGGTCCTTTCGCTGTGGACCGCCCATACTAGTCAACTTACTGCTTTCCCAGATTCCGAGGCTGTATCGTATACTTAGGGTGTATTCAGGATCTCTAGGACTTTTGCTTTCGTGCACAAGATCATTGATGTGATGAAACGTATGCAAGCCTGTGCGGTCTGATGGATGGTTTCAGATGGATGAGATCACTTGAGTGAAGATTTATTCTTTATGCTTCTCAAGTTGCTACGCTCTTGAGTAGGGTCTTCAGGAGCATTGCGAACAGTAGCTATTGTGTAAGTAGCAAGCTCCTTCATCACAAAAATTCCGTCCCGTATAGCCTATGGCCAGCCTATTGAGCCACCTTGCCCCGTTTTCTGCACAAACCTAATCGGGGCAGCTGTTGGTACTGCTCTTTTCAAAATGACGTCTCAATGTTGTAACTGCTGACGATGGTTGTGGCGATCATCCGGTGGATCCTGGTCTTCGAAAGCAACCTCCGATCATGCAAGTCAAATCGAAGAATTTCATCACTACATCTTCCTGATTCGGTATGTCATGGGTGACATTGGCTGCACTGTACGCCTCAAGTTCCCCCTTTCCATACACCGTCCTTGTCCATCCCATGATCGGCGTATCTAGGCACGTGCTCACTGGCGTCTTGCTGATGCCATACACGGAAGTCCACTCCCTGATCTCCTCCCCGAAGTTCGTATAGTTGAGCACCTCATCGGCCGTCCCATGATACACTTGCATCTTTGGCCTATAGCTAGAATACGACGGGTATGCCCGTTTCACGATCGCTGCCCACTCCTGGCCTGAGTGCGTAATTCTTCCCGTCGCACACGCATCACTCCATTCCGCATACCCAGTCCCAGCAAAGCATCCGAATGGTACACCTGCAAATGCTGCGCCTGCAGCAAATACGTCTGGATAGCTCCCAATAAGCACGTTCGTCAACATCGCGCCACTGCTGATTCCACTTACGAACACACGGCTAGGATCCGCCCCATACTTTCCAAGTGTGTGCTGTACCATGCTGACGATGCCTTGGGAATCGCCACCGCCGTTGTGTGTGAGTGTTTCAGGTGAGGATACGTCCCAGCATTTGTCCGCGGGGTTAGGCGAGTCTGGGTATATTATGATGAAGCCGTATCGCGAGGCTAGGCTGGAGTATTTTGAATTGGCGAAGGCGTCTTGAGCGGAGCCATGACACCCATGAAGGAATACGAGAATGGGAGGTTGTAAGGCGAGGGTTTCGGGGACGTAGATGTAGAAGGAAACATTGCGTGGGTTTGGGCCTATCGGGTGACTGATGAATTGGAGCGAGGCGGCCGAGGCCAGGGAGATGAAACAGAGGAGGGCAGTGAGCGAAAACATGTCTGGAAGAGGTGTATATGGTTCCAAAACTTATCACGACGAATGTGAAGTGTCTAGTGTTGGCAGGCTGGGAGACTTACGTATGCTGAGGTCTCATATATCGCTCTGTGCTCTTTTGAGTCCGATCTCTAGTTATCGACTGTGAGTAGTAATCTGACTTGAACATATTGAGCAATGGGCAGGTGACTGATGACCCAGGGCCCTGGCTGTACTGAGGCCGTTGCTAATATATCTCTGAAGAATGCGCCAATCGAAACGGTGCGCTAAGACGGAGCTATGCTCAGGTGTCAGTAAATATCATATGCATCGATTAGGACCATATGTCCATGAACGAACTTCGACGAAAGCCTTATCTATTAATTATGAAGTAGACTCCGGAAAGACTATTTTGTGTTACTCGCCGCTATCTGATTATTCTACTATCACATATACTTAAGACCTACTTCATAATGATACATTGTGTCCTGTTTCTCTGAGTAAGGAAGACGAAGCATAATACAGTGGAATGTTGAAGATATCAAAGCTGAACGATGAAAGGATTGTAGGAAGTGTAGCACTAACAAGCGGCAGGAAGTGCAGCCTGAGGTTTCGAATTGTGGCTGATGCCTCATTCAATCCAACCGTGTGGAGTAGCCATGTGCGGCCCCGAGATTCTGGAAGGATAGAGGTGCATGGATCAGCTCGGAACTCCCCGCAATCTCATTTGCCCACTGCTTCCGCTTTCTCATTGTTTTGTTGAGACCTCCCCTCTCTCCATCGGGACCTTGGGTCTCTTTCACCATCCTTACATACATTTTATTCCTCTGTGTCACCGCGGGCTTTGCGTCTACTCGGCCTTCGCATCCTATGATCTACGACAAACTATGCCTGTGTCGAGTTGCGACTCGCATATACTCAGATAAGAATAATGTCAGCTTTATCTTGCCCCGAACTTATCAATACCCTTTGATGATCGCCCTGTACGATCCTATTCTAAACATCTGGCTGAAACCATCGCAGCGACTACACGAATTTACGATCCGTCATTCTACGTCTTGCACATACTAGTGCTACGATCATACACAATCTGCCCGCAAAGCCATAGTCAGACCGACATTGCTAAAAATGGCGAGGACGAAAGATGGCAAGCGCACGAAGCTGGCGCCCATGAATAAAGTAGCATATGACTTGTGTCTTTGGATGCTTTCAGTCCTACTGGATCTTTTCTTCAGGGAAGTACATCCAAGAGGAGCATGGAAGATTCCACGGAAAGGACCTGTGTTGTTCGTCGCAGCACCACACGCAAATCAGGTGTGTGCATAAACTTGCGCTTATCAAGGACTAGCACTGATTGTCAAGCAGTTTGTGGATCCTTTAATGCTTATGCGGATGGTCCGAACGGAAGCGCATCGCCGCATAGCATTTCTTATAGCTGCAAAATCAATGAAGCGAAGAGTTGTGGGCACACTTGCAGCTATGGCTGGCGCTGTTCCTGTTGGCCGAGCAATGGACCTGAAGCGCGCCGGCGAAGGAAAGATATACTTGCCGGATCCCGAGAACGAGCCAAATCTTCTTCGAGGTGTGGGCACGAAATTCGATTTCAAGGACTTCCAAGTTGGAGGCCTGATCGTATTACCATCCGTGAACAATGATTCTGCCAGCGCCGAAATAGCAGAGATAATAGGGCCAGAAGAACTACGCCTTAAGAAACCCTTCAAGGGCCCTGTGGCGATAGGACAACTAACTGGGCGTAAAGTGAGCGAGGATGGAAGTTTCACTGATGGATCTAGAGGGGCTACTGAAAGCTTTGAGGGAACTAAATTCTCAATTGCCCCCAAAGTCGATCAGACCGAAGTTTACGATTCGGTTTTCGAGAAACTTAATCAAGGCGGCTGTGTTGGTATATTTCCAGAAGGCGGAAGTCATGATCGAACGGAGCTGTTGCCGCTCAAACGTGAGTGTTTTAATCTGAATTGTGGTAATGCCATGACTAACGAGCGGCAGCTGGTGTGGCCATAATGGCTCTTGGTGCATTGGCTGCGAATCCTGATTGCGGGGTCACAATCGTACCTTGTGGTATGAACTACTTTCATGCTCATAAGTTTCGATCACGAGCCGTGATTGAATTCGGTGATCCTGTTGAAATCCCCCCTGAACTTGTGGAGCTTTACAAGCAAGGCGAGCGGCGCGAAGCTGTCGGACATCTACTAGAGACAGTATACGAAGCGCTAGTAGCGGTGACGGTGACAGCGCCAGATTACAATACATTGATGGTAATGATATGACGTTCCAACCAATAAATAAAGCTTTACTGACACTCTGCAGTTGATCCAGGCAGTTCGTCGCTTGTATAACACCAAGGGCAAGAAGCTACCATTGCCTATGATTATCGAGTTAAATAGACGGCTCACCAAAGGTTACGAACGTTACAAAGACGATGAGCGAGTCAAGAATCTCATGAAAGATGTCCTTTCATACAATAAAGAACTTTTGGCCCTCAACCTCCGAGACCATCAAGTCGACTATGCAAAATTTTCATACATCAAGGCCATTCTCATTCTATTTTACCGACTCGGCAAGATTCTACTACTTGCCATCGCTGTTCTTCCTGGCCTGATTCTTTTCTCACCAGTATTCATCGCGGGCAAACTAATATCCATCCAAAAATCTAAGGAGGCCCTTGCTGCATCTTCAGTTAAGATCAACGCAAATGATGTCGTCGCTACATGGAAACTTCTCGTTGCTATGGCATTGGCGCCCGCTCTCTTAATAACGTACACGATCGCCGGGACGTGGTGGGCAGTGCGCAACCGCATTCAGGGATACCTACCAGAGTCCGTTCCCATTTTCATGATTCCAATCATATCCATCGTTCTCCTCCCGACAATCACTTACGCTGCCCTTCGATTCGGCGAAATTGGCATGGACATTGTCAAGTCTCTTCGGCCGCTCCTAGTCTCTCTATCCCCTACGTCCGGTAACTCCCTTACCAAACTGCGAGAACGCCGCACCAAACTCGCTGGCGCTGTTACCGATCTTATAAATACACTAGGTCCTGAGATGTTCCCTGATTTCGATGCGGCGCGTATTGTCGCCGATCCGCTTCGTGACGATACTTCACCGCTAAGGTTACACCGCCGCAATACCAGCGACAGTCTCACCACAGAATCTCTCGACTCTGGGTCTACGTCGCCGATATCACCTGACAAGGAAAGAAGAACATCCATCGGGATGGGTGTACCAAGTCGACAAAGTCATCTTCCACGCAACGAGTCTTTCAAGAATCTTGGGAATATTGGTCTGTTTGCTACACGCCCAACGACACCGCATCGTAGTCGTAGTAGAACAAGCTCTGCTGGAGGCTCCGCTGGATCAGCTGGATTCTCTCTGCAAGGCTTTAGCTCACTAGACACATCAGCTGGGTTTGATGAAGTCAGTCAAAAGATCAGAGGAGCTATGAGGGAGCGAGGCCAGAGACGACGAAGCGGAGCAGATGGCTTCGAACTTACCAGTGGAGCGACAACACCAGGGAGTGAGGATGGCAAGAAGAACATTTGATAAAGCGGAAATGGCTTCCGTATCATCCAGCGTGACGTCCTAGGTATAGCTCATGTTCCCTGCAATATCGTTCGACAACTTGGCGGATGTATTGGCTGGCTGTTGGCAGTAGAACACATTTTTGATCTGTATGGTGGTTCATATATTCATAAAGCTATGCTCATGATATGCGACGCGTTTATACAGCCTTTCATACACATACGATGCGAGCAAGGCTCTTTGATTTATTAGCGTAGACCAGTTTGTATGATATACTTTAACCGAATCCGGTCTAGCCTCAATCAATACCACTTCCGCCGCCTTCTCCGTGGCTTGAGTATCACCCTTTCCACACGCGGCCTGGTCGCGAGTCGCAACGCTTATTGGGGCATGATCGGATGTGGAATTAAACATCTATACCAGAATACTCGAACCTGACCTCCAATTTTCACTCATCATGGCGTCAGCGCTCTTCTTCCTTGACCTGAAGGGCAAGGTGAGTCTCCTCAACATGAGTGAGCACACTTGCTGGTAATAACAAGTACCCAGACCCTTCTTGCCCGCAACTATAGAGGAGATATCCCCATGTCTGCCGTCGAGAAGTTTCCCATACTCCTAAGTGAAGCGGAAGAGGACTCCTCCGCTGTCCCGCCGTGCTTCTCAAACGAAGGAATCAATGTACGCAACTCGACGTGCCCCGCATAGCCAGAGAAACGTCCTCTGCTGCGGATTGATGTGCTAACGACGAGCCTGATAGTATCTCTACATACGTCATAACAACCTCTACGTCCTTGCTCTCACAAAACGAAATACTAATGCGGCCGAGATCCTGCTCTTCCTCCACAAAATCGTCGAAGTTTTTACAGAGTACTTCAAAGAGCTAGAAGAAGAAAGTATAAGGGACAACTTCGTAATTATCTACGAATTGCTTGACGAGATGATGGACTTTGGGTACCCACAGACCACAGAAACAAAGATATTACAAGAGTCAGTAATGTCGTGCTATCTCAGGCTCAGGTGGGGGCTAAAGACATACTCCGCAGGTACATCACCCAAGAATCACACAAGCTTGAGGTCCAGGCCCGGCCGCCAATTGCTGTCACAAACGCAGTTAGTTGGCGGAGCGAAGGCATACGCTATCGAAAGAACGAAGTTTTCCTGGACGTTATCGAATCTCTCAACCTTCTCGTATCTGCCAACGGCAATGTGTTGAGGTCAGAAATCTTAGGCGCAGTCAAAATGAAATGCTATCTATCAGGTATGCCAGAGTTGCGACTGGGATTGAACGACAAGGCTATGTTTGAGACAACGGGTCGCGCTACACGGGGGAAGGCTGTCGAGATGGAAGATGTCAAATTCCACCAGTGTGTGCGTCTGTCTCGGTTCGAGAATGACCGCACAATCAGTTTCATACCACCGGACGGTGAATTTGAACTGATGAGCTACCGACTGAATACTCAGGTCAAACCCTTGATTTGGGTGGAATGCATTGTGGAGACTCATTCAGGCAGCCGAATTGAGTATATGCTCAAGGTAGGCCTCCAAATTAGCCCATGCCATGTGCACCAGGGCTAACACAAGACAGGCAAGGGCACAATTCAAGCGACGCAGCACCGCAAATAACGTACAAATATCTATACCAGTGCCGGACGATGCCGACTCACCAAGATTTCGAACAAATATCGGCACAGTACATTATGCGCCTGAAACATCGTCGATAGTATGGAAGATTAAGCAATTTGGCGGCGGTAAGGAATTTTTGATGCGTGCAGAGCTAGGTTTGCCCTCAGTACGCGGAGACGATGAGAAGGGAGGAGGCATGATGGGAGGTTTTGGTGGAAGTATGGGCGGGGTAGCTGGTGGCAAGGGAAAGAGGCCTATCAGCGTCAAGTTCGAGATTCCATATTTTACGACGAGTGGTATTCAAGTGCGGTATCTCAAGATCATTGAACCCAAGGTACGTCCCGCTATCAAACATAGACATACTAGGCCGAAGAATGCTGACAAGCATGCAGCTTCAATACCCGTCGCTCCCATGGGTACGATACATTACACAGTCGGGCGACATCGCAGTACGGCTCCCAGAGGTGCAGTAATGGAAGACGAGTCCACCGGCCAGCATGTATTGAGGATGCGATTAGATACCCAGCAATACATGATGGAGAAACCGAACAAGGCAAAACACTCGTCAGCCTGACAAATGCATGCCAAGGGACAGATAGACAGGCCCCCAGGCGACCAATGATTTCGTGACTAGAGCTTTGCACCATCAGCACACGGCATGATCAATAGCACTCGCACTGCATATGCGTTGCGTGGTGCTCTGTCGTCAGCAGTTCTCGGTAGATCGCTACTGGTCGCCAGACTGATATTGACTGCACAGGACACAGATGTAGCACAAGCGGACGGGCATGTACGTGTATGCACCTGGCCTAAGACGTCTTGCCCGCACACACACACACACACGCACACGCACTCACCCATTCACAAACCCATCCCCGAATAACAACAAGACGAGTAATCAGCGCACCAATCCCTCACCGCCCCTGTCAGAACGCGATCTGTGCTCGTTCGTCCGTATTAGTCAGCGCCGTGAGTGTCTCTGCTCCAGTCTGTCCCGTCGTGTTCTGTTCTACTATCCTGCTCTACACTATTTCATCTATACTATTCTGTTATGTCGTTGTATTGTATAGACTTTTACCGGCCGTCTTGGGCGCTCTACTTCGTTGACTTATGTGTGGGTCTGGGAAGTTTGGTGTAGGGTGTAGTGCGATAGGGAGAGGTGATTTGGGGGGGGAATGGGAAGGGAGGAGGGGTGTGGGAGAGGGAAGGAATATAAGTTGGGGATGTATGACTATGATATATATGTTTGTAACAAACGTAGTATATTGCATTCTACTCTGGCTCGTCATGGCGGGCAGGAGTACACGTATTGTATAGCTAATACATTGAGTGTGAGTGAGTGGATGAGGAAGTGTCGATTAAATCTCGTTATTACCAGAGAATAAAATTCTATTAAAGCGTACTTTTGCGAGCACGAGGTCTATATATCTATCTATTGCAGACGGATGAGATCCTGCGAGATCTATCATTACTAGTTGAGGCACATAACACAAACCACCATCACCAAAGTGTATTACTCCTCCTGAGTCTCAGCCTCCCCCTCCTTCTTCTTCCCTCCCAATAACCCCTTCACAGCACCAATAGCCTTCCCGGCACCGCCAAAGAGATACCCAAACCCAAAACCCCACCCCTTGACGCGCACCGACCAAACAAAGAAATACACAAGCGCCCAATTGCTCACCACAAACGCGAGGAAAATGCCAAAGTACGGCCACTTGTCGCGCGCCTCGATGTTGAGCGTGGCGAGATACTGGTCGCCGACGGTGTACTGGCAGTACTCACACGTTTGGCCCATTGCGTCGGGGTTCTCGAGACGGCCGCCGGACGCGGATGCAAAGGCGCCGGCGTAGTCGGCGCAGGTGAGGCCGGGGGGTGCGCTGAAGCGGGTTGTTTCGCTGGAGGTGCATTGGATGGGTTGGCCGGTTAGGGTGGCGGCGAGGACGCCGCCGATCCAGTATGTGGATGGGTTGACGTAGTACATCCAGTAGCGCCAGAAGACGGGCAGCATGGAGTAGGGCCGCACGACGCCGTTGAAGAGGGAGAACATGACGAAGAAGAAGGGGAGGACCTGAGAGTCGTTAGTGTTGGGATAAGGGAGGAGGGGAAAGGGGGTCAGGGAAGAGCTTACGTTTGAGATGACGGTGAAGGATGGGGCGAAGGCACAGATCCATTGGCCCCAGGAGGCCTGGAAGAAGAAGAAGAGCATCGTCATGAGGAAGACGTAGCCGGCTGTAGAGGAGTCGGTTGGGAGACCGGCGGGGAAGTACCACAATACCCAGTAGATGACGGCGCCTACGACGGCGATTGGAAGCTCGGTCACGACCTGAGCGGTCGTGAAGGCGAACCAGCCGTAGATGCGTGACGGGTACTCGCGAGCCTGCCAGAGAGCCATGTTTTGGAAGAATTTGGGCACGACGGCGTTGACGATGGTGGGTGGGAAGACGATGATCAAGAAAGACGTAAACATGCGGTTCTGCATGTCTTGTACGGAGTTGCCCAGCTTCCAGAACGTGAAGCCGTTGAAGATACCAATGATGACCGAGACGAAGAGTTTACCGTAGTAGTATGACGGGTCGCGCCAGTGCTGGCGGAACGTACGCTTGGTGAGCTCGACGGTTTGGAGGTAGATCGGTGCAGCATAGGCCTTGATGTCTTCCTTGTTACGCTGATCGGCGTTCTTGCTGCGGTCAGAGCAGAGCTGATCGATTTCCTTGATGAGTGCGGCATTATCATCCGACTTCTTCCATTCGTCGTTCCAGTCGATTCTTCGCCCGTCTTTGCCTTTGATGGGCTTGGCAGCTGTCTCGAGGATGAACTCGGCGACATTCTTGCGAGGTGGGCAGTCGACTCCACGCTTGGCAAAGTAGTCAATAACGTCTTGGCCATTATCACCAACTGGGCCGAAGTAGAAGGTGTTACCGCCTGGGTTGAGAGCGAGGATCATGTCGAATTGCTGAATAAGTACCGAGCTGGGTTGATGGATTGTGCAGACAATGGCTTGGCCAGCTGCCGCCAGTTTCTTCAAAAACCTGACAATCGAGTACGCGGACTGGGAGTCAAGTCCAGACGTGGGTTCGTCCAGGAAGAGCAAAAGACTGGGTTTGGCTGCCTAGGGTACCAGTTAGTCGTTGTAGTGGTATGAAGAACTTTATCGAGTCCTTCAGTAAAACACTTACTAATTCAACACCAATGGTCACACGCTTCTTCTGCTCGACACCAAGACAGCTAATGATGGCGTCCTGGAAATCTTGCAGCTCTAGGAGTTCTATCACGGTATCCACATAGGCAAGTTTCTCGCTCCTTGGAATGCTGTTGTCTTGTCGGAGGAGAGCAGAGAATTCGATTGCCTCGCGAACCGAAGCGGTAAGCTCGTGGAGATCCATCTGCTCGCAGAAACCAGTACCGCGCTGGAAGTCCTGTGCAAGAGCCTTTCCATCGACCAACATCTCGCCAGCAACAACGCCCATGCTTTGTCGCTGAGCGAGCGTGTTGAGCAGAGTGGTCTTGCCGGCACCGGAAGCACCCATGAGAGCAATCATTTTACCAGGCTTGGCGTAACCGCTAATGTTGTTGAGCAGTTTGCGCTCACCGCCACGATAAGGAACGGTATACTCGACGTCTTTCCAGGTGAATATGCTCTTGCTCTTAGAGATGCCCTCAAGCGCCTGCTCCTCTTTCTTGTTGTCAGCGGAAGATGGGGCCAGGGTGTTCGAGTTGGCATCGCTTTGTCCTTTCTCTTCGTCACCTGGCTTGCTCTGCTCCTTCAAAGCTTGCTTGGCCTTCTTCGACTTCTTGAAGACCATAGCACCGCCACCTTCGATAGCGAAGTTGAAAGCCTCAACGGCGAAGATGGTAACCAGGAGATACAGCACAGTGAATGCAATAACGACACCAAAGTTGCGCCATAGGTGCGACCTTGTGTAGTTGTATGTAGTCTGAAGATAGTCTGCACCGGGCACCGTTACTGCGTTAGGTTGAGCTCCTGTGAGCGAACATCCCTGGAATCCTGACTGTACGGCAGGACCACCAGGGACTTGCTGAGGTACTAACTGTTCCGGGCTACATTCCATGATCCGGTCTGAGAATTCGTTGGTTAGAACAGCTTCGAAAGCGTACGCGATAGGGTCAATGTAATATATCCATCCAAACCAGATATACTGAGTTAGGAGCTGGGGCTTGACGATAACGTAGCCCGTGTAGATGACTAGTAGATTGAGAGAGATTCCACTAAATCTGACCGCGTCATCGATAGATGGTGACAACGCAGCGAACATTCGGTACAGAGATGTGATGCATATAGTGGTGATGTATACGAAGAGCAGGTAGATGAAGAACTTGGAGACGTCCACGTCCAGGCTGGTCATGAAGTACATGATTATACCGAAGATGACGACCTGGAAGAAGATCATTGGAAAATCAGTGATCACACGAGCCACGCTGACTGCAGATGGGGTGTAGAAGGCATAGTCTTTGTGCCGAGCAACAACGTTACGACCGGAGACCGCTTTCATAAGCTCAGACAGTTGCAGCCAGCCAAGGAACAGAATCGAGAAGAAGATGGTACCACCGCGAGTGAAAGCGCCCATGGTGTTCAGGGGTTGTCCGTAGAAGAGAGAACCGACGATGAGACCGTTACTGATGATGATGAAGAACTTGGTGTACAGTGTTTCGCGGTCACCCAGGATGAGCCAGAACTCGCGCTGGGTGCAGGCCATGACTTGGCGGGGGAAGCTGACGGTGAAGTTGCTGTTCTTTGATACCGTCCTGTGGGACTTTTGTTCGCGAGTAGTCTGCTCAAATTCGCGAGCATCAGCGTAGTCGCTCTCTTTGATCTTTTTCTCGTAGTCATCAATCTCCTCTTGGACGCGTTTATACATGTTGGAGCTCCTGAAAGCCTTTTCTAGGTCTTCAGGGGTTCGAGGTACCCTATCTTCGTAGCCCTCGCGGAAACGACGTTCGTTAGGGTCTGTGCAAGCAGTGAGGAAATCGGCGGTCGTCTGTCGGTCTGGACAGTAGAATCCAAGCTCCTCGAAATATTGCTTCGCTTCTTTCGCTGGGCCTATGTAAATACACTTTCCGGTATCGATGACCATGACCTTGTCCATGACTTCGTAGATACCTTCACCAGCCTGGTACAAGGTAACAATGGTCGTGCGGTTGCTGACATCGGTCATTATTCGAAGAGACCTTGCGTAATCTAAAGCGGTGCTGCTGTCGAGACCACGCGAAGAGTTGTCCCAGCAAACAACAGTTGATTTAGTGGCTAATGTTTCTGCGATGGACACACGCTTGCGCTCACCACCAGACACACCTCGAGTGTATTCGTCGCCTACAGGGGTATACTAGAATGCAAATTAGTGGTTGTACACATGTAATGAAGCCGCAAAAACTCACCATAGTGTGCTCAATGCCGAAGATGCGCAGGAGAGCAGTGATAATGGTGGGAACTTCGCCAGTCTCGCGCTTCTTCGTCTTATTCAAAAGAGCAAACTTGAGAGTTTGCCACACGGTGAGATTGGCGAAATGAACGTCACCCTCGGGATTGTAGTTGACCTCGCCACTGAACTGTTTCGCCTGTCTCTCTGCAGAAATGCCTCCGTAAGATACATCACCTGTCACTGACGCGTAACCTTCGCGCTTGTTCGCAATCATTTTGAGAAAGGTTGAGCATCCAGACCCAGGTCGGCCGAGGACAAGCATCATCTCTCCGTCCTTGACGACACCAGAGAAATGGTCGATCAGAGTGCGTGTCTCCTGGTGTTTCTTAAAGGCCAGGGCGGGTACAAATCTGGTGACAATCTTGTAAAGGTCAGGACCGAAAGTGCCGATGATGGCATCTGGGAGGGTTTTGACGAAAGTCTGCGTCGAGCCGACACCAAGAACAGTCAGATCTTTGAAGACGACACCGACCTTCTTTGCAGAGCGACCAGCCTCGGTTCGCTTTTCGAAATGACCATCCCTAATGAAGGGCTCGAGATTGAATTCGTCGTCGTCTTCTGACTCTTTCTTTTCCGGATCCGGGCTTTCCTCTGGTTCCAAGGGCGACTCAATCTCCTCCTCACGCGATTTCCGAGTTTCTTGTCGCTCCAGGTCAGGCTGTTCCTGGACGCTATTCCGGCGCAAGTTTTCCATGGTGGGGACTTTGCGAGAAGTCTTCGCGCTCTTTTGGCTCTTCTGGCTCTTTTGGCTTTTCCCGCTGATAGTACGGGTCAGCAAATTGTTGGAAACTCGGTCTTCTCGCGAGGATGACTTGGAGAGAGAGGTCAAGTTCCTGCGCAGGGCCTCGAATTCCTGCATGGAGGCAGTGGGATCGGATATGCCAGTGTCGCGCTCGCCCCATGTTCCGGCAGCGCGCTCAGCAGCCTCGTTGTCGAGCTGTTGTGCGCGGCCATCGGGATTGTTTTCTTCGTGCCACGGGTTGGCCTGACCTTCGTATTTCCTCTCGCGAGCATTGTCTCGCGGCAGGTGTACACCATTCCACATATCGATTGGTGGACGAAGCTGTCGAGACACCACAGGGTTATGTAAGGATCGATGACAGTGTCAGTCCGAGGGATGGCAAAGGGCCGACAACAAAGGCGACGAAAGACACGGGTACTTGAAGGAAAGCTGCAGATGACGGGACAGCAAAAGGCAGACGAGGAGCATTAATAATGGGCCTGTTAGGGATGGGGTGAGAGATGAGCACCGTAGTTGGGACTAGTATGTTGACGCGATAGCGTCAGAGGCCGAGATAGAATCCATCCAGTCAGAGTAACAGAGACAGCTTGGAAGTAAAGAGCCAAGGTCAGACACTAGAATGATAACATTCGACTAATGACGGCAGCAAACAGAAAGACAAGACGAGACGAGTACGCTTTGCGCTGGCAGAGGTTGAGAAGCTTAAGTCCGGGGGTGATGGAATTAAGACAAGAAAATGAATCATCCTTTCGTTTGCATAGTGATACCTTTAGCTACACGACACTCCAATACAGAGACGGGTGGGTCTCTCTGATCGCTGATCCCTAGCAGTTTTGTCCGATCTCGCGCGCAATGCATGCATTCAATCATTATCAACAGCTCCGATTACACATCAGCGTCAGCCTTACCCAATCTACCTACCCTGACTCGGAATGTTGTGTATATGCTGTACGATGAACATGGGGTGAGCACTGTGCGCGAGGCTGGCGCTCAACAAGCACCGCTCGCTCAGCAGTAGTTCTACCTTTATATCTATCAACCTACTGCTGCAGTCAATGCCGCAAGTAGAGATTACGACCAGCAAACAAAAGCAACCAGCAATAATGAATGATATTGAAATTGCCGATGACGATGGATATTTGATGGCGCGTCGTAGAGACTATAGGCTTGAACTTAGGAATTAGCTGAGGCTTGGGATAAGCAGTAGGATCGGGCAAGCTGACAACCCACTTAATGTTAAACACTCACTATATTAGCGTTGGTGGACGCCGGACAGCGGAATGCAGATGCCGGATGATGACTTTGCTGAGTTTGATGAATCATAATGAATATGGATTGGCCTCAAAACCCGGTCAGCGCCCGTCACTGCCACTCAGGCACAGATACTGCAAGTGACGTCACTCTGACTCTCCGGCGGCGTCCACTAACTACACGCTAGTACCTGAGTAGCGCTCACTTCTCCACCCGGCTGCTGGCACAACTTCGGCACGTGAACACAGATCAGATAGCGGCACTTGTTGGCTCTGCCCACCTGCAAGGCTGCTGCAAGATCCTAAGGCATCAAGATCTTGGGACATCAAGGCATCAAGGCAGCAAGGCTAACAGTCTCTGCACCGTCAAGGATCCATGCAGTAGACTACATCCTTTATCGCATCCATTGCTGCTATTTCACCCCCTGCCACTCCGTCCAGGAATGACATCTCCTGTCGTACTCATCGCCTTACTGCTGTGCTCCTTGCCTTCGCTCTCATCATCGACCTACATCCAGGTAGAAGACTGTTTCCCACCCACCAATGCCCTGAACGTCACGCGACCGCGCACTGTGTCTCTCGACGCCGTGATCCGAAGTGAGAATGCCATCACTGTTCTGGATTTGAATGCATGGATCTACTACGACTCGCTCCAAGACTGCCAGGACACCGCTCAACATGGGAAAAATGTGATTGTTGAGGTTACCAATCTTGGCTCACGACTCGGTCATCAGATTGATGCCTCATCCCCCTGGAATATGTCATGTACCTATCACGAACTATGGGAGTGCGTGTACAGTCCCATACTTGCCAATTGCGAATGCTGATCCTGTACAGCCCTCCTGTTGCCGGCCGCCTTAATGCTACATATGACTTGGGTGCGTCTGTACCACACATGCGTTCCCTTGGTGTCTCGTTTCGCGCAAACGACTACGCCGATAGCGTCTTGACGTGTATGCGCGGTGTTGCTACTCCAGATATCGGTCATTATGCCACTTCTATCCTAAAATGGGGCTCCATCGCTGTCCCAGTCTTCGCAAGTCTATGCTCCATCTTGATCCGGATGAGACAGCGCCATGACAACGAGAACCTTCTCGATGGCCCTACTGTTCCCGATGATCCAGCTGAGGCCTTCATTCCTGGTGTCATCGACTGTCTACAGTATCTCCAGTTTGTTTTTCTCACAGGGTGCATCACTCTCAAGTTTCCTGGTTTCTTTCGTCCAGTTGTCGGCCAGTTCGCATGGTCTACACTAATGACTTTCCACCCAATTACTACTCATTTCGTCTACGACGGCATCGAGGACGGCATCTACGCAATCAATGCGACCTACGGGTTCGAAGAGATGGCCCAGGTGCTGGGAGCGCCTACCATGTCCGATCTCTGGCTCAGTGTGGTCATCAATCTGGCGATCGCCATGGCCGCTGTTGGACTTGTCATGGTCGTCACGTATCTGATACGAGGAGGTATGAGACGCACAAAAGCCGCCAGTCGTCAGGAGAGGAAAGAGACCTGGCTCTTCAAGACCAAGAATGTGGGCTGGAATCTTCTCAGAGTGGCCTTCAATTGGTTCTTACAGCCCATCCTTGCATTCTGTACATTTCAACTCCTGGTCGTTCATTATCTTTCACAATCCAAGATTGCCATACTCGCCGTTATTCTGACGCTACTAGCTGTTTCTTTAGCATTCATGTTGTACCGCATCATCTTCCAAAAACGTGGCTATGTCTTCATGAACGACTCCACGGAGGACCGGCTCTCGCTCAGCTTCTCCATCAATGCCCGTCTCGCGCTGTTGCATTATTTTGTGCTCATCGTCCGTGGTGTTGCATTTGGTGCTCTGCAGATATCTGGTCGAGGACAGATCATATGCCTGGCCGCTGTCGAGGCTATCGCTCTGATAGCATTCTTGATATTTCAACACTCGTCTGGCTACACCATACACACTTACTCGGCTGGAATTCGGCTATGTATCATACTCTTGTTCATCACTTTTCTGAACGGAGTGCATGCCAGCACCCCTGTCAAAGGCTGGGTAGCATATATTATCTTAGGGCTTCACTTTTGTATCATCCTAGCGGCCTTTGTCATTCGCCCCACTATCAATGTGTACAAGGAGCTTGCGCATCCTAAATCAGCCAGAGTGAGAGCCGGACACAACAAACGGCCTACATCTGAAGGTCCTGCGGTAAGTCCACATCATAGGATGGATGTATTCTGTACTCACTCGTTACAGGTACTTGGTCTTCACGATCTTGGCCGACGCCCTGATCGAGACGGGCACTTTCCTGGTGATGGAGTATGGCCTGATGGGGATAATAGCTACACTAGGGCAAGCCCGGTCCTTGGTCAGCGATACTCTCGACCTGCACGATCCGCTTCCGCTCTATCAGGTACCATGCCCCTGACAGCAACCTCACCCACCATAGCAGACCGACGTAGCCACGACACAATCTCGCCTGTACCATCCTGGACCGAAGATGACGCTCGCACATATACGACCATGTCTACCAGTGACCAGTTCGCAGCGGACAAAGATTACGCGACTCGTGAAGCTGACTCATATTTTGGCAATCCGGTCCCACAGCACGACACGGACAATCGTCATAGTCTGGACGAGAGCGAAGCTCATCAAGCAAGCGAGCCCAGGCCGATTGTAAGCACGCTCCGCAACCTGGGCAATCGATTCGCTCGCGGGAGATCAACACGGAGTGGCGCTGGCTTTGAGGTTTCGCGACCGCAACGACCACCGCCCGCATTTGAAGTTGTAAGACCGTCAAGAGTCCCTGAAGAATCTTCGGAAGTGTTGCTTGGCTCAGAGCTCAGGAGGAGACCATCGCAAACACCGCAGGCCGAGGACCATACCTGAATTTGGTATTCGAGATGGGAGTCTCAGATCCAGAATGCAACACCTGCAATCACACCACAGAAACATATGGCGAAAAGTGAAATGCGAACTCGTAAAAGTGAACTGACGCTTCGACACGAAAGCACTGTTCACCCACTCCAACATGCCACCAGACCACGAAATGTCTTGTCGGATGGCTGTACCACCCTCAAAAAACAGCGTTCTCCGTTCCTACATAGTTTATCAAGGTCGAAACCGCCACCACTTTACAGCGCTGTCCGAGGTCTTACATGGATAACTGCTCGTCCGCTCATGTCTGTCGTAACAATGTCCAAAGCGAGCTCGAGCACGCGCACCCCAATGGCCACCTCAGATACCAGCTTCCGAACACCACAGTCCTCGTCGAAACCTCTCAATGAGTCCGCAAACATATCAGTCACCGATGCTGGATCTGCGCTTTCCTCGCGCTCTGCTTCGCCGGCACCAGCAGATAAAGAGCTCCGCCAGCTTGAAAGCGTGTCTGCACATCACACGCGCTGCCATGGCAGAGGCCGACAGGATGTCCAGATCGTATTGACGGCATGTGGATACAACAGAGAGAATGTTGCAGTTGCAGAGACTGACATCTCAGACGCCTCGATGATGCGCAGCGCGAATCTGGGGCAGGCCCCAAACACCCAAAGCGCCGAACGCCACCCATCAGAAGCAGAACATCCCAAACACAACCCAATCTCCACGACAGCCAACCCGAACATCTGCATCCCACGCCACTACAATTCAACACCCACACACGACACCCACCGCCCTCGCTCCCCGCAACTCGCCATTCCAGCATCATGCATCGACCTCCAAAACGCACAAATCCGCCTCCGCAAGCTGTTAGTCTCGAAACGCGACCTGGACGCCGCGCTCGAGGCTGAGCTTGAGGCGTGGCGGAGCGCGCTTGGTCGATGTCGCAGTGGTGACAGTAGCAGGAGCAGTAACAGTAACAGTAGCAGCGAGAACACATGTGCACAGGCAGAAATATATACTGCGGCAGACGATGCGTGTGTGGAAGGTGATGGCACCTGTAGACCAAACACGAGCGGTGGATGCGGATCGGGATCTGGACGGATACCAACACTGACTCGCTACGCAGACTCTGATGCCGATGAAGATGGCAACGACGATGATGAAGACGACGACGACGGCATATTCCGCAAACTTGCCCTCCGCGCGCTTCTATGTACGAGCCTGAACGTCGGCGTATGGGCTGCCGGGCTGGATCTGGGCGGGTATAGTGCTGCGATGGGTGTGTTTATGGGCTGGTGTGCTGTTTGTGGGTGAGGAAGGGAGGGGGAGGGGACGGGGACAGTGGGTGTTGATGCTTGGTGTTGCTGTTACTTGTGGCTCGGGGGGAACTGAGCTGGGCTGGACTGAGCTGGACTGGATTAAGACGCCGACGAAGTACAAGGCAATGTAGAACAACAGAAGTGGAATAAGAGGATAGGAGATTGAAGACGTGCTGTTCCAACGCAGAGATAGTATGACACGTAGAATCCGAGTCGGTGCAGTAAGAGCGAGTCATTTATTCTAGATCACGAGGATATATCAACATACGACGTTTATTAATATATGTATGTCCAGATATATTAGTTATTGACATGTTAGGTTGAAGCGTGACTTCTCGGCTGTATATGTGTAGATGTGTTGTCGTTCTCTGTAACCTCGCTTGTCTTTGTCTTGACTCGTCTCGTTTAACCTCATGTAGGTATATGAATACAATATGACGAGTAAGTGGGTGGGTAAGACATCGCAGAGACTAATACACATATCTAGAAATATAATAGAACAGCACATGCCGACGTACGAGCGAACAACATTAGCAGTAACAGTATACTCCTAACGCCAACGTTGTATCAGCACGTACGTATACGATCCACGCGTTGAAGCCCGACTAGATGCTTAGAAGTCTGGTAGAACGTCCTAATTACAATGATTCCCACCACACTGCACTGTAACATCCACAGAGGGAGGGGTCGTATGAGATATACCTGGAAAGAATAGCCGATTTATTTATATCTCTCTACGCCCGCACGATGAGCGTACGAATTCAACATTCATTTTTTGATTGAGTTCCACCTTGCCGTGCCGCAGAGGGCGGACGAGGTGCAGGGAAACATGGCAAGTGGTATGTGGTACCGTTCACGTTTCAGTGATGATGATGATGACGATCTATCAGTATTGGTGGTCGAAGATGGGCGAACAGGGCTGTATGGGTGTGATTATTACGCTGGGAGCTGAATGAATGTGACGGCGTAGGTGGGACGGTGACGGGAGATATTTCTGGCGCTGGAGATGTGCTACAGTTACAGTCCAATGGAAAGCTTTAATTATACGTGTCGACGCTGTTGCGCGGCGTAGGAGGAAGAAGCGTCGAGGCTCAGCAGTGATCGTCATCTTCGCAAGTAAAAGTGCCATGAAGCGAATACTACTCACCCCTTGATAAGAAGCCAATTCCAAGCTCTCCGAGCCAATCATCGCTCTGTGTTGTTATGTTCTCGATGGTTTTCCATTACCGCCACCAGTCCGATATCAACGCCACTAAGCCTCAAAGCTTCCAAGCCATCAAGCCGTCAAGCCTTCAAAGCCTCGAATCCCCACCTTCTGCACTTGGCGTCCCGGGGGCCGGATCTCGACCCGATAAGAAGGAGAGCAACCTCGAACGCATAAACAAAAGAAGCCCCCGATGCACGTTTGAGCGCAGGCAAGAGAAAGCCCCCGAAAGCGCCAAGACTGGCGGAGCCGGCCCTGGCACGGCCCCATGAGTCGGGAGATATTCTAAAAGTTGGCGTGGTGCGCGGGTTGACGGCTTCGCTTGGACGATATCGATATCGATATGGATTGACTGGCTCAGTTACGTTGGAGGTCTGCTGTGGCGTCTGGAGGTTGAGTTGTCGGTGGTGACCGAAGATGAGGATGCAAGCTGTAGATGTACGGCAGTGGGATGATTATGTAGAGTGCGTGTGTCTGGCGCGCTGGACAACAACTCATGCGGAGTTTCGGATGGGCTCCGGACGGCATATTCCTTTGTACCGTATGCAGCAGTATGTATGTATGCGACTGCTGACGAGGCTGTGGACGCATAGCATAGCATCCTATACAGACGGAAGACCAGGTTGTCGAATATTACCCGTCAGCAGTCAGCATTGGCGCATTCGTTGGAGAAGCATGCCCCCTGGCTGGCAACGCTGCTCCCGTCAAGGCTGGGTGTCTGTTGTGTCATCCCATCCATCACACGACTGAAGGTGTCCAGGCAGTGAGTGTCCGTCCTGTACTCAACGGCCTGCATCATACCACAACATCGTAACTCGTATTCATGCTTCCGCCCCAGGACCAAAGTCCCTGACTTCTGCACTACCGCACGTGGCAGACGCGTCCATTCACGACGAACACCCCCCCAGGGCACGGTATCGGCAGCCTAGAAGCGCCACTCGCCCACGCCTTCGGGCCTGCAGATAGTGGACGCGCGCGACTCCTATCAGAGCAGCGCAGGCACGGCAGCATGTTGTTGGCATAGGACTGACAGTTCGAATTGCGTCAAACGTCCGGAACAAGGAAGGGGGCGGCCGCATCGGGGATATCCGAGCAGCCCTGCGTGCCGTCAGCCTTCTTGAAGAAAGGCTGAACAAGCAACGCGACAAGCGATGGCCAGGGTGGACGGGGGATTTGTTTGTTAATACCTGGCTGTTTGCAAAGCTATCTTTCGCCAAAAAAGTAGTCCTGGAATTGCCATGTAATATTAATCAGAAGTCCAAAGCGTCAACCTTTTGATCAGGATGTGGATCGGGATCAGCACCAATAATTGACTCAAGTCGTTCGATGGCTGCCCCGAACACGGCAAACTGTCAAAAGTCTTTTTTGCAGGGCATCTGAAACGTTCTTTATAAGTTCCTCCTGCAAGTGCCGAGCGAATGGCGAGCGAGCAACGGACAGCAGGAGGCCAAGACCAACGGGCAGCAGCAGAGACGTGCAGGATGCAGTAGTATTTACATGTAGGTATGTAGTGGTGAGTGAGCAGTTCAGTTCCAACGTGGGGAATTGTACTTTCTACTCGCTGCTCTGAACACCCTGAACTGTAAATTGTATGAAGCATGGATCTCGCTCCAAAATCCAAGATTCCCCCTGCCGCGCTCGGCCGACGCGCTGACAACAAAGTGGCCCAGTACGGCCTTCCCAGCCTGATCTGGAACTAAGGCAAGGTGGGAATTACTGACTCTACAGTGTATATACCTAGTGTGTTACACCCCCTCCCCCCCCCTTCCCTCGCCTTAGCCTTTGATTCTTTTGCTTATCATGCTTCGCGAGCCGAGTCCGTCGGTGGGTACCGGACCCTAGAGTCAAGTCGCCATCCATGGCCGTTTCAGACCTCTATAAAGAATTTACTCCCCCTCGTACCGACGACCTGTTCGTCTGCAGGATCACCACGTCGGCTCTTCGCCATTGAGAAAAACCCTCCCCGACGGCAAGGGAGTTGCTACTGAGCTCTACACGACTTGTCGAATCTTGTATACCTCCTTCAAGATGGGTGTTGTACAGACTGTCAACTCCGCTGTTGCAAACAGCGTGGTGGGACGATACTTCCGCCTCGAGGGGTCTGGTCATGTCAGTATAATATCTCAAAAACTATTCCACCACCAGAATCACCTCTGACGTCCACTCCAGCCCAAAGCCAGACCTGGCTCGCTCTTCCTCACCGAGATCCGTGCCGGTATCACAATCTTCTGCGCCATGGCCTACATCATATCCGTGAACGCGAACATCGTGAGCCAGTCTGGCGGCACTTGCGTGTGTCCTGCCGACTCGCCGGATCTGTGTGATTCGGATGTCGAGTATATGATTTGTGTGCAGGAGGTCAATCGAGATCTCGTTACTGCGACGGCGGCGAGTATGTTCCAGTGCAACTGCCTTTTGCATCGATCGGTCTCTGATAGTGTCTACAGTTTCTGCTCTCACGTCTTTCATGATGGGTCTGCTCGCCAACATGCCCATCGCTCTCGCACCCGGTATGGGTCTCAACGCCTACTTCGCCTTCACCGTCGTCGGTTACCACGGATCCGGTTCCGTCCCGTACGCCGTCGCCCTCACAGCCGTCTTTGTCGAGGGGTGGGTCTTCGTCGGCCTCACACTGCTGGGTATCCGCCAATGGCTCGCCCGCGCACTTCCTCAAAGCATAAAACTTGCTACAGGCGTTGGAATTGGTCTGTATCTCACGATAATCGGTCTGACATACTCGTCTGGTATTGGTCTCATCACAGGTGCTGCGTCCACGCCCCTCGAGCTCGCCGGTTGCACGCCCGACGTCCTCGCTATCACAGAAAACGCAGGTGTCTGCCCGGGCGGCACAAAGATGCGTAATCCTACAATGTGGATTGGTATATTCTGTGGCGGCTTCCTGACTGCACTGCTCATGATGTACCGCGTCAAGGGCGCCATTATCGCTGGAATTCTCCTCGTCAGCATCATCTCCTGGCCACGCAGCACGCCTGTGACGTATTTCCCGCATACCCCCGCCGGTGACTCGGCCTTCGACTTCTTCAAGCAGGTTGTCGCTTTCCATCCGATCAAACGCGTCCTGGCCGTACAAGAATGGAATATTTCTGGTTATGGTGGGCAGTTCGGGCTCGCATTCCTGACTTTCCTATATGTTGACATTCTTGATTGTACCGGTACATTATACTCGATGGCGCGCTTCTGTGGTGCCATCGACGAACGTACACAGGATTTTGAAGGTTCGGCCATGGCATACACCGTCGATGCTGTTGGTATCTCTATCGGCTCGCTCTTCGGATGCCCGCCTGTGACCGCCTACATCGAGTCGGGTGCAGGTATTTCCGAGGGTGGCAAGACCGGAATAACGGCCATGTTTACAGGTATATGTTTCTTTATCGCCATCTTCTTCGCACCGATTTTCGCATCTATTCCACCGTGGGCTACAGGCTGTACGCTGATCCTGGTCGGCTCCATGATGGCGAGTGCGGCGGCGCAGGTCAACTGGAAGTATCCTGGAGACGCCATTCCGGCATTCTTGACCATTGCCATCATGCCATTTACGTATTCCATCGCGTACGGCCTCATTGCGGGCATTTGCAGCTACATTGTGCTGAATGGCGGTGCAAAGCTTATTGCGTTTGCGAGCGCGGGCAAGGTCGTGCCACCGGGCATCGAGGAGAGTGATCCTTGGACGTACAAGGTTGAGGGTGGCTTTCTGCCGCCGTGGATCGGGCGGGCGGCGCGTGGGAAGAAGGACTTCTGGCGTGCGGATCCAGAGGTTGAGGGGAGGAGTGAGGGGGAAAGTGAGGTCGGTGTTGAGCGTTCGAAGGAGGTGGTCGAATCGGACGAGAAGGCTACGTTCCATTAGATTTCCGCCGTCTTGTGCATTTATGCATTGCGCCGCAGGCATGCAGCCTCAGGGTCTGCACAACCGCGTTTGTACACAATATATATACATTATATTCACACAAAAGGTCGGCTCTTTCTAGTGCTTTTTTGTTCAATGATGCCTGTGATGATTATGTCAAGTTTTACAATGTTCAAAATGACGTCAAAGGTTCTGCACCACAGATGTGTGCATTGTCCTTCTGTGGCGCCAATCAAGCAATCCGACGGGGGTTTATTTCTCCAAAGACGACTATGTACCAGATGAACCGGTGTCTACTCACTCGCGGCCAGGCGATATATCTATGACTCTAGCATATGTTAACTTTTCTACAACCATCTTCTTTCTGCAATCCGAGCCCCGTTCCAAGTAAACCTTGACGATGCCAATATCCAGCCTTGTGTTTGTCTCTCTCGACGACTCGCCTACAACCAGGAATGGCTTTGCTTGCAAAGATCCCATGCAAAGCCTTTCTTCCCACCTAACTAACCCAAAGCCAGAACATGAATAACCCTAAAATCCGGAAACTAATGATATACACGAATACTGATATGCTGGGGTATTAAAAACTGTTTGAACGATGCGCCGTGGCGGGAGTCGAGAGGCTGTGTCATTGGGGGAAGGGTGTTTTTTTTTTTCTTTTACATGATGATAGCGGGAACTATGAGTGGCATGTCAGTTATTAATCCCCTAACAGCGCAATAGCTCCTTCACTCACCGTCAACGTTCTGCTTGATAGTCTTGTGTGGAAGAATGGATCCACCATTCACGTAGACTTCGTCCCCGATTGCGACATCGTCTCCTAAAACAGTCACATTTTCCAAGCGAGCCCACCTTCCAACAGAGCTGTTCCAGCCAACTATAGTTGACTTAACCCAAGCGTGGTCTTTGACCTTGCTACCCGATAGCAACACACACCGCTGGAGACGAACGCCATCTCCAATCACTACATTGGGCCCAATCGTCACATTAGGGCCAATACGACAGTTCTTGCCGACCTTTGCGGAAGGGTCCATGAGAACGTTACCACCATATACGAAGGGCTCCGACACAGGAGTAAGTTCTTTGGAGTTCTTCTTGGTTAGCGATGAGAGGTATAAGCAAGTTCCAGCCAGAAAGTCCTTGGGCTGTCCAACATCCATCCAAAAGCCTTCTAGGTCAAAGGAGTGGAGCTGTCCGTCCTTGCAGATGGCGGGGAAGGTCTCTTGTTCGATCGAGGTTGGGCGAAGCTCGATGCGCTTAAGCACGGAGGGGTTGAAGATGTAGATACCGGCGTTAATGCGGTTGCCTACGAATTCAATTGGCTTCTCCACAAAGCGATCAATGCGCGAAGGGTGGTCATGCTTGTGCACAATGACACCGTATTTCGAAGGCTCTTCCACCTTGGTAACGATGATTGTACCCTCCTGCCCGTGTTGTCTGTGGAACTCTGCTAGCTCGTTGAATGGGTATTCACAGATGACATCCGAGTTGAGGACGAAGAAAGGCGTGTCGTCCTTGCCTAGAATCTTCTCAGCAAGCTTGAGAGGCCCAGCGGTGCCCAGGGGCTCGGTCTCGACAGAGAATTCAATTCTAACATTAAACTCTTTCTCATACTGTTGCAATTGGTCAGGTTCGTGTTGAGCTAGAGCGCGAGCGTATTCTCATTGTCGCGCTACGAACCTTTTGCAGTGCCTCGGTCATGATTTCTGGTCTGTAGTTTACTGCGAGCACAATGTCTGTGACGCCCGCGGCGGCGAGTGCTTTGACCTGATGGTAGATCATAGGCTTGTTGGCAAACTCCACCAACGGCTTCGGAAGCGTGAGAGTCTATCATGTTGTCAATCGGCGAGTCCGCAGTGAGCACCGTCTTGTATACGTCAACAGAGGTACGGCGGGGTATAAGAGGCGTACGAGAGGTCGAAGACGGGTGCCAAACCCTCCAACGAGAATAAGAGCTAATAGGCGACTATGTCAGCATGTGACTACACGGCTGGATAGAGCTGTTGCAACGACACACCTTTCATGATTGCGGTTTCGGTGAGAAGCTGGCTTGTGGGGGGAAAGAGGTGGCTATGAAGCTGGTAGAGACGAAAATGGAGAAGCTGGAGAGATGGAGTGGATTGTCGCAATGGAACTGGCGTGGGTTGGAGAAGAGACAGGTAAAGCTGAGTGAGTGGAAGGAGAATAGAGTAGAGGACAGAGTGACAGAGCGAGGGCGGTGTGAATTGGCCAGGACTATTAAGCAGCCAGGAAGAAAAGTCACGATCCTCTCTTTCTCACTCTAATCCGATCCAATCCGCTAATAAGAATGGGATGTGGCAGCTCGGCCCCTTTCTTTTTTGCCAGTAACGGTGCCAGTAACGGTGCCAGTACCAGAGCCAGTTGCCAGTGCCCAGTGAGCGTGACCCTGCCCTGCGCCGGCGCTGCCTTTCCACCTGCCGAGCCCCCCTACAGACCCTTCACACGTCCCCGCACTGCTGGCCGCGTGAACGAATAGTTCGCCTTCTTCCTCCATCGTTCCCTGTCTTCTCCCACTTCCAGCTTGCGTACGCTCTTCTAGAACCCCCCTTGCTCTTCATTTCTCATTTCTCAAAACAGTCGCCTCGTTTCATATCGAGCCCCATCACTGATCATTTAGTCAACCCTCCTCCGCGCCTCTGTCACGAGATACCGAGCTTCACGGCGGCTGACGTTCCTGAAGCTACCTATGGCCGTCCATCACATCACCAATCATACATTACAGCAGTTCTTAGCAGTCAGCAGAGACTATGGCTTTGGTTTGGGGGGAATGAAGGGCCACAGCTTTCAACTCTCCTCTATGTTGGACAACAACAGACATATAAGCACGCAACTGACATTGTGTCGCAGCAGACAACCAGTGGTCCGCCGTCATGCAGCCACACAAGCCATCTCCACTCGTTTATCTCCTATAGTGCAACCGACAACCCTAGGGGCCGCTTTAGGAAATGATGTATGGCCCCTGCCAGTGGCTTGGCTTTGACAATTTACCTAGGCAGTGGTCGTACTCCCAACAACAACCGCCTCGACCGTTTTGGACTATACATTTATGTGTTTCTGTGAGGCTATCCTAATGGCCATATTGACAGAAGAATAGTGACTTCGTAATCGCTAATGCGAGATCACTAGACACCAATGTCTCTAGAACGACAAGAATCATAATTTTAAGAGACATCTATGGAACAGACTTGTTGTCAATCTACAGGCTCGAAATACGAAACGCCGTCCGCACCCAAGCTCGCCATCGGTTATCTGCTCGTACTATGAGAGCGATTCACAATGCCATACCAGACTCTCTCACCCAGAAACTCCTCTCGTCCATACGCTGGCGGTGGCTCGAAGCTCGGCCAACTTCTTGTCGCGTCCATGTACGGCTCAATATCTTCGTCAGTCACCGTGTATGCTGGCGCTGGCACTCTTGGTAACTCTTCGCTGCGCGCTCGTTCTGCTACGAGTGCTTCGTATTGCTCATGCTCCTGCATCTCGGCGTCAAACTGAGCGCGTTGTTGTCTCATCGATCTCAGCATCTTATTTGTCCTGCATGTCTTCTTCAAAGTCCATGCAATGAATATGAGCAATACAAATATTGCAGGAGCAGACCATTTTACGGCACTATCTATGTCTATTTGTGCTTTGACTTTGACAGGGACGTATTTGTAGTCAACCACTGTCATTGTACCAGGGCCGTCCATGAATCGATTATGCCCACTGTAGCTTGTGCGTAGGGTGAGGTGCGAGCTTTACTTCAGAGATCAGTTCTGCCGGTAGTGTTACTAGATGTGGGTGCTTACTTTCGAGATGGCCTTACAAGGGCTGGTCCTTCTTCTGAGTCCGGTGAAGAGTCCTGGTGACAGGCTATGCGTCGTTGCAATGCCTTCTAAGGAGGATTCGAAGTTAGTGAGCTCTGGAGAGTAGGGTTGCAGGGCTGGAACGCCAAAAAATCACCGTGAATGTCTGATGTCTATCAATTTTTAGTAGCGTGTATCACCTAGGAACAGGAGACCTGGGGCCTTTCGATGGCAATTTATACATACAGCTGTGGTATTATTCTTCCCATGCGTCAGAATCATCACTAAACTGCGCTTGCTACGCATCAAAGAACCGCAAGAAGCTCTATTGGCTACACCAGAAACAGGTTCCATGCACACCCGGATCTCACTACACTCTGGTCTGATATCCTGGTACGTTCACATTGATATCCTATGGATTCCTATCGTCTGCAAAACTGGTACACTAAACACCGCCTATCCAGCCCTCCAAAAACACCAAAAAATGCATGCCGCACAAAAGAAATTATCCTCCAGCCCACACCCAATTCAGCTGTCCAACGAATCGATGCTCCGCTGGTCCTCCGAGTCGACCTCGGAAACCTCGGATGAGGCCTCGGCGTCCCCGGTACCAAGCATCCTCTCCCTGACCTTCACCAGATATAAGATGAAGAAAAAGACCAGTATGACGCACAGGCCGCAGAAAAGGACGAAAAGAGTGATTTTGCTCGAGTTGTCGAGTCTGAAGGGCATTTTGTATGCCGTTTGTGCGTGTAGGTGTGTGCGTGTGTGTGTGTCGGGGAAGAAAACTTTTGAAATGCTCTGTTGGATAGACTGTTTTTGAGGTTAGTCGGGCTGTGGATTGGGCTGATGGGCTGTTTGTTTTTAGAGGAGAAGACTTACGCGAATGGATAAAGAGTGTGAATGGGTCCAATGTCTCAAAGGCTCAAAGTGTTGATGTTAGGTTGTGTAGGGAGGCCTGCCCGGGTGAAGCTTCAAACTGTGGAAAGACTAGGTCTGACGTTAGTCGAAAGTGCTCTGCTTGCTGCTGTTGTGGACTAACGTACGAGGTAGGTACAGAGTTGTAGTGAGCATGTGCGAGTGGAGTGGAAGCGTAAGTATAAGTGTCAAAACTCAAGCAAGTAAAAGCGTATATATATATATATATATATGTATGCGTGTGAGTCCGTGTATGTAGGTATAAATGTATGAATGAAAATAAACAAAAGCACAACCCAAGAAATGCAGGCGAACACCCCCGTATTTATACCCAGAAATTTCCCCAAAACCGGATCTCCATCGCTCGCTCGATTCGTTCTTTCCCCCCTCCTGCCCCCAGTTCCATGGAACTCGCTCAAGCGCGATTATCCGTCATGCTACTTGGTAACCTACGCATCGATGTGGCTCGATTCTTGTTTCTTTTTTCTTTCACTATACCATACTTATTCTCCCAGCATGCCCTAGCGCGATGATGTTCCGTGGAATTGTCGGTCCGGCGTGTTCCGCGCGCTTGAATGCGCGTATATGTGTTGTGTGCGTGCGCGTGGTGGTAGTGAAGGGCGGTTTTTGCGTTGCTTTGGCGTTTGAGGTGTGAGGTTCGAGGTTCGAGGAGATAGAGAAGCGGGTAGATGATATACAAGATCATGAAACATAGAGACATGCCATGTGTATGACCGTGGTAAGGGAGAAAGAGGTAGGTGTTGCCTGAGGCAAGGACATGGCACACTCAAGTGCATTGCCAAATCGAGCTTGTCTTCACGACTTCACAATACTACGCCGCGCTCACAGCAGGACCTCGAGCCATGTCTTCTCTCGAGCCCACGGCGTGAAAGCAAGATAGAGAGAAAGAAGACGTTGCCATCGCCATCTTTTGCAACCCACCCACCGTCCAAATAAGCTCGGGCCAATGAGAGCTGCAGAACGCGTTTTGCAGTCCTGATTCGTTCGGCCTCTCATGCTCGAAACGATGATGTGCCGGCGCGCGCACGTGCGTCCACAGGGCTGAGATTTTCCCGGGATTGTCGGTTGCCTTGTGGGTTCGAGGGTTGAGTCGAGGGGGAAGGGGGCGCGTAGCAAGATGTGAGGTGATGGATGGGGGACGAATTCGGGGAACATCTGAGTGAGAAGGGATATCTGGTAACGGGGGATCAGTATCAGCTTTGTGTGTGTGGAAAGGGGGGATGGCTGAGGTATATCGATTCTGTGAGGCCCCGAAGTGTATGGACGATCCGTTGTAAGAGGAAACGAAGATCTAATGTCTCGTGATCGGGTCAGTCCTGTACGCCAGTTGTAGTGGGATGACGACAGTCTATCGCTATAACATGAGTATCACAGAACGCATACACATCTGCAGGAGCAAAAACATGAGTTTCATTAAGTCGTTACAATATAAAGTGAAGGTGCACAGAATACCCCTCCCGAGCATCTTCAGGGTTGTGCGATTGGATGCTCATGTATAAAGATGTCGCTGAACGCTTGTCAAGAAATGATAAAAAATGCGCTGAAAATACCGCCCTTTGTCATCATCGTCATGTTCGTCATAAAGACGTCCAGAGAGAGGAAACAAGATTCGTCAAGACGTGAGTCGTGAGAGGAAGAAAGAAAAATCGTCTTATGAGGAAAGAGAGATTCGTGATTTGGATGCAGTCTGATGTATATAACGCGGGAATGCAGATAGCCAGTCCCAGTCGTTGAATTTGGTGGTCGTCAGTCGTTCATAAAAGTCGTGTCGTTAGTCCGGGCGGTGATATTGCCGTCCGGATCAGATGCATGGTCGTCAAAGCAAGTCGTTCAGTCGTAGCTTTAAATACAAGATCGTAAAGGGTAGAGTTTGAGCTTGGGCTCTGGTGTCTTTCGTATGAGGGGAAATTTAGCTTCTGTGAATGGTACCGTTGCGTGATGCAATTGATCCATTACCGAGGGACTGGATCAGAGAGGTCATCTATGCCTGGGCCCAGCCGCACTCCTGGAGACAACGCTGGCATCTCTCATAGGCGCGGACATGTCCGCGGCCGCAATAGCAAGTCTCGACCGAGGATTTGCTCGTGTGTCGGCTATGCGTCTGCGGCAATCCAGAGTCACTGCCTCGAGGGCTGCTGCCGCCACTCCCAGTGCTGCCACTATCGGAGTCGTTGATCGACGACTGGGTGTTACGGCGGCCGGTGCCAATAGCAACAGGAAGCCCCTGGACGATGCCGCCCTGGCCCTGACGCTGACCGGGATACATGCCATCGTTGACGGAGAAGTTACGGCATATCATGTAGGCGCGGGTAGCTGCAGCATTGCGTGCCAGATCGTCCGTCTCGTAGTCCTCATCGGTGGTGTACTCTCGGTTGTTGACGCGAACGGTGCAGCCGTAATAACCTCGACGAGTTCGGTAGGAATCATAGGAGGGTTCTGGCCAGTGACGACGTTGGCAAAGACCTATAGTGTTATGTATCAGCCAATTGGATTATGGATATGCACAGAGGTGGACATGACGCCAACAATGAATAACAACGTGGCCCATCTGCAGATGTAGTTCATGTCAGACTCGGCATTTCAGCACTAAGCCCCCAGTCGACGTGATCTGTACAAGGCATCGAGCCCCATGAAATACAACACGACAATCGTTGCAGACTTTCCAAGGCTATGGTACCAAGCACGAATGCAGTCAAACGAGTATCTGAATGTCTTACCAGTAAGGTAGATGTGGTAGAACATCTTCAATGGGCCTCTGGTTACAACAGATTACAGTGGCAACACTTTTTTTTCTTTTCTCAATGGCTTGAAAATTCCCTTCAATGGCCGAATTCGGATGTCTTTCTCGAGTTCTGGCCTGCCCAAACACTGTGCGGTCGATTCGGACGAGGGTGACGGACCACTCACAAGCGAGGCTCCTGCTGTACCCCGAGAGATGCGTGTGGGGAGGCTTGACAATGTGTTAATGTTAGAAGTGACAGTTGTCGTGTCTGCTGGCGAAGTGTTGTCTAAGAGGTCGACAGCAAGGGAGTGAGGTGGCCTGCAGAAGAAGGAATGGGTGGAGGTAGGATATCTTACTCCCTCCGAGTGGGAGACGGAGTGTAATTTAATGGGACAAAAGCGAGCGGAGCAGGCATGCCTGGATATGCGTCCACATCTCGACCGCCAGTAGCAAGATTGTATAGTATTGGCTGTGAGAAATGAATAATCTGCAGGCGTGATTGAGGCTCTGGAGTTGAGACCCATTATTGATGTGTTGGCGTCTCGCTTTACCAGTAAAAGCGGAGTGTGTTCCAGAATGTCAGCTACTTTGATAGACATTTCGAACGAGCACAAAAGTTCACCGGTAGCCCCTCCTCGAGGGCACCCCATAACCCTCGGTTCGCCACTACTATGCAGCAATAGCGCGATTCAACGACCGCTGATCGGGATTGGACCCTGCGAGTCTCGAGCCGTAGGTACGTCAAAGCTCTGTGAATTTTTTTTTGACGTTTGTGATCGGCGGCTCGCACAGACTGATACTGATACTGATATGGAAGGTTGGGGCAAAGCTGTACACATGAGATTCACGTTGACCGGAACCCCGGAGCACCGGAGACATTCATAGAGTTCCTCAGCCTTAACGGGACCATGCGTACGATGTCTATCCCAGCGGTACTCTCGCAAATCCGCTAATGCTGCGGTATTGCTGAGAGGGCAACGCCGAAGGAAGCAAAGCAATTCAAGATCTTGAGCCGTCCCCCGGACTCACGGAACGCACTCAAGATCTTGGATACGCTTGTCAGATGGAGAAACAGAGGCTTTGTTTATTTTGGTAGTCCGGCGGCAAGACCATAGCGAAACTGGCGAGAGCGTCCGTGGAGACGGGCATGTCTCCATGTTGGACGCATCAAATGCCAGCAGCCTTGCCCGATGCGGTAGCGAGGAGGCGGGCATCGCGCCTAAGCTCGAGACTACTGGTGAGTATCTTGACACGCAGCCGTGATGTTGGTGCAGTAGGTTCGACGGTGGCTTCCAGCGAGCTTGAGCGTATCACTACGCTTCGGTTGATCAGGTATAACAACACACCGAGAAGATGGTGTTATTCTAACGCCGACTAGAGCAGCGACAGCACGAGGAGGCCAATGAAGACCAAAAAGATTGATGAAGGAAGAACTGGGCCTGGTGGTACCCACGAGTTGTCGTGTTGTCGTACCCCAGTCATGCACGAATGAGCTGGCAATATGCGCCTTGTAGGAACGGGCGACGACCAACGGCTGCTAGTTGACGCATGAGTCGCAGGAGGAACATGGCATCGAGAGCGCCTGTGCAAAACTTGCAGTAACGAGCAGGAGCAGTGATGAAACACGTCCTCATAGTAGTCTGACGATTGTAGATGTAGTTGGTACAAGACCGTGGAGTATTCTCATCAATTGTGGTGATTATTGACATAATTGTTGTTGTTGTCGATGCAAAACAACCTGACGAATGAGGGGTCAAGCCATTGACCGCATCGATACCTTTCGGCCGGGTCATGACATGCGGACGGCCCAGGGCATTCCTGGCAATTATGTATCAGATGCAGATGCAAAAATGTTTGAACGCAGTTATTCCTCCGCGAATCTGTAGAACCCCTTGAGCGATCGCTGGGTTGGATTCGGCCAGATGATCGCTTTGGGATTGATAATTCGGCCATCCTCTTCCGTGTTGATGGGCATAGCAATGGCCGAATCTTGTCAGCACAGCATCCCGTACATAGTGCATAGGAGTACGAGTAGCCGGAAGGCTCATGATGGCACGCATTGGCTGGAGATGGACACCGTCATGGTCTTTGATGCTGCTGCTGCTGGTGTCAGCCTTCATGAAAGCTGCTAGGTCGGCAGGGTTCGTTCGTGTCAGCAACACAATTGATGTGCAGCAACGAGCAGTCAACGGCCAAGGTATCGCGTCTACCTCGGGTCTCATCTGCAAGCGATTCGCCTCTCCTTGGACAGGCGGCCTGCATGCCAGGGAAGAGGCTTGTAATGCTGGCATGCTAGGCGGCTGAGCCAATGGCTTGCAGTTGGTGGGGAAGACGCAACACGGGAGGTCACTTTTGTGTTGAAAGTCAGATGTGTGTTGGTGTACGGGTACATAGTATACACTACGGTGCGGCATCAAAATTGCGTCTTCGCGCGCGCAGCACGTTACGGGCGCTAGAGAGACTGACTATCACACCTGAAGATCATTAGTCGTTAGTAGGACTGAAGGTCAAAGCCACTGGTCAAGTCCCATTTTCAGGTTCTCGTGATGTGGTTACAATATATCTGAGACTGCTGACCACCTGAGAAGGCAACGATTTGACATGATGTAGTGAGATTTGCCTTGTTGTCTTGTCGTGCACGTGAGGTTGAGACCGACGATATATCTATCCCTTGTCGGCACAATGCTTGCTACACGCAGGACGCACCACATGTGCAGCCTATGCATTCCGGCTGTATGGAGATTCAGACCACATTTCATTCACTGCCAGTCTGGTAGACTATCTGAGCCGTAACCTTCGCTCGACCCAACCAGCGAAGGAACAAGAAAAAGCGGTGAGCATCGCTGGAAGAGACGATGCAACGCCCGCATCCTTCGCCTATACTCCATAATCACATCGTCCACCTCATCCCGCGTGTTATCCCCTCCGAACACGCTGCACACGTCTTGTTTGTTGTCTACCACGCGTTGACTGTACGCGTCTCGCTCAATGATTGCTGAAAATGTCTTGAGGCCTGAGCATATTCGTGGACTCTGAGTAGCAATACATCAACACTGCAAGGGAGAATGTTGGTCTGCATGCAATCACTCGTGCTGCTCTACGGAGTAATTATCGGAAATTTACGGCATAGTAGAGCCTTGCGTCGTGCGGGGGACCCTCCGTGCGTTAGAATAATGCCGATGCCCCTCTATAGCTAGGGAAACTTCTGGGTGAATTAGTGTCGAAAACCAATTGACCAACTGTCACCAGCACAGATCTTCGAGAAGCCATGGCGAAGTCAATCGACCGCATCACGCTGTTCAAAGTTGCAGAGGAGGACATTGATGAGGTGCTAGCACAGTACAAAGGGCTCAAAGAAAAAGCTCTTAAGGTCAATCACGGCGAACCATTCATCCAAGCCATCCAATGCTTACTTTGATGCAACAGGACGACCAGCCCTACATACTCCGTGCTTACGCCCAACGGACCTATCCTGAAGCACGCAACCAGGGGTTCTCCATCTGTGCACACACATCCTTTGCCTCGCTGGAAGACTTCGAATACTATGACAAGGAGTGTGCAGTACATAAAGCATTGAAGGCGGTCGTTGGACCAAAGCAGTCGGGCATGATGATGATGTACATGGATGCAACACCAGAGAGCCGCGGATCGTAGCGTGCGTAGTATTGCACCTCAATATGCACATTGGTATCCAGGAGGTCTGTGTAGGATGGGCTTTTGATACACCCGCCCTGAGAATTTGTGAATTGAGATACAGTCTCGCTCAGAACGCTCCTTTAGCCTCGAAATAACCTCTGATTTTATCGGCCTGCCCAAGTGGAATAACAAAGACTGGATGGACCGGCTTAAGCAGATCCTTCTCGTCCCAGCACCATTGCTCGTCAGTTGCCGGGCAGGTTTCCAGTACGCCATTGCTATTCGAATCTTGAATGGTCCAGCTGAAAGCTGCTGACAACGGAGCGTTGGCGAATGGATTAAGTTCAGATGGCCTATAGACGTACTGAAACTGAGCAGCGCATAGACCAGCTAGGTTGTAGCAGGTATGATATGCATCCGGATGTCTGCAAATGGTTAGATACATGCGTGATTGCGTGAAATGGTGTATACTTTTTTGGCTTGTCTCTGAGCCCACCATTTTTTCCCTGGCAACAGCACAATATCCAACGGGCAAGGCCATTCTTGCTCCATAATTCCTTACCATTTCTCGGATGAGTATCCGGTCCCCATATGGCACATTCAAGCATTGACCAGCAGCCACCGACCCAATGACTGTAACAGCCATCCACGAGCTTGTTAGTACGTCCAGCAAATCCACCTTCGGGTGCGTGTTGCTGCGACGATAGCCATGCCGTCAGGCTGTGTATATCAAGATATCTAGGCTGTCAGCATATGTCTCGTAAAGAAGGAGTACAACAACGTACTTGGGTATCATCTCATACGGTGCTCCAATAAGACTCAAGCAAGCCAAGGCGCAGAAAGCATAAGCACCATGTGCTTCATTCCCGGGCGAGGCTCCTATACCGCCTTCAAAGCTTTGGCACCTTGATATCCATTCCGGTAGACCAGTGAAGAACGTCTCATCGCCGTTAACGCGTGCGGGGGACCCTTTGGGTAGCTCGAGCGGTAGATTGAGCAGCGACACAATCGTCATGGCACAGTATGCACCGCGAATATCCTCCTCAGCACCTGGAGCCACCGTGAAGCCACCATCACGCTGCTTCATGTTACCTAAAAACTCCCACATGGCTTTACGGTCGATCATGTCGTAGCACTCCTTGCCCCCAAGGATCGCCAGACTCAACACGCCTGCATACGAACCCGCGACGTGTGAGTACTGACCATGCCCACCACCGAACCCCCCCGTAGAATTCTGCGCTGCAAGTAGATTTGAAATGAGCCTAGTAGAGATGTCAGGTGGGCTTCGTGTGTAACATGCAAGAACGTCCCATTGGCGCCTGTACGCGAATGTGCAGAAAGACGGTAAAGAGATAGTGATAACTTTTTGAGTTTTCGTGATCGAACAGCAAGCATTTGACACCTACCGTTGCCTGTATTTATCCAGGTTCTCACCAAGCATCGCCAGTCCCGAGAGTGACCAATAGTAGATCCATGGTCTACTTGCGTCCACCGCAACGAACCCAGCTGGATAGTCTTCCAGTGCGTCTTTCAGGAATTCCACATGATTGTCTCTCTGCAGCGCTTGGATGCCTCTGCTATTGAGTGGTTGCTTGTTCGGATTGCCCTCTAGAAATGGTAAACAGTCTCTGATCACACCATCTTGAACTTCTGAGCTCTCTGTCGATAAGGAGTCTTGGATGATAGGACGAGATGTATAGAGTGCTGGAATAGGTGGGTAGGGCGAGCGTCTTTGCCCATCATCGGACACAGATAGCTCTTCAATACGACTATACAAGTCCGGCAGACCGGTTTGCGATGTGGATGACGCCATACTTCTCTTGAATAGTATTTTCCGATGGCCAGTCCTATGAGCTGTATGTCGCATAGAAGAAGTTTGCGGCGTAGCTCAGATGGGTGTGACGGTTATTGAGTAAGTTCTTGGCATGCTCTGGTTACACAAAAGTGGTTCTCGAACGTGTCCAAAGATTCTGAATTGTCAACTTATGATGTTCACCGTATGTAGCAGTATGGCCTAGTACTATATCTTGTTTTTGACAAGCAATCTGCGATGCAAAGACAATGCCAATCATATCCTGCATCCCTCGGTGGACCTAGCTCAGCGCTCGGGCCATAGTACCTGTTTCATGACTTCACTTCTTCTGCATGACCACACCTTGCCAACATCCACATTATTGACGAGTATTGACTTCACTGCTCTGCCGTAGTGCCCACGTCCAGCTCAAGGTTTTTTTCCCCGGCTATCAAGGGCTCACTCATCGACAGTACGAATATCATGCGGCACCAATTTGTGTTGCTTGCATTTTCCCATAGATGCATAGTCCATCGTTGAACGCAAACATCACCCCTTTTCATATGCCGCTATTCGCCACTGTCCAGAACGCAATATATCTCGCCCTCTAGAACAACACCGTAGTCGATGGATACAGTGCGATGCATAGCGTGCTTGAAGCCCGCATGTCGCTTTTAGCAGGTCAAGAGGAGAGTCCGAAGAGCGCGTACCGCAAAGTCAGCGTATCGCAGTACTTGTCCATTACCTATAGTGAGGCCTGGATCGTTCTCAAGGTCGCCCTTGTAGGTCTTGATGATGTCCTCCTCGCAGTTCAACCCCATCATGAGACCCTTCGCACACGTAACTTAGTCCAAGCTTGACTGTAGGATTGTCAGCTTATTGGCGTAAGAGAAACATCCTCAGCCAACGCATTCGAAAACATGGCCAAGCCCGCGGGATTATGGGTGGTAACGAAGCGTTTGGGTTCCCGCAGGTTGCTTTCTTGAGCCATGGTAAGATCGAAGTATCCTACTACAAGTCTGAAACCAAGCACTATCGAGTATATTGATAGGCACGACTGGTATGTTGATCGCTTAATGACCCGTACTTGTAGATACGTAAGATTATCTTATATACAGATGTCATGATCTGATTTTGCGACACTGATTGTAGCTCAACGATCTCCAAGCCCTACGCAGCGGCAGTACGTGAACAGAAATCATGACACTACATACGCTGAGTATCACACCTGATCGAGCAACTTCACACGTCAACATCCAACTTTGCTCATGTCAGTTTCTCGACCGGTTTCGCTTGGAATATACCGATGTCGTTTGCACTGATATTTGAATCTAGAAGACGCGCACTATTACCAGTATTTGCAGTAATATTACTGTATGCCAGCCCAAGCTTTTCGCTATTGATCCTAAGAGCAAAAGTGAGAGTAACGTTCGACAGATGTAGCATCTTGGCCATCATAAATGCGCAAACAAGACCCGCTTGCCGTTGGGTCTATGCCATCTATGGCTTCCGTTGTTCGCATGAATATCCAGCAGTCTGTACTGCCCTGAGAATCACTTGAGTCCCGCAGACCGAGGCGTTCGGAACACCAAAAGCATACTCGTTGATTACCAAAACAAAGCTATCACACATGGTAGCGAGACTGCAAGTCAGAGCGTTGTCGTACCATTGATGCACATGTTTAAGCTCATGATTACACACTATGCCCCCCGGCATGCAACGGATGTTCGAAATTTTCACAGGAGATATTTGTGTGACTACCTGGGTTACGGAAGAGTGAGAAGTAGTCGTCAGATGCAGAGGTATCGTTCTCCGTCACGATGTGGCAGCCTGTATGATTGCAAGAGGAGGTAGGTACGAAAGATGCCGTGGTAGCTCGCCCTCGCCCACTGCTTTATGATCATTAAGCAGTCTCCCATTCATACTAGCATCTGGTTTGCGTGGCACGTACAAATATCGAATACGCTGAGATGAATCCAATGTACCGGATATCGAAAAAAAACATGGTCGAACCGGGATGAGGGTGACCTCAGAAAAGCTGATCGCATGCGGTTTCACCAGAATATATAAATTTCACATGATGATCATGTGCAAGAAATGAGTAAGCTCGAGGTATCATGATCTGGCTATGAAGTGGGTATGAATACGAGCAGACACGGTGAGAATAGGCGTGGAGAACCTAGCGCTAGATATTTATGTGGCTTCGCAAGCTCTACGATGAGTCCAGGTATGCCGTGGTAACATCAATCAAGATGACTCGTCATCTCCCGTCAAACGTGCATCCGTTCTTCTAAACCATGCAGCCACGGGATATAAGATGGATGAAGTTAGTGTTTTCGTGGAGATGTGTTTGACTCCTCTGACACCGCCCGCGCAACTGAATGATGCCCGGCCAGTTCTTATGGAGTCCGAAGTTCCTTCTTCGCGTCGCTATATCGCACAACAACGATGGCCTAGCCAGAGCTCCTACAGCAAAATGCTGCGGAGCGTGGCGCGTTGTTGTATACTGTCTTGTGGACGCGTAGAGAAGAAAGGTTGTGGAAGGCGGACAAGAAATTTTATCTCAATGCAGCAGCTTCAGCCGCTAAGGAGTATTGAGCTTAGCGCTAGTGGAGCTTTGGCCGCCGATGACATCGGCTCTAAGAGGTTGACAGTATCGGCGTGCTGGTGTTTGATATTTTTGTTGCATACATGTTTTCGTCGTGTATATTCAGCTCTAGATGACTGACAACCTCAATCTTCACTCAATCTTCACCTCCCGAACCCAGCCATCAAGTTATTGAAGGATACGTTGTTGATCCACCATGACAAAGCCACCATGACGCGTGCATTCAACCGAGAAGCTTGCAATCTCAACACGTCTTCCTCCCATCTTTATGTACAAATTCCCGTAATGGGATAAACCCAATCTCATTGACTATAACGACGTGTGATAGACTGTCACCGTCTTCAATACAAGTCACTCATTCCATACACAGAGCCGTATCGGCGCCCGAACACCTCAATCCTCCACGATGTCCGACTCATCTACACCAGTAAAGTCGTCAATACATCTCACCCACCGCACAGACAATACCCTTTTTCAAGCCTTCCTTCGTCACTTCCTGCGCGCCCTTCGTGGCCTCATTCTCTTTCCCGCCCACCGCACCCGGCCGCCAGGCTCCGCCCAACTCAAACCGCACAAGAACGCCAAGAAGAAGTGCACCGTCACGGAGCGCAAGGTCAACGACATATACGTCTACGACCTGACACTCAAAGATACGCCCGTAACAGAATGCGCCAAGCGCCGCATCTACTACTTCGCCGGCGGATCCTGGCAGATGGAGCCCGGCAAGCAGCAATGGTCCAGCTGCGCGCGATATGCCGAGAAACTACCCTCCACAATCGTCAGCATCATCTCGCACCCGCTCGCGCCAAAGGACCCGGCGCCGACCGCGCTCCCGCAGCTGTACGAGCTATACCATGCCCTGATGCATGAATCGGCAGCTGCGGGCGAAACGGTGGTCTGGGCCGGCGACTCGTCTGGTGCGAATCTCGCGTTGTGCCTTGCGATTGAAGGCGCGTCGCATGCCGATGTACCCGCGCCAGCTGCCGTCATGGCCATCTGCCCGTCCACCGACCTCACAAGGAAGAACGAGATGATCAAGGAGATCAACAAGAAAGATCCGATTCTCACGATTCGCACAATCAAGAACAGCGCCAAGGCGTGGTGCGGAGAATGGGATGCGCAGGACCCGCGAGTGTCGCCCTTGTTTGCAGATCTGAAGCCGCTCGCGGATAGGGTTATCAAGATACATGGCGTGACGGCTGGCTATGATTTACTTGGGCCAGATGGGATTCTGTTCAGGCAGGCGTTGGAGAAGCAGGGCGTCGAGGGAGAGTGGCTGCAATGGGACAAGCAGATCCATGTGTTCCCGCTGCTGTGGGAGTATGGGGTCAAGGAAGGGTACGAGAGCATGGACTGGATCATTGACGTTTTGTCGCGGACATAATACCAACGATGAATTCAAGGTAGACTGCAATATGATACCCTCCTTTTCTTTGACAGCATGTCCCCGACTACTAGATATATTTGTATCATCATCGCTTTCAAAGTCAAGACAGCAAGACGTGCAAGCCTAAACGTAATAACAAGGAGAAGAATGAAAATTCTTATAAACTCCTTGCGAACTAAAGATAGACACGTTGTTTCGACCCCAGGGCCAAAGACTGGGGTTTACGGTGTTGGACATGAATGGCTGACGTTCGACGATAAACTTACCGACAGGAGTTTGGTGTCATCAATGGATAAAAATATTGCACTTTGATCAAGAACCGACGCCGTTGATTTTTGTACTACAGATCAAAACGCCGATTCACAGACGCCATCCTTGACTACGACACTACCTATGTTCCAGTCTTTGCCTAGACCTCCGTCGTACTCCTGATCCCCTTCTGATAGCTCAGTCTTGCGCTAGAAACTCCCACAGCGCCTCCTTTTCAACATACGCATGGCTAATGACATTCACCAACCAAACGTCATTTTTCACGCCATCAAGCAGCACACTAGATGCGCTCCGAGGTGGATATATGCGCTGCCACTCGTCCCAGATCTGGAAGGCCTCCTCTCTCCACGCGCGAAAACTCTCCGCTTCGATGATAGTCGGACTCACAATCTCCTTGCTGTGAAACGCACCCCATGTGACCGCTGTGACGAAACCTGTATCCGTCGCCGCCCATCCACCAGCCCGGTTTCCGGCGAAGTATGTTATAGTTTCGCTCGCATCGTCTAGTCGCGGCTGTAGCTTCGCCCAGTCTGCCGCTGGAAGGAAGAATTCGACAAATGGCTTCTGATATACGAAACCTGATCTCGGACCCCAGCCGAAAATTGAATCTGTACTGCGCAAACCGTTGACGGCAGGCTGCGATGCGACAGTCCACCAGCCTTTTGCGTTGAGACGGAGGAGTTGATTTCGAATGGTGGCGGTTTCAGGACTGAGAGCATCTTCGCTCCAAGGAAGGGCTTCAAGGGTGCCAGAGAGGTGATCGCGGAAGAGGGACGAGATGTCATCTTTTGTGACAGGATGAGACCAGTATTTGAGGGCTTGAGAGCGGGTGACATGTAAAGAGGGACCGTAGCCATCGATTTCACCGTAGGCTGGAAGCTGTTAGGCTTATGGGAGCAAATTGTTTCCTTGTAACTTACCAGGTGAACGAGCATCACCCCATCTGCCGTTTGGGTAGTCGTCCCAGTTCGCATCTTTGCCTTCTGAGATGGCTAAAGCATTTGCTCTTGTGTTGATTTTGTCTTTTGGCACGCCGGCCTCACCGTCGAGAGCTTCGTAGCTCGCGAGACTGGAGCTTGACGGCCTTTCAACGACTAATCGGTTGCGAGGTGTTGAGTTCGCTGTCGAGGACAACCTCCTCCGATCCTTTGTGAGGACAACACCTGGTGGTGCGGTTCCATTGGTATCACCGTTGACCACTGCACCTGTGTCACCATTCAACTCTTTTATGATCTCAGCAACCTCAGCGATAAGATCACATCTTTCCACGATTTGAGTCACCGACCTCTCTAGATTGAGAGTATAAAAATGAAACCCCCTTGGTGTTGGGCCACCCAAAGTCTTCAGATGTTCCACGATCTCACAGATGATATCGACACCAACTTGCTTTACAGCCTCATCATCGCCCTTGACAGCATCGAGGCGAGCCATAGTGTCTGTCGGTATCTTGGCATGACTGAGTTTTGTGATTCTGCGGAGGATCTGGTAGCTTTGCACGGGCATGAGGCCAGGTATGATGGGGATGTTCTTGAACACTCCCGATTCATGCTTCCGCAGCATGTCTTCATAGTCATCCCAAGCTTTTGTGTCAAAGAACAACTGTGTCATGATAAAGTCTGCGCCGGCTTTAGTCTTTTCTACGAGGTAGGGCAGATCGTTCTTGGGGTCTTGATGTTCGGGGTGGCTCTCGTCGGAATGGCCTTCAGGGTATCCGGCCACACCGATGCAAAAGTAATCGCCATACTGTTTGCGAATGTATCTGACAAGATCGACAGCCCATGTGAAGTCCTTGTTCGAATCATCGTCCTCTTTCTGGTCATCGTCGCGGTATTCTTCACTCCTCGGCGGATCTCCACGCAGCGCCAGTATGTTTCTGATACCGAGAGCCTTCGCCTGCTCCAACGTCTTGTCAATCAATTCGCGGCTCGAATTTGTGCAGGTAAGGTGGAGACATGTGGTCAGACCTAATTGTCGTTGGGTCAACTCGGCGAGCTCGAGCGATTTGGAGGCGGTGCTGCCGCCAGCTCCCCAAGTCACATTCACGAAGAGTGGATGTAGGGCATTTGCCATCCGATGAAGACGGTCCTGCAGGTTGGCGAACCCCTGCACGAGACACGTTAGCATGCAGCGGAGGAGGATGTAGAACATGCATCAAGCGAACCATCTGGGTTTTGGGCGGAAAGAACTCTAGAGAAAAGTATGTGCCATCCTTGGGCAAGGCAGCAAGCTTGTCGGTGATTTTCTCCATATCTGAAGTCGTGGGAGAAGCCCGCGAACGTCAGGCGTGGAGTTGTTGTCGCTATCAGTCATGATGGAGGCTCGATAGAAAGATTACGGGCAGCCCACTATACCCTCTGGCTGGTGGAGAGCGGGGAGTACCTGCGAGCGCGGTCGGCAAATAGACGCCTGAGCACGTCATTGTCATGCTGCAGACCTTGAATGAAAGATGAGATTCTCATATCATAAAATAGACCAAGGAAATTCGCACAGACTATTCTGGAAAATCACATAAATGCTATGAATGTACTACTCCCAGTGGCACGTCGATACTGCCTGAGGATCGTAGCTATCATTATCTGCTTTAATCATTCTGGTCTCTCTGATTGGCTGAGCTGTCAGGATCCTTGCTAAGTAAGCGAGCCCGACTCAGGTTTCCCGTGTTCATCTTCCCATCTCACCTTTCAATGCACTTTCACGATCAGATGTCTTGCTTTTTCGTATATTCTGATTCTTGATCCTGTGCATGTTGCTCGAAGGCGTATGCAATATGCATGCTAAAGGAGTGGAAGTGACATCATCCATTACAACCTTCGGAGTATTCATCAACGGGTAATTTAGATGTCTTGCCGTAAAATGAACACACGTCTACCGACTTCTAGGATGCCTGGCTCATCGGATAACGAGTTGCGGTTATAGTGCGTGATTATAATCTGCCTTCAAGATAGCAGACGTTCAAGTAGGCATATGCACAGAGATGGGGCAGTGAGGGCATCGACTATCAGTTCCATCGTATCCTGCACCGCGAGTCGGACTTCATCTCCTCTTCTCCGAGCCGACGGTTACCCGAAACTACGGCGCAGCATCTCAACATGGCAACCATCAGCGGTACTGGCAGACATGGTTGCCTTTATATAACTTCTTGTTGGATGTTGGCTCTACTCGGGTCCGCAAACACACATCACGTAGATTCGAGCACCGTCCTTCGATCAAACATGTCGTCCTTCTCGCCCAAGATCGATACTCATTCGCACTATATCCCACCTGGATACAGGGAGGCCTTGGAACAGAATGGTCATACTCATCCAGATGGCATGCCCGGTGTCCCGGTACGCATTGACTATGTTACAAGCTTTGTGGATGAGTTGAATTGATAGGCTGACCATAAACCTAGTCCTGGAGTCCTGAAGATCATCTGCAGCTGATGATCGATGCCAACATCTCCAAGAGCATTCTCAGCATTTCGACGCCGGGTACTCATCTTGTACCTGGAAACGATGCATTAGCCGCGAAGATCACGAGATCGGTGAACAGCTATGCGGCCGGTCTGAAGAGGCAGTATCCCGACAAGTTCGGCTACTTTGCTAGTCTTCCCCTTCCTGCTGTCAACGAAACGCTCAAGGAGATTGCGGTGGCATTCGACGAAGGAGCAGATGGCGTGCTCGCGCTGACCAACTCTCATGGTCGTTATCTCGGAGATCCTTTGTTTGAGCCAGTCATGGCAGAGCTTGATCGACGGTACGCCACTGTAATGATACACCCAACGACGCCTTGTATTTTCCACAACGACGAGCCTATAGCCGCTGCGCCGTTGTTAAATCATCCGAGACCAATGTAAGCTTCTCACCCTTTCTTTGTCGCGTGGAAAATGCTAAACCATGCACAAGGTATGAGTTTTTCTTTGACACGGCAAGGGCTGTGATCAACCTTTTCCTCTCGCAGACCATGTCCCGCTACCCTAACATCACATGGATCATTCCGCATGCTGGCGGAGCCTTGCCACCACTATTCTCACGCTTCACCGGCTTTTCGCGTATCGTTCCAGGGGGCGTGATTCTGAACGAAGACGACGTGCGGAAAACCCTCCTTGAACAGTGCTACTTCGATCTGGCCGGCTTCGTGTTTCCCAACTCGACCGAAGGCAAAGGCCAACTAGCTGGACTCGTCGAGGGCATGGCTATTCCGGCAGAGAGACTGCTGTTAGGCACCGATTACTGTTATACACCTGCGCCTGCGGCAAAGATGATCCAAGCCAGGCAAGACGTGCACATTACCAAGTGGTTCAACGAGCGAGATATCCGCGCAGTGTACCACGACAACGCAGAGAGACTTTTGAACAGAAGTGTGTCCAAGAGGAAAGTGAAGAATGAGAAGAGAGCGGGCAGTGCGGTGAAAGTTGCGGAGGTTTTAGAGGTCGATGACTGATGAAGTGTATGTAATTATATACTAGAGTTTCCGCTTTCCACTGATCCGACCGCCTTCACTTCTTCCATTGCGCCCTTGCTCACACAGCTGCACACAGCTGCACACAGTCGCACACAGCCGCACACGTGCGCGCACGCGAGTCAGTTGAAACGAGAAAAGAGTACGTACCTGTGGTATGTATGCCCCTGAGCGACACCGTGCATCCAGACTGGCTTGGAGACGGGAATGTGCAGAGGTACTCGCGCCGAGCTCGCACGCAGAATACAAGATGCGCCTCATTCCGGCTGTATGTACATGGCTGATATTAAATCTGCGAGACCACGATGAGTGCTCAGTCAGTCTCTACAAGACTGCGAGGATACCGCGACGCCCAGACGGACGCACGGCTGACCGACTGCTTTGTTCCGGCCACGGAGAGCAAGTTGCTCACCAGACTTTTATGCGCAGAAGTCCGGTGGAGGGTCGCCATTGGCGAAATAATAATCATATCCAACTGCAAAATTGAGACATCAGCGACGAATCGAAGCGCATCCATACATGCATGCTTGGTCAGTATCGCCACGGCGCATGGATATAGAAGGCTTGTTGGGCCTTACCACCAAGACCACGACGCCGGAAAAGCGACATGCGATGGCCATGGGGTGTATTACATCAAAGGACCAGGATTGGAAGACACCACACGCATACAGGGCTACAGTAGGACTCACATCTAGCACTAAGGTGTAAACAGCCGTCGGGCCCTGATGCCTGTCATCCGGATCGCGTGCCCGGGGTCCACGGACCACAAACAAGGACAACAAGCTCACCCACCTGAAGTACACGAGACTCCAACACGGCATAGCATAGCATAGCAAGACTCCGGAATCCAATCCAAATGTAAAAATACCAGGAAAAACTAAAATAAAATAAAGAATTAAAAGAAATTGCACAGCTCGTTCATTGGCCGGATAAACTCAAAGCCAAAAAACATCATCCCGAAAAAAAAACCAAGCAAACAATCAAAAGCTTAAAGTATTTTATGCGGGGCATCTCGTGCCGCGCCAAACCCCAAGCTTACCCCAACTCCCCCTGTCGGCGTAATCAACCTCAATCAAAACTCACACATACACATACATATACATCATTATAACCGTATATTATATTACCCCGTGCCTCTCTCTAACACTTTCACTCACACACAGACACTCACACTCACTCTCCGGCACGCGCGTGACATGCCATGCCATGACCTGACTTCGGCGAAGTAGGTGATGTTACTATTTGGTGTTGTAGTGACTGAGTTGAGTTGAGAGTTGAGTCACTGCCACGTGTGATGGGTTGGGTTGGGTTGGGTATTTGAGTAGCAGTAAGGGAGATTATTTTTTATCAACTCGTGGCACAACACTCGTCAATCTAACCCTGGACGGCTTTTCTGATAGCTAGGTAGGGAGGGGGGCTATATAACATGATAGCTATCGACTGTCTTTTGGGGCGGGCTTGCTGATTTCCTGATTTCGTGTCCCCCTTTGTTACATAACTTCATTTTATTTTCCTTGCAACTTTATAACTACTTTCTCTTCTTTCTCTCGTCTCGTCTAGTCTCGTTTGAGCTGGCTACCTATTCTTCGTTATATTCATCTCCAACATCAACATCATCACCAACATCATCATCAACATCAACGCCAACATCATCACCAACATGAAGATACCCAAGCTCCCCATCTCCCACGCGGCGACGCTGTCACTACTGCTCCTGCTATCAACATGTCCGTATACATACATGCCCCTCTTGTCTCCCAATAAATAAGCACAACGGAACTAACCATAAATCCGCCACAAAAAAAGTCCTCTCCAGCACCTTTGCCCAAGAATCCTACACAGATCCAGACACCGGCATCACCTTCTACCGTCAGACCTGGCCCGATACCCAAACCAAAGGCGGGTTCCAGTGGGGACTAGCCCTGCCCGCAACGGAGGAGGACGCAGCGGGGTCTAGCGATGAGTATATCGGACAGATAGTGCGTCCCAGCTATCGTGAAAGGCACGGCACGTACACTGATCAAGGACACAACAAAACAGGTCGGAGCCCGCACCAACGGCGCAGGCTGGAGCGGCGTGAGCCACGGCGGCAGCATGCCCAACGCCCTCCTGCTCATCGCATGGGCAGACGGCACAACAGTGCGCTCGTCCTTCCGCTTCGCAACCGGCTACGTCGAGCCAGACGCCTACACCGGCAACGCCACGCTCATCAAGATTGCCGAGACGGTCAATGCCACGCACTTCACCCTCACGTACCGCTGTCGCTGGTGCTGGTACTGGGACCAGAACGGCGCGGTAGGGAGTCAGCCACCGATCACTACAAACACACATTCCGCGCAGGTCCTCGCGTGGGTGCAGGCGTTTGCCAGCCCGGAGCCGGTCACGTCGGATGATGCGAGGGTGGTCGTGGAGCATGATAATGGGATTGGCATCTTTGGCATGCCGATTGCGAGTATGCGGCAGGCTGGGTATGCGGCGTGGGCTTCGTCGGCTACGCCTACACCCCCGTCGACTACTGTAACAACGAAAACAACAACAACAACAACAAGACCTCCCTCGACCACGACCGTCCCACCAGGCGCAAGCTGCTCAGGCACCGCGGCACCAACGGCAGCATACGACTACATCATCGTCGGCGCCGGCGCAGCAGGCATCCCCCTAGCAGACCGCCTCTCCGAAGCCGGCAAAAGCGTCCTCCTAATCGAAAAAGGCCCGCCATCCTCCGGCCGCTGGGCCGGCACGCTCAAGCCCACCTGGCTAGCCGGCACGAACCTGACGCGCTTCGACGTACCCGGCCTCTGCAACGAGATCTGGGTCAACTCGGCGGGCGTAGCCTGCACCGGCATCGACCAGATGGCCGGCTGCGTGCTCGGCGGCGGCACAGCCGTAAACGCAGGCCTCTGGTGGAAACCCCCCGCCCCCGACTGGGACGCAAACTTCCCCGCCGGCTGGAAGGCAGTCGACATGGCGCGCCCCGTGTCCCGCGTCTTCGCCCGCATCCCGGGCACCGAGCACCCGTCCGCCGACAACCGGCTCTACAAGCAGGAAGGCTACGCCGTCATCGCAAACGCCCTGTCCGCAGCCGGCTGGCGGAACCTGACGCGCGGCGCCAACGCGGACCCGGACCTCAAGGACAGAGTGTTCGCGCAGACATCGTACATGTTCTCGCATGGCGAGCGCGGCGGGCCGCTGGCTACATACCTCGTCACGGCCAGCGCGCGCAAGAACTTCCGCCTGCTCACCAACACATCCGTCCGGCGCGTCGTGCGCACCGCCACCGGCCACGCCACCGGCGTCGAGCTCGAGGCCGGACACTGCGGCATCGTCAACCTGACCACAAACACAGGCCGCGTCATCCTCTCCGCCGGCACCTTCAACACAGCCAAGATCCTCTTCCGCTCCGGCATCGGGCCAGCAGACCAGCTCAAGACCGTCGCCAGCTCCGCCCTCGACGGCGCAAGCTTCGCCAACCAATCCGACTGGATCATCCTGCCCGTCGGGCACAACCTCAACGACCACGCCAACACCGACATCGTGATCCGCCACCCGGACGTCTCAGCCTACGACTTCTACGCTGCCTACGACCACCCCATCCCCGCAGACGCATCCGCCTACCTGACTTCCCGCACCGGCATCCTCGCCCAGGCAGCACCCAACATCGGCCCCATCTTCTGGCACGTCATACCCGGCGATAGCAACACCACCGCCCGCCAACTCCAATACACCGCCCGCGTCGAGCCCTCCCTCGACGTCTCCAACCCGGCAAACACATCCATGACAATCTCGCAATACCTCGGCCGCGGCGCCACCTCGCGCGGCACCCTAACCATCACGCCCGCCCTCTCCATCCTCGTCTCCGACCCACCATACCTCAAGACCGCCGCCGACAACGCAGCAGTAGCATCCAGCCTACGCACCATCCTCGCCGCCCTGACAGCCTCCTCCTCGGACCAGCGCATCACAATCGAACGGCCCAGTCCGGGCACCTCGGTCGAGGCGTACCTGGCAGGCTATCCGCGGACGCCGGCGGCGCGACGGGCAAACCACTGGATTGGCACGGCGAAGATGGGCACGGACAATGGGCTGCTGACGGGCGGGACGGCGGTCGTGGATGTGGATGCGCGGGTGTACGGGACGGATAATGTGTTTGTGGTGGATGCGAGTGTGTTTCCGGGGCATGTCAGTTCGAATCCGTCGGCGGCGGTGGCGGCGGTGGCGGAGCGGGCGAGTGAGCGGATTCTTGGGCTTGCTGTGGCGGGGCCGGTGGGGCGGTATGGGCAGTGTGCCGGGCGGAGTTATGCTGGGGCGCGGTTCTGTGCGGTTGGGCTGGTGTGTGTGGTTGTCAATCCGGATTATGGGCAGGTGAGTTTGTGGCTTGGGCTTCGCGGGGGCGTGTGTGTGTGAGTGCGTGCTAATTGTGCTTGTATAGTGCTTGTGAGGTCGAGTAAGTTCGAACGGTCTGGAAGGAGTAGGGCTAGGTGTGCTCGGGCTAGGTGTGCTCGTAGACAAAGGTTGCTCATGCCGAGTACATGACTTCATGTGTGGAACGATAGCCTGCCATCCCTGGCGCGCCCGGCTTTTCTGCGAGCTTCGAACGACCACATTAATGGTAGTCATTCAAGTTCAATTCTCGGGAAGAAAGGAAAGAAAGGGCGGATCGGAAAGGCAAGACAGGTAACCAAACATCACGAATGAAAAAAAAAAAAAAGCATGCTCATACATGTCTCTGCGCATTATAGTCGTGTGCAATTACATGACTTTCAGCGGTGACACACCTGCTGGGCGTTCATCTCTCTTGACTCCTGCTAGTACAAAGGGTGGCACACTGCAAGGTGACTGCCAGCAATAACTGTCTGCTGACGGACGAGACAGAAGATTACGAATAGTATGGTAAGATCGATAGGCCATTCCGTGCACGGAGTGGAAACGAAGGGGGCTTGTCTTGGAAGCATGTGTGGACGATGTGCGTGGGCCTGATTTTGGAGATGAAAATCATGGGAGTGGGCGTTGTGGTGTTAGATTGTCAATTCTCTAATGGTATAAAAGGGAGTTTGCGGCGACTTTGAGCACGGCAGCTCCTGGCCTTGATGATGCGAAGGTTTTTTTTTTCTTCTAGTTGGCTCCGCTTGATGATCCATTGACAGCATGGCCGTTGACAGCATCACCGTTGACGGCAGGACCATCGGCAGCACGGCCGTTGACAGCATCACCGTTGACAGCATCACCGTTGACAGCAGGACCGTCGGCAGCATGACCGTTGACAGCAGGACCATCGGCAGCATGACCGTTGACAGCAGGACCGTCGGCAGCATGACCGTTGACAGCAGGACCGTCGGCAGCATGACCGTTGACACCATTACTGGCAGTGTACAGGTTCCCCGTCGACGGCTGTCTCGACGGCGCTTGCTCGGCCATTCTCTCCGTCACTCTCGACGGCATTGTTGGGGCCAGACCGGAGGAGACTCTTGCGCGAATCATGGGCCTAGGAGCAGCAGCAGCAGCACCACCACCACCGACCGCCTCAGAAGAACCAAGATCCGAATTGTCCTCCGCTGCTGCTGCTGTCGCCCCCGAATCACCGTCGTCTCTGGTCACCCCCGAATCGCCGTCGTCGTCGCCGCCGTCAACGTTGCCGCCGCCGCCGCCGCCGCCGCCCTCGGCTGGAGCGGGACAGTCTGGCCACAGCCAGTCCTCCTTGGCATAGCCATGAAAGGGTACGGTGCCAACCAAATCTCGGACATAAATAACGTCCCTGCCCTCCCAGTGCCAGGCCTCGTGGCCAAAGACCCACATGGCCCACACCATATTCTCGACCATGTCATTCTCGGGCTCATTCTCCAGCCAGACCGAGGACGGGCTGCGGCCATGCCGGGCGAGCTCGATTACCGACTCGCAAAAGGGTCTGCTGACAGTGTCTACGGCATCGGCAATGGGACGGGTGTAGGAGGCCATGAGGTCCGAAACCCATGCTTGTGGGAGCAGGATGAGGCCGTTCCGCAGGGGCACGACCCGGCTCGTCCTGATAAAGGCGAGCAGCATGACAAAGACGGTGTCGGCATTCTCGTGGCTCACAATCTCGGCCGGATCACGCGTGTCGGGCACCTCATTCGAGATGCCGTCGACAAAGTCCTCGTAGTGGTCGGGCATAGTCTCCCTCAGGGCGTACATGACATTGGTCAGGTCGACAATGGCGCAGCTGCCGCTGAGGTCTGGAAGTGGGCGTTGGCCGACGGCGAGAAGGGACTGGACCGTCTCGGTGTAGCGCTGGATGACGTCGAGCATAATGTCGAGCTGCGAGTCGCGGTAAATGACGGCAAAGTTCTGGCGCGCGCTCTCTGGCACGCCATTCTCTCTCTGGTTCTGGCGGATAGCGGCGACGCGGCCCTCGAGAGACTTGACAATGTTGCGATAGGCCTGCAGGATGAGACGACCCTGGTCTGGCTTGCCCAAGTCGATGGGGGCCCGGCCGTTGCGACGAACGCGATGGGAGGTGGCGTAGCTGAGCCCGATCAGCATCCTCACCAGACGAGGGTGAAAGAAGGTGAGAAGGGTGGGATAGTTGGCGGCGCGGTAGTCGCCAGCCGGGTGGTCAGCTCTGCGGATGAAGAAGTCGACACCGGCCTGCAGTTCGACCACGTTCCTGCCCGAGCAGGCAGCCAGTTCTTCTCTGAAGGCGAGGCTCAGTTGGTCGAGCTGGTGACTGAGGACGGGACGCATGACGACATGATCGAATGGATTGTTCTTGATACAAAAACCGTATCCCAGCATCAATTCTTCATTAGACTTTGGCCCGTAGTTGTTAAAGACTTGGTCGCCCCGTTTGTGCGACTGGTTGGTCTCGAGGTAGAAGCCGTCTGGATTGGCGCGGGGAGTGAAGGCCCAGGTGACTTTTGCATCGTTGCTGTGATTGAGAAAGTCTATGACGGGAAAGAGGATGGAGAGAGGAGGGGTGATGTCTGGGAAGATGTGTGTGGAAGTGAAGCCTCTGGAGGAGTAGAGCTGTGCAGCCCAGTGCATGAGATCCCTGCAACTCAGTTAGCCGGCTTGAGGGGCCAGTCAGTATGGGGGCTGGAGCAGTGTCGGCCAGTGTGCGTTTGTTGCATCACAAGAAGGAGTGAAGAGGCTGACCAGTTGTACTTGTCGAGGTGACGGAAGCCGGCGTCGCGCAGTATTTGCAAGGCCTTTTCTATCCAGGAATTCCATAGGACGTTTCTTGCGTCGGTGGCATGGAAGAGGTTTGTGCCTCGCAGCCAGGGCTTGACGTAATCCTCGTCTATCCAGGGAATGTCACCGATGGGAGGCAGAGCGGCGATGTAGTAGTACCAGGGCGAGTCCTTGCCTTTTAGATATTGCTCGGCCAAGAAGAACCAGGAGACGACGTGGAGAGGGGTGGAGGCAACGAGCTTGGCAGCCAGACTATCATAGAAATGCGGGATGGAGAGCTTGAAGTGTGGGTGATCTGGGGGCAGTACGTTGAGGTAGGAGATGGACAGATTCATGGGACAGTAGCAGATGACATTGTCAGATGTTGGCTCAGTGGTGGCATCATCATCATCATCATCATCATCATCATCATGATGATCAAGAGGGATGTCTTGCCGGGCATACAAAGCGACGCCGGTGGAGCTACGATCCAGAAAGCATTTCTCATGAAAGCGGCCGCCGTTGTCGACGAACCAAGCCTTGGCAGCGGTGTAGTTGAGAAAGGGGTTTGGATAGGACAAGGTATCAGAGTCGGGACCGGTGCGAGGATCGAGCAGATCCATGGGCGGGCCGGGCGTGTATGGGAGAATGGATGGATAATAGCGAATGAATGAGTGAAAGAATGAAAGTGGCCCAGAGTGCAAGTATGGATGGTTGTTGGTTGGGGATGAAGACGAAGAGCAGTGAGTGAGTGAGTGATTGTGTGTTTGTTTATAGCGAGCAGAGTGGGATGGTAATTAAGGGTGGAAGGGAAGCAGTAAGGTGGACAGTAGTCACGATGCAGGCATGAAGATTCCTTCTTTGAAGAGAAATGAGGATTCGGCCGAGGGAGGGGCAGGCTCGCAGGTCAATGGTGATGATAGCGATGGCACAGCTCCAAGACGACGAGGACGACAAGACTCGCAGCAAAAGGCATGATAGAAGGGACAACAGTCTGATGTTGTAGTCTCTCTCTCGGATGCGTGCGGAAGGGTCAACGCGGCGAACGTCTTGCTATTTTCCTATTACCGGTGGGCTGACGGGCTGCCCCTCGATGGGTAACGTGTGGGTGATGTGTAATCAGGGATTGGTAATTGGTAATTTATTGATCCTACACAGCAGCAGTGCCGGGCTTTGACAGATCTACAGACCCGTCACTTGCAACTATACAGTATACACTCTACTTACACCCAGCCTGGTGCCAGTCACCACTCAGCCAGAGTCAGTCAGCCATCTCTCCCCCTGAACGAACGTCGCCGACTGCGCCCGGAGCATTAACTCTGTTGCTGCTCAAGACTTCAAAGGGGGGCCAGTAATGATGCGACTGCGCCATCCTGGTCGGCTGGCTTGGCACGCTGCGAACCACCCGCCCGTAACTGTCCTTCTATAGTTCTATACTGGTTAGCAAAGTGATCGCTGCCTGGATCAGGTCCAATGCGGCGGCCCCGGTTTCATCGTCTTGTCGTCATGTCCCACCTGGAACTGTGGAAGCGAAAGAGGTGGTGGTAGGGAGGGAGGATGGATTGGATAATCTGCGACTGCGTAGAGTGTCTTTGTCTAATAATTACCTTAATTACCTAGCCTGGCCATTCCGCCATCCTACTAAAGTCAGCCCACCTTCATCATCCAGAAGTCACCTTCATCACCGGAGCCGGCTGGAGAGTCATGCCGACCACCACCCATGCCCCGGTCTCTCTCTCCATCCCATCATCCCATCCATCACTCCATCTCACCAGTCTGGCAAGCCGAATCATAATAATACTCGAAATCTTCTTCTCGTCCGTCCGCGCTCTTGGCTGAACTCCTCCTTTCTGTCCGTCACTTGACTGCATTCCTACTAACAAATTCCTCTTACCGCTTCTCGCCCAGCTTGCGAGACCTGTCAGCCAAACTAAAATCCCTATCCTAACACCAACTAACAACCTACTACCAATCCCCTCTACTCCACTACATTACACTCCGACTCCTTTGTCCACCTTCACGTCAGCTACACCGACTTCCACCACCCAGCTTCCTACCATTCCTTCATAACAATACCCTAATTACCAGCCAGCCTTGTGCCAGTCCCGGCTCTTCCTTTTGAGGCTGAACGCCGCTCCAATCTTTTTCCTCCGATTCCTGCTCTGCCTCAGCTCGTCCGTCCGTAATCCTAATAATATTATCTTCATCTGCCCCTCCCTCTCTTCTCGCTCATGCTGTTTCTCGTCCCACTCATGCTCTGACCTCACCACCTCACCACCTCACCACCTCCACCATCGGCATGTGCCTGCCATCCTCCACCTTCCATTCGCCTTAACCACTCACTCACCCACCCACTTCACCACATGTTCTTCTCCTCAATGGCTGCCGACGCCGCTGCACAGCACGGCCACGAGTTCTCCACGCCCACTTCCACCTCTCCGTCCCTCGACTCGCCTTCCATTCCTCTGCATCGCTTCGCCCTCAACGCCCTCCTCTCTGCCGTCTCCTTCCAGAAACCTCCTCCGCCAGACACCCTCCCAGAAAAGGTTGTGCTTCACACCGATCCATCCCACACACATACTGCCCGCAAGAGCATGATGCTAAGAGACTCCGATACCCTCTCTCACGCCAGTGAAGACGTCGTCTCCAATGCCTCCACCGCCGACGATGACCCGTCAAGACAAAAGACTCGTTCCTCTCGCTCAAAGTCGGTCTTCAATCTCGCCCACCCTCCGCCAGGCCCTCGCCAGCGACAGAAGCTCCATGTCAGGCCTCGCGTGCTCCTACAGCTACACAAGCTGACGCCCGGTTCTCGTCCACGGCCCGAATTCGAGGTCGTTCCCTCCACCCGCTGTCCCGTTCGATTCGCCCGGAAACTCGGTCGTATATTCAAGGCCATAGAAAAGCTTGGGCCCGATGATGTCGTCGTCATGCGATCGGACTCGTATGGCCCTATCGACGATAATGAGAGCTTGGACGACGACACCCCAGAAGGAGGCGAGCCGGTTGGTGTGGTTTGCGTGACGAGGAGCCAGGACGGCAAGAGCACGCGCACGGAGATATGCATGGATGACAACTCGGTGTGGAATGTGACGCAACTGCGGAATGGGAATTACGAGTTCACCTCGACCGATCATCACGGCCTCGAGCTCAAGGCTCGATGGGTAGTGCGTGCCCCGAAGCGCAGGATGTCCTCGCAGTCCATAGCTCGTGTCTCGGCACAGACGCTCGCTCCGGATCAGAAGAAGAAAAAGTTCAATTTCAGCACAATCAGTGCCGACTCCAGACGCCATCCAGTCATCGCCTCCATGACGCCCAAGAAGTTGGAAATCATGCATCAGTATTCAGTCCCAGCAAAAGCAGATACATCGCCGGGTCAGACACCCCAAGAATCCCCTACCGCCGCCTTCCTCGACACCGGCTCTGGCTACCTCGAGTCGCAGAACCTGGATCTCAAAGACATGGCCTTTACCGACGACGCCTTGCGTAAATTCATCATCGTTTCGGGCGTCTATGTTGCCTTTTGCGAGAATTGGTCAACAGCTTTCCGCTATGCCCAGCCTGCTGCTGCTGCTGCCGACTCAACGACAACACTCGATGGATCAGCCGCCGCGCCTGCTGGGCTTGCGTCGCCGCCGCCGCAACGCAGAGTTTCCCTGCCCATCTCCGACACTGCCAGCGTTCTGAGCAGCTCGACAAGCTCGGAAGAGCCACGCCGAACCTTTCCACGCCTCTTCCGATCACCCACGACCTTGCGCAGCCAGACCATCACCGCCACCAATCATTCTGCAACAGAGACTGCGCCTGCCGCCCCTACCAGAGTCTCGACGCTTCCCACCACCTTCGCTACGCGCCGCTCAACCTCTACTGGCTCGGTCTACCTGCAACGTGCTTCAAGTAAACGGCAACGGAAGCGGACATCCTTACCGCCAGATCTGGCCGAAGCAGACGAGGGGACTGATTCAGACAAGGAGCAACACACCTCTGCCATGAGTACTACTACCACTCCCAAGATTGCAATTGCACCCCCGCTACCCGCAGCAAGCGAGGAGGATGAAGAGGCAGAGGTGGAGAAATATCATCAAACACCATCAAATCGGCCACCAGACCCCCAAACGACCGTTCCCCGCGCACATTCTGCATATCTCCCGCCCGAATCGACCAAGAATCTCTGGGATTCGGGTGATTTGTCCGCTTCACTCAGTGCCTGCACCACTCCAAGGAATTCAAAGTCTCGCCCAACAAGTATGATACCCCTGAGCAGTAGTAGTCCTGCTGCGGAGAAATGTCAGAAAAAGCATGGGAGCATCAGACGCCTCTTCAGTGCCTTTCGCAGGGATCACAAATGAAGAAGAATATCATTGTTTGCGTTGACATGTATTGTACTGTACTATGCTGTACGCCTTCTCCTCCCAGCCTCTTTAGCTCGTGGTCTAGACTGTGATATCCTCAAAAATCTCATCTACTTATCACACCCATTGATCCAATGACCTATACCAGCTTTGACTACCTCGTGTTTCTTGTATCCAATTCCTGCTAGAACATGACGAGTGTGCTGTAGGTTTTATTATAGGTGGTCATGCCTGTTAGTATGAGTGGCGATCGGTCCTGATGCCGGCTACGGATCTATATATTATTGCCATAATTACTACCCGAACAGATTATTCTGACGTAGACCCCCGTTTGGCAGCTTGCATGTCGATCGATCTGCAGTGGCGGCGGGGGGCATGGATTTGACTATGTGGGCACCTCAGGTGGGGCCGTTCAAGACTTGCGCTCCACTCATTCTGACGCCTCAGGCCTCTAACATCGAGCGGAATCCTTGGCCTGCCCACCCCCATTCGTCCTTCTCGCCCGGTCCAGCCGTTCACGACCACACTCGCCAAGAATATCGTTACACGCCAAGCGTCGTCATCGAGATGTCAAGAGCGAAAGATTCTGCGGATATGGACGAGAATGATTTAAAAGTGGTAATGCCCCCGCCGTGGGTGGGCAGTACCGTCCTCCTCTGACTTTGTCTCATCCACCACACATCACACCAAGCAAAAGCATCGCACAGTGCCATTCATGCCTGAAGAAAAGCACTCTGCAAACACACTCCCAGGCCATGGCAATTGGCCTTTGCAGAGGCCCGCCCACGCCCTCACCTATGACGAGGTCACAGGCAAACTACAGGCCGACCTAGACGACGGCCTGTCGCCCACCGAGGCCACGACCCGTCTCGAGAAGCACGGTCGAAATGAACTGGGCGATGCCGGCGGCGTGCAGCCCGCAAAAATCCTGCTCCGGCAGGTTGCCAATGCAATGACTCTAGTACAGTGTACCATTTGCCGTGGTGTCGATTGAAGAGAAGGGCTGATCCAACCATCTAGGTCCTGATTATGGCCATGGCCGTCAGTTTCGGCATCGGCTCATACATTGAAGGCGGCGTCATCACCGCCGTCATCGTCCTGAACGTCGTCGTCGGCTTTTGGCAAGAGTTCAACGCCGAGAAGACCATGGACTCGCTGCGATCACTCAGCTCTCCTACCGCCAGCGCTGTCAGAGGGGGCGAGAACGTCGTTGTTCCGACCGGTGAGATTGTCGTTGGCGACCTCGTCGAGCTCAAGACTGGCGACACGATTCCTGCCGATATCAGGTGAGCACATGTCCCGACATACAGTCGACTGACAGGAACAAGAACTGATATATCACACGCCCAGACTCGTTCAGGCTCTCAACTTTGAGACAGACGAAGCTCTGCTGACAGGCGAGTCTCTCCCCGTTCAAAAGAATGCACACGATGTCTTTGCCGACGACACCGGCCCTGGCGATCGCCTCAACGTCGCCTACAGCTCGTCCACCGTGACCAAAGGCCGTGCCAAGGGCATTGTTTTTGCCACCGGAATGCACACTGAGATTGGGTCAATTGCCGCTGCTCTGCGCGCCAAGGGCTCGCGAGTACGACCGGTCAAGCGGAATGACCAGGGCAAAGCTGGCCCTCATCGATTCGCGCAAGCATACACTCTGACTGCTTCCGATGCTGTCGGCCGCTTTCTCGGTGTCAACGTCGGCACGCCTCTCCAGAAGAAGCTGTCCCGGCTTGCGATCCTGTTGTTTGGCATTGCCGTCATCTGCGCCATCATCGTTCTTGCTGCGAATGGATTCTCGTCCAACCGGGAGGTCATCATCTACGCTGTCGCTACCGGCCTGAGTATGATACCGGCTTCCTTGGTTGTCGTTCTGACTATCACGATGGCCGCCGGTACCAAGCGTATGGTCGAGCGTCATGTCATCGTTCGCAACCTCAAGTCGCTAGAAGCGTTGGGTGCTGTCACTGATATCTGCTCCGACAAGACCGGCACCTTGACTCAGGGGAAGATGGTAGCGAAGAAAGCTTGGATTCCCGCCATCGGCACCATTTCAATCGACAACACCAGCGAGCCACACAATCCGACCGCTGGGTCAATCGCTCTCGCTCCACAGGCACCGCGCGAAAAGACCAGTGCGTCTGGCAAGGACATCACCGAACCCCAGAATTTCGTCGAAGCAGAAATCCATCTGCAAGAATTCCTCAATGTCGCATCTCTAGCCAATCTCGCGACTGTCCACAAGAACGCCGAGGACAAGTGGCATGCACGAGGTGACCCGACCGAAATTGCCATACAGGTCTTCGCTTCACGTTTCGGGTGGAACAGGTCGACCTTGACATCTGCCGAATCATCAACAAGCTGGAAGAGCGTTGCAGAGTTTCCGTTCGATTCCGACATCAAGAAGATGTCTGTCCTGTTTCAAGACACCAGCACCCAAGACATGGCAGTGTTCACCAAAGGCGCCGTAGAACGACTATTGGATTCTTGCACCACTCTGTTCATGCCCGACGAGACCGACGGCACTGCTGAGATGACTGACGGCATACGTGACGACATCCTGGAAAACATGGAAGCCCTTGCAGCCCAGGGGCTCCGCGTGCTCGCATTGGCAAGCCGTAATTGCGGCCAGGACATCAACACAGACAAGGACATTGACCGCAACACACTCGAAACAGATCTCACATTCCGCGGACTGATCGGCCTCTACGATCCTCCACGACCGGAGTCTGCCGCTTCGGTCCGCGAGTGTCGCAAGGCTGGCATTGACGTGCACATGCTCACCGGTGATCATCCCGGGACGGCCAGAGCTATCGCAATGGAAGTTGGGATCCTGCCGCATCGGTCGGAATCCCTGTCCAGAGCTGTTGCAGACTCGATGGTCATGACTGCAAAGGAGTTTGACAGGCTGTCTGACGATGAGATTGATGCTCTTCCACTCCTACCTCTCGTCATTGCACGCTGTGCCCCCAACACAAAAGTCCGCATGATCGAGGCATTGCACCGCCGGAAGAAGTTTGCCGCCATGGTACGTCTTATACCGCCGTTCCTGCTGTCGCACTCCCACTAACCCACTCACTCTCCCAGACCGGCGACGGCGTCAACGACTCACCGTCCCTGAAGCGCGCAGACGTAGGCATAGCCATGGGCCAAGCCGGCTCCGACGTCGCCAAAGACGCCTCCGACATCGTCCTCACCGACGACAACTTCGCCTCCATCCTCAACGCCATCGAAGAAGGCCGCCGCATGTTCGACAACATCCAGAAATTCATCCTCCACCTGCTCGCCGAGAACATCGCGCAAGCCTGCACCCTCCTCATCGGCCTCGCATTCAAGGACTCCTCCGGCCTCTCCGTCTTCCCCCTCGCCCCCGTCCAAATCATCTGGGTCATCATGATCACAAGCGGCCTGCCAGACATGGGCCTAGGCTTCGAGCGCGCCGCCCCAGACATCATGGCCCGCCCGCCCCAGCGCCTCACCCGCGGCGTCTTCACCCCAGAGATCCTGCTCGACATGCTCGTCTACGGCCTCTGGATCGCTGCGCTCTGTCTCGCCGCCTTCGCCCTCGTCCTCTTCGCCTTTGGCTCCGCCGACCTCGGCGAAAACTGCAACGCCGCCTACTCCCCCCGCTGCGACACCGTCTTCCGCGCCCGCGCTACCTGCTTCGCCTGTCTAACCTGGTTCGCCCTCTTCCTAGCCTGGGAAATGGTGGACCTGCGCCGCAGCTTCTTCCGCATGCAGCCCGGCGGCAGGAGCAGCAGCACGAAGTACCTCCTCACCCAGTGGATACACGACGTGCGACGCAACAAATTCCTCTTCTGGGCCATCATCGCAGGCTTCGCGACCATCTTCCCGACGCTCTACATTCCCGTCGTCAATCATGACGTCTTCAAGCACACGGGCATTACGTGGGAGTGGGGCATCGTGTTCGTCGAGACGGTGCTGTTTTTTCTGGGCGTCGAGCTTTGGAAGTGGGCGAAGCGGGTTTGTTTTCGGAGATGGGCTGGTGGGTGGAGGAGTGGTGGTGGGTTGTTGTGCGCGGGAGGAGGAGGAGAGGGCGAAGGCGGCGGCGGCGTTCTGGTCGATGAGGAGATGGGCGAGTGAATTGATTGGGGCGGGCGGATAGGGTGGGTGGTGGCTACTAGTAGCTGGCAAGTCCGTTGTTTTGACTTTTACGTTTGGCCGTGCGGGGCGTGCCGTGCCGTGCCGTGCATGGTTGTTAAAGTGGCGATGGTAGAGAAGAGATGGGTGTAAAGGTAGGTAGGTAGGTAGGTCCGTTCTTGTTTTTTTCTTGGTTTCTTTCTTTCTTTTCTTTCTTACCGTGTCTTTTCGGCGTCTCGCTGGACTGGACGTAGCGAGCAACGCAGGTGGTGTGTGTGTGTGTGTGTGTGTGTGTGTGTGTGTGTGTGTGTGTGTGTGTGTGTGTGTGTGTGTATGTATATATGGTGTCGTAGAAACGATTGCGTGAATTGAACTGATACGATCAAAAAAGCTAGAAAGGAAACCCAAATGATAATTATACAATTACACATGGCACAATGGCCCCTTTTTTTTATACTATTCTACGGTAGTAGGGGTTTGGGGGGAGGGAATTTGAAAAGAAAATGATTTATCCTTTTCCGACGACCTATTTGTTAGTACTATTTGGGGGAGAAAGAGAGAGAGAGAGAGGAGGAGAGGTGGATGTTTGCCGTCTCGGACTTCGCTCTGTGGTGTTTGGGGCGTGCGTGGTCTCTGTTCTCTGGGGGAAAACTATGCTATGTGGTGGGTGAAGATGTAGAACGGAGAAGGAGAAGAAGAAGAAGGAGAAGGAGAAGGAGAAGGAGAAGTAGAGAGCTACACAAAAAGAACTATAACAAACACCACAGAAAAACCGAATATCAGCAGCAGCATTAATTAGCATTAATCAGCATTAATCACATAGTACCAAAAGCGCAAGTAACCAAGGCAAAGAACCCCCCCCCCCCCCTCTCTCTCTCTCTCTCTCTTCAAAAGTCCATTCTCATTCTCTATCCTTTTCTTTTTTCCTCATCCTTTCCAACCTCCACCCTCCTTCCCTAGCTAGCCAGCCAGCCAGCCAGCCACACATCCCCAAGGCGAGAGATTGAAAAAAAAGAAAACATATACCTTCGGAAACGCGGTTGTGCACTATTTGTTTCTTTTTTGTCATGTTTTTCTTTTTTGGCTTTTTGCCCGGAACGCCCACCCTTTTCGGTAGGGTGTTTGGTAGGGAGAGTCGGAGAAGAGAAGGGGAGAGGGAGGGAAGATGGGGCGGGTTTGCTTGGCGGTTGTGTTGCTTGGCGGTCGGGTTTTGCGAGAATCGGACGGGTTTGATTGATGCTATGCTATGCTATGCTATGCTAGCTATGCTTTTGGGGTGTATGGATGGATGAAGGATGGATGGATGGACTGGCTGGCTGCAGGCTTGAGAGAGGTGTGTATTTGTGTTTTGCGGTGTGATGGGGTTTTTGTGCATGGCGTGGGTGGATCTTGTGGTTTGCGCGCGTGAGTGTTGTGTGTGCGTGTGTGTGTGTTGTGTGTGCGTGTGTGTGTGTTGTGTGTGCGTGTGTGTGTGTTGTGTGTGGGTGGATATTAGGCTTGACTGGGATTTTGTGGTGAATGGATGGATAGATGGGTGGATGGATGGCGTGCCTCCTCCCCTCGTGATTCATGGGGTTTCCTTTTTTCATGGTTGTCTTCTGCGATGTCGGTACTGTGGTTCTATGCTGGCTAGCTCTTCCATTCGATGGATGGCTAACCTACTGGCGACGAGGCGCCAGTCTACTACATTCATGGCTTGGGCCAACATATCAAGCACGCCAACATGAGCTCAGCGTTACGTCTGTATCGACGGATGCCGAGTACATCATTGGCCGGTAGCTGCTCTATGGATGCTAAATGAACAGACGAAAGAAATGCGGTCAGTCAGCCACGTCGGATTAAGGTATATAGAACCATACCACACTCAGTCCCGACGACCTGGCCTCGGAAGGAAACGGCCTTTGCTTCGCGAGTCATGCCATGCCATGCCATGCATGCGCGCAGTCAGCATCGTATACTGTGGATGATGATCGACGGCCCCTCCCTCCCAGGGTGCCATTTAGACTGTCTAGAAGGGGAAATGATCGAACCATTCAGGCAGGGATCTCGATGCGCGGCTGCTAGCTTTATACAGGCAATGTAGCTGCGGCTGACGGGTGCATGGGTTGTGTGTGGGAACTTTGGTAAATTAGACGTGGCAAAAATTGATTGACGTGTCTACTAAGTCTATCTAAGTGCTATATATACCAGCCTAACGCTAAATAAGATCTAAGTAACGGGGATTACCTAATAGGAATCCCACATCTTCCCCCTTCTAATTATATAAGCTTCTACGAGGCCGTTAAAGACGATTAATAGAGTTAGAATATATAATATAGGGAGGTAGATATGTGAAATCTCTTTGGCGCTAGGCCGCATTAGCAATACGTCACGTAAGGGCGGTAGTCTAAGCTTATTTTAGTACTAAATAGTTACCTTTACTATTCCTATATTCTACTATCCTTTAACCTTATATTTCTTAACTAATTTAATCTTTTCCTTAGTTTTTCCAGCGCTAATTCCTTTTAATAATATCTAATAATATAGCTAAAACTCCTATAAACTTAGAAATTACTCCGATTAATACTATAATTTTATATATATAAACTTTAACTTTACCTTTTTCCCTTCTAACTTAAACTTTCTATAGCGGATATAGTTATAAACGAGGATCTTTGTCGTGCTTTCTTAGGTCCTCTATATAGAAATTCTAACTAGTTATTACTTAATAAAGTATTAGCGGCGAATAAAGGTACTCTAGATAGTAGGTTAAGTTACCTTATTCCTTAAGTATAGGTTAACTATATAGTTCGTAAGAGTTACTTAAAGATAGCCTACGGCTATCTATATCTAAACGGGCCTTAGAGTTCGCTATTCTTTTAAGAACTAGATCTAGAAGATAAAGCTTTAGCTTAGTTAATCGAAGAAGGCGGTTAGAGCCTTAAACCTAAGGTCTCTAAGGCTAAAGTTAAGGCTCCGGCCTCTTAAGGATCGGTAATAGCTATTAACGAGCCTCTTCCTAAGGTAGAAGGTGATTTATTTAATATACCCTTCCATAAGAATCCCGCTAATCTATATAGATCTTCTAGGTAAAGTTACGGGTCTAGAGTCTATATTAATTACCCTTAACGAGCCCTTCGAAGCCCCTATAAAAGCTAGTCGGTTCGCGAACCTATCGGAAGACTCTAATAATATTTTCTATCCTAAAAATAAAGATAGGGAAAGCTCTAGGTTATTAGACCTCGATAGTAATACGTTAATCGAAGTTAACGAGCTCGGCGATATAGTTACTTCTAAGGTAACTAAGAAAGGTAAGTCGCTAAGTCTTATATTAAGATTCTAGTTCCTAATTCTTATCTAGGCTCTCGTTCTAGAATACCTAGGACTCTAGTAAAGACCCGTAGTACTATAAGGACTCTATTAAAGGTATTTAATAGCCCTAAAACTCGCTCTATAACTTCTAAGCTAGCTATTATAGACCTTAAAAGTCCTAATAAGGTCGTTAAGAAGACTCCCGTAAAGCGAAAGGGGTCTATAGCTTCTTATAAGGTTAGTACGATAGCGTAACCTATAGTAAATAAACTTAATAGCTATAGTAATGCCAAGATTAAAGTAGTAGATTATATAGGCCTCCGAGTTCGATCTAATTACTACTTCTTTTTAGGGAAGTCTATTAAGTTTATATAGTAGTTAGCTTACTAGAGTAAGTCCTTATCTTATTAATTATCTTTAACGGTTAGCTAACTTATCCTAGGGTAGCTATTCTCGGACCCTTCTATTAACGGAATACTCTATAAGGAATTTATCGATAGCCTTATTAAGGCGTACGCTAGTAGTTAGCACGCCTCGATTCCGAAGAATCTACTTCCGTTCTATATAACGGATAAGTTTAGTAACTACTATTATTCTTAGAATATTATAGTAGAAGGAGGGATCTTTCGGGATCCTTCGAAACGCCTAGATAGATCGTATCTCTATACTATTCCGGCTATCCTAGGCATAATAGCTCGCGGCGTATACTAGTACTTTAGCGATAGCGCCTATAGTTCTTATTCTACTAGTAAAGGTATCTTTAGGGAGTGTATATAGCTTTTTCCTAACGGGTTCCTACTATTTAAAGGTACCTATTTAAACTATTTCCACTAAGAGAATAGGAAATTCTATAGTATATCGCGTTATAAGTTATTCCTTTATATCGTTAAAGGCTTTTAATAGGTTTAACGCGTTCTTATAGTATACCGTAGCGAGCGTAATATTATTAAAAAGCGCTAACGTACCGAGTAGTCTTTATTTATAGAGATAACTAAGGCTACTAGAAAGTATTCGGCTACTAAACTTCGTTAAAAGAAGTTATTAGGTCTTAAGAAGACTAGATTAAACTCTAAGGCTAGTCCTTTACTCGTGAGTTAGATTTATATCTCGTATAATCTCTAGCTAATTAAAAGGTTATAGCTATAATAGAATAGATGTATTACGGCGGTCCGGAGGTCCTCGTTCCTAGCTTTAATAATACTATATCTCCCGACCCGAGTATTATCCCTATTTATTCTATATAGGACCTTAAAGATAAAGGACTTCCGCTTAACGAAGCCGTTAAAGATTAGTTTAGTCGTCCGATAAACGCGTTTAGTAAGGTTAGCTACACGCCTTAAGGGCTACTATATAAGTTCTTAATTAACGATGGCATGCCCGAGGAGAGCGAGAAGGTATTAGTATAATTTATAAAGAATCTACTAAATTCTACTCGTAAGGTCTAGGACTAAGTAGGCGGCTTCTATTTTATAATGATACTCTATCTTATTAAGCGTTAAAAGGCGTTAACGGCTTTCTTTTATCTCTATTTAGTCTTACGGTTCTTAAATAGTAATTTTAGACTTATATAATGTTATTATAAGTCCACGTCTTCTTTCTTTAACCTCCTAGTAATTTCTAAGACTCGTTAATCTTCTTTAATAGCTGTATATATTCTAAATAAGTAAATAGGGGGTTAGTAGTACTATATATAAAGGAGATAATTAGGGAAAGACTAAAGTTAGTTATATTCTAAGCTTTCCTATAATAGCTTCGAAGGTAATATCTTTTTCCGTAGAGAGTACCTCTCTCCCTCTAATCTATTAACTTATCTTAACGCGCTAGCTATAGCCGCTTAGGTTTCTCTACTACGTTCATCTATATAGAATCGCTTTCTCTTTCGCGTATAAGGTTCGCTTTCTATAAGATTCTATATAGGGTAGTCCGAGTCGGTTAGGGGTTGTTTATTTACTTTATTAACCTTCTTTAATACTTCTTCTATATCTAAGTCTATATCTATACTTATAGAATTCTTATATTCTAGTTAGACATCCTTATCTAAGTCTATTCGTGTATTATTAAACTCGTCTCCTAAGCTTATTTCTTTAGGTAATTCTTTCTATCTCGCTTCTATCATGGCTTCCTCTACCGTGTTAATCTCGTTTAATAGATTATCTATTAGTTTCTTAGTTATCGTTTAGGCTTCCTCTACCCTTAGAGTATCGTAGCTCTCTTCGATATTTATTATTAGTAGTTATATTACTCTACTATTCTCGTGTTATTCTTCTAGTATATTTCTTAGTTTGTTAATAACGATTAGTACTAGTACGATTAATGTAGTTACGGTAGCTCTCCGTTTACGTCGATTTCTTATATTAGTAAGCCTAATTTAACGCGTAATATCTACGTCTATCGAGCTCTCCTCTACTAAGAACGAATATACGCCCTCGTACGTTAACTCTCGTTAACTCCGTAGCTACTATAGCCGGTTCTACTCCTTCTTAGGAAGGGAGGATAGAGTCGTCTAATATAGGGTAGGTTTCTCTTTCTCTAAAACCTTCTCGATATCTAGTAAGTAAGGTGCCACTTAATTCCTAATTTCCTTAGATATTTATAAGTTAATCTCCTATCTCGTCTAGAAGTTATCTAGCTTATTAATGCCTCTTACCGTAATTAGTCTATTACCATATATAAGGTATCGTAGAATACGTCCGTTAGGTGTTTCTAGCGCGTATATATCTAAGGGGTATTATATATGAACCTTATAGGGACCTAAGTAGTTCGTTTTAAACTTCGTTTTCTATTTATTCTTTAGTAAAATGATTTAACCGATAGGTAGTCGCGCCTAGTCTTTAGGTTTAAGCCGAGTCGGATCTATAAGGTCTCGGCGAGCGGCTTCCATAAGTAGTTCGTTTAGCGCTAGTGTCCTAGCGTGTTATACTTTCTTAACTTACTTAATAAGTTCGTTAAAGGATATTAACTTATCCTTTTCTCTAGGAATATTCCCTAGTAAGTTAGGGTACTATCTATATACTAGATAATATAGACTAACTTCTATACTTCTATATCGTCGGATCCTCGTGGCGAAAACGGCGGCTAGTAAGTATATATCCTAGTTAGTTACTAGTTCGCCTATACATATACGGGTAAGGATACCTTCTAAGGTTCTATTAAGGCGTTTAACCTTTCCGTTTATACGAGGGTAATAAGGCGTAGTAAGTTTATATTCCGTCTTAAGGATACGTAGTAGTGCGCTAACCACTCTTAATAGAAACTACTAACCGTTATCTAAGGTTAGTGCGGCGGGGGGTCTAAAATCTATAAAGATTCGTTTATAAATAAACCTCGCGACGGACTCTACGGTCGCCTTAGGGACTACCTATACGATAGGCCATCCCGTTACGTAGTTAATTACTATTATTATCTAACTATTACCGTTATACGTAGTGGGGAGTATATCTATAAAGTTAATACCTATTAGGACGGGAACCCTAACGGACCTATATAGACTATTCTAATCCATATAGCCACGTAGCGGCCAGAGCTAGGATAAGTTAGCTGGGTT